GAGGGACCAAAATTCTGGAATTCGTATAGCATCTGTGGCTATTTTTAAAACTGAATTTAAAGCTATAGTCCATCATTTGCAGCCATCCGAAAAGTAACTGGCGTAATTACTGTTGAAAAACAAACTTGGTTGAAAGATAGTAAGGGAACTAAACTCCCTGTGAAATTATTCTTTCTGGGAAGCTGTCATTTTGAAGTAATCAACGAAAGAAGGCATTTCCAATGGTGATTCTTAAGAAGCACCGTAGGAAAATTTAAATTAGTAGTTCGTTTTGTTATTCAGCGCAGCGCGCACAAGTATTGGAACGATGCACACACGCGCGCGGTTGTTATAATTCGTCATATCAGTGCGCGACGCCGCGTATAGCTGCAATTCAAAACAATTCAAAACATGATTCAGTAACTTTTGATTTGAAATTGAGATCTTAGAATGCTGCTTTTCTCGGAATGTTTAGCTGAAGCTTAGCTGAAACTTCATCAGGTTAGTTGCTCAGTATCCTTCATTAGATTTTGAACACTTTTGTTGCTTCAAACGAACAAAATGCACTAATTACAAATGATGGACTATAGCTTTAAACAGTTCCTTCTCTACAAAGTACTCGTGAACTTTAATTTACTGTCACCAGCATTCAAATGGAACATCTTATTGGTTCACTTTAAACATTTATGATTTGTGATAATCGTGGATTTTATCAATTCTTTGTTGTAGATCATGTTCTTATCAATCAATTTTATCAAATTGTTATGGATTTAAATTTTTTGTTTTGTTTAGGAACAATATACATTTTTATTTCATTTCACCCTCGGTTCACCACTTTACTTATGTTATCCTCTATTGTCTTTGCAATATATTCGTTTATCATTTCATTCTTCGTTTTTTCCCCATACAGGGGACTCGCATTCGACAAGCCTTGCTTCTTGCGGGTCCTCTCCATCCCTGGTTTCTGTGTTTTATAATTTCCAACCTCCACGAAAATTAATTTTGTCATTAAGTGGATAATTATTGTGTTTGTACTTTTACCCATGGATGGAAATAAAGTCAAGTATTAATATTCCCAAATATTCCTAAGTGGGACTTACACAGTAAGGTTATGACATTAATTTTGAGATTGGGACTTTTTATATTCTGAATTTTTTAAAATTAAAACACTGCATTTTTTATCGCAGGGAGTTCAAGTCTTAGGGAAAACAGTTCCTCCTTGCAAGGATGAAGTAATAATGTTTAAGTTTGTCAGCGATATACAGGGTAAAAAAAAAAAAAAAAAACGACCGAAACAGCATACTTCTGCTACCCTGAGACTCAACAACCTATACCAATGCATGGGGAATTCTGTTACAAGGAAAATAATACTAAGATTGCCCGACTCGTTCCTGTAGTTGTTGTTCTAGAGCTGGTTTTGTGAAACAAAGTCATTTTGTCCTGATGTCTGATGATTTACACCGCGTTCCCACTTGAATTGGAAAAAGGTGGATCAAGATCCGGCATTTTGGTGTGATCGTTATCTTACCGCAACGAAACCGCAAGTCGCGTTCCCACTTATGCTTGATCCACCTTTTCGTACGGAAATGTTGGGTCCGAAAGGTCACTGAGTTCGGAATTACGCGCGCTCTGTGGGAGTGTCATTGTTGCATGGTTGCATGCTAGGCCAGGATGGGTCAGTTTTCAAACAGCACTATCAGAATTCACCGACAAAAAATACGCGAATTCACCAACATAAATCACGGATCCGTAGAGGATCCGTGCGTGCATAAATTAACAGGTGAAATCCAACAGAGCCGCTCATTGTGTGACATCACGGCAGAAACCAATGCATCAATAAGGGATTCCCTGGTTCTGAAGCTTTTCATTGGTTAGAAACGGTCACATGATGTACTACGACATCATTTTCCAATTTTCTATAATCAATACTTCAGATTTGTCACCTCCGTACGTACCGCGTTATCGGCACTATTCTCATCGCATACTCGTAAGCTTTTCCATGATTCTGTGCCAAAGTGAAGTCTTTTGGTGAGTGCCGACTCAGAGTCATTTATGGATGGAAATATAAGTAAAATTTCAGGAATGAAAAAGTTTTAGTAATGGACGAACACGCAACAAAAATAAGGCCTATATAGTGTAGTTTTAAGATACCAGTTTTAAGATATATTGTGCATGTTGTATACACTGGAAATGTTCACATGAGCTACACGCCTGAAAACGTGTTTCTTCGTTCATGAGACCGCAACATTTTCGCGCCACTCGTGCACCGGGCGGATGTTAACAGGTCAAATTGCCGGATCAGATCCACCTTTTGCGTTCCCATCTGATCGTGATCCGGCAATTGCCGGATCTGATCCACCAATTGGGGGATCTCTATCCTGGTCCAGAGGAGGATCAGAAAAGGTGGATCTGATCCTGATCCACCTTATAACGGTTAGCGTTCCCACTACACACAATTGCTGGATCTGATCCACCAATTGGGGGATCTGATCCGGCAATCTGGCAAAAGGTGGATCAGATCCCCCAATTGGTGGATCAAGTGGGAACGGGGTCTTACTCAACGGCCCTGGCAAATTTGTCGTAATTGGATGGAGAAATTGTTATGCAATAACCCACATGCAAGATGTGTGCTTCACAAAATAGGCTCTGCAGCAAAAACTACCGGACTGAATCCGGAGATCTTGGTATCATATTTCTAGAAAGAATCCACATCCATTGGTGCAGGTGGTTTGAGTTTCAGGGTAGTAGTGGACTAGTGGAAGTATCCTGTTTCTTCTGGGGTCACCCTGTGTGCATAAATGGAAACCTTGGGACACCAATATAGGGACATTTATGGGTCTTTGATAATGCAGGTTGATTGACCTGCCTTGTGGGTTTGAAGAATGCAACCCCATTCCTGCAGGCATGCTTATTCAACCCCACTTGATAGCTTGAATTATTGAGGTAGGAAACAGGCCAATCTCCTCTGACACAAGGTGTCTCAAGTTATTGCAGTTTAGTATTTGCACTGACCAATAAGCTTCACACATATGCCAGCAGGTTTTGCCACTAAGGAGTAAACAATTGGGTATACACCTGTGGTTCTGGCTATTACTATTAGGCTAAATTGTCATGTAAATTACCCTGTACATGTAATCCCATTAGCTCCTTAAATGGTCCATGAGTTGATACACCACTGATGCATGGGAATGGACATGTGTAAGCAAAAGGCTACTCATCCAGCAGTGTTTATGACCATTTTAACTCCTGAGTCCAAAGTCAACAAAGCGTCCCTATATTTTATGACCATTTTAACTCCTGAGTCCAAAGTCAACAAAGCGTCCCTATATTTTTTGTATGGAACAACAACAGTGGTTTGTAATTCTTGTTCTGTGATTTTCTCATTTTCAGGTAAGTTCTGTATCTTGGGGAGTTGGGGACCTTGGCATTATAGAGATGGGCCATGAATTTAATAATACTAGCATTGAAGCATAATAGGCATACTGATATCCTGTGGTGCTGCTATAAACATTATGTCAAATACTCTCACTTTTTGTCTCAGTAAATGACTTGACAATGTATGTTGGATTTTGCTTACATGATGCAGCATTTTTTTCTTTGCTGTGTACATTTGTACAATGAATGATTTTGTAGATGGATTTGTTTAGTTTCATGAAGAACCAAAATAAAAGTGTCCAGCGAGTTTAATGTTGATGTTTCCTGAATTTTCTTTCCATGTGTAATTTTTTTTCAGTTGAATCAAGAACAAGAAAAAACGTTGTTTTCTTTGATACTCCATTGCTGAGTGTTACCTTAATTCTAGAAAAAAATCTTCAAGCATTTCGGCGATGGCAGGGTTTTTGTAATTGTTTGAGGGATACAGGTCAAGGTAGAAGGTCTATAGCTCCTTGATAAAACTAACAACATTGTCCTTAAAGGGAATATACATCATTTGCTTTTGCTGTAATTTTCAGAAATGGATGGAATTGGGGGGTTGGAAATATAAAGTAAATATAGTTACAATGACTTTTTGGAGGTTTTGGGTTCGAAAATGCTATAAAAATCAAGAAAAACGATCATTTTCCTGTAGTCTGGTTCCCTGACTCCATATAAGAAGAAACAGAGCAGTTTACATACATTGGGGAATTGTAAGGTCAGGGAACCAGTCTAGCTGGCTCGTACCCGTTCATAGGTTTGTAATCGATTGCAAACAAGTGCAATGGTCAATTGGGGCCAGTATTTGAAAAAAAGCCAGTTGTTTCCAACGCTGATCGGCCGATCAGCGTTGGAAATTGATACAAAAATACCACTTTTCTTGAAAATGACAGTATACCAGGTGCCATAATTTTACAGGATGCTTTAGATTGTCATTTACCAACATCCTATTAAGGTATTTTGCAAAAACTTGGTAGTTTTATTTTTCGATGTTTGCAAATGTTGTATATTCCCTTTAAATGTGCTTGTACTTGTATTTGCTTGCTTGGGGTCTGAATGTAACTGAGTTAAGATGTTATTTTGTGGGGGCCAAATCATAAGAGTATGTATGTATGTGCATGTACATTTATGTACGCACAGGTTATGACTAAGATGCTTTTCCTTATTGCTCTTCGTGGGGCATTCCCCGGATTGTGCAATTTCCTGTCGTGTGGCCATGGAATATCAAGATTCATAGACGTTTGTCACTTTGTGTCTCTTTTATAGCCTGAACAGCAGTGTTCTATTTAAATAGTTTTTTTTTTTTTTACAAAATTGTGCCCACCTTAAAATTACAAAATCTTTTTGGCAAGCATTTTTTCATTTTCGGGGTATATATTTTGGCATGTTCTGAAAATGTCCCAGACTTGTCAAAAAGCATAGATTGATTGTAGGAATTTCATTAAGTTTTTCTATTTGGCAAGCCGACATATCAAACCGCACGATGCCGTTTTGAGACAAGCAAATGTATCAGCCCGAGAGACAAAGTAAATTCTTTTATTTTCATTTTATGCCTAGGTAATTAATTCCTGACTCAAAGGTTTTATGCATGTCTGATTTGTCCTCAGATTAAATAACACAGATAACCTAACCCATCGACATGGCCGATCAGCAGCCAAGCGGTCGTGCCCGCGGGCGTTCTCGCGGCCGAGGACGCGCCTCGTCGGGACAGCAACCGGCCCAGACCAGACGCCCAGGCGAGACGGCACCTGCCCCTCCCCGTATGCCCCCTGCCGAGCCGGACCCCCTGCCCACCCCGGGAAGAGGCCGTTCTCGTGGTGGCTCATCTCAGGTCCCGGGATCAGGAGGTTAGTGTGATTCCTTGCTGTTGTAATGTTAAGAGTAGTGGTAATGTACATCTTTAATTGTGACAGTTCAGGATAATGTACTCGGGTATGACAACCTGTACTTGATGGGCATGGAACCATTAACCCTCACCCCCTAGAAGTAGTGGAGTTTTCTTCACAATCAACAATTTTAATGATCAAATTTTGTGAGGATTGAGAATGCTTTGAATAGATGAATTAAGATCTGGATGGAGAAGTTGTATTTAATATTATTTTCCAGAGTTATCCAGACGACCTACTGTAGGAGAAAGTACAGATGAGGCCAGCATCTAAAAATCGAGCCCCCATCAAACCCAGGCATGCAACTTTTCCTCGGATCAGCTGATTTCCTCTTTTTTCTTACTTCCCATGTGTGCCATTGAAAATAGAAAAACACTGTACAAAGTCTTGGAAAGATTTGAATTTCCTCTTTTTTGTGACTTCCCAGTTGCATGCCTGCAAACCAGTGTTGTGTTATTAACCCTAACCCAACTATTTTACATACCGACTGGGTCCTGTTGGATTGAGCAGTAAACTCCCTTCATATTAAAGCTCTTTGAGTGGCCTCCATTTAATTAAATAAAACCAAAATCGTAACATGAAGCGCAACAATCTTGGACAAATTTGTGATGGGCGCTCTTAAAGTTTTCAAGTTATGATTTTTTAACGATTTGTGTGTGTGTGTGTGTGAAGATTGTTGAGCCAGTAAAAGGGACCAGACTTCATAGGAGTCCAAATTTGACGTGACACTGGAAAAGCGTATAAAACCAGCCAGCCGGTGTTTTATTAACCGATTAAAACCAGCCACGTGACGGGCAAATAGGAATGGATAAACTGTCGTGGTTATTTATGAATAATGTCCTTAACTGAGACTTTCAGTTTCAGCTGAACCAGACAACCTTAGTCTTGTTTAAAGCACCCTTTAATTTTGATGTTTTGTTTTTTTCCAGCTCCAGTCCCAGCTGAGCCGAGAGCGCCCCCTACCTCCCAGATGGCAGCACTGAGCATGAGTGCGGCCGGTGAGGGAGGCGCGGGGGGCATCAGCGGCCGCAGCAGACAAGCCCAGCTCAGCTACGCAGAGCCCAAGACAAGACCGGAGCACATCAAAGATAAGAGGGGTAAGTTTGGATCCCCAATGAAGGTAGCACCATCAGTAAGGCCAAAAAAAAAAATAAGTCGGTCTCTGGTCAGCGCGCGCGTCGATTTTAATCATGCACGTCAATCTTTTTTTTCTCCAAAATGTTCCGCGGTAGCTCCCAACAGCGCCCTCTATTGCCGCACCTCCTCAATTTTTTTTTACCAAAGAGCACCAAGGAATGGGAAATTGCACCAAGGCAAATGATCGAGAGCACCAAGGCAAATTATGGAGGACACCAATGTACATGAGGACACCAAAAAAGCAAAATAGTACCCCACCTTGTTTGTACAATCCAAGCTTGAAGAAGAAAAAAAAAAGCCGCGTTCCCGCGTCAATTCCGGAACTTTGGTCTGACCAGAGACCGAATATTTTTTTTTTTTTGGCCGAATAGTCCTCTGATGAAATGGTGTTATGCTTTGTTTACACATTTTTGTTTTTGTCGGAGCAAGGTAGGGATGTATTCCCTTCATCACTTCATCCCTTCCTAACTCCAAATGAAACGTGCAAGGTCATTTCATCCATAGCTAGTATCTGCTCGTGCAGTGATCAAATGAACTCCTGAATTATAAATGGCATTTTTGCTAGGATGCAACCTCAATCCTGTGAAATCCTCCAACTGCCTCAATCCTGCAAAAATTGTAGACAGCCTCAATTCTGCAAAATCCTCCATTATTTCATTAATGTGGTCCTTGGAGGGCTGGCCACTGCCTCAATCCTGCAAAATCCTCCAGCAATCACTGTCAATATGTTGAGGCAGAGCCAGTGTCATCCTGGAGCAGTGCGGAGGATTTCAAGTATAATTTTCAGGCATACAACTTTTTCTCGGATCTGCTGATTTCCTCTTTTTTTACTTCTCATGAATGCCATTACAAATAGAAAAAGTCTTGTGTGGTTTGGAATTTCCCCGTTTGTTTCTGAATTCCCAGTTGCATGTCTGAATCTTGGCCTAACTTTATGCACGGCTGAGCATAAACAACACAAGGTCTGGCCCCAAGACCTTGACACAGTGCATCCTCCAAAATCAGACACATATATTTGCAGGCATGCAACTTTTCCTCGGATCAGCTGTTTTCCTCTTTTTTTACTTCCCATGTGTGCCGTTGAAAATAGAAAAACACTGTACAAAGTCTGGGAAAAATTTGAATTTCCTCTTTTTTTTGTGATTTCCCAGTTTCATGCCTGTATTTGCCATATAGCCTTAATCCTGCAATTCGGTTAAGCCTTATAAGGGAAGAAAAAATTGGTTGTGTAGCGTGTTGGGGTTAGGGGTACAAGGAAGGTTTTTTTTGGCTGCCTCAAAGTCAAGACAAGTTGTAAAACACAAGAACAATCCAAAATCTTGTAATTCTCAAGTAATTACTGTTGTTTCAGAACCATTTTTAGATTGTTTTCTGTAAACAGATGCCACTTTTCCGGTTTTAACCGGAATTCCGGTTTTTAAAAAAAATGTCACAAAATTCCGGTTTTTCCGGCCGTCAAATTAACCAGAAAAAGAGAAGAAAAACTGTGTGCACACGTAGCATTCAGCCTGGAAATTAAGTCTATCATTTCAGCTATCGGTGGTTTCCGATCGCAGTGATATATGTGAATACAAAAAATGCGGGTACCAACCATGTTTTGTTGAGCACATCGCGTAGTGCAAGGATCATGTACACCGACAGCAGTGTTGTGGAATCATGCACGTTTCGTGTCGAATATTACGTTGGAAATTCGGGTAGGCAGAATAAATATTAGGAATATGGAAAAAGTCAAAGTGATTGAACGAACCGACAGCTTTAAAGGCCATGGAAGCAAAATTAAAAAATAAACGGAACTTGGCTTGGCTACAAGATAAAGATGACAACGGGGACTTTGTGTCGGACACGGAGTGGCTTTTTCACACACAAAAAAGTTCCGTTTTTTTTCAAGCAGACCCAGTTCCGTTTTTTTCAAGCAGACCCTGTGGCATCTCTGTGTAAAGTTTGATAGATTCCTGAAAAAACAAAATGATTCAAATATACATTACATTTTTTTTCTCTTTTTTTTTTTTTTTACAGGCACAGCTGGAAACAAGATCAACATCATGACCAACTGTTTCAAACTGAAGGCCGACGAGCGATGGCTGTTGTACCAGTACCACGTGGACTTCAGTCCCATGGTGGACAGCCCCCGAGCCAGGCAGGGCCTGCTGCGCTTCCACACCGAGGCTCTGGGCAGCCCCATGGCGTTTGACGGCATGATCCTGTTTCTGCTCAGACGACTTGACCAGCCGGTGAGTCCGGCCATATCCAGGTTACCGTTCCTGCTGAGACACACATGTCTAGGGCTTGAGCCACTTCACAGATTGCATGTGTGGTAGTGCTTAAAGTAAAAGGTCACGCAGCGAGCTTTCGGACCTCTTGAGCGGCCTGCCAATGGGCATTTTACACTGGGTTGCCCTTTCACCTTCTATAATATTTTACAACGATTTCTAATCGTAACCACCACAAGAAACATTTATGTTGAAATTTTATCTGGGTATTCCTCAAGAAAAAATGATGTGAAATCACTTGGAGATGGGTGAACATAAATTTTACTTGCGAAGTTTCACAGAAATTGGACTTAACCTCTACCTGCTACATGGACTTGCAAATCTTCTTGATAATTGCAGGGAAAGGTTTATATGAAGACATTCAAAATGTCTTGGTCCTTAGCAGTCCGAGCTCACAACTGAAGGTTCCTGATTGGATGAGAGGGCATTGGTGCCACGTATCACTTATTTGTTGTATGTGTGTGTGTGTCAAATTATGCATAATCACAGGTGACCAAGTTTGAAACCAAACGTCGCGACACGGATGCCATAGTGACCATCACCATCACTCTGACCAATGAGCTGGCTCCTACCTCCCCTACCTGCATCCAGGTCTACAACATCATCTTCCGCAAGTAAGTCTCCAGCTTGCATCCATGATTTCCAAGGTTGGGCAAGGGGAACCTAAGTTTTTATTGTGGCCAAGAACAACGAAACTTCCCTCCTGAAAGAGCTAGGTTTTCTTTGCCCGCTCACAGCCAAGAGGACACAAATTTAACCCATGAGTACTTGCTTTACATTGTGTTACATTGTGTTACAGTGTGTAACAGTGTGTTACATTGTTTCAACTGCTTGATGTATTCATAAAAATTATTCATTATTGAGATTGTTTTGGGTGGAATAGAGAGTAGCCGGCAAGGTGGTTTGGGGGCATGAAGACGTCAATTCTTAGTGTGTTTCAAAATTTTAGTCCAGTGGGACAAAGGGCTTTGCAATTATTAGCATTTAGAATTCCCATATCAGTCTGTGAGTTAAAGGTAGATCATTTGTCAGAGATGAAACTTTTCAGATTTTAATCTAAAATCAGATTTTTTTTACTTTTCCAATGAAATTTCAGATTTTTTAGCGATCCCACAAAAATGATTATTTAACGATTTTTCCACAAAATGTTTTTTTTTTTCATTATAATTTCCAAAAAAAGTCCATGAAAAGTCGATGAAAACGGCACGTGAAAATTTGCACAAGTGTAAAACACGAAGACCAACGCTGATCAGATTAAATACTGACCTATGACATGGAAAAATTCACTGGGTCCCACGTTGATGCGCTGTGCTGCACTGCGCTGCGCGACCCTGTGGCAGCTCGGACCCAAGGTCCAATTTCAGATTGTTTTTGCCAAGGCCAGTTTCATCTCTGATTTGTCATTGGTGTTTTTTTCGTTCAAAGCAACAAAAGGTCAGAAAATCTAAACACTGGTGTTTAATATACTAACCCAATGAAGCGTTACCTCTGTGAATGCTGTCTATTTCAAGTTAAACACTTTTATTTTGGATCTCGATTTCAATTCAAAAGCTGCTGAGTCATGACACAATCCCGAAATCAGCATTCAGGACGTAGTTCTCATTTAGCCGATTGTTTCTACGTGATGTCACACACTGAACAGACAATTCTCGCTAATAATAGCAACCGTGTGCGACTGCGCGGTCGTGGGTCATGTCAACGCGCTTGCACCCATTGGCCGATTCGCCCAATTACAAACCAACTGCCAATGGAAATTTCCTATTATTGTGTCACTTGACGCAACTTTGGGAATAAGGCCAAACAAAAATAAGTCGGTCTCTGGTCAGCGCGTGCGTCGATTTTAATCATGCGCGTCAATTTTTTTTTTTTCAAAATGTTCTGCAGTAGCTCCAACAGCGCCCTCTATTGCCGCACCTCAATTTTTTTTTACCAAAGAGCACCAAGGAATGGGAAATTGCACCAAGGCAAATGATCGAGAGCACCAAGGCAAATTATGGAGGACACCAATGTACATGAGGACACCAAAAAAGCAAAATAGTACCCCACCTTGTCTGTACAATCCAAGCGTGAAGAAAAAAAAAAAAAGCAAAAAAGAAAAGAAAAAAGCCGCGTCGCCGCGTCAATTCTGGAACTTTGGTCTGACCAGAGACCGCATATTTTTTTTTTTGGCCTAACCTTCATTTTTTTTTTAAACTGACGGCATGCCAGAAGGAAAAAAAATGACAGGGAGTTTAGTGTCATTACTATCTTTAAACCAAGTAAGCTTTTATTAATAAATTGGTCGGTTACTTTTTGAATTGATGCAAATGGTCTACTGTACCTTTAACACTTTTCCCTGTGCACATTCAGTGGAAAGAGTTAAAAGTTTGTGCTACTCGGTGCTTGAGCATTTGACTCCGCTCTTGAACACGGGAAGAAAATCCTAGAGATTCAATTCTAAGGATAACGTCTGTATAATATCATGGAGGGACTAACAAATCAAATCAGAAGTGTTATCAGGTTGAGAACCGGGGTTTCCCCAAACTTGCAAAGCAATGAATGTACCACAGTGCCAAACCTAATCCAACCAAGACTGCGTAATACACTGCTTGAGCCATTACCACAATACCTTACATTAGGCACTTTAGGTGAAAATTTGTTCTTGCTCTTTTGCTTTTGAAAAGTTTACAGGATGAAAGGGCAGGTCAGTAGCATTACAAAACTTTTTAAATTTTTGAAATAGCACATTCCGTTGCAGAGATATGAATTTTTTTTGCTACATATTATTGTAATGGCAAAGAAGTCTCAGGTCAAACGTTGTTCTTTTTATTTTCTTTGTTTTAAGGACGGCACCGTAATATTCACATGAAAAGGCACTTCATGGCTTCTAAATCAAAAAATATTAATTGCAAACACATGAAATTTTCAGAATATGTTGCATGTATGCTAAGCTGTCATCTGGGCAAGATAAACAAAATTAATTAATGAGTTTTGCATCTTATTTGCATGTTAATTAACTGAAATTAGCACTTACTGGCTTCTATGATACAAAATACATATATTGAAGGCACATGAAACGTTCAGAACATGTTGCATATTTGCTGCGTTTTTGAGAACTTTTCGTGCAAACAACGCACACGATTATGAGGAAGAAAAGTGTACCATTGTTTATTTACCCTCGATTCTATGCGCGGACGCGGCATATTGACGTCATAGATATAGAACTATATCTACGATTGACGCGGCATATTATTCTACACGCGGCTTATTATTCTATGCGAGGACGCGCGCTTTAGCTTAAACATGACGTAAACAATTGAAAAGGACTGCGCGTCTTCGGATCTATTCGGAAATGCCCACGACGAAGCTTTTCGACCAATCAGAATGCCCGGTTTCTTTCCGGAAAATTTTACCCCGAAACCGAGTGCACACGAAGTGCCGCAAAGAGCGGTGCCGGGTCATGACCTTCAAGATCTGCACACGAAAGTGATCATGAAGGATGCGCACCGTGTTACTTCTGTCGCCATAAAACCAGATCTACATGGAAATTGATGATGATTTTTGGGTGGAGTACAGAGGAAATATACAGAATGCTTGTCTCCAAATTTGAAAACGATCGGTTGGGTATTTTATTTTTAATGAATTTTCAAAGTTGATGTGGACATTGAGACTGTATGGTCGTTGTGTGTGCGTACGTGTGTTGAGGTTTGGGACTCCTGTAATTCGACACCTGACTGAAGTGCCTACTTACATATGCTCATAATCCTTGTGGTTTTTTTGTGCACAGAATCTTAGGATTTGTGGGCATGCAGCAGATCGGACGTCACTACTTCAACCCCAACGACCCAACAGTTGTCCCGCAGCACAAGTAAGTCAAAACCCCCCTCCCCTTTTTTTTTTAAATTTCAGGCATGCTTGTCACACAAAAAGGCCTTTCATTGTTAAAATAAGTGTAATGCTTTTTCATGATCACTCGTGCGTAGCCAGCATAGGGAAGCTAATAAATTAAGTAATAAATCAAGTACTGTCAACCTAAGAATCAAATACTTTCATTCACTGACATGCAACTTTTCCTCGGATCTGCTGATTTCCTCGTTTTTTTTTTTTTACTTCGCATGAAATGCCATTACAAAATTGAAAAACACTGTACAAAGTGTTCTGTCGTTGTAATTTCCTCATAATAATAAATCAATTAATAAATCAAGTAATAAATCAAGTACTGTCAACCTAAGAATCAAATACTTTCATTCACAGGCGTGCAACTTTTCTTCGGATCCGCTGATTTCCTCGTTTTTTTTTACTTCTCATGAATGCCATTACAAAATTGAAAAACACTGTACAAAGTGTTCTGTCGTTGTAATTTCCTCATAATAATAAATCAATTAATAAATCAAGTAATAAATCAAGTACTGTCAACCTAAGAATCAAATACTTTCATTCACTGACATGCAACTTGTCCTCGGATCCGCTGATTTCCTCGTTTTTTTTTTACTTCTCATGAAATGCCATTACAAAATTGAAAAACACTGTACAAAGTGTTCTGTCGTCGTAATTTCCGCATAATAATAAATCAAATAATGAATCAAGTAATAAATCAAGTACTGTCAACCTAAGAATCAAATACTTTCATTCACTGGCATGCAACTTTTCCTCGGATCCGCTGATTTCCTCGTTTTTTTTTACTTCTCATGAATGCCATTGCAAAATTGAAAAACACTGTCCAAAGAGTTCTGTCGTTGTAATTTCCTTGTTTTTTCTAAATTTTTCCCAGTTGCATGCCTCAGGCATGCAACTTGTCCTCGGATCCGCTGATTTCCTCGTTTTTCACTTCTCAAGACTGCCATTACAAATTGAAAAACACTGTACAAATTCTTGTGTAGTTTGGAGGTTCCTCGTTTTTCCTAAATTCCTAGTTGCATGCCTGATGCCTGCATTCACTGTTGCTATTGTTGGCACATCATTTAGGGTGCCAGCAAGTGCTTACTTCTAAAACTCACCCACGAAAAAGGAAAAAAAAATCATTGGACTGCAGAGGGGGTTATCTGAAAGAGGTGGTATTTTTTTAGGTCTTACGGAATACAAGAAAAAGAATCCCTCTCCGTTATTTTTTAGGTGTCCTGGCAAAATAGACAGAACTGGGCACAGGTCGTAGTGGAGACAAATGCAAAAAACTGAATGGGGTATTTTTTTTTTTCAGATTTTTCTTTATATTTTTTACCTTTGATATGTCTACTACACATATTTTTAAAATCTATTATTGAAATGCGTGGAATAAAAGTATTTTTAAGGAAAAACAATCGTTCATTTTCAAAAATACAAAACTCTAAATTTAATGATTTTTCCTCAGTATGTTACATTTTTGACATGCTGATAAATGCCAACTTTTTAGCCATAACATGTCAACGGAATGTCCGATTGAAGTGCAACAAACAGTATTGTGAGGAGAATTTGATTCTCTTTCCTAATCTCTGCAAACCCTAATTTTGACCTCTGCCCAGTTCTCTCTCATTTTGCCAGATCGCTTCACATTTTTCACTGTCACAGCAGGTACACCAAAAGATCAATTTGTCTGAGAATGTCCAAATCCATGGTATTCGAGCCGATTTCTAAATATTTGAATGCTTTTTTTTTGTTTTTTGTACAATTATTGTAGCAACTAACCGATATAATTTATCCGAATAATCCACTTTATATATATATATAACTATAATTGACCTATTGCGATGGAATCGCTTTAGAATCGCGTCCACGCAGTTTGTGAAATATTGTCCAATTACATGACATACAAATGGACGCGGAACGCGCAAAGTCTGAGACAAACAAAACTTGGTTTCCAAAGGGTTGTTTAAGGCAGGGGTGTGAAATCTCAGCTTTAAAGCTGATTTCAGCTTTTTTTGATATTGGAATTCAGCTTTTTTTCCAGCTTTTTCCCTCACTTGCTGTGTAGAAAAGTATAAGAAATCTCCATTTCAGCTTTTTTACACCTTTTTCAGCTGTTTTCAGCTATTTTTATCAGTGGTCACTCACACCCCTGCTAAGGGGCGTGGCTAACTCACAAACGGCGATAGGTCAATTATGCACACAGTTGGATCGTTCACAATGAACGTCCGACACTGAAAAACTGCCTATTGCTTATTTATTTATTTTCACTCCGGCAGCTTGCAGCTATGGCCCGGCTTCATCACCTCCATCCTGCAGTATGAGGAGGAGGTCATGCTGATGGCCGACGTCTCACACAAGATCCTGCGCACCGACACCGTCCTGGACATCCTGGCCAACCTCTTTGCTGCCAAAAAGAACCGCTTCCAGGATGAGGCTACCCGCATGCTGGTCGGGGAGATCGTCCTCACAAGGTATTTATTCATTGTTTAAAGAATTAAGATATGTGGCCGGCTCCACAAAAAAGGGTATTATGTCGCAAAAAAGTGAAATGGAGTTATTTACATGGTTGGAAAGCCCACAATGTAAGCTTTCATTTGGTATATACTAGAGCTCCATATTTCCTCCCGTTTTGGAGATATGACGTATTTTCATATTAATTACTTCCTTGGAGTTCAAATTGCACAACTGAGAAAACGGCTTTGAAATAGCTGGCTTTACTGATGAACAACAAAACGATGCACACAAAATGGTTGTTTTTTCCACTTTGTTCATCAAAATCAACATTTCTGTGAAAGAAACCTGAAACTGTAGGTATTAAAGATGACATTCATGACATAAAATGAAAATCACATTTTGACAACATTTTCACCCTCTCAATGTTGAGCAGGCCATTACACAATAATGCTAAGGGCGACTTAACACCCTTTTTTGTGGAACCGGTCACATATTATTCATTTAAGGAGCTACATGTAGTAAAGAAATTATCTCAACACAAGTCTTGTAAAAGAATACTTTTCACTAAAAGGATAATACTGACCGGACACTATTTTGTCCTCATCGTGTACATTCCTTAAAAAAAAAGTCCGTTTACCTTATCGGAATCAGTTTCCTTCCAAATTAACGGAAGCGTCTGTGTTTGGAATTCTGTTTAGCTACAACAACAAGACCTATCGCGTGGACGACATCGAGTGGGAGAAGAATCCCATGCACACCTTCGCCAAGTACGACGGTAGCCAGATCACCTATGCCCAGTATTACAAAGAGGCGTACGGACGGGATATCACGGACATGGAACAGCCACTGCTGATCAGTCGCCCAAAGAAGAAGGTATGTCACATCCAACCCCCCCCCCTCCCACCCACCCAACAGAAACCAATAAAAAACTGTGAAGTCTGGGGGATCAAACAGCTTGACACTACTGTAATTTTCGGAATATAAGCCGCGCGGCGTATAAGCCGCAGCACGCAAAAATCTGCAAATTGAGATTTGAAGTCGGCGTATAAGCCGCACCGGCGTATAAGCCGCACCAACGGCAGCGGTTTCAATTTTGTAAGGCCTCCAAATTCTAGCCCCAAATGCTCTGAACCAGTTCCATTTACACTACAGAAGCTATAAAAAGGGCCACAAAAGTTGCATCAAATCATTTACAATCGATACTCTCACAAACAAATGTGGAAATTGATTATGAGAAATAAACACCGGGAATTGCTGCCGGCGGCTGCCCCGTCCGGTCCCCGGCCGTAAAAGTTAATACATCGCCCGGTGCGGCAGCCTGCGCCGCGCCGGCCTATGACAACATTTTCCTGCAGCACGTGAGAGAGTATGCAACCCACCGTGATTTCCCCCCATTGCGTGTGTTGTCTGACTGGAGCGCTACGTACAAATCTTACTTTGTGGCAACAGATGCTGATTTGTTTTGTCCTAAAAATATACAGGTCCGTTTTTATCTCAAAACTTATCAAATTTTTGTGATAACTAACGAGCAGAATTCAAGTTTCGATCGTAACTTTCTTCGAAGATAGTCAAAACGATGCTGCCATTTTCCTGGACGAATCCATTAATTTTGTAAGGGGTGATATAGTCCCTGTTTTGAGGTTTACATCGTTTCTTGAATACATTTCAAGTACAAAAATTATATTGTGATGTTGAACAACTGATTATCGAATTAAGAAATGTTTCGGACACCATAAAAAGTATTAGTCGTCTTTTTTCTTTTTTTAAACAGCGGAAATGTTGGTAATTATTGTTTCCAAGATAGTACACCCCTATATTACCTCAAATGGTGTGGTCCGCTGGGGAAAGCATGCAGCAGCACTAGAATCACGTACGGCTTGTTGCAAGCGTCGATCGAAGACAGCTTTCACCGTACTTTTAGCCGCTCGGCAACTTACGTGGCACGTGGTTTCGGTTCGTTAATGACTTTCTTAATTGATAATTCATTTCAGCAACATATCTCTTCTTATACCAGTACATTAAATACACATGTGAATTTCATTTTTATTCTTCAAGGCTCGGCGTATAAGCCGCCCTGTGTATAAGCCGCAGTAAACATTTTCATGGGCAAAATCAACGTATAAGCCGCGGCTTATATTCCGAAAATTACGGTATTTGTGGGAAACTTACTGAATCCTGCAAAATCTATCTCAGTGCAGGGGTCAATGGCATAATGGGGCATCAAGTGTCCTCCATCCCAGAAAATCCACCACCTGATGGATTTTGAGGGTTCCAGGAGGGTTAAGAGTTTAATACATGTAGTTCATTGATCAGGCATGTAACTTTTCCTCGGATCACCTGATATTTCCTTTCTTTTTTCACTTCGCACTTAAAGGGAAATAACAACATTTGCAAACATCGAAAAATAAAACTACCAAGTTTTTACGAAATATCTTACTAGGATGTTGGTAAGTGACAGTCTAAAGCATCCTGTAAAATTATGGCACCTGGTGTGACGTCATTTTAAAGAAAATGGTATTGTTGTATACATTTCCAATGGTGGTCTGCCGACCACCGTTGGAAAAACCTAACTATTTTTCAACTTCTGCTCCAAATTAACCTTTTTTTTTTACAGTTAACATTGTGTTTGCTATTGATTACATGTTTATGAACGGGTGCAGGCCAGCTAGACTGGTTCCCTTACCTTACAATTTTTCTGGCATCTATAAATTGATCCATTTCATTTTTAGTGGAGTCAGGGAACCAGACTACTTGAACGTTTTTGTTTTTCTTGGTTTTTCCAGCATTTTCGAACACAAAACTTCAATCATGTCAGTGTAACAATATTTGATCTATAATACTAACCCCTCAAATACGTCATTGCTGAAAATTACAGCAAAAGCCAATGATGTACATTCCCTTTAAAAATAAAACACACTGTATAAAGTTTTATGAAGCTTTACCTAATTGAAAGAATTCCCTCTTTGTTTTCACTTCCCAGTTGCATATCTGATTGAAAACATACAACTCAAGTATGATTGCATGATTTCCTTTGTTTAGCCACGATAATGACAAGCTGGCATCCATCAGAAGATGAAGAAAATCTCAACTCGTGTTATTTTTCTTTTTGAATAAATTGTTTCCAATGTTTCGTCATTTGCTCCCAGGATGAGCGTCGGGGAATGACGGGGCCCATCCACCTCATTCCTGAGCTGTGCATGCTGACCGGTCTGAGCGACGACGTCCGTGCCGATTTCCACGTCATGAAGGACATCGCCCAGCACACGCGCATCTCGCCCGACCAGCGCGTCCGCACGCTCACTACCTTTATCAACAGCTTTCCTAGGTAAGTGGGCAACTTTGGTCAGGGGAAATCTGCTGTGCATAAATGCCTTTTTCGCTCGTACCCCCCACCCTGAAAACAGGACGCTGGTCAGGGCTGACGTCATTTGAGCTCTCATTGGATAGATTTGCGTGACCTGTGACGCAGAACGCGTCACACAAACTAGCTTCCGGTGCCCATCATGCGTAGCGCGCGCTAGCTGCATGCGAAGGTCTATCTGTACTTCTTCCACAAGATTCTGTGAAGCTCATCAGCCCTCTTACCAGCGCCCTGTTTGCAGGGCGGGGGGTACGAGCGAAAAATGCCTTTCTGTCGGCGACCACATGAGGGCGCTGACATCAAGTTGTCTTGTTTGGTGCGTGTGTTGAAAAAGCACTCTTTAAATGTGTTTATAATGGCCGTTATTGTTGCTATATGATGGATGATGTACCAGTAGAAGTAAAGGCAATGTTAAATCAATAGTTTGTTTGTACTGGATACCGCTGTAGTTTTTTTTAACGGTATACCTTGGAGTCTTTTAATCCAATACTGACCAACCCTAATTGGGAAATATACTTGAATCTTTTACTATTGTTCCTCATTGTGAACTAAGACAAGATAAGTTTGCGGTAGCACCATGTGAATAACACTCTTTTGTGAGTATGTGTGGTTCTGAAAAGAACTGGAGGGACTCAACGTTTCGAACAGTATGCTCTGCCCGTCGTCAGGAACGTTGTTCAAAACGTTGAGTCCCTCACAAAAGAGAGTTATTCACATGGTGCTACAGCAAACTTATCTTGTCTTAGTATCTTTCCACAATGCAAACCTTCAAATCTCATCTTCCTCATTGTGGTTACCGTACAGGAACAAGGAAGCCCAGGATTATTTGAACAAGTGGCAGGTGTCCTTTGTTCCCGAGCCTGTCAAGATTGAAGCCCGAGTCATCAAGGCACAGGACATTTTCCAGAAAAATGCAGTGAGTGACTCCCCCTCTGTCCAATAAAACAAAATAACTACACAGAACAACATGAAGATCCCAACGTTAAGTATTTTTTGCCTATTTCGCCCACTAAATACCCTCCGAGTCCATAAGGTAAATGTTGAACATTTGCAAACATCAGAAAACAAAACTACCAAATTATTATGAAACACCTTATTGGACTGTAAGTGAATAACGGTCTCAAGCATCCTGTGTAATCTTGGCACCTGTTGGGCTGTCATTTTTAAGAAAAGTGGAATTTTTGTACCAATTTCCAACGATGGTCGGCCGACAATCGTTGGGGGAAAAAAAAGACCTTTTTTTTTTCAAATACTGCCCCCAATTAACCAAATTTCGTTAGTCCATACTTGTTGCAATCGGTTACACATTCGTGAACGGGTGCAAGCCAGCTAGTCTGGTTCCTTGACCTGACAATTCCCTGACGTCTATAAATTGCTCCGTTTCGTCTGAAGTAAGGTCAAGGAACCAGACTACAAGAACAGCATTTTTTTTCTTTGCATCTATGAACACAAAACTTTAAACAGGCCAGCGTAACAATATCTGCTTAAAATACTGATCCCCAAATCCATCCATTTCTGAAAATTACAGCAAAAGCAAATGTTTTACATTACCTTGATGTGCCAATCAGGTGCCTTGTTTTGTTTGTTTCCAATGACTGAGCTGTGTGGGACTCAGGACGAATCCTGGAGAAGTGTTGAGGACATTGACATGTCCATTGCTGAACTGACAAACTTCTTCACTTTTTTGTGCCCTCGGGAACACAGCATATTCCCCCCTTCCCCCCCCCCCAAAAAAGGTAATGCCTTTTGACTGTCCCTAATTTCCTCTATTCATGTGACCCAAACCAAAGGTATTTCTTATTTTGGCCTAATAGGGTGCACAATGAGCACGGGCCCGGACACTTGTGCCCTTAAGCAAGGCACTTAACCATTATTGCTTCGTCCTTTGGATGGGATGTTAACCCTAAAGGGGCCGGGGGGGGGGGCGCCCCCTCAACATTTTCCGTGATGGCCTCTAAAAAAAAATTTTTTCGCGACCCGAGCCTTTATGACTTTTTAGCCTCGAGCTTTGTGCATCTTTTGATACCAAAAACATAAAAATCGAACCACGGGTTGCCGCGTAGCAAAAAAATTTCCGGCGCTATGCGCCGTGAAAACTGAATTTTCGCATATACGTCGTGTACACAGAGCAGAATTGCCATTCGTACATATGAATAATTAATTAGCCATAATTCCAAAACCCTTTGATGTTTAGGAAGAGTTGCTCTATGCATGTGCCGAGTTTCAAAATTTTTCGTCACTCGATGGCCGAGATCTTTGGCCCCCTCCGGCTGAGAGATGGTCAAAATAACCCGGCCCCTTTAGGGTTAAGCCGGAGGTCCCGTGTGTTGTATAAGACCTAACGCACGTAAAAGAACCCAGTAACACTTATCACTAAGAGAAGGGTTTGCCCTGGTGTTTCTGGCCTCCTAGTTATACTCCCTTGTGGAAGTCCTTAGGAGAAGAACCAACCAAGTACCAATGGCTTCTCCATTGAAGGGGGCCTCGCGCATGTACAGGCCTTGGGTTAGTGTGTTATCATTATTTCACTGTATTCTCATTACAGAAAGTCACCTACAAGCCAGCCGACGCGGAATGGAGCCGCGAGATACGTGGCAACAAGCTACTCAACACCGTGGACCTGGAAGACTGGTTCATGATGTTCACGTCCCGCGATCAACCTAAAGCCATTGACTTCCTTCAATCGCTGACTCGAGTTGGGCCTGGGATGGGGATGCGTGTACAAGAACCAAAAATGTGAGAAGATAAGACCCTTGTACAGGGCTGCTCTTTTAACGTTTAAACTTTGTTTTAACATATATGATATGATATTAAGCATCTGGAAGTGAACATTGTTTCTCATTGTATGAATTCTTCCTCATCGTCTTGTGCAGGCATCAGCTGAGAGATGACAGAGCAGAAAGCTTTGTGAACTGTATCAAACAAAACCTGACCAAATCAACACAGATGGTAAGCCATTTATTTCATTAAAGTTCTTTCTTTTTGTGTGTGCAAGTGCCAACTCGACGTTTAGTTTGTTAATGTGTAGTATATGATCATCTTAAAGTTGTGTTCCCATGCTTTTTTCAAGTTTTGTCCCAAAATATTGTTCCGAGGACTCTGGCTCAGGTCCTCGGGATTATTGTTATCCAAGGTTACTCATTGTCCCAAGTCCTCGGACAGGATGACCCCCAAAGAGCCCTTAGGACGTCAGGGTTAAAGTTGTGTTCCTGTGCTACTTTCAAGTTTCATCCCAAAATATTGTTCTGAGGACTCTGGCTCAGGTCCTCAGGATTATTGCTATCCAAGGTTACGCATTGTTCAAAGTCCTCGGATAGGATAACAAGGTCACACCAATTCTGTTTTATATTATAGCAGTGGTGGAAGCTTTTGATAAAGTCCACAATTCATTACTCATTGAAACCTTGAATCAGTCTTCTTAGACAAAAAGAATATTGGGCCAAAAACAAACCTGCATTGAGAACCAACTTTGGTAATAGACCTTTATCATGCTGCCACCATTTCAGTCATGTTCCCTGTATCCAATAACAGTACTGAATGATAATGTTTTTGTGCAAGAAGGAACCAGACTATTTTTCGTTCCAGCCTCGCTTTGGTTACGCTGATTTGAATGGGAAAAATCAAGATGGCTGCAACATGATAATGGTCTATTAGATCAAACAAGGAGATCTCTGGGTCTATCAACACCAAGAGAAAAAAAAATGTTACTAAAATTGAAATATTCAATGAAAATTGACTTATTTTGTGTGTGTGGTCAGTTGGTATGCATCTTGCCCACCAATCGTAAGGATCGCTACGACGCCATCAAGAAGTACTGCTGCCTGGAGGCTCCCGTGCCCAGCCAGTGCATCCTGGCCCGTACCCTCAACAAGAAGCAGACCATCATGTCGGTGGCCACCAAGATTGCCATGCAGATCAACTGCAAGATGGGTGGCGAGCTGTGGGCGGTGGACATTCCGGTAAGCGGGTCAAATTTGGCAAAGGCTGCATCCGAATCTGTTATCTAGAGCTAGGTCTAGGTCTGCCTCCATTGAAAATACGCAGGGACGCGCTGACAATAGACGTAGCCGTAGCTCTGGAAACCCTTTTCGGACACGGCCTTTCTCACCTGCATACCCTCTAATAAGGAATGTAAGGCCTCCTGCATTTGGAAAAAAAAAAAAAAATCTGAAAAAGTCACTTTTTCAAACTATTTCACCCCAATTATTTCCTTCGCCTTTTTTGAGTTGCAGATTTTAAAATTAATGCCATATGTGTGTGCACTTTCCTTGAATACCTAAAACAAATTCATGCAAAAATGTCAGAACCCAGTTTTATCCGTGTTTCCTGACAGGCTCTCAATTATGGGAAACAATCCATGCAAAAGGCTTGGTTCATGTGTGTTTGTTTGGAAATATTGGTGCTTATATTTTAATTGTTGTCTTCAGCCCAAGAAAATGATGGTCATCGGGATTGACTCCTACCATGACTCCTCCACTAGAGGGCGCTCTGTCGGTGGATTTGTAGCAACACTGAACGATAACCTCACCAGGTAAATGCTTTCGTGGTCGTTTTCATTCTGTCTTCTCCAAAAAATATGGCCCCAATGTCCCAATTACAAAATCCTCCGTTATTTCGCGACTCTGGTCCTTGGAGGGGTGACCACCGCCTCAATCCTGCAAAATCCTCAAGCAGAGACTGTCAATATGTTGAGGCAGAGCCAGTGACATCCTGGAGCAGTGCCGAGGATTCCAAGTATAATCTAGGCCTAAATTGTATGCACGGCTGAGCATAAACAACACAAGACCTTGATACAGTGCATCCTCCAAAATCAGCCACACATTTTTGCCATACGTGATGCGATCAAGCTACATGAGTCGTTTGTCGACCCTGGTGAATTTTTGGGTTTTTTTACGGATTTAAAAAGAGCACAATCTCAGCATTATTGCTGTGAAAACTGCATGCTGATACCATATTTAGTTCAAAAATTATGGAAGTCGGAACACCAAGAGATGTGATGAAGTGATGTGATGAAGTGGCCCTATTTTGGCCTGTATCTCCAAATAAAAACTCCCAACAAACGACTCATTTAGCTTGATCGCTTCACATATTGATTCAATCCTGCAAAATCTTCCATTTTGGAACGATTTGGGAAGGTTGGGGTTAAAGGGAATATACATCATTTGCTTTTGCTGTAATTTTCAGAAATGGATGGAATTGGGGGGTTGGAAATATATAGCAAATATAGTTACACTGACTTTTTTGAGGTTTTGGGTTTGAAAATGCTATAAAAACCAAGAAACACAATCATTTTCCTGAAGTCTGGTTCCCTGACTACATTTAAGAAGAAACAGAGCAGTTTACATATATTGGGGAATTGTAAGGTCAGGGAACCAGTCTAGCTGGCTTGTACCCGTTCATAGGCGTGTAATCGATTGCAAACAAGTGCGATGGTCAACTGGGGCCAGTATTAGAAAAAAGCCAGTTTTTTCCAACGCTGATCGGCCGATCAGCGTTGGAAATTGATACAAAAATACCACTTTTCTTGAAAATGACAGTATACCAGGTGCCATGATTTTACAGGATGCTTTACACTGTCATTCACTAACAGTCCAGCAAGGTATTTCAAAATGATTTGGGAGTTTTATTTTTTGATGTTTGCAAATGTTGTATTTTCCCTTTAATGATGCGTTTCCTTTGTGTTATGGCTGTGCAGATACTACTCCCGCTGCACATTCCAACACACGGGTCAGGAGCTGATCGACGGTCTGAAGGTGTGCATGCAGGGTGAGTATCACTGGTTCTCTGTCACTGTCTACCTGTACGTCTGGCTGTCCGATTGGTACCCTAGGGGTACCCCTTAAAGGGGCACTAGGTCCTGAAATCCCCGAAAATTTCATGTTTTGGATTGTTTACTTAGCCTATTTCAAACATCAGGTTGAAAGGAAACCAACCTAATGTCTTACCGTTCCTGAAAAAAGACGAAAAAACTCGCTTGTTTACATCAGACACGACAGAGTACGAATACGTTTTTCGTGTCGTTCTCAGTGTACGATATTTACGTTGTGTGTCTCGGGAGCAGCAGTGACCAATCACCAATGCAAAAAAAAGTGGTTTCTTCAACGTCCGCAAAAGGCGAACACTTTACAAATGAAATCACAACTAGCATCCAAACAGCTCGAATTTATGGGGTCGCAAAAGTGGACCCTGAAATTCGTTCTCGCACGCATAATACAGGAATATCACAAAAACGTCCAGTTTTGAAAGGACAGTTGTGTGGATGTTTATATCCTACTTTTAAAAGTTATTTCCGATTAACATCATCTCGTTCAAAGTGCGTTTTGTAGCCCAATTGGGCTGTTCCAGGACCCAGTGTCCCTTTAACCAAAGCATTGCTCTGCAGAAAGAAAAAAAAAATCATGATGTGCCATCAAAATTTGGTGTAAGGTTAACAGTTTTATTTTGACACTTCAATGTTACATCTTTACCGTTGGGGTTCGGGAAACTGAAATCATTTATTTTTAAAGTGAGTTCTTAATTCTCAGTTTTACATTGTTTATGGTAGACTAGATCTAGCTATCCCAAAAAGTGATAGAAAAATTAAAGGGAATATACAACATATGCAAACATCGAAAAATAAAACTACCAAGTTTTTACGAAATACCTTACTAGGATATTGGTAAATGAGAGGTCTCAAGCATCTTGTAAAATTATGGCACCTGGTGTGAAGTCATTTTCAAGAAAATGGTATTTTTGTATACATTTCCAACGGTGGTCGGCTGACCAGCATTGGAAAAACCTAACTACTTTTCAACTTTTGCTCCAAATTTACCATTTTTTCAGTCCAAATTTTGTTTGCTTTTGGTTACATGTTCATGAACGGGTGCAGGCCAGCTAGACTGGTTCCCTTGCCTTACAATTTTCCATCATCTATAAATTGATCCATTTTATCTTTTGTGGAGTCAGGGAACCAGACTACTTGAACATTTTTGTTTTTCCTTGGTTTTTCCAACCTTTCCGAACACAAAACTTCAAAAATGTCAGTGTAACAATATTTGATCTATTATACTAACCCCTCAAATAGTTCATTTCTGAAAATTAGAGCAAAAGCCAATGATGTCCATTCCCTTTAAGTGAAATCAGTTGATATAATGATTAAAATTAGCCTAGATCAATTTATTTTGCCAAAAAATAAGATGTTTATAGAAAAAAGTGATTGAAATCTGTGATTTAAAAAAAAAATCAAAGTTGACTTAAATCTCAAGTTCAGTTTAAATCAACGTGATTTAAATCGGCCAACCTTGCCCGTAGCTACCCATACGTTTGAAAAGTACACTGTTAGTTTTGGGCCTGAGGGAAGGCCTTGGATTTTTCAGTCACCTGGATGGGAATGCCACGGAGGTATGCCTGATGAGACCGTTAAAGGCACAGTCCATCATTTGCAGCTATCCCAAAAGTACCTGGCGTAATTATTGTTGAAAAACACACTTGGTTGAAAGTTAGTAAGTGGACTAAACTCCCTGTGAAATTATTCTTTCTGGCAAGCTGTCATTTTGAAGAAATCAACGAAAGAAGGCCTTTCCAACAGTGCGTCTTAAGAAGCACCGTTGGAAATTTCCGGTAGTAGCTCGTTTTTTTATTCGGCGAAGCGTGCGCAAGCGTTGACACAACGCACTCGCACGCGCAGTTGCTATAATTCGTCGGATTGGTGTGCGACATCGCGTAGCTGCAATCGGCGCAGTGAGAACGTGTCTCAGACGCTGAATTCAGGCCCAATTCAAAACATGATTCAGCAACTTTTGATTTAAAATCGAGATCCTAGAATGTTGTTTTTCTCGAAATATACAGCTGAAGCTGAGCTGAAACTTCATCAGGTTAGTTGTTCAGCACCCTTCTTTAGATTTTAAGCACTTTTGTTGCTTCAAACAAACAAAATGCACAAATTACAAATGATGGACTATACCTTTAAGCATTTTTGCATCTGTTCCCATCTCTATCTCATCTCTGGCTCTCTTGACTTTTTCTGTTCAACAGCTGCCCTCCGCAAGTACGCAGAGATCAACAAGACCCTGCCAGACCGGGTCATCATCTACCGTGACGGCGTGGGAGACGGCCAGCTGCCTGCCGTGGTGGAGCACGAACTGCCTCAGATCATTGACACCTTCAAGACGCTGGGCACCAACTGGAAGTGAGTCCCGTTGAAACTTACTTTGTCTAATAATATACCGCAGGGTTCCCACAGTCGTGGAAAAATCCAGGAAAAGCCTTGGAATCTTGGAAGCTATCTTAAGAAGTCATGGAAAAGTCATGGAATTTTGTTATTCCTAGAAGAACTTCATGCATAAGTGATGAAACCCTGCTAAACCCACAGTGTCATGGTGCTTCCATTTTGGTTATTGCAGTCTTCCAGTTTGAAAAAATATAACAAATTCAGTCCAAGCGGAGACCTGTCCTTATGTGAATTGTTCATTTCCACTGCTTGAGAAACATAATTAGGCTACACAATACATGTAGTTTGGATTGATGGTGTACCAAATTGTGAAAGGAATGAACACAAGTTTTAAAATGGCTGAAGGGGTTATTTTTTCTCCAGAGGCATTGAGCTGTATACCATCTTTCGAAGATTTGTCCTCTGCTTAGTTCTAATGAGTTTGCTTTGTAGTAAGTCTGACAACTGAAATAACTTTATTTTGTCCTCGACAGTCCCAAATGCGCGGTGATCGTTGTCAAGAAACGCATCAACAATCGTTTCTTCTCCGTCAACGGAGGCAAGCTGAACAACCCCCCACCAGGCACCGTCATCGACTCGGTCGTCACCAAGCCAGACTTGTAAGTATGTGCGAAGGGATTTGTGATAACCGTTGGAGGAGGATGTCGTCTTTGCGTTGTCTTCTTACTGTGGTGGTCATAGAGAGATAACAATATTTTTATAAGTCTCCAACAAAAAGCAATATCATTTTCCATGAAAGAGTCGATGGATCACCGCGGAGGTGCGGAAGTCCTGTTATTAAGGTGGCCGGCTCATGTGTGGTTATTTGCATGTTCAAACCTTGGAAGGGAACATGGTGTTTGTGTTCTTGGGCAAGACACTTTACAACAATTGCCCATCACTGGCTGTTCATTGGCTACATTTGGGGATAAAAATCAGATTGTGCTTGTCTCAACCTGCTGCAGGAAACTGGTCTCTTGACTGTTTAATGCACAGGGATAATAATTGTGATGAGACCCAATGTCCCAACTTTGATGCAACTTTTTAGATCTATGTCCTGGAAAAATTGATGAGCTTGTCAAATTTATGTGTCTACCAAGGAAATATTTTTGACGTTTTGAGGCATATTATGTAATGCTTGAATCGTCAGTGGTTATGAAGATTTATTATTGCCGTTCTTCACAGGTATGATTTCTTCTTGGTCAGCCAGTCTGTCCGTCAGGGTACAGTCACCCCGACCAGCTACAATGTCATCTGGGACACGTCTGGTCTGGCACCTAACCACATCCAACTACTCACCTACAAAATGACCCATCTGTACTTCAACTGGCCGGTACGTTGTTTACCTCTGGGTGTGTTTTTGAAATGCTGGCCGCGCCTTTGCCCCCTGTCTCGCGGAACTCTGGCTTAAAGATATAGTCCATCATTTGTAATTGTGCATTTTGTTCGTTTGAAGCAACAAAAGTGTTCAAAATCTAATGAAAGATACTGAACAACTAACCTGATGAAGTTTCAGCTCAGTTTCAGCTGTATATTCCGAGAAAAACAACATTCTAGGATCTCAATTTCAATCAAAAGTTGCTGAATCATGTTTTGAATTGCAGCTTATACGCGATGTCGCGCACTGATCCGACGAATTATAGCAACCGTGCGCACCTGTGCGTCGTGCCAATGCTTGCGCGCGCTGCGCCGAATAACAAAACGAACTACTAATTTAAATTTTCCTACCGTGTGTCTTAAGCACCGTTGGAAAGGCCTTCTTTCGTTGATTACTTCAAAATGATAGCTTGCCAGAAAGATTGATTTCACAGGGAGTTTAGTCCACTTACTATCTTTCAACCAAGTATGTTTTTCAACAATAATACGCAAGTTACTTTTTCGGATGGCTGCAAATGATGGACTATAGCTTTAAATGGCCCATGCAATACTTTTTTTTAATGCTATCCTTGAAAATGCACCTTTGTGTCCGATTTAACCTTATTTTCAATTTTCGTTTTGCCTTTTTGAAAGGTGTTTTGGTGCCTGTTTGGTTTTTATGCTAATGTGAATGTCCATATTCATTAGCAAAACTGTGATGTCATTCCAGGCTGAAACCTCAATGTTAACAGCCATTTCAGCGCAAAAGTTGCTAGAAATTTGGTGTCATAAATTTTCTTTTCTTTGGTGATTCTTTGTTGTGGAAGTACATGGCAGTAAGCCAATGAGCAACCCTTTCTCACAAATGTTTTCAATGAGCAAATTTTGGGTTCACAATTTGAACAGAAAACCCTCTAACTGAATATTGTCTTCCTGAAACGACATCACAGCAACAGCGCCCTCAGTTGTCTGTAAAAGTATGGACAATTCAAAATGTTTAAAAAAAAATTCAATCAAATTAACCAAAAAGGGATGTCAAATAGTTTCATACATTTAAAAGGAGTAGAAAGTACCATCGGTACTAAGATTCCATATGCTCATAAAAAAAGAGGCAAATCAAACAACGGGAAGGTAGAATTTGTAGAATCATGTTGTTGACAGATTTAGAACAACTACAGTCGAATCTCGTTAGTAAAAACTCTGTTAATACAACATTCTGGTTATAGCAAACATAAGGCCTTGGTCCCGACTGTGCATTCATGTGCACAATGAATGGGACTGATGTTCCTCTTAATACAAAATTCTGATATAACAAACAATTTGGCTAGGTCCGAACGAGTTTGTATTAACGAGACTTGACTGTAATAGCCCTAACAAGCTTCTGATCCTAGGCCATGAGAAACTTTGCAAATGCTCGACCAAGGCGTAACATTTCAAGTCGCATTAAATGCCCTTTTTCTCCTTCTTCCCCTAGGGTACCATCCGCGTACCAGCGCCCTGCCTGTACGCCCACAAGCTCTCCTTCTTGGTGGGCCAGAGTCTACACAAGCCGCCCAGCCTGGACCTAGCAGACAGGCTCTTCTTCTTGTAGGCTGCTCAAGTCAAGCGTTCCACAGTACTAAGTGAGTTGAGGATGTCAACATTCGTGACTAAACACTTTGAAGCGACCATATGTGCCAAAGAGGCTGTGCCCAGCAGATTTGATGAAAGTTTTGTTGAAGTACGTCTCCTTAGGTTCATCCAAAGACATAGATGAACCGTGCACGAAACAAAAGGTGCTATTGTTTACCCTTAAGTTGTGGTTGTTGTTTTTTTAAATTGCCTTAGTTGAAGTATGAAGAAAAGAAAACAAGCTGTGTTAGGGAAAGGAGACAAAGCAGAGGTGATGTGATTTTGGCTGATTATTTTGTTGGCTCAGTAATTTGGAGGATTCACAGGATCAGATGCATCCTTGTGTAGTTTGGCCTTGAGCGTTGTCACAGATTACATTTGTTGAGAAAGTGAACTCATATCCGCAATGATTTTTCAGGGTGCTTAGTTCTATTTGGATAATTTGAAAATGATTTTGATGATATACAAATGTTAAATCTAGCCTCAACTTCCTAAAATTGCAACTTGTGTCGGGCTGAGCCTGGAATGAAGGGTTTGCAGAGAAGAAGCCCAAAGTTAACTTGTGCTTATTCACAAATCTTTGTTTGATTAAAGTGCTGCATTTTAATGACAAAACAACTCCAGGTCATACTTAACTTTTTCGTTATGCGATCAAAATGGCGCAGAACCCAGCAAGGGGTTTAATTTTAAAGCTCCTTCTCCTTATTTTTTGTCGAGTATCGTTTAGTGATTGAAGAGTTTGTCATGACAGGTTCTGTTTATCTCCAGATTTTGCTCTGCGAAGCGCACAGAAAAGAGCTCGTTTAGTTGCTTCTGCCTTAAAGTAAAAGGTCATATACTTGCTTTTAGTTACATTTGACCGGAGAAACGTGTATTGGCTGTGTTTTTTTTTCTAAACCTGTTAACACGATGACACAGATGCCCATATTTACTGTTGAAATGGTGAATAAGGTTGTTTATTGTTGATTGTTTGCAAAAGATAACAGTGAAAAAAAGAGCTGAAGTATTTTTGGTGGTGTACTGAAAATTACTCATTTTTCAAATTTGTCAAATTTACATTCCTGATTTGAGAAACTTTCAAAGTAAATTGAAAAAGAAAAGTTATATTTTTTGACTAAGAAAATGATTGCTTATTTTGTTGTTTAGCTAAAAACATGTTTTTGAGTGATGTGATTTTGATAGAAAAACAGTCCATTTAAATGAAGATTTTGATGTTTGTTTTTTTAAACTAGTTTTGTTTTTTAGTGAAGAAAGAAAAAGTTGTTGTTTAAAAGTTGAGATGTTTTGGTCTTCAATGAATGAACCAATCAGCTAATCAATCAATCAATCAATCAGTTATATGAGAGAGAAAAAAAGAAGAAATATTTGCAGCTGCTAAAATCGTTAAGAAATCCTTTGAATGTTGTTTCTGAAGAAATACAAAAAAAGTGTTAAAAAATTTGACACAAAATTTACCAGTGTTCTGTGTTGGTTTTGACAGTGTTTACATAAAAACTTTTGGTAATTTCAACTTCATTTTTACCTCCTCTCTTTTCTATTTCTTTTTCTTTTTTTTAACAAATGCATGAAATTAAAGCCTATATGAATGAAAAATCTTTTTTTTTCCCTTGCAGAGTTTAGCGTTGAATAGAGTTGGTCTTATAGATGTTTAGTTTATAAGCAGTATCAAATGAGGAGTTAGTGGTTAAATAACGTCATACTCATGGGACAGTGTCTGTCTTTTATTAGATTTAGACTTGTGTAGTTACTTTGTAAATAAGTTACAGTTTATGTAGTTTTAAGTTCTTCGTACATTGCCAACTGAAAGGTTACTTGGCAACAAGACTCCTTTGAATGCAAATAGGATCGTTTGTATTTTATATGTTTTGCTCGTTTCCAATAATAACACCACTCAAGATCCGAAGAAGAAGGTTCATAAACCTAACCTGTTGAAGTTTCAGCTCAGTGGATATAACACTTTTGGAGAAAACAGTGGAAACACTATGTACAGTGTACAACCTTTGTAAATAAGTAAAAGTACATGTAGTTCTTAAGCATGAACCACTGAAGGTTTATCAAGCTACAGGCTTCCTTTAACCACTTTGCGCCGGGATTATTTTGACATTGACTGGACCCAGGCACGGGATTATTTTTCACGAACCTCAATGCCAGACGGGATCAGGCCGTCATCTGCGGGTAGCACACCCTGATATTTCCGGCCTCGCTCACTGCGAGCGGGTTGCTGACAGATATTTCCGGCCTCGCTTGTTGGTGTTTTTCCGTCATCCGTTCCGAATATTGGAAAACGTTTGCGTGTACACACGTCATCCGACGTGAACTGGTTAAAGGCATATAGGATCACGTGTGTTTTCATGCATTTAGTTCCTTTCCAATACATTTATTAACACTACTCAAAATCCAAAGAAGAATGTTGAAAACCTAACCTGTTGAAGTTTCAGCTCGGTGGATGTTACACTTTTCGAGAAAAAGTGAAAAACCATGTACAAGGTACAACCTTTTGATTACGAAACACAATTTTGTCAATTGAACTCTTATTCCAAAAATCAGTCAATTGACTTATCGTTGGAAATACATTTCTTGATTTCTTCTAAACGACAGCAAGCCAGACGGAATAACTTCATAAGGTGTTTTAGTACCAGTATGATCTTTAATCCAAGAAAGGGTTTTGATGATAACTTGGTGGGTTACTTTTGCGATAAGTGCAACTGATCCTATGTGCCTTTAAGATTTTGTTATTCACAAGTTCATGCCAGACACGGCCGTGCATTCAGTGAAATGATGATCAGTCCAAAATTTATTGCAAACAATACCGGAGTGACCGGACTCACTCACTTAACTGTGGAGCATATTGCAAACTGTTTCATAATGTTACAAAACTGTGACATTTCAACCTATGATGAAACTAAAATCTACTCTGTGCGTAGTTCCTTTTGCTTAATGACAACTGTTGCGTGGTCTACATGTCCTCAGTGTAAAGACACATCTTTCTTTTGCCAAAAACTAAAAAAAAATGTAAATATATCAACCAAAAAAAAGTATTCACGTTAATTTTTTTACGTTATATATATGTTTTATAAAGTTATGTTAACAGTTATAAGTAGATTTAGTAAAAACTAACATGTTTTAGGAACTAAGGGCATTGACTGCGTAAATTGATAGGATGTTATCACGCCTTGGTTTCTTGTCTACATTTTTGAAATAATGGGGTTTTTTCTAATCATCTTCTTTCCATTGAGTCTCTTGTTGATAAAATTGTTCAAAAACGTGAAGTGCCTTGATAAGCAGATTTTCCTGATTGTTTACAACTGTTTGATGAAAAGCGTTTCATATTTTTCTTCAGTTTCTATTCGAGTTATTTTTCCTGTCGTCTTTAGTCTCACCATGGTAGTTTGCGGAATTCAAAACATACCCAACGTTTTCAATTTGCAGCCAATGAATGCTAATCCCCCACCATAGGAGTTTATTTGGAAACTTTAAACGCATAAAAAAAAACCACACAAATAAGAAAACAAGGCATTGGAAAACAACCAATGCATTGTTTGTTAAACATACTGCTGCAACGTTTTTTTGTTGGTTCTGTGTTAGTCAGGTGGCATAATTTATGGTCGGAATCGTGACCGACTGGTCCAAAGCACCAAACTTGGCAGATAGATTCTTATAGCCCTAGAGAAGATATTTAGAAGGGGTGACACCTGAAATTCTCTTGGGAAGGGTGCCTAATTTGGATAAATCGTTAATCCCTGCCGTGTAATATATATTTATTCCCATGTTTGGGTATATTTTTTATTTTTTTTTTGGAAAAGTGTATTTTGGTGATTCTACTTGCATATTCTTACTTCAATAACATTTTGTAAAACATATAAGTGACTGAATAATTAGGAGGACATAGTAAAGAACCAAAATTGCTACTATTTTACCCTAAAGTTACGCGTATTTACCTTTTCCTCAGATATCATCAACTAGTCTCGCCAAACGTGGGTATTGATGAGCTTCAAATTCACAAAGTTACTTACTGGCATAGTTACCCGAACAAAAATAAGTGGGAAATCATGTGAAAATTGATAACATCTTGATGTTTAGCCCAAAAGACCAAAAAAGGGGAGAAAATGTGGTGTCCGTAAATTGGGCTAGTACGGGAAGGGTAACGTGGGGACTTGAACAAGTTCAACGAAATCCCCCCAAATAAGAGATTATTGTTGTTTACAATAATTTTGTCTAGGCCAAAACGTTTTCTCAACAATAATTTTGGGAATTTCCTTGAACTTGTTCCAGTCTCCCATGTTAGGCAACCCTTCACCTACTTGTTGGCCTAATTTATGGACACCTCGTTTTTTCCCAGTTTTTGTTTTCTGGGCTAAATATCACAATGTTATCATTGTTCACATGATTTTGCATAAGGTTTTAATAGGGTAACTGTACCAGTAAGCTACTTGGTGAATTTGAAGTTCATCAATGCTGATGTTTGGCAAGACTAATTGATGATATCTAGAGACAAGGTAAATGCGCTCAATTTTAGGGCATAATAGTAGCCATTTTTGATCGTTACTATGTCCTCATAATTATTCAGTCACTTATATGCTTTGGAAAATTTCATTTTAGTAAAGATATGTAAGTAGAATCCCCAAAATACAAATTTCAAAAAAAAAAAAAAAAAAGAAATATACCCAAATATGGGAATAAATATATTACAGGACAGGGATTAACGATTTATGCAAATTAGGCACCCTTCCCAAAAGAATTTCGGGTGTCACCCCTCCTAAATATCTTCTCTAGGGCTATAAAAATCTATCTGCCAAGTTTGGTGCTTTGGACCAGTCGGTCACAATCTTGACGAAAATTAGATCTAAGCCACCTGACTATGTTAGATCCAACAGAATCCAATGACTGGCAAAGTGGGAAGCCTGCTGAATCCAACAGAACCCAACAGAATCCAACGGCTGAACAAAAGGTCTTCTGTTCACTGCTCAGATCAACAAAATCCAACAGATATTACCCACTGTTGGATTCAGCAGGCTTCAGCATTGGATTCGTGTAACACTCGTTTACATCAGAGTATGGACTTCGTGTACAAGTACCCCCCTCAACGGTTGAAAAGTGAGAGTTGGGGGAGACCGTCGAGAGGGACATTCAGGCATGCTACTTTTCCTCGGATCAGATGATTTCCTCATTTTTCACTTCACACTTATGCCTTAAAAAAAATGAACAACACTGTATAAAGTCTTGTAAAGCTTGGAATTTCCTCCCTTTTTGGGGGGAGGGGGTGTTACTTCCCAGATGTATACCTGGACATTTGAACGCATTACCGACTACACATTACTTGTGCGAAGACGCTATAAGCAGATTAAGAATAAGATTAGTTGTGTGTAGTCCACTTCATACACACATGAATAGACACTCTTGTTTTACATTACTCCCGAGGACAATGCCTTTTGTTTCCCTTTGTCCCTGTTATATAACACTCTCCCATAGACTAAGCACACAGACATATGTACTACAGAGGACCGTTTCGAACAAAAGACCCAACTCCCGAGGACTGAAAGGATCTGTTGTTCTCCCTTATCTAGAACACGTACCAGTACGTGTATGGAGGTCTTGAAAGTTATCACAGTGTCATAAACTGTTCATGCACAGTCTATGTAGTATTGTAAAAGATTGTCATGGGTCAAATTTTATGGAGGTGCTAAGCATAAATATTGTATAGCCGGTTTTGCTTATCATGAAAAGGTGGGAACCAGTCACATGCAATATACATTGCCTTACATTTTAGCTGTACATGTACATGTATATGCTGTACATTAGCCTGTATATGCTTACCAAGGTTTTCTGTACTTTCCAAATTTGTGTACAGTTTTGACATTTCATCCATTATCTTGCAAGTTCTTACTGCCAAAATACTGGTGTTGACAAAGGAGTGGAATTTATTTGTTCTCAGTAACAAAACTTGATAATATTCCTGTTGTTACTACTGTATGGTTTAATTGTTAATATGTTTAGAGTTACCTTTTTCAGATTTGAAAAAAAAATATTTAAAAAGTTTCTCATTTGTTGATTATTTTTACTGCGTAATTTTTTGAGTCTCTGATATTTACTACCACAAAGGCCTAATTAAGTAAAGGAACAAAAAAAAGTTTTCAGGCCAAGTAAAACAAATGGTTTCTTGTCCGGGATATTTGTTTGAAAAAAATAAAATGAGGCTGCCTTTTTTTCCAAAATGGCAGATTTTCCACAAGATGGCGGATATGGATTCTTTGATTTTCTTGACTCTTTTGCTGATACTTAATTTGTGTCCAAAGAAGCCATCACCCTTTCTACTCGCTTTTGAACTTGGATACATATAGCTGCAATTGTGCTGGAAACAAATAAAAAGACAAAATGTATTACAAATTAATATAATTTAAAAAAAATACTGATGGGGGGGGGGGGAGGAGATGTGTAGAAAAAAGGAAGCAGGTGGGGACAAAAAAGTGGTTTCAGTATCCTACTGGATTTCAAGGGGGGGGGGGATATTGCGATCGCGTATTCCTGTGTGTGCTAGGGTGTATGTGTGTTCCATTTCACTGTCAAGTTCAGTCATCAATCTCGACCAAACTTGAAAGGTGGTCTGTGGAGAGAAGGCTGATGTCAAAATATCCTTTCCAATATGGATATTTACGAGGTCTCTGGAGAGATACTAATGACTCTTAACATATGTTAGTCCGGTGTCTCACAAACTCTCCATTCAACCCAATTAAACTCCCCATTCAACTGAGAACTGTTACCTCCGGGGTGGACATCAAGGCCGTCATTGGAAATTGTCCTTACCCCTTACAAACTCCTGTACATGTATTTACAAACTGCCAGGACACCAGGGGGACCGCGCAAGTTTTACTTGCAGTGTTTTCCTTATTTTGCCCAGCTGACTTGGGTTTGTAAAATCTTGCAAGATTGAAAAAAAAATCCTCAAAGAATTTGCCAATATTCCTTGAGATGGTGGAAGAATTCAGAGGGTTAAGTCAGTCAGTAGGGTCACTAATGAAAAAAAAATGTCTTAGGAGGTTGGGTTCAAACAGGTTTAAACCTTCATACAATCTTGCATTGAGGTGTGCATGCGTTCACGAAAACTCGGCTTTGCCTCTTGGTTCCATCCTGGACATGAGAATCATTTTCAAGCTTCAATGTTAAAACCGAATTCAAATTCTCTAAAACGCTGAATTTGTAATTATATTTTGGGATTTGATGTTCCAGAAGCATTAAAAGGATTCAAGAAAATTATTAAAGTAATCCCCCAAATCAGGAGCAATGAAACTGGAGTCTGAAGAAGATCTGGTGATAAAACCGAAGTTTGGTAAATTCCATCTGTGAAATGGTAAATTTCATCTGTGAAATCTAAGCTTCGGCTGTGGCTTCCGCGGCGGGGAGTCTCTGATTTAAAGAACTACGACTCAATACGGATCCATGTTCTGCGGCAGGAAACCATCATCGAATCTCATTATTTGAGGCCAAAGTATTTATATTTTTATTTGGAAACTTCTAAAATCTAAATATTTCTTAACCCAGCGCCGAAGCCAAACTCAAGATATGAAGCCGAGATTTCAAAACCGTTGATTAATTCGCCCCATCTTCAGTTTACTGAATGTGGGGCGAATTGACCCATCGAAAATAAGCTCAAGCACGTGGGGGCGCGGTCTTTTCGAAATGTCACACAAAGCTAAGTATCCCCCAAGTTCTAGACTAAGCTAGATAGTTGAATTGAAAATATCACTATGACGAATGTTACAAGACACAACTTCGAGGAGCTTCTTCCTGAAATTTTAAGAAACATTGAACGGAGTGATTTTATCGGTAAGCTTTAGGAGTTGGCGCACTAGAGTGAACATGATTAACTATACGTTGCATCCTTTTCGTGATAAAAAATTTTATTGAAAAACGAGACGTGCACTTATCTGTATCTGTATCATATAGTCGGCAAAGAAAAGCATCCCAGGGGAAACAACATCACACCAACTTAGGTAATCCTTATCTTTAGGACACCTCTTAGTCTTACGAGTTCTGTTCAAAACTGACTTTTGCAGATGACAGTCCAGTACCAAAGTGAGTTTTGAAGGCTAAAGCGAAAAAAAAACCCACCACATTAAGCGTCCTGCCTTTTTGAAAAAAAGGAAGCGGGGCGGGAGGCCCTTTTTTGGAAAGAATGTTGCAACCTGACACTGAATTTTTCTTCATATATCATCTCATTCTCAGTGAAGCTAAAGCAGTCATTACAAAAATGATGATTTTAATAAGACATGAATCTGGGACTGAGAAACATTTTCAATTTTGTTAGGAAATACTTCTAGAATTAGAAGGCTGCTTAATTCTAGAACTAGAAGTAGGAAATACTTTAAAAAAAATTCTTGACTCTCCACAGACTTTGTACACAACTTTTTGTTTTCCCTCCAAAATGGCCGCCCGACCGGGCATAGTAAGTTGTAGCCCCCATAAATTTGGCCAATTGACTGGGCTACCTCAAAATAAAGGCCACACTTGGATCATGTACCCGAACATGTAGAACTTTGTCAAGTTTATATTTTCACATTTGGACATTGTTTGTAGTTTATAGAAGCACACTCACCCTCTTTAAAGCGATAGAAAATGTCTAACAGTAATAATCCTGAAATAATACAGGATAATTAGACACTTACAGAAACAGAATTTAACTTTCATCATACGTACTTGGTACTTGGCTGGTTCTTCTCCTAACAGGGGAATCATGGTCATCATTTTCCAGGCTATTAATATCCAAGTAAGTGAAGAAAAAAAAACAGTCCCGATTTCGATTTCTTCAAAATCAACTTCTCCCAAAATGTTGCTTTCACCACTGTGTGGCTCACCAACTCACAATAAAATTGCCTGTTTTATATTTTCAGCCATTGATACCGAGTTCACCGGCCTGCATTTTCAAAGTGACAGCCACAACAGTCTTTTTGACACACCACAGGATCGGTACAGCAAGCTACGACAGACGGCTAGTCAGTTTACTGTCTGTCAGCTGGGTAAGCCAAATTAACAGGGCCCTAATTAAATAACAACAATTTCAAAAATATTTAATTAATTAAATAACTACACACTTTACTAAAAAAAAGTGGGAAAATGTCCATACTCGATCGCCACTTTACCTGCCGCCAAACATATCAATTTTCACCTCGATTTGTGATTTCAACCAAGAGGATTCCAGGAAGCTGTGTAAATGCGAAAAAAAATTAGGCAAAATTTGTTTTTAGAGCACATTTTGGATGCACACGTCGTGCAGAACTAAGTTGAAGCAGCCGGTCAAAACTGATTGAAGTGGCTGAAAGAAAGCGGTACGTTATACGCATGACATCGACAACCATGACGTCGCATGAGCCGGCCAAAGATAATGTAATACGTCATTATGAATATTTATTTTCTCATGAATATTTAGTTTATTTTTATGGCTACTTCAAATACGTCCAAAGATTGATTATTGCAACAGCGATCGTGAGCGGCCTAGCGGTTTAGAGTCTCGTGTTTCAAGCTACAGTGTCCAAGGTTCGAATCTCGATGAAGTAAGTGACTGATTAATACATAGAAGAGGGTGAGAGTAGAGGAGGGAAAGTGGAGAGAATAACCATAAAGGATGCAACGTTTGGCGCTTGAAAATTAATCGAAAAAAGTGGCGATCGAGTATGGAATTTTTTCCGTGGCCATCGTTGAGGTGTGTTTTGTTATGTTAATTCTTTAACGATGAATTGCACAAGAGGTCCACTCATGTGTAACCCCCCCCCCCCCCCCTTGAACAACACACACCTCAAAAAATGAGAATTTGTAGAACAATTTTACAACAAGGCCGGGTTGAGGTACCTAATATCAATAGACAAAGAGTAACTGTTCAGAAAACGCAAAACAAGGGACAGACAGAAAAGAAAACCTAAATACCGGTACCAAAATTTGAACAGGGATGCCACAGCAGTTATTATTATCAGAGTCTAAGCACTGACTGTGTTTTGATAATATTCATAATGCCAAACAGAATGTAATTCATTTTTCTCTTCGTTTTTTTTTTACGACTTATTCTTTACACAGGGCTTTCAGCATTTATCAAATCTTCAAGTCAGAACAAGTAAGTCTGTAAGTGGGCCCATAAACCTTTGCCAATAATTGTTTCTTTTTCCAAAATGGTATTAAAAACTTAAAGATTATCCTTGTCAAAAATAATTCCATTAATTAACTTTATTTTGAAACATTCTGTGAAAAAAAATCGTCTTCATCATGATTGTGATGTAGTTCGTTTCAACTCAAGAGCAGATGCAAGAAAAACACTTCTTTACTAACAATTTTGCTTAAAGAAATATCTGGCATACCACTCAAATGAAAGATCTTGTTGTCCCCTTTAATTTGATGCCACATTTGTTGTTGTGATGCTTGTAGTTCTGAAGACATAATAAATTTTCATTTATCAGCCTTGTCCAGTTCTCCATGGAATTGCCCGTGACATAAAATTAATATACAAATATTGAGTGGATCAGCGTGGAATGGGAGGAATATTATGGCAAGGTAAAATCTGGACTTTTCCATTTCACGAGGCGAAGCCGAGTGAACTGGAAAAGTCCAGATTTTGCCGAGTGATAATATTCCCCCCATTTTGCAATTTAAAGCCACTCAATATTTGTTTTATATAACTGACATATTGATCCATGTCATTTGATACATTTGAACTTTTCTTTCAATACAAAATTGGTGAAAAATGTATTTCTCTCTTCCAAACCACCCCTTCACGAAAATGTTTGAACCCAACGCTGTGGCGCTGGCTCTTTGGAACAATACGCGCTACGCACAACGTTGAACGCGCACATCAGCATGCATATTTGCACACAAATACCGCGGCATGGAACAAGAATGATTGAAAACTGTTGAATAGTATTTCCCATTCCCCATGGGCGGATAGTACTTGTTGAGCACCGGCGTGAATGGCAGCAATAACGAATGACACGTGATGTGAGTTCCACCAATCAAATGACAAGGATCTGTATGTCGGTTATATAATGAGTGATGGAGGATGTACAATTTGTACATCATGGGGAAGGGAGGGGGGGTTTTCCCACTGATCTCTATATAAAGACTGGATAGCGGATATCCATACAGCATTCACACAGAAGACTTTGCATATTGACCAATTCGCCCTTGGTCTCACGAAGATGGCTGCGTATAATACGAACGTTCAGCGCGTATACGCGCGCGTTGTATCAACAGTTGACCCGCACTTTAGTCACGTACACATATTATGATGTTCTAAAAGGGACACATTTCCATAGTGATTATTATTTTCAAAACGCCGAAAAAGTGAACTGCGGCATTAAAAAAGTAAAGCACGTCGTTAGAAAAATTGTAAACCTTGGTCAGTGGTGGTGGTCAAAATATAAGTCAAGTGAACCGCGATGTTACAAAAGAAATCATGCTGTCTATAAAGACGGCAACTTGTCCTTTGTAGATCACCAGCCGCGGTCTCACCGGTCTCACCAATATGGCGTCAAATTCATTCATTGTACGGCTCTCTATTCGCTATCCAGTCGTTATATAGAGATCAGTGGGTTGCACCCCCTCCAGTCCCTAGATCTAACAGGTTTGCTTTGCTAATACTGATTTGCTGACTTCATGTCATTCTATGCATGCGTGCAGGTACAGTGCTCACACCTACAACTTCTATCTGTTCCCGAAGAGTTGTGCAACCATCGATGCCAGATTTTCTTGCCAGGTGAGTGAACTTGGCTCAGGTTGAGTACGTCTGAAGTCTTGTGTCTTGATCAGAGAAGCTATTGAGATCCACAAACATGACACTGTCCCACAAGATATCGGCTACTTCATAAGCCACATATGGCATTCAGTTATTCCAAGTTGCAACACTCGTGGCTCACAACCAACTGACACACCCGAGCGAGCAGGGCATGCCCAGCAAGCACTCCCAATCCTAACACAGCCTACTTAAGGAGTAGCATCTCCAACTATCTTCAGTCTCCTGACGATGACTAGAGCAGGCTAGTCGAAATGTTGAGACCAAAGACAAGTTCGTTTAGAATTTACAGCTGGACTGTTCTTATCAGAACAAAAAACTACTTAGCAAAGTTGATATTGAATAAGCAGGACAAGTTCTTTTCAGAACTAATATCTTCTAAGCAGTAGTTATTACGACATGGTGTTACCGCAAACCGAAACGATATTGATCAATATTGCTCTCAGGAAAGGACTGCAAGTTCTCAGGTTTAAATAAGCTTGAAGTCTCTTAATTACGTGACACAGAGATTCATTTGTCTTGCCAAGTTTGCTTGTTCCGTAATTGTATTGCTAACGGTTTTATATATGAAGACCATCTCACAATTTAATTTGTCTTAAATTTGATACTGTAATTTCATTGGTCTAGACAACCGTGTGTCCAGTCCATAAATATAACCATTTTTATTAGTTTTAATTTTTGTTGAAGCATGGCGGCAACTTTAAAGCATGGTGGCTGCCTCAGAAAGCATGGCGGGGCACCAAACTATTTTTACAGGTTGGAAAATACTGGTGTTGCGCGCGCGTGTAGGGCCAGCCCCGGTGCCTTGTGACGGAGAACTGCAACCGCTCAGTCTCATGTCTGGCAGAAAAGCTAGGCAGTTATCAAAGATGACACCACATCGATTTGATTTATTTCTTGCATAGTGTATGCCTTGGGTGCTATGCGCCCCTAGGGTGTTTAAAAATGCCATATCCCACATCACAGCAGTCAACAACTGTTAAATGTGACTATAGAATTACACTCTAGTATATACAGTGAAATCTCAATAAGTCAAACTCTGATAACTCAAAACAACTGTTAATCAAACAAAGAATCCATTGCCTTAAGTAGTATAACAATATATACAACCCTGGTTAACTCAAAACTCTGCTTATTGTCAAATTTTGAACCTGTTCCCTTGAGGTTTGACTTATCGAGATTTCACTGTATGTTATATCTTATCTTTTTTGTGTTGTGTCTTTTCTACAGGCATCCAGTATTCAGTTCCTCTGTCAGTATGGCTTTGATTTCAACAAGGTATGGGGAAACGATTCATTGTAAATCTTACCTCAACTAGTCTTTGAATGGTAATCCGCCTGAAACCTCTCGTAACCAATTTCTAGTTTTGCTGTAAATGTGGATTGGTGATGACCTCAGTTTTATTTTTAAGAATAAAATAAATATTGCCGTAGGATTTTTTTGTGAAATTTTGGATTTGTGTAGAAACGAAGCTTCCTTGCAAAAATGTGGTGTAGGTTATGGTAAAAACAACATTGATAGAATCAGTAAAATGATACCGTGGTTCTTGCTGCAAACTTGAAAATACTACGTTCAAAGATTAGAAAATGTATTGAACAAGAACAAGAAAACCTGAAAAGAGAAGCTAAGACCTTTTCAGCAACATAAATCAGGCATATAACTTTTCTACTGATCAGCTGATTTGCCTTTTTCCCATGTCTCCCATTTAAAACACTGTACAAAAATCTTCTGAAGTCTTGGAATTTCCTTCTTCTTGTGACTTTACATTTGTTTGCCTGATGAATGTATGTCTGATTTTTTTTCTATCATCTTAGCTTTTCTATGGAGGAGTGAGCTACCTCAGTATGGAGGCAGAGAAAGAACTGAGGCAACAAGTGGAAGAACAAGAAAGCATCTTAACCAGGTAATACAGGCTAATAGGGTGGTTTAAAACCGCTGAATTAAACACTGACTGGTTTTAAACACAGTTCCAGTGTTATGCACCACCTCGCGCAGTACGCACCGCGCGCGTGCGAATTTCCATATAAGGAGATTTTAGCACTATGCAAGTGAGGCAAATACCACAGACATGGCAAGAGGGGTGTTGTATAAAACATGAAGTATAATAATGTTGAACAAAATCGATGGAAATTTATGAATTTTTGACTTGTTTTGACATTTTGACCTTCAGCTCGGGCCATTATCCGCGACCAGGCCCTTAGCCAGTTTGAAATATATTTGTTTAAAGCCAGCAAAGCACATTTTTATTCCCTTAATCAAAATTGTTAATGTTGGTCCAGTGTGCAACTGTGTATTATAATAGAACATTATGTTTCCCCAATATTTTCATCGAAATTTCATGAATCCTAACCCTCCCTGACTCCCTCAAAATCAACCAGGAGGTTTGAATATTTTAGTAGGATTTTGTCAGAGCCCAACCATTACTACTTTACTTGGGACTTGATACACTTTAAATATTTAAGTATAATGGTTATTATAAACTCATCTTATGAACAGTTTATTTACGGATTTCGGTACCCGCTGGTACATGCACGTCGGATTCGAATCAACCAACCAATCTCACAAGCTCGGCGGTCGAGTGGTAAGACGTCTGCACTAGAAAGCAGGAGGTCGTGGGTTTGAGTCCCACCCGAGTGATTTTTTTTCCAACTTTCACTCGGGAGGTAACACACTGAGTATGCAGTGTTTATACGTCGGTGAAGGGCAAAACCTCATATTGATTTATAATGATTATGCCATAGATTTTTTGTACATTGGTGAATTTGAAAAGATTCAGAAAATTTCCCGAGAAAAAATGTTTAAGGAGTTACGGTTATGGTGTTGGCAACAACTGATCATAGATTTCCATATTTCACTATAATTCTTGGTTTCATTCCTCAATATTTCATTCGTTGTTTTTATTGTTTGTTTCATCAGTGATGTTGACGATCATTTAGTGACGAGTTTCACGTCAGCAATATCCGACTGGTTGCCGGGCGCTAAGGAAGGAGACCAGATAAGCTTAGCTAAGATTTCTGACGGTTAGTAAAATTCCTGACTAGTTATTTAATCCCTGACTAGTTATTTAATTAATCTACAAAGTGCCAACGTAGTCAAGCATTATTTGTGACATAATGGCAAATTTCTTTGCACTATGAATTCACACATTTTGAGCAGATTTCATCTCTGGCGAATTCTGTCAATTCACTTTACCTTCCTATCCAAGGGAAGAATGAACCAATCAACTTGAATCAACTTTTGCAGTTATCAACTTCCACACTGTGTGGCGTTATATACCACAGCAGTGGTTATGTGTAAATACGATGTAGTAAACAAAAGTGTGGCAATAGTGTGGCAATACTTAATTATTATATCGTGTGCGCAGATACTGTAATTTGGTTAAATGTCTTTTAGGGGATGGGATTTAATATTAGTTTACATCTTCATTAAAGTAGATGAAGTAGTGTGGTGGCTTGTTGGTTGTAAGTATGTAAACACCGGCAATCGTGGACCTAGGACAAAAGGGTCAGGGTACAAACAATACGTCCACGATTGACCGGACGTCCACGATTGAAATTCATGTACAAACCAATGCCAGCTGTTGTTAAAAACTTTAAAAAGTACAAACAAAGGAATGAGGATTAGAGACAATAGGGGGTCCATGATTGCCGGTGTTTACAAAGATGGGTGTTTACAAAAGATGTAGGATTTTTGTCGTTTTTTTTCTTGATTTCAGGTTTTTCAAATAATCCCTTTAGAAGTCTCAAATTCGTGAGGTTTACGGTAAAGGTGTTTTTATCTACAACAGTTTACATAGAACAACAGAAATGAGTATTTTACAGGGTGACTTGAGGCTAATACAAACATCCTACATTGCTCTAGGCCCTCGGAGACCCTCAAAATCTCTACTGATTATTTTGTTGATTTTTTTAGCTTCCCCTAATCTCACCCCGAATGTTTTAATACAAGACCAGAAAAGTTTGGCCGACGTCACGCTGTTATTGCATTTCACCACATTCAGGTTAATGACTTGGATATAAATTTTTGTGAAATTATTAATATTTTTTTTTATTTTAGGGATATCGTTCCTTAATATGTAGGAATTGAAAAGAATTTGCCGAAACCTTTGGTTCTCGTTATTTTTTTAATTTTTTTTTTGCAGACATGGTTTCCATTCAGATGCAAGCCTTGCTGAGGAATTGTTTCCCAGATATTTGGACCTCGCAAGTTGATACAGGAGAGGTACATTGGATGATAAAAAAAGGATTTATTTCCTCAACATCATCAGTGCCCCCTGATACAGATTATTGCAACCGTGACTAGTCCACAATTGTGATGCGATCAAGCTAAATGAGTCGTTTGTCGGGAACTTTCATTAGGAGATTCAGGCCAAAATAGGGCCACTTCATCACATCTCTTGGTGTTCCGACTTCCATAATTTTTGAACTAAAGATGGTACCAGCATGCGGTTTTCACAGCAGTAATAATTGTGCTCTTTTCAAATCTGTAAAAAAAATAATTGTGCTCTTTTCAAATCTGTAAAAAAAAATTGACCAGGGTAGACAAACAACTCATTAGGCTTGAGTGCATCACAATTAATATAGAAATTAATGCTTTCAGTCTCACATCTGTGGATGTTCAGTATTAACTGAGTTATTTTAAATCTAAATCTATAACCCCCAAGGCATTTTAACTAAATTGAAGTCTTTGAATTTGTGCACACCTGTCATCTTGCACTTTTTCAGAGGCACATTCCAACATATGGATTTTTCAACATATTAAGCCAGATTAGGAGTCCGTGAAAACACCCTTAAGATAATCCTTTGTTTACCCATGGAGATAGACCCAGTGTACCGTTATGTATAACCAATGATAATCCTCAGTGGCCAGGGTCATTAAAAAAACGTGAAAATACCCTTACAGCCTGATTAGTCCTATATAAGCCCCATGTAAATGTCCGTGAAACATCTCTTAAAGGTAATTTTCACAGAGAAATGGACTTTTAATGAATTTTTAAGGGATGAAGATGTTCATAGTGTGAGGCTGCATCAGAAACTCTTGTCTAGGGCTATTGTCTAGGTCTTCACCTGTTATAACTCCATGTAGTCAGGTGGCTTAGATCTAATTTTTGTCAAGATCGTGACCGACTGGTCCAAAGCACCAAACTTGGCAGATATATTCTTATAGACCTAGAGAAGATATTTAGAAGGGGTGACACCTGAAATTCTTTTGGGAAGAGTGCCTAATTTGCATAAATCGTTAATCCCTGACGTGTAATATATTTATTCCCATATTTGGGTATATTTCCATTTTTTTATTTTTTTGAAAAGTGTATTTTGGGGATTCTACTTACATATCTTTACTTAAATAACATTTTCCAAAGCATATAAGTGACTGAATAATTATGAGGACATAGTAACAATCCAAAATGGCTACTATTATGACCTAAAATTGCGCGCATTTACCTTGTCTCCAGATATCATCAATTAGTCTTGCCAAACATTAGCATTGATGAACTTCAAATTCACCAAGTAGCTTACTGGTACAGCTACCCTATTAAAACCTTATGCAAAATCATGTGAACTATGATAACATTGTGATATTAAGCCCAGAAAACAAAAACTGGGGAAAAACGAGGTGTCCATAAATTAGGCTAACAAGTAGGTGAATGGTTGCCTAACATTGAACACTGGAACGAGTTCAAGGAAATTCCCCTAATTATTGTTGAGAAAACGTTTTGGCGTAGACAAAATTATTGTAAACAACAATAATCTCTTATTTAGGGGGATTTTGTTGAACTTGTTTAAGTTCCCACGTTACCCTTCCCCTACTAGCCCAATTTACGGACACCACATTTTCTCCCCTTTTTTGTCTTTTGGGCTAAGCATCAAGATGTTATCAATTTTCACTTAATTTCCCACTTATTTTTGTTAGGGTCACTATGCCAGTAAGTAACTTTGTTAATTTGAAGCTCATCAATACCCACGTTTGGCGAGACTAGTTGATGATATCTGAGGAAAAGGTAAATGCGCGTAACTTTAGGGTAAAATAGTAGCAATTGTGGTTCTTTACTATGTCCTCCTAATTATTCAGTCACTTATATGTTTTACAAAATGTTATTGAAGTAAGAATATGCAAGTAGAATCACAAAATACACTTTTCAAAAAATTAAAAAAATAAAAATATACCCAAATATGGGAATAAATATATTACACGGCAGGGATTAACGATTTATGCAAATTAGGCATCCTTCCCAAAAGAATTTCAGGTGTCACCCCTTCTAAATATCTTCTCTAGGGCTATAAGAATCTATCTGCCAAGTTTGGTGCTTTGGACCAGTCGGTCACGATTCCGACCATATGCTACCTGACTAATGGGAACAAGCTGACTATAGCCGTAGCCATTGCTCTGGACGCCAGTTTCAGACACGGCCTTAGAGTGTAAAAGATCTATTTTCCAAAATTGATCACTTCACTGCCCAATCCCAGATGTTAATGTTAAATACAAACTCACTCTGATCTTGCACTAATTTCAATCAAGACACTTTCATTAAATATGGTGTCTTGACTTTTATGGAATTTTGTGTTTATGTCTGTGCTAAATGTTACTTCTTTCAGTGACATTTAAATGTTTGTGTGTTTGTACCAAGTATCTTTGCGCTAATTTTTTGTGTGTACCAAAAGTGGATGAGTACTTTTTCAATCTGTTCTTTTCTTTTCCAAGATATTAATAACAAAGTTGAATCCTGAGAAGAAAGCTGCATTGCTGAAAGAAGAAAGACCTTGGACAGAAAGGTTGGTTATGTTAAATACTTTCCCCAGGTTTTTTAAGTTTTTTTTTCAGCCACATCATGTGTTAATTATTTTTTCATAAAACCTCATCAATATCCAATAACTATTTTCCCCAACTATTTGTATCGACTCATTTCCCTAAGGTAGGGTGCTCAAATGTACGTCAGCAGGTTGTATAAATATTATGGTTATTAAATTTAATTTTTGTGTTTCTCTCCAGGTTGTTGGTCAAGCTAAGTGGCTTCACAAGAGTCTTCAGGCACATCAGTGAGCTGAAGAAAGTAAGACAATGTACCATTTTATTCTTGAGAAACTAATGATTGTTAAATTGTCAGAAGGTTCACAACAAGTCAAACTGCATAAAGATGAAATCAATATACACCAACACATTGGTTGTGATTTAATTACATTTAATGACACCAAGGGCTCCTGAAAAGCTCGCAGGCACCGTAGCTAGGCAGTCTGAAAAAAAAATCTAGAAGAAGAACATGATAAACGAGTTTTCGATGTTAGGGGTGGATGGAAAAAACTGAAATGATATTTTTTAGGGAAAACCCTTGCTATCTGGCAATTTCTGAAAACCAAATCCACACGTCAGCTAAGGTGAGATTCTGAACTGGCCATACAGGTTAAAGATAGCGTCCATCATTTGTCATTTGTGCATTATGTTTGTTTGAAGCAACAAAAGTGCCCAAAATCTAAAGAAGGGTGCTGAACAACTAAGCTGACAAAGTTTTAGCTCAGTTAATGATGTCTATTCTGAGAAAACATTTGATTTCAAATCAAAAGTTGCTGAGTCGTGTTTTGAATTGGGCCTGCATTCAACGTCCGAGACACGTTCTAACTAAGCCGATTGCAGCTAGCGATGTCGCTCACTGAACCGACAAATTATAGCAACCGCACGTGTGTGTGCGTCATGTCAACGCTTGCGCGCGCTTCGCCCAATAAAAAAACAACAACGAACTACTAACGGATATTTCCAACGATGCGTTTTTAGACGCATGGTTGGAAAGGCCTTCTTGCATTGATTTCTTCAAAACGACAGCTTGCTAGAAAGAATAATTATACGGGGAGATTAGTCCCATTACTATATTTAAACCAAGTATGTTTTTCAACATTAATTACGTCAGTTACTTTTTGGATAGCTGCAAATGATGGACTGTACCTTTAAAGACCAGGAAATTACTACTGCCAACCCTACGCTCCCAGATGGAGTGGCTAGTATAATTGTGTCATGACTGCTTTTCTTGTATTGTATTGCCAGCCCCTGATTGGTCACAATTTCCTGACGGATCTTCTCTTTCTGCACTCCAAGTTCTACAAGACATTACCAGGTAAGATCAAGCAGCTCTCTCATCCTTCAAGATTAAATTTGTGGCAGATTTGGGGTCAGTCAGCACAAGTAAACAAGGGCCATCACAAGTCAATTTTGGTTAGCTGGTTCCGATGCACAGGCCTAATGTGTCCATGGTGGTTTGAAACATCCGACTGATTAAGCGAATTGTTCACAAAACCTGAGTGCAGTTCTTCATATTGAGTGCATGTTATCAGTGTTTCATGCTGTTGTGTTCATCCCACACTTGTTTTGTTATCTGTTTGTGTGCAGCTAAATTCCAAGACTTCAAGAGGAACATCCATGACTTGCTTCCTCATCTTTACGACACCAAGTTCCTCATCATGGAGATCAGGAGGGTAGGATGCTTCCTAAATTGCCTCAATCCTTGGCCCAGTATTCTATGAACTGCCTGCTAAATCCAACATCAGGAAACAATCAGTGAACCATAAAATAAGCAGAATTCCGAAGTCACTTTACTCACTTCTGGTAAGGAAACCCATAAAACACACGCACCAGTATGATGGGATATTGAGTGCAGTACCTGTTGATATCAGATTTGAAGCCGACAGTCGACTAAGGAAAGCTCGGTGGTCGAGCGGTAAGACCTCTGCACTAGTAAACTGGAGGTTGGGGGTTCGTGTCCCACCTGAGCAAGCTTTTGATCTTTTCTCGCAGAAACTAATTCTCGGACAGCACTCGGTATATACAGGCATGCAACTTTTCCTCGGATCTGCTGATTTCCTCGTTTTTTACTTCTCATGAATGCCATTACAAATTGAAAAACACTTACAAAGTCTTGTGTGGTATGGAGTTTCCTCGTTTTTTTCCAAATTCCCAGTTGTGAATGCCTCGACTAAGGGAAGCTCGGTGGTCGAGCGGTAAGACCTTTGCACTTGTAAGTTGTGGGTTCGAGTCCCACCTGAGCAAGCTTTTGATCTGCTCTCACAGAAGCTAATTCTCGGACAGCACTCAGTGTATAGTGCTTATGAAAATAATTGAACATTAGGCTTGTGCGTTATTGGAGTCCACCGTGTACCGTCACGTAAATATTGTGGTATCGGGTACCTTTCTGAGCAAAATATTATTTCATCAAAGCACAATAAGACACCTATTGTAAGGGAAACTGCAAAAAGGCGGGGTCAGAAAAACTTCAGAGGCCATGCTGAATGACTAGTATTTTCACCCTTTCTATACCATGGTGACAAGAATGATTATCCGAATACTAGCAGATCTGGCTACGTTTCACCTTTTATAAAAGTGTTTGTGCACACATCTCACCACATGTAAGCGGGAAAATCACGGTACTGAAATCCCATACCAAGATCGTCGGTATTTCGGTATTTTGACATCATTCGGTATTGTTCGGTATCAACAAAATTTGTCACTTTACGGTATTATTGAAGTGTAGTCCAAGCCTACCAAATGTTAAATTTACGTCTCCCGATTGAAAAATTCAAGATGTCATTGATGAAATGAGGCAGTCAACGCTGATTGACTGTTCTTTTCTGTCCCATTGTTTAGGAACTTGAGGAAGCAGGCTTGTCATTGACCTCAACGAGTCTTGCCAATGTTTACCACGCCATGCACACCGATCCCAGTAAGCTGGGTGTACCGCACCTGCCAGAGATAGAACTGGCTGACAACTGTGCCAGATACGGTAGGTTTCAAACAATAAGCCTGAGATGTAATGACGTCACGCTTTGTTTACATGTGCACTTTCCTGTGTAGTAGACGGTCCCCACTTTATCTGGCGTCCCGACTTCGCTCCCATAGGAAAGCGCATAATTATGTAAACAAAGCCATTACGTCATTACGTCTCAGGTTTATTTGTCTCTTGCATTTCAAAAAAGTTAAAATTATCTTTTATACTGGATTTGCTCTTAGAAGTAATCAAGGGAAGTGAATAAAAATGAATGTTTGAGGTTTACAGTTGTTCACTTATGGAAGGTTCTTAGGATGCAATTTATTTGCCCTTTGATAATGAAAAATAGTGTAATGGCTGTGTATTGACTAGGTGCTGCCGTTCATAACTCATTTGGAAATTTTCTGGAAACTGTTTCTCTTTATTCTGGACAGGAAAGGAAGAGTTTTTCCACGAGGCTGGGTTTGATGCCTATCTTGCCGGCTATGGTAAGTATCTATTTCTTTCTTGATATATAACTTCAGTGACCACTAACGGTGTACCTTACGAAGTATCGTCATCTAAGTTGTTTTATTTTTCTCTGTAGTGTTCTTGAGAATGGCTCACTACATCACAGCCAAGGATACAAGGTAAGGCTTCAGAAGTCTTAATTGCTTAAAGCTTCACCTCTCAGCCGGGAGGGGAGGGGGATCCCCAAGATCTCAGCCATCGAGTGACAAAAAATTTTGAAACTCGTTACATGAATAGAACAACTTATTATGAACATACCCAAGAAATTTCATGACTATAGGTCAAAGGGTTTAGGAATTATGGCTAATTAATTATTCATATATGCATGAATGGTAATTCTGCTTTGTGTACACTACGTATATGGGGAAGTTAAGCTTTTATGGTGCATAACGCCGGAAAATTTTTCACTGCGCGGCTACCCATTGTCCAATTTTTTATGTTTTTGGTATCAAAAGATGTGCAAGGCTCGAGGCTAAAAAGTCATAACAACTCGGCTTGCAAAAATCTTTTTTTAAAGCTATTGCCGTAAAAGTTGGGGGGGGGGTGGATTCCGGCCCCTTTAGGGTTAAAAGGCAAGAGAACCAGTTGCGTATAACTTTTGGTTCAAGCATGACTAGAAAACCCTATAAGATTTATTCATAATTTTGGCATCTCTCTGTCTGCTGGCAAGTAGAAAACTAAGGGCAGTCTGTGAGTTCATGTATCCCCCCTTGTAACTGAACCAAGTTCAGACAATCAAATAAACTCATGATTATGCCAACTATGTCACTGTTTTTGAACATCAATGCATTGCCTTTTCTTCTCAGCATCATGCATCCCAAGCTGCTTACATTCAGGAAGTACATCCCAGCCTTAGCTCCACATGAGAATAAATCCAACATCATCAGAGCCAGCGTACCGTATGTGGTGAGTCTTCTTCATGAAATGTCAGGTACATTCAAGACCGAATTATTCAAGTCACAAGAAATTACTTTGCACACAGCTTTTAAATTGGGTTGGCAAACTTTCCTGTACCCTTGTTTAGTCACAGTTTATTTTTTTAATTTGACTCGTTTTTGGAAAAAACAAAGGAGCTAGCAGTTTAAAAATAAAAAGTTAAATGTATTTACCCAAAAAGTAAGATTTAACATAATATTCTTGTGAATAATGATGATTTTATTTTTAAATATGGTTAAAGTAATGTACAGCTTAATCCTACATTGCACATACAATGCACCAGACTCATCTAGTACATTTGGGCCATCAGATTGCCCTGAATATAGAACGTGAAAAATCTGTTTATTTCAAAAGGTGATAAGGCCAAAAAAGAAAATACTCGGTCTCTGGTCAGCGCGCGCGTCAAGTTTAATCATGCGCGTCAACTTTTTTTTTCTTCAAATTAACATGGAAGCTACAACAGCGCCCTCTATTGCCGCACCTCCTCAAAAATTTTGTACCAAGGAGCACTAAGGAATGGGGAAAATGCACCAAGGCAAATGATAAAGGGCACCAAGGCATATTATGGAGGACACCAATGTATAATGAGGACACAAAAAAGCAAAATAATACCCACCTTGTCTGTACAATTCAAGCTTGGAAAAAAAAAAGCCAACCCCCCCCAAAAAAAAACCACCGCGTCGCCGCATCAATTCCGGAACTTCGGTCTGACCAGAGACCGACTATTTTTTTTTTTTGGCCTAACACTGTTTAAATATTTTCCTCCTTGCAGAATCTGGCAGGAGAAGATCCAGCATCGAGGCGACCCAAATTACTGTACGTCACCTCTAGAGGGCCTTCTCCATTGCAGGCAAAGGAGGTAAAACTGTGGTCCGAAAACCAGATAGAGCATACAGATATCCGAGTTATAACTTGGTCAATCACAAGACAAAGCACAAATCAAATCAGGTCTTAAGTTACAGGATACGAAGAGTGATGTTATTGTTATAAGGTGTGCTTGGATACTGTAATTTCATTGGTTTAGAACAGCCACGTGTCTAGTCTGTAAAATTCATTATACAATGGTTAACCTCTTATTCAAAGCGCGTAGCACTCTCGGCTTTGCCTCGGGTACTATGTGCCCCACGGGTGTTAAAAACGGCATATCCCACATCACAGCAGTCAGCAATTGTTATATGTCACAGTCAGCAGTCAGCAATTGTTATATGTTACAGCTCGGGGCGCATAGCACTCACAGCTTCGCCTTGTGTGATATGCGCCCCTCGGGTGTTAAAAAACGGTATATCCCACATCACAGCAGTCAACAATTGTTATATGTCACAGTCAGCAGTCAGCAATTGTAATATGTTACAGCTCGGGGCGCATAGCACTCACAGCTTCGCCTTGTGTGATATGCGCCCCTCGGGTGTGAAAAATGGTATATTCCACATCACAGCAGTCAACAATTGTTATATGTCACAGTCAGCAGTCAGCAATTGTTATATGTTACAGCTCGGGGCGCATAGCACTCACAGCTTTGCCTCAGTTGCTATGCACCCCTTGGGTGTTAAAAACAGCATATCCCACATCACAGCAGTCAACAATTGTTATATGTCACAGTCAGCAGTCAGCAATTGTTATATGTTACAGCTCGGGGCGCATAGCACTCACAGCTTTGCCTCAGTTGCTTTGCACCCCTTGGGTGTTAAAAACAGCATATCCCACATCACAGCAGTCAACAATTGTTATATGTCACAGTCAGCAGTCAGCAATTGTTATATGTTACAGCTCGGGGCGCATAGCACTCTCTGCTTCGCCTTGGGTGCTATGTGCCCCACGGGTGTTAAAAACGGAATTTCCCACATCACAGCAGTCAGCAATTGTTATATGTCACAGCTCATTTGCATAGCTTGTAAACTGACTTCGGACTGACTGACTTGTGATGATTTGATTGACGGACTCGATTACAGCTCTGCTGAAAAAAGAACTCTCATCGAATTCAAGTTCCACTGTCTTCAAATTGATATTTAGCTTCTTGCTTCCTGAGTGCCTATCTGACACCTGCAGCTTGGAACCACACAATCTATCTTTGCTAGCTGTTTACTACACCATCTTGGGCCAGAGAGGGCAGAAGTCCCGAAACTTTCTTGCAAGAAAATCAAGGTTTCTGTGATGTGAAGCACCACCCCCCCCCCCCCACCACCACACGCACACATGTTTGTACAGTCGAACACCTTTATAACAAGGTCCTTGGGACTTTACAAATTACCTTGTTATAACAGGTACCTTGTATTAATGGAAAACAAAGAAAACCAAAGACTTCGACCTAAAATTGTGCTTGTTATAAGCAGGATGTTGTATTAACAGTGCTCTTCTGATCAGGGTTCGACTGCATATGGTGTAAATCGAGGATTTCCTATTGTTGCTCTTTTGTTCATACTTGAACCTTTTGCAACAGCTCCCTTTGGTTTTGTACACGTTTTCCATCATGGCACACAATATGCTCAAATACTGAAGAATTGAGGGCATGCAAATCATGATTTGGGCAGCGTAGGCAATTTCGGACTGATTTACTGGCCTGCAACCTTAAAGTTGAACAATGACACTTCTTTATTTTAGTTGGCAGCCATGTTCAACACCTACACCTCTGTGGATGTGAAGATGATTGACAGGAGGCATGCCTTGTTGGCGACGTCAACCTGGGGAGGGTATGAAATCACTTTGTTCAGGTTTATTGAATTACTTTTTATATAAAAATTCTGTTATACATATTCCTTTGTTAACAGTTGTACAAGATCTGAATGCTAACTTGCATATCTTGGTAAATGTCCACTTGGTTCAGGGTATCATTTTGTGCCTATCCGTCGGGGTGTCCGTTGTGCTGTCCGTCGGGGTATTTCGCAGATATATTGTGCTCGGGCATTATTCTTGGATGAGATCATTATCACAGCCCAACCAATACAATTGCTATATCACTTACTTCGTGTCAGAGTATGAACTAACAAACACATCGTCCTTGAGTAAACTCTCACTTATTGAAAACTCATAAAGTATTGTCAAGATCGATTGATTTGGTATTGACATATTGTTTTCATTATCTGCAGGAGTAAGGACATTATGAGAGCATTCAAGAATGACAGAACGATTCATCTGGCTAACTACAATGTATTCCAGCATTCCAAACCTGTCCGCTATGGACTGTGGTAAGTCATGATGTGAATCCTCAGTGAACATGGATCTGTTTACCCTCCCATGTACCCTGCTCATGTGACATCTTCTGGCTGTGTGATTGGTAGTTTAATATATCATGTGATATGTTCATGATCTGTTATTGGCTACTCTTGCAGAAACCCAATCTTGCAATTATCATGCCAGATTTTTATTACTATAGACCATTATCATTTTTTTTTTCCCATTCAAATCAATATAACCAAATCGAGGCTGGAAGGAAAAATAGTCTGGTTCCTTTTTGCGCAAAAAGCATCATCATTCAGTACTGTTATTGAATGCAGGGAACATGACTGAAATGGTGGCAGCATGATAAAGGTCTGTTACCGGGATGTTTTCATGCCTAAGCGCCCATTGCAGGTGCATTTTGTAAAGCTCGTAACAAATAGTTTAAGGTGAGGGTGAATGGTCAGGGCTGAGATTTGTCAGTATTTTTCCTGATTTCAGGATAATCCCTTTTGAAATCTGGAGAACCTGAGGTTTTACCTTAAAAGTTTATACAGAACAAAAGAAATGGGTGTATACATATACATAGACCCTACTTTATTTTGGGGCCCTTGGCGCCACCAAACCCTCTGCCGATTGTTTCATACATTTTTCATTTTCCCGCATCTCACCTATGCAAGGCCACAACAAGTGGGTAACTTGGATTTGTCTTTATCATGTGTCAATCCCAGGCAATGTACAGTTTCTTTTACAATGCAAGCTTTGAAATCTTGGACTAAGAATTAATTGCCCCATTTAGACAGAATTTAAATGTGAACTGGACCCTTTCTGCCTGTCAATTAGATCTCAACTTTTGTTCAGATAACCACAGTGTTTCAGGTATAATCAAGCGATGTGAGAAAGCACTGTTAGAGACGTACACATATTGCATTGCCAAGGGTTATGGCCTATTCCAGAATAGTCTATTAGAGGTAGCCTGGACCATTTGCAGGTATCCAAAAAGTAACCAACCAAATTGTTAAAAGCTTACTTGGTGTAAATATAGGGATGACACTAAACTCCCTGTGAAATTATTCCTTCTGGCATGCTGTCATTTTGAAGATAACGATAAAAGGAGGTCATTTCCAAAGATGTGTCACGTGACACATTTTTGGAATTTCACGTTTGTTGTTGGTTTGTAATTGGGTGAATGGGTGTCATGATTATTATTCGTTGGTTCAGTGTTTGACATCATGGAGCTGCAATTGGCTGAATGAGAATCGTGTCCCAAATGCTGATTTTGGGATTGTGTCAGGAGAGGGCGCAATTCAAAATATGGCTCTGCAACTTTTGGATTGACATTGAGATCCAGAATATTGTGTTTTCTCAAAATTAAAGCATTCACAGAGCTAAAACTTCATCAGGTTGCTGGAGTTGTTTATAAATCTTTAAATTTTGGGCACTTTTGTTGCTTCAAATGAAAAAAACGCACAAATGACAAATGGTCTATTCGACATTTAACAGCGTATTTGCTTGATTAAACCCTTATCTTGTCATTATGAAAATGCCTCTTTGTATTTGTAATTGTGATTTAAAATCCCTGTGAAACCAGTAAAAAAAATTCACTGGACTATATTTCTCAGGGGTGCTATTGCAGTCATGGGAGCTGTGTGCTTATGGACGTTTTTTGGAGACCAACCCAAGAAAACATGAATTCACACAGTCAGAGTGGACCTCAACCAACCAACTTGTCCAGCAGATAGGAAAGGTGAGCCATGAGTCAGTCTTCTAGGAGTTATGGGGGATTATGGACCCTAGTGCAGGAACTGTAGATAGCATATACCGGGGTGTGCCCTTAACTTTTTCTTTTTACTAGCCAGCGGGACTAATGAAACAAACTCTTATCTATAGTCCACGGGCCTTTTCACTAGTCCGCAATAGAATTTTCAAATTTTTGCACCAGAATGTCTTAAACAACAATGATGTATTTACAATAACTTTGACTCGCCAGGCGGACTGCTTAACCCTAACTCCCCAGCCTAATTTACTAAGAATCATACCCATTCAGGCAAATTCCAACACCCACATGGGAAATTGTACACACACACTGTTGGACTTAATTTCTGGAGGTATGCTAAACCCAATGTGAAAGACCATCAGTTTAGGGGTACTGTACCTATCCCAACAGATTTGAACAAAACCTGCTGTTGAACTTTGATAGGTTGAGTTCGGTTAGGGTTAAGGAATGGTTTCGACTTGTCTGCTGCTGTTTTTACTTGCATTTGGCGAGCGGACTTCCGCTAATTTCGAACCCTGCATATACCAATAAGAGCTAATACAGGCATGGATGCACAGGTTTGCGTGCGACTAAGTTTTGCGCAAAATAAAACTCCCTTTTTCAGAGGGTTGCAGATTTTTCAATTTTTGCTCTTTAAAATTTTTTTAAGAGCACACGTATGCATCTTTACGCACTTATTCGTCTCCATGAAATAAGAGCTCTGTTAATAGTAGAACTCAACATAACTCTAGTCAATTGTTGAATTGTCTACTGCTGCCTTGGATCAGACATCAATGTTTGGGGAGACTAAACAGTTTAATCTTTGAGGTCCTTAATCTCTAATTTACGGAAGTATGTTTGTAAAAAGGGGGGTTCATGGACAATTTGGAGATGAGGGGGGGGGGGGTTCAGAAATGTTTCTCTCCATGACAGTAAAGGCTACGGACTTCATCTTCATTCCTGGGAAAACATTGTGGTGATCGTAAAAACACAAGCATATGGCTTAATATCTGGTGACACATCGGAAAGGAAAGATTCAGTACTGCACAACGTTGTGATTATCATTCCAATTTATTCAATAAATAGCTTCTTTAAACATTTAACAACTTTTTTGCCCACTAAAATACTGCATTTAATGACCAGCCATTTTGTTGCAGTTTCATTGGTTAACCCCCAAATAGGTTGAACTTTACCATAATCATTGACAAAAAAAACCCATAAAACACAAAAACAATCTCAGCCTTTGGACATTTCAAACCAAAATTATCAAGATTAGTAAATATAAGTAAATTGGACCACATTTAAGTGATTTTAGTTTTGAGACATTCCTTTATGATTCATTCTGACTTAAATTTTTCGGCATTGTCAAAACACAAATACAGGCAACATTTTTTTGTAATGCTGCGAACCGTCATGACTAGAGTGGTCTTCTCGTAGACTACTGAAATGCTCGGGTTGATACTAAGCAGTTTAATTTCAAGAAATAAACATAAAATGAGACACTGAAATAATCATCGAAAAGGCACACATACTAAAATGACAAATTAGAAAGTTAAAAACTTTAAGTAAAAACAAACTTCGGCTGAAAATTTCTCCAAGAAGGTAACTGGGTACGGAAATACAGAGTACATCTAAGTTTGGCGATCACTTTCCTTGCACCTGAAAAGCCATTTTCAACAAATCTTCTCAAAGTACCTTTTGCCTCAAAAACTGTTATTTATTTTAAAAGGTCTCCTTATAATGTATTTTTAGAGGTAAAGAGGTATCTGAATCTACATGAAAATAATTATGAAAACCAAACAAAGTGCATGCACACATTCTGGCAAAACAAAACTGTTCACTTTGGTCTATCATTTAATTCTAAATTTTCCTCCAAGTCGTGGTAAAAAAAAGGAAAGATTTTTCAAGGAAGTGTCCAGTTTTGGCACAGGATCTTTTTTTAAAAATTCGGATTGCGTGAATCAAGTCAAAGTTGAAAATATAACTTGAAAGACTAATGAACCAGGCATGCAACTTTTCCGCGGATCAGCTGATTTCCTCTATTTTTATTCCAATTTCAGCCATTCAAAATAGAAAAACACTGTACAAAGTCTTCTGATTTTTGGAATTTCCTCTTTTTTTTGTGAATGTACAGTTGCATGCCGGAATTATGAAGCAACCAAAAACCCAATACTGTATCACGTCATACACTAAGTGCAACTTTTTTGACAGACGACAACATGCACATTTATTCTGTCTATGCAAGCTCATTTTGTGTGTGTGTCGAAATCTGTTCTGTTTAGCAGAAAATAAAAGGAGTTATGAACGACTATATATATTCTTACGATGGTCTTTTGAGAAGCCCTGAGAATATCTACGTACTGTTCTCCTAAATTTGTTGCTGCCGTACACTCCTAAAGGCATAATGGGCAATCATGTCAAGATCTCCTAAATTGGTTTAACACTTGACATCAGCACTACATAAAGAAAAGCCTTTACTTGTAATTAAGTATTTTTTTATTATCTACTTGTTTAGCATTCACTCATTTTATTTTTAGTCTTGTCACCAGATTTGTAATATTAATTGACTTCACAGCTCGTTTCTCACACCAATTGCCAAATATTTCAAAAAAAAATTTTTGTGGCGCGACCCACACACATTAATTAGCATAAAAATATAACAGGCAGCTTTAGTTTTTTTTTCTTCTGTATCGTCATTTAAATCCTTGGATGATTGAATGTTTCCAATTATTTTAAGGACGGGCTTTTAACGTCTTGCCCCCGAGCGTACCTAGCGGACTTGCTTTCACAGAGATTTCTTGGATTTCTTTTTCTGCATGGCTTGGAACTTGGACAGCATCACCTTGGAGGTTGTGAAGAAGTTGCCCAGAAAGAGAATGAAGAAAATGATTGCTGATGCCGGAACCTTGAGAAAAAAAAAAAAAAATCATACAAAACTTTTGTTAAAAGAGTTAAAATGTCAAACTTAAGACAACAAAAATATGAAGGGGAACAATAGAGAGGTTAATGTACAAAACACATATGACAACACGTACTTGAAGCTTCGAGTTTCCATTCATGCATGCAGAAAAGAACTTGGCAGGTATTTCATAGAATTAGTGATTTGAATTGTGGGGTAGAATTTATTTAACGGGGGTACGTCAATCGGGTACCTGGATTCCTGTACTACCCGTAAATGCACACCCCTTGTCCTAGGCTTACGCGCTCTTGTGAAAACTCTTAACCTAACCTTTCTAATATATAAGTTTCAGAAAACATGAAAAGACAAAAATACTTCTGAATATGAAGGAGTGGATATGATTGGCCAGTTTCTAAACCGAATTATTGCCAGATTAGCAATGTTTTAGAAAGAGTACAAAGTCAGCTGCCTACTCTGAAAAACGATAAACATAGGTATTTTAAATACCGTATTTAGATTTACTACAGGGCACTGACATTATCTGAACGTGTCTGTAATTGACAGAGCTTATTTTTATGCAAAAATTATTTATGTAAAAATTATTTTTATGGTCCAGTGGTTACAGTGTTCGACCACTGTGCCATGGTACATGGGTTCGAACCCTGACGGGAACACAATGTTTGTGTCCTTGGGAAAGACACATTACTACAATTGCCTCTCTCCATCCAGGAGTAAAATATTGGTACTTGCGAGGGTACAGACAGATTGCTCTGATCTCAGCTGCAGAAAAGTGGTTTCATGGCCTGTTGAGCAGGGGTAATATTTGTGAAGCACTTGAGACCTACCTCTGTTGGAAAAAGGAGGAAATTTGTGTTAACTTACCATCCATTCATTACACTCGGGGTGGAAGGAGAGTTTGAAGAGAACAAAAGCATTGTACGCCTGAAAGATCTGCAAATGTAGAAATCACGCGTAAGCGTTTCGGAATTAAACTTCACAGAATGGGCATGAAACTTTCTAAAAAACTTAGATAAAATAACAGTCAATTAACAGTGTTCTGTTGGAAATATGCATGAATTTATAACTTTGCATGTTTAACTGCAATGTAACCATTGAGTAAACTCGAGGTTCGCACAGAAATCTTAAAATGAAATTCCACAACTTCCATGGCCAATTCCTGCACTTGGCATCTAAAGAGCCTATTTACAGTACACTGGGCCAGTCATCACACTGAGGCAAGGGACACCACTCCCTTTCAGCCTTCCAGTTTGGCACAAGACCACTGAGCACCACAAAAGCATCACAATGGTGCACTGAACAAGTGCACAGCATACATGCATAAAGAGGGAGATGTTACATTTTCGTAACGTGAGTAACCGATTTTGTGCGTCTTGTTTATCATGCATAACACATTTTTCTGGATGTCATCTTTGGTGCTTAGGTAGGTCTAGGTCTACTCTATCTACCATGGGGATAACAGTTATTAAACCTTTTTAGTAAGGTAATTACAGCCCAAGGAAACTCAAAAGTACATCAAATATGTAACATGAGTAACCATGGAATTGCCCATCATCACATATGGGTTGTGCAGGATTCCATTACTAAAATAACATTTTCCATGACTTGCTTTGATAGCTCGGTATTCCAGCATTTTTCATGAGTGGGGGAAACCTGCTTTAAATATCTGTTCACAAATTTTCCATCATAAGAATCCACATGTACTCACATATCCAAGCATCAGAAAGGGAAGAAGGAATTGAAGGCCTCTCCACATCCATTCTTGGAAACCCTCTGAAAAATGCGAGTTAGAAGCAAGCAAAATCAAATTATTACATAGCATGAATGAAATGCAGACGAGCTTTTTATTTATAAAGTAATAAAAAGATACGATTTATCAAAGACATTATAGTTTTTCATGTGGTTTAAAATCAAAGTGGTGGGGCCCACGGTAACATGGTCTCTGTGGAAAGCGCGAGTTGAGAATTCGTTTTTTCCATCCAAATGACTAAAGTTCTGAATTAACTAATTTTGCGTTGTTACAGATACCAGGCCCACAACCATTGGACTCCCTACAATTAGAATTTCAAACCTAGTACTCTGTAGCCAGAGGAGTATTTGAGTGTCTCCTAGACACCATTTTCAGGGAGAGGTATTTGGACACCTGTTGCTCAATTTTCAGCAATTTGAACAGACAAGTGCTTAAGTCATGTTTCAAACCCTGATTCTGTGGATAACAACCATCAGTTTACTCACCAACAGTGAGGTACATGTCGCTCTTCTCTCCCAAAGCCCTGAGACGATACAGACAGCCACTCTGGTAATAATATTGTAGCAGTTGTAGAAAATCTAAATGTGAAAAGATGAATTACAGACGTGAAAAACTTGCACATGTAGCAACTGTCACTCCCTTAAAGGTAATATATGCAGCATTTTCGAACATCAAAATACAAAACCTACCAAATTTTTATGAAATACCTTAATTGACGTAAGTGAAGCATGAATGGCACCTGGTGTGCTATCGTTTTCAAGCAAAGTGGAATTTTGTATCATCGTTGGGAAAAAACTGACTTTTATTTTTCAAATACTACCCTCAATTTACCAAATTTATTTAGTCCACATTTTGTTTGCAATCAGTGACACATCCGTGAACAGGTACAAGCCAGCTAGTCTGGTTTCCTGACCTGACAATTCCCTGACGTCTATAAGTTGCTCTTTTTCGTCTGAATTAGGGTTAGGGAACAAGACTACAAGAACAGCATTTTTTTCTTGGTTTTTCCAGCATTTATGAACACAAAACTTATTAACAAGATATATATGAACCAATTACTACGTGCAAACTTTTATAGATGAGAAACTCTAATCCATAATCAATTTTCATATTCTCGTTTTTTAACATCTGAAGTGAAATAGCTTGCGTGGCTTTACATGTTTGACTTACTTAGATACACCGAGAATGCCATGAATAAATTACGGAACATCTCGTATGACACACTGGCAGGCCAGATGAGCAGAATACCGCACAGCACAACCGACAGATAATGATGCAACACCCACCAGCCTTTGATTCTGAAACAAATGGGAAACTTTCATGTTTACAATGAAATCAGGCTTCCCACGGAAATCTTAACATAAAATCCCATAACTTTTTCCCATGATTTTTCCAGGACTTAGGCATTTAAATGCATTCTTCCTTGTTCCAGTATCCAACTTAAAAACAACCAGATACCAGTTTATGCATGTGTTGTACAAATTCATGTCATTTGATTTCGCATCTAGGAAATTTACTGAGTACTACACTGAGAAAAAAAGTTTATCAATGAACTGTTAATAAACAAAGCCATGGTTTTCTCTCTTATTTCAGATCATACTTGTCTAGTGATTTGTTTACCTGGATCCATTGTGTCTGAGGATGCTCTCCCGTATGACCAGCGTGCAGTAATACCACACCAGTAGGAAATGAAACAGGGCGTCGCAGACTCTACACAACAAGAACCATGGGATAAGTTGACTGTGTTAAGCCAAATCTTTGCATTGGATTTTATTTTTGTAAAAAGTTACTGCAGGGGGCTGTTAATTCTACCGTGTGTGTACACACTTGGATTAATATCAGCCGCAGCAAGTCATTCATTGCATAAACTCTTACCATACCGTGCTCTTTCAGAATCTTGTGAGGGTGCCCTAAGCCCGGTTCATACTTCACGCGAATGCGAAGCGAATTTGACGTCACGAAGCATTCGCTGCGAAATTCGCCCGAGTTGAAATGTGTTCAACTTTTACGAATTCGCAGCGCGAATACTTGCCACGACGTCACAAATTTGCGTTCGCTTTCGCTTTCGCGCAGAGTATGAACCGGGCTCTACTGTTGACCTTTTAAAGGTAGATTAGATCTTTTGTTATGTGTGCAATTTTTTTTTATCTGAAGCAACAAAAGTGCTCAAAATCTAAAGACGGGTACTTGACAACTTAAACCTGATGAAGTTTTTGCTCTGTTAATGTGTATATTCCGAGAAGACAATATTCTAGGATCTCGATTTCAATTCAAAAAGTTGCCATATTTTGAATCGAGCCCAAAATCAGCATTTAATCAATTGCAGCTACGCGATGTCACAAACTGAAGCGACGAATAATAATAACCGCGTGTTTGTGTGGGTCTCTGTCAACACTTGCGCGCATCAATTCAAGGATTCACACAACTGCAAACCAACTACTATTTCCAAAAACTTGTCACTTGACTCAGCTATGGAAATGACCTTTTTTTTATTGTTTTCTTCAAAATGACAGGAAAATTTCAGAGGGACTTTAGTGTCATTACTATCTTCAAACCAAGTAAGCTTTTTGACAAAAATTTGGTAAGTTACAAAAATGATCTACTCTACTTTTAACCTGCAAAATATTATCGTAGAACACAGCAAAAATATGGTAGAATCTCACATACAGTATGTAGGCCTACGCATGTGAATTACGGAGGTCAGTTATAGGCATAGAGCTATGTTAAATTACTAGAGCGCTAACTCCTCATTCTGCGCGCGGAGACGCTTTGAAGCCGTCCTGGGCGCAGACATTTTGAATTCATGCGCGTGTTTGTAGAACATAATAAAATTAGATGGATTGAATTTTGAAAGTGTACTCTACATGCAACGCACAAGTAGAACATACGCAAACAACTTAAGCGCGTCATTGACAGTTCAAAAAAACGTTACGGCAAAAAGTATCTGCAGCGAATACGTGCACGCGTTGCGCAGTTTGCGTAGAGCAAAATGACACGCTCATTTGCTGAGCGTGCGTTTCGGTTTTGGGCGTATTGGTTTCGATGACGCACCGGTTTGGAATACAAACGCAGATATGCAAATAGCCGTACAAAAGCTGTACAAAATTTCTAGGTCTCCATAGCTTTGTGTACAAACATGGATGCGCCCAGCAGGCGTTCCTTTGTACACGAAGTTAGCGCTCTAGTAATTTAATATAGCTCTATGGTTATAGGTAACTGATGCATAAGTCACGTGATCATAACGTTAGTTTTAGATAGCAGTGGCCATTATGTTTACCAACTGAATCAGATGCTAGTACCTGAAATCTATGAAGAGTGCCGTAGCAAGTGAGAAGACCAGCAGAATGATGGTCATGTAGAGTTTGAATCTCTCATACTCCTCCTTGTAGTCAAATCTGTTGGAGGAAAGGAGGGGTATAAGGATGTTATAGAAGGAGGATTCTTCTTAGTGTTGCAATGAGATCCGTCACAATTCTTCACACAGAGATGAAACTGGCCTTGGCAAAAAAAAATCTGAAATTGGACCTTGGATCGGAGCTGCCACAGGGTCGCGCAGTGCAGCGCAGCGCATCAACATGGGACCCAGTGAATTTTTCCATGTCATAGGTCAGTACTTAACCTTTTCTCCAGCCGGAAAAAGATCTGATCAGCGTTGGCCTAGGTGTGTTTCTACCATAGAATCACTCCATTCACGACTGGTAAAAGAGATTAAAACTACTACACTTGTGAACATTTTTAAGTGCCATTTTCATTGACTTTTCACAGACTTTTTTGGAAATTATAATGGGAAAAAAAAAATGTGGAATTTTTTTTTAAATAATCATTTTTGTGGGATTGTTTAAAAATCTGAAATTTCAGTGGAAAAGTAAAAAAATCTGATTTCAGATTAAAATCTGAAAAGTTTCATCTCTGTTCACAACTTTACAAAGGTCTATCACAAGTCATCAAGTCAAAAGCTATTATGATCTGTGACAAAGGTAATCCTTTGTTTTTGCGACATTATTTTTTTAAAAGTTGAACAAAGAAAGTTACTGGAGCGGGTTTTGAACCTGCCACCTCTGGATTACCGTTCCACTGCTCTACCAACTGAGCTATCCAGCCCTATGTTGGCGGTTCCCAAATTTGTCAATGTCTTTATTCAAGGGGTGCTAATCAGAAGCCATAATTGACTTGTGATGAAACTGGACTGCAACACCGACAAGTCTATATACATGGAAAAATGCTTTCGAATTCTCTAAGGTGTAGAGTAAGTGATGGGCGAGTAAGGCCATGATGTCGTTGGCCCTTTGACCCCTTTGTGTGTGATACGCACACACAAAAGGGCAACAAGTTCTGAATCTGTGTGCACTTAAGAAGTGTCAACCAATGCAATCTTAATACAGTTTATAATTGCTCTTCACTGGTCTTCACATTATGCTAAGCAATATTTTCCAATAAGCAGGCTGATGAAAATGGGTCGTGGTTAAATGTGAAGTCTAGCTTGTTTTGTGCGATATCATCTGCAGAATTAACGAAATTCTCGGACTGTAAGAAATGCAGGAGGGTTTGGTTTGATACATTTTTGTAGACTTTCGTGTGTGTTTTTTTACCGCTTACTTTTCTGATTTACTAAGAAGTGACACACTGACTTGGCCGAGAGTTAACTTGAGGAATCCTCTGCAATGAAAGGAAAATGAAAGTTATTGGGTTAAAGTCTGGGAACTGATGCAAACAGCTACTGCTCTTGTGTTAACAACCAAAGTTGCTGGGATTGTTTAAAAATACAAGTTTTACTCAATTTTTTAAGACAACGACCAATTGACAATAAAAGAGGTATCGTACATGTAAAATCACTTTGCCCATGTTTTTTGTTCTTGATTATTTTCTTTCAATACATCGATGTTGTAGGTGGACCCAGACATCCGGGAATTGTTTACATTGGCTTTAACATCTTGCTCTCAGACCTATGTACTTGAAAGTCAATGGTTCTTGAGTCTGGAGTGCTGAATGGTAACACAAAGCAACAGATGAAAACTGGTATACAAATGAATAGATGTTTTTATCGGATGACGTCACTCCGCCCTGATCTATACTGAAAATCAATTTTGGTCGTCAAAACTGCTACTAAACTGTTTACTTTGAACTTACTCGGATGGCCTAGGCAGTGATTCGTGGATCTCCACGCACACTTTCTGTTTCTCTGCCACGTGCCTCTGTAGCTCCTCCCATCTTGGCTTGTCCTCCAATCCCAGGTCTTTACCGTGCCTGACCAAGATTAATCAACCAATCAAATGTGAGGACCTGTCCTGTTCTCGGGCATGGACCTTCTCATGTACAGCCAAGTGCCACAAATACTGATTCGCAAGAGTGATTTCAACAGTATTTGTACCATATTTCTTACCGAAACCTGATATGTTTCAACACTCTTGGTGTGCACTGGAGCCTAAATTATACAACAGGCCATGCACAATGGCCCACACAACCTTAAGCACACGGTCTGCCTCCACAGACAACACAGACTTTGTGTGTGTGTACAAAACAAAAAAAGGCACGAGAGATTAGCGTGTTTAGACGTCACCCGGAGGCAAGTCGAGGCAATCTTGACGTTTTAACCAGTCAGCCGTGCCTGGGTACAAAAACAGCCAGTGCGTGTTTTCACGGCCTCCAGCCCAAACTGGTTAACTTACTTCTTGAGGGTCTGGCCGATCTGTGTGTATTTCTTCTTCTGATGTGTCACCATCGACATGCAGGACTTCTCTATTGTCCGCAATGTCTCGAGGGTTTTCTGGTACTCTTTGCTTTTCTCCTGTGGAAAGGAGAAATTGTGACATGTAAAAAAAGTTTGTATCAAAGTTTGGTTAAAGAAACTGTCATTAAACGTAAAAGCTCTCATTTGAATGAACAAGATCGTGTATTCGGATAAGTTACTTTCAGGACCCCTCTTTGTTTTATAGTCCAGATTTAATTTTTCTTTCTTGCTTCATGGTTCTGAAGGATTTTTTTCAAAGGGAACCAAATTTGAGAACCATTTGGTTGACAAACTGATGCATGTGCAACGGTTGAAAAACAATAGAGCAATTGTACAATGTATGTAAAGTAATTGACGCCAGAAATTAATTGAAAAATAAACTAACCCTGTTGAATATCAGCAGGCTTAATTTTCTAGAAAGAGGCAAGGTTTTCATTTATAAGGGAAATTGTGGGATAAAACAACGACAGTGTGTAAACTATTGTGATTTGCACAGAAAACAGGCATGGCAGGTAAGGTGATAAGATTATGATTATTATTAATAATAATATTATTAAAGAAATTCGCATTTTCTTCCAATCCAAGTCAAAGATAAGAGAACTGCAAGTTGAGGATGCAAAAGTCTTTTGCCGATTTGGAGTTGACAGCTATTGTGCAAAAGTCATTTTTTAAAGGAAGTAGTAGCAGAAGTAGTAAAAATATAGATTTTTTGTACACTTTCTAACCTAAATTTGGGCCCAGGGGGCCAGCTTATTTATGTTAACTGGTTATTGAATCGTGTCTTGAGGGCGCTCTAACCATTCCCAGTAACAATATACCGGAATACCGGCGGCAGTGTGTACATAGGCCTATGCGAACTTTACGGAGACGAATGCAAAAACAACTGCGACTTGAAAGAAATGAAATTAGCCTACCCCTCAACACATCAAATTTTACCTGCAATGAAACGAACTCAACATTGAGATCATCAAGCTCTTCAGCCAAAGATAAAAGCATGGTATTCGCCATCGTTCATCAGAGCTACGGGAGCAAAAACAAAAAGCTAAATAAAATTTACACCGTCCTGTCAACATAAATGATGACACGACAGCTAGTCAGGTTCCAGCTCAAAGTTTTAAACAAATCACGTTGGGTTTGTCCAGGTACTAGACGACAGAAGTTTATGACCTTTGGCATTACAAAAACCTCGTCCAAATTGACTAAACATTTGTAAATTACGATAAACAAATTTAATGTTAAGAATATGTTAAAATTTCAAAACATATGTAGTGAATTGAATTAAAACATATTTGGCTATTTTTTTGTGGAAGAATGGAGAAATTAAAAATATCATCGGAACAGACTAAAACAATTTTTTTGAAGGAGGCTCTATATCTCAAAAGCACATGTTTTACATGCAAGAGCTTGAAAACCCGCTTTTTAAAGTTTCATAATTAGGCTCCACAAGTTGCATTTAGAAACAGCTCAGAAAATGGCCTTTTCGGTAGCTAGAAATTTTGCAAGTGCTGCCGGAAGAATGTTTACACAATGTAGATACGCCACATCGGCATCAGGGGCGACAAAATGCCTTTTGTCCATCCAGAAAGAGTGCCAAATGAGCCGGCCGTTCACCCGCTCGATTTGGTATCTGTGCAACAACAACCACACGAGCAAAGACAGCAGCACCGGGGAGCTGAAGCACGTGTTGGCCCAGGCATCGAGGCTGAGGGAACCCGGCAAGTTGTGCAGCTGCGGCTGTGCTGGGATACACACGCAGGGTAATTGTCTCGTTTTGGAATATACCTATTTTAGGCCAAAAAAAAAAAGTCTCCGGTTTCTGGTATGCGCGCGCGTCGCCGTAGCCATGCGCGTTGGCAAAATGAAAAAGTTTTTTTTTTCAATACAAGATGATGTCTCAAAACCGCCAAACTCTCTGGTTTGACTGGAATCCTGCTGCTGCACAATTTTAACGTGTTTTTAGATGGGGTTATGATCGAGAATATAGCTTTATGTGGCCGGCCTCTCTGGACTCCCATATATTTCATTATTTGCACTAAGTTTAGTCGGGCACCATTTGCAGTCATCAGCTGACATTTGAAGCCAAAAAAAAAAAAAACAGGTAAAAAAAAAAAAAAGCCGCGTCGCCGCACCACTTTTGGGGCAAGCTCCATACCAGAAACCGGAGACTTTTTTTTTTTGGCCTTATTTCTGTTTTAGTGTTTATATCATCATTGTCAAATTCAATACATTCATATCTGTTAAAATTTCACTTGCGCATGAAAAATATTTAAGATTTTTTTTTAAATTTGTGAATTGTCTGACATGTCTAAATTGTTTTGGTCTTTCTTTTGTATCAGTTTAAAGTATTGAATCAGGGAAAGAATGTTGCATCCTGACGCAGTTGTACTTCAGTGGTTGTGTACAAAGTCTATGGAGAGTCAAGAAAAATTTATTAACAAAGTATTAACAAGTATTAAGTATTAACAAAATTGGAAATGTTTCTCAGTCCCAGATTCATGCATTTTTCAACATTTTTGCCATGACTTTATAGTTAGGCTTTATTGAGATGAAATATGAAGTAAAAAGTCATGAAAGTGGCGTCAGGTTGGGGGTCAGACAAGTCGACCGTTGAGACAACTCGACTCGGGACAAGTCGACCGTTGAGACAACTCGACCGTTGAGACAACTCGACCGTATGTGCGATAATTGAAAGACAAGTCGACCGTTGAGACAAGTCGACTCGCATGTTTTTGGGCCTAGTTTTGGGGATTTGATACATGAGTTATGATACATGAGTTTTTTTGGTTGCATATAACAGAACCGATATAGCGCAGCGTGATTGTCCGTGCACATCGTTCGTTTTTGCCGGGCTTGTGCGCGCATCCCCGGTCAACGTGGCCGTTCCGTGCACGGTGACATCGTTTGTGCCGGGCCTGTGTGCCCACTTGCCGCGCCGGTCGACGTGCCGCGTGCCGGGCCGGGCCCGGTCCTCGCAGGCGGGGCGCGCCGGTCCGACGTGACGGCCACTGAATCGGAGCGCCCACAGATTTATGCAACTTTTTCCGCTCCACGTGTATACATTTCCATTAAGTGGAGCTGTCTCAACGGTCGAGTTGTCCGGAGTCGAGTTGTCTCAACGGTCGACTTGTCTCAACGGTCGAGTTGTCTCAACGGTCGACTTGTCCCGAGTCGAGTTGTCTCAACGGTCGACTTGTCTGACATCAGTCAGGTTGCAACATTCTTTCCCAAAAAACTTTCTTGCCATAAAATTGGATCTGTAATCATACAAAATATATATGAAATTGGCCTGCCCCTCATTCTGTTTAAAATTTCCAGGTATCACCAACAATGACCAAGGTAATAATTTATTCAGATATTAATCAAATAAGAAAAGCCATACAAATGTGAATCTAGCTACTTGTACTTTATAGCATTGTTTTTACAGATGCTTGCCTTTTGTTTGAAATATTGTGCAGGTGATGACGAGTTGGCCAAGTTCCTTGAAGATGAGATACAGCTGGAGAAAGACAGCCGGCAGTTCCCTGACGTCCCCAAACTACCCGGCTTTAAACTGACACAAGAGGGCGCCATAGCAACACTCACAAAGACAAAAGATGGGGAAACGTAAGAAATACATTCCATGGAAATGTGTACCCCTGATCACACAGTGCTTTGTGTGAAGAAAGGCCTCAAACCCTAACCCCCTAGGCCCTTGTTGCTTACAACCATCCTCAATCCTCCAAAATCCTCCAAAATTTTCCAAAATTTTGCAACTCCGCCTAAATTTTCCAAAATTGTCAGACAGTCCTGCCTCAAAATGCATTCATCCTCAATCCTCCAAAATCCTCTTGTGCTTCAGTCACCATTCATCCTCAATCCTCCAAAATCCTCATGTGCTTCAATCACCATTCATCCTCAATCCTCCAGAATCCTCATTTGATTCAATCACCATTCATCCCCAATCCTCTAGAATCCTCCAAAACCGCCAGGAGGATTTTGGAGGAGTGAGGTGGGTTAGGGTAGGCTAGTTCATGTGTAGTCCGAAAATTTGGAACTCTCAATACTGTGTATGAGAGTCCCAAAACTTAAGGTATTGAAAACATGCAATACAGAAAATAGACTGGCACCTAAAACAACCAGTCCAACACCGCTTCAGTACTGCATCAGTCAACCATGCCAAAAGAATTTAAGAAACATGTGGCATGAACCGGGAACTAGTCTCTATTTACCACACATTTCTCCATAGTCAGCTACCAGACTAATGACACTGAATGAAGAGGTCAGTCTTTTCAAATAGTTGGACCATGGTTGGACATGTGCCAGTCTAGTCTTTAGCCTCATTTGGAAATCACTCGACTTCCCTCTCATGTGCAAAATATTGAAGAAATATCTCCTTTACCATTTTTACAAATTGAATTGAGTCTGCAAACTTGGTTGGTGAAATACTGAGGGCCTATTCTTGCCCCAATGGATTTTTTGGAGAAATTTGCTAGCTAAAGAGTGAGTTAAGTTGGCTTGATATAGTTTTGCACGTTTCAGAGCACTCCAGGTCCCAGTCTGGTTCATGTGCACTTGATTTTCTTTGAACAGATGCAGAATCTGGAAAGAATTCCACACATGGACATCACTAATTTTTCCCTGCAATGGCCTTATCAGCCATAAGAGACAGAAAGCGATAACATTTCCTAAAAAGTCAAATTTAGCAGGGAAAATATTGAAGCATTTACTGAGAAAATACTCAGAATTTTGCAGACCAGTCTCTGAGTCTCATAGGGTTTGTGCACAGGGTGTCAAGTGATGTCCGGATATGGAATTCTTTCCCATAATCCGGATCCCACTTCATGGGGGTGTACAAAATCTGTTGGAGTCAACAACAAAAATTTGCAACTTTTTTCTGACAAAATTGGATGGTTTCTCAGTCCCAAAATTCGTAAATTTCATATGGTAAAAAGAGGTTTTCATACGGTGGAAAAATACGGTGTTAGGGTACTGCATTCTGCCAATTTTTCGTTAAATTTTTTTTTTTTTTATTCAGATTTTCATGAAGTACTAGTTCTACATTGAAGTTCAAATTAAGTTTGTTCAAAAACCAGGACACAAAAATACACATTTGTCTATAGATACTTGGCTTTAACAATTGTTATATGACCATTTCATTTATTACAGAGTGAAGGTGACATTCAATTTGAACCATTCTATTGAGGAGGAGCCTCAGGAAGACAAGCCAGATGAGGAGGCAGCATCACGGGTAAATGACCTCCCCTGCCTTGTAATGGAATGATCCGTTTAGCCCCACCCATGATATTTTGACCAATCACAGCCGGGATTTCATAGCCAAATGCTCTGACAAAAGTGTGACATTTTTGCATTTTTGCAGTTTGGAGACGCATGTGATGTTGCCAATGTGTAAATTAGGTGGGCTTTAATAGGCTAGGCCAATACCGGAATGGTTCTTTGTGACTCATCCAAACAAAATAGTCTCGTCCCAAGAGTTTTTAGATGATTTTATTCGAGTAAGTTGTGTTTGTGAAATTAAACCACGTTTTTGTCAGCAGTCACTTTACAAGCATGCTTTGAGAGCTGTCATGGAGAATATTAGCTCTTATTTGCATCTTTGACATCTTTTAAATATCAGCTAGTAAGCTTCTTTGAAAAACATGATGTTTAATATTTAATTTTAGCTCATTGTCAGTTTTTCAACATTCCAAGAATCCCAATCAGCACATGCAGTTTCGGACCAGCACACGCAATTTAGGCTGATGCATGTAAAACATGAGTGGCACATTTCAAATAATCGAATATTCAAATTGAATTTTGAATAATCGAATATTGAATTATTCAGAACTGCATAGCACTTATGAATTTGTAAGTCAAACTGACTGATTTGATAGAAACATGTCTCGGTGAGATAGGGGTTTTGATTATGAATTCTATTGTGAAGTCAGGCTGCATCCGAATTACCTGACTGCGGTTTGCAATTACACATGCGCCTATGGAAGCGGCTGAGCCACTTCCCAGACGCAGCCTCAGTCTAGAAGAAAGACAGCAACTGTTGAGTCTTGTCTCATACCACCTGTCTTTAATCCTAACTCCCCTGAATCCTTCAACATCCTTTTTGCCAAAGTGGAGGAATTTGGAGGATAGAGGTTACATGGCAAAAGTGTGTTACTGATTTCGTAGGATGCACTTTGTCAAGGTCTTGGGCTGGACCTTGTGTTGTGTTTGCTCAGCCATGCATAAATATAGGCCTGGATTATGCTTGAAATCCTCCGCAATGCTCCAGGATGTCACTGGCCAAGCCTTATTCTATTGACAGTCACTGCCGCAGGATTTTGTAAGATTCAGGCAGTGGTCACCCTTCCACGGACCATATTCAAGAAATAATGGAGGAATTTGCAGGATTTAGGCCATTTGCTATTTTTCCATGAGGCCACTTGGAGGATTTTGCAGGATTGAGGCTACATCCTAGCAAAAAGGCGTAGGGAGGTAGGGTTAACATCCAGTTTGTGTTTGAATTATGGCAACTACCAGACCAGCCAGCTACCTTGTTAAACATTTTTTGTCTTCTTTGACTCCTCCCAGCTGCGATCCTACCCAGAATTCACCGTGGAGATCACCAAGGATACCCAGAGCACCTTGACCATCAACTGTCGGTTTGACCTGAATGAGATGGAGCCCGAGGGGGAGGAGCCAGAGTCTAACGACCTCTTCATGATTGATGAGGTCAGCGTACAGGACGGCAAGGCCAAGGAGTCAACCTACATGGTGGGGTCAGAGGTCATGGATGCGGTAAGTCATGAATATTCATTAACCCTAACTCCCTAGGGCGATTCCATATTTGAAAGTCCAAAAATTGGAAAACCAATTACAGAAATTCTGTGAAAATACTCCAGTTACAGAGTCTCTTACGGAAATGGCCAGGAATGTGATATTTTGGGTCAAAATATAAGGATTTGTGGGGGTTTTTCTTCAAATTCCTTAGAATGTTTTGTCTCATACGACGGATGACTTTGTCCTAGTCTGTACGACATAAGTACTTTTTTGCTGTACTAAAATATTAAAATAACTTAAGATGATTGGATTTAGACAGAATCACTGATCAACTACAGACATTGTGACCTGAAGTGAAATGAAATGATGAGCACTGTTTCAGTACAAATTATGACATTATTCTGGGAAGTTCTTACGACACATTTTGCCTGTCCCTACGACATGCTGTCTTTTATTTGTGATTTTATTTAGTAAAAACAAGTTTACTGGAGAGATTGTAATATCTGACCCTTGTTTACAATGCGTTTTCAAGTTGGTGACAAGAATTTCTCAATGATCAACTCACAGAGTTGGTTTTTTTTTCTGCATCCTGCATGACACGTTACATTTTTATCAATATCCTAAAAATAGAAAGAAAAAGTTTGTGAGCAATAAGGCAAAAAAACACAATAGTTCTGCTTCCGATTACATGGCATTTGAAAGTAGGGTAGGTAGGTAGGGAAATAATTTTTTTTGCCAATTTTTTTTTTGTGTATGATTATATGGAGGCGCTGCGTGTAGTCAAGGGTAAAAGGTAGAAATTGATGGTTTTGGGAGTTTTTTTCTTGTTTTTCCCATAAAAAAATTAGGGTAGGGGCTGTCAGAATAGGGTAGGTAGGGAAACCGGAAGCAGAACTATTATATTTTTTTTGGCCTAAAGTAATACTTATGCAATAAGATGTCCTTCAAAAATGTCTGTCTCGGTAACCAGATTCTGTTGTGTTGTCATTCCCTCTCTCAGAATCTCTACAATTTCCTGATGAACACGTTAGAGGAGCGTGGCATCACAGACGAATTTGCAGAGAAACTCTCAGATCTGTCCAGTACCCTGGAACACAAGCTGTACATCGAGTTCCTTCAGAAACTCCAAGGGGTCGCCAAATTCTAAGGCAAGCTGGCACACTATACACGACACTCACAGGGGTGGAACTGGGGGACAAAGGGGGCAGTTGCCCCTCCAATTTGCTTTTTAATTTTGCCTTTGCACCGTGTCCCTCCACTTTTAGAAACTTTCGCCCACAATTGCATATACTGTTGTTTCCACTTTTTGGAAAGAGTTCCATACCTGGACATCACTTAACACCCTGTGCAGTGTGCACAAACCCTGTGAGACTGGTCTGAAAAAATTCTAAGTGCTTTTTCAGTAAATGCTTCAATATTTTCCCTGCTAAATTTGACTTTGTAGGATATGTTATCGCTTCTCTGATGGCTGATACGTCAATGCAGTGAAAAAGTAGTGATGTCCATGTATGGAATTCTTCCCTGCTAGGAAATCAAGCTCAGCTGTCAATACGATTTAAGATCCAGTACTGCACTTTTACCTTATTTTGTTCCCACAAGCACAACTTGATTTGCGTATCTCCAGTGTGACAAGGCAATGTCCAGAAAAAAATACATTTTATTTTACTTCCATGTATAAGCCTTTTTTAAAAAGTTTTCCCTAAATTGCCACTTTAACCATCCAGGAACGTTAAATGATTGAGCTGATCGCATTGTATCTTGATCCAACAAAATCTCATATCTAAGAAACCCAGGCTTTGCAGTAGCCCTTCATCATTAATTAATAAAAGAAAAATATTATTCTTGATTAGTGTCAACATGGCGAGACATTCCACCACTATCAGGGTCCCCACAGTCTTTGAAAAATCCTGGAAAACACTGGAATTTAAAGCTAACATGGAAGTCATGGGTTCATGGCATTTTTTTTTTTTATAAGGAGTCATGAAAAGTTGATATTCCAAGGAAAAAAGTCATGGAAAAGTCGTGAATCCTGCACAACCCATATGTGATGATGCGTAATATTTGGCTATGGCAGTCTTCCAGTTTGCATTCCAGTCTATTATACTTTATCATGCATGTGTGTGCTGTATACTTTTTGCATATTCAGTGCACCATTGCAATGCTTATGCGGTGCTCGGTGGTCTTGTGCCAAACCGGAAGGCTGAAAGGGAGTGGTGCACCTTGTTGCTAGACACTAGAGCAGTCGGCTCCTAAGATGCCAAAAAGCATAGGGAATTGGTCTTGGAAAGCTATAATTTTTTGTCCTGGAAAAGGTGGAACTTCATTGGAACCTTGCACTGTGACCCACGTTCAAATCTAACCTAGGTCGAAATAATTATGGATATGGTTTTTAATCTATGCCTGATTCCATCGATTTCCTTCCCAACTCAAGAAGCCGATGTTTCTTCATCAACTGCCCTCTTTAAGTCTTTTCTCAAAAGCTACATTGGCCATGCGCTTTCCAGGAAACCCCTGTGTCATTACCAGGAAGAGTTAAAGTAAAGTCTGTCCCGAGCCAATGTGGCTCATCAGGCCGGCGTTTATCTCCGGTTTCAGTAGCATGAAACGACTGAGAATATTTCTACTCCACATGGATGGGATGCTAGTCCATCGCAGGTTACTCCCCAGCTAATGCCGGTACCCATTTATACTCCTGGGTGGAGAGGGGCAAGTGGGGGTGAAGTGGCTTGCCCAAGGACATATGACCAGCAGCTGGATTCGAACCCCGGACCCTCTGATCATGAGTCACGAACCCTAACCACTAGGCCACACACCTTCCAGCAGGAAGAGTTAGAGTTCATAAAATACAACAAAATAAAATGAAAATGTAGGTACCGAAATACCTTTCGCTGTTTGTGTAAAAGCCCTCACAGACATCTAATAGCAGTGATTATTTTAAATGTAACAATAAACAAAAGAATGAGAACACAAATTTCATGATTTTTGCCTTGCTTTTTTTTATGTTTTTATTTTATACATCCTGGTTGTTTTATGTCGGCGTAAAAGAGTTGCGATGGAAAAGCCTAAGGTACAGTTGTGATTGTAGGTTATTATTCTGCATTATAAAATGATTTTATACTGAAAAAATATACTATCTACATATATATACACATTGCTTTGTGAAGTCAGAGTTATCCTGAATACTCCAGAATCACAGTATGGAAGTTGAATGCCCTGCAGCAAAAAATGGACCAAGTATAAGACCGGTGTCATATGAAATCTGTACTCTTTCACCTACATGGATGATAAATCCCTCATACGTGACCTGTTCCTATCCTAATTATCTTCACACAGGCATGCGCAATACGACCAAAGAGTCTGTATTTCATAGAGTCCAAATTTCATACCACACCGAACTGTCCCCCAAGTCTAGGGCTTTGTCTAATCACAAACCCAGAGTTTGAAGGTACTAGCCAGAAATGAAACACAGGTGGAAAAAGTACACCTGTTGACTAGATTTATAGACTAAGGTGTCATCCTGCTAGCATACAGGTGGTATGTGTGCACTCTGTACTCTGGCCAGCTTATGGTGTTCAAAACTTCAAATTACAATGTACATGAGGGGTGAGTTATGTCAGGATTTTTTTTCCTGGTTTCAGGATTTTAATTTTTAAAGAATCCCCTTTTGAAATCTGGAATTCCTGAGGTTTTACCGTAAAGATGTTTTTACCTTCAAAAGGGAATGTTCATGTAGAACAAAAGAAATTGGTGTTTTATGTGTATCTTTAGGCAACTTTATTTACACATACCATAGACCCTACACTGCTCATGGGCTCTCGGTGACTCTCGAACCCTCTGCCTATTATTTCATGGATTTTTCGTTTTCCGCCAACCTCACCCCTAGTACATGTGCACCTGACATTGTGACGTGACATTCGCGTGAGCGATGCGCTAACTTAGTAATGGCAATAGCATAGTCTGTCTATAAGTACATAAATCTGCGCTGCACCATTCTCTGGTAAGTGAAAAACTGAGCCCCCTAAAAATGTCCCTACAGCATTAAATTCCAAAGAAATACAAGTGTCTAATAAAGTTTCTTATAAGTTAAGTCATTAAATTCGCCTTTATTAAAATGCGAAAATATATACACAGTAAGTCTATGAAAATTTGTTTAATAATTATTGCACGAATATCTGACTGGAATTTTTTTTGTTCTTGATAAATGGAATGAAGACGGACGGAAACAGTTCCTTATTATTATTCCTTTTCACATGTGGTATGGATTCTTGAAAACTTTATCCTCAGTGTTTTCCAAAAAGATTAGACGGATAAGCGTTGGTGCTATAAGTATTGGTCACATTTACTTACTTCACGGTTAAAAAAACACACGGGTCTATGCAGCCGCTGCAGCGGCTGCAGCACGTGTGTAATTTCCAGTCGTAGCCAAGTAATTCGGACACGGCCTTAGTAAACTGCTTAGTAAACACAGCCTTAGTAAAGTGCCAGTGACCAGATATCTACTAGCATGATGCAGTGTATTGTGTTTATTATCAAATACCGGGTTCGACATGTCTAGAGACTCGACTATCATGATTTGGAATGGATATGCACCCAGCCAAATGCATGTGCGTTATGTTTCCATAGAGAGGGCTAATGATAGCTTGCCTGTACCACTGAGGAGGCATCCATTATTAGAGTGGGGATATATTTCTCTAGATCAGTGTACGTTTCTTTTTTCCTATATAATATATTGCTCTAGATCAGTGTACGTTTCTTTTTTCCTCGGAACATTCTCTCATTAGAATATAATACACAATGCCATAATTATAGTAAATTATAAAATTCTAACATGTCAATTATTGTTTTCTGAATGAGGAAAAAATGATGGAAAACTGACAAGCTCAGGTATAAGTTTTTTAACCTCTCGAAGAATGGGAATGCTCTCTGCCCCATTCATTTACACCGTGTGTACGGTGTAACATGAATATTCATATTCTCTGGATTCTTAACCAATCAGACTGCTCCGTCCAAATCTGGCAGCAAGTCTCAGACTTTGTGTACAAATCTGTGAACAAGTTATTCAAGTCAATAATTGGATTTGACATACATGCATATTGGGGTCGAGGATGCACAAACCGTCCCCGTATATAAGTGCCGTACCACACGCTACATACACGTACCGTGGTATGCGTTATCGGTCCATATCGCACATGGCAGGCGAACAAAACCCGGCAAATCACCAACTTGCTTTCCTAATAATATTTTAGCTGGTAACCTGTTTTATTGCCAAGCCACTATATTTCTATGCTTTTCCAAGGTTAGGAACTCCATTAAATTGGCTCCTGGTACCCATGAATTTTTACTTTAAGCAGCAAATTGTCATTGCATGGTAAAAAATAAATTAACATTTTCAGAATATTTTGCTTTAATTTGACTTGGAAAAATTAAACTTGTGAAAGACTTCATACGGCCCTAACCCCTTTGAGTGATTTACCAGGAACCTTCCTCATCCCTTCAAATTCCAATACCAAACTCTACACCCAAACTGTTGGACTCTGATTATGGTGGTATGCCTAACCCCATGTAAAGCATAATCAGTTTACTAGTGCAGTACTCCAACAGATTCCAACAAACCCTGGTGTTGGAGTTTGACTGGATGGGGACTGTTAGGGTTTTAATAGTTACATGTATTTTCAGATGTGATCATAAATTACGGGATGGGGGACTTAATTATATATACATACTATATTCAAGCCTCTCGTTAGAATGTTTATTAAAAAAAGAGTTATTTACAGATAAAACATGATATATAAACAAAATATACATATACTATGACATGCAGTTGTTTTTCCAAATTTCTATATTTGAAAAAAAACTGCATTGCTCAATACATACTGAAAATCTTTGGTTTAGTACATGTATTTAATTGCAAGTTGAAGAGCTGTCTCTTTATGTACTGCAAGTTGGCGCACAGAAAAAAACATGCAAATCAAGCCAACTTTACTCATTCTGTAACCAACAAAGTTGTGCAAAATTTCCATGAAGCAAAGATGAGGTCCTTGATATTTCACGAGCCAGGATTTAGGTCTTAAGTTCAATTTGAGAGTAGAGTTTTCTTTGGATTTTTTGCACCAGGAAGTGAAGCCTTTACATTTTAAATACACATGTATGCAGCCTTAGACTAAACTGGTATACGTTCCAACTTTTTCACAGAATTGACCAGTGAGTAGTCTGGTGACACTACTGTGGACAAAATGTATAGGAATAGACACTAGGTACCAGATGTTTCTTTGGACTGGTCGATTTATGTGCCAAACCATTTTCTTGTTTTACATGTTTTTACTCTCTGAAGTTTGGAAACTTTCAACAACACAGTATTGAGAGCCCCCAATTTGCAGACTAGCGCTGTTTTATGAGATGGTGCATAGTGACCCTTTGCAGAAACGACGTGTGGAGCCTGTGTCGTCATCCCCAACCTGTTAACAAGGGGAAAAAAAGAGCGATAAAAGCTTGAATATTGTGTATTATACAAATAATGAATGTTTGTGAGTGCAATGGTAAGAATAATTTCATTAGGTGACAGATGAAACATTTGCCGAGTGGAACGGAACATTTCATCTGTCACTGAAAGAAATTATTTTTTCCATTGCACGAACGTGAAACATTCATTATTTGTGTTATATAACACCTGAATAAATTCTTGTCATCTGATTGGTTGACTTTTAATAGCTAATTTATTCAGGTTAAAAACTGTTAAAAAGTTTGACAAGTTCATCAAGTTTATATAAATGCAAACTGTTCAACAGGTTTAGAACAATCATATTCAATTTATCTCAATTTCAAACAGCGCCACCACCAGCAGCAGTAACACTGTGCAATGGAAGTTCTATTCAGCGTCATGGGCGTCGCCAGGATTTTTTCTAGAGGGGGGCAAAAAAATTTTTTGCCAAAAAATGCTTGTATTTTTCAACACATTCTCGATTTATCAGTTTTAGAGGGGGGCAGGGACATTTTGCCCCCCCCCAACTCATTAAATTTACACCACTTTGTCTTCGCGCCTCTTTTTCTTTTTTCTTTTTTTTCTTTTTTTTTCTTCCTTTTTTTTTTTTTTTTTTTTTGCTTTTCCAGGGGGGGGCAAGTGCCCCCCCTTGCCCCCCCCTCGCGACGCCCATGTTCAGCGTGCAATAGAACTTCCATTGCACTGTGCGCTGCGTGCCACGCGTTGGTACGAATATTTCAATGACATGTGATCAACGATCCACCAATCAGATGACGGGGATTTATTCAGGTGTTGTATAAAAGGCCTTGTCCATAGAGTGAACGTACAGTTGAACGTAAGAAACTTTCTGACCTTTTCATTTTTCATGTATGCTGGAAATCTTCATGCAATGGTCCCCCATTTTTATATTAAACGAAAATTGAGACGTGATCCAAATCTGTCCAGCTATTCCTACGGTCAAAACTCCATCAGAAATCCATCTCATTGTGCATTATGCTAAAGTAGAAGTGTTCAAAATGGAGATTTATAGCTGTAATGTAAATTCCTGTATCAGTTAACGTAACAAGTGGGGGGGGGGAGACTTGCTTTTTAGAAATACACCATTCATATATAACTCAACCAACATTTGATGGATAATCATAACCATCTTCTGCATCATTGAACTTTGCATAGCTTTGAACTGCAACACTTTTATGGCAACCATTATATGGCAAATGGGTTTTAGTGCCTGCTCTTAAACGTATGGCTTTCAAGCCTGCTTTTCAATCTGTCCCAAGACAATTCAGAGAAGCTGGAAGGAGAGCAAAGGGTCAGAAGCCAATTCAGGAGCTTTATTGTAATTGTGTGTCCCAGAGGGAAGGCAGAGGATATGAGTGCTGTGCATTTTCCCGAATAATTTAGTATTAAATTTTTCCAACTTGGACTTGATCGAATATTCAAATATTCGATTTTGAAATGCACAGATCAAGTTGAGCGTTCGCCTGCCTGCACCTGTGCTTGTCCAAAAATTGACAAAGTGCTTATTAAAATAATATAAAGAACGGGTAGAGGTGGCTGATATTTAACTGAATTTAAACAAATTAATTTTAGGTACTATTCCTCATCATGGAAGCTCCCAAATATGCATGATGTGACCATGGCTTTCAACAAAAGTGTGGTATTTAATAAACAAGAGAGCCACACAACTTAAAAGTGTTCTTCATCTCCTCGAGCTCGTTCATTTTTTAAAAATATTTTGAATATAAACAAATGCTATTTGGATATCGATTATTGCATGAATATTTGAGTATTCAGAATAAGCGGCACAGCCTTAAGAGGATGGGTAAGTTACCAAGGATTCACTGTCTCTCTGTTTTCCATCCGTCCACGCCTTCCTGGCCTCGGACGTCTGTGCTCCAAGTCGGCTACTCGTCTTCTCCAGTTCACACACCTCCAACTCCTGCATCTCAAATTGTTCAGACGATGTCACGTGACGCAGTGCGTGTACGCGGATCGGCGACTCCGCCCCCGAGTTGTCGTAGCCACTCGGTTCCGAGGACTGCACCCTGTTGCGCTTGCTCAGTTTGTGGCTGCGGCTGCTCCCTGAGCTCGCTCGGCTGCCGTAGTGCTTCCTGTGGATCGGCGTGCCGGGAAGACTTATTGCGTGATTGTTCACAATGCTGAGGTCTTCGATGCTCTGTGCACCATCTACAGAGTCAGCAACCACTGGCGTCCTTTGCTCGTTGGCATCCGGACAGTTTTCGAGGTGGTTGTTCGGGAAGTAGCAAGTGCATTTCTCAATCGGGGGAAGGTGGATCTCTACAAGTTCCTGGATTCCTTCTTTGTGTGACTGTTCAGAGTCTGGTGTGCATGTGCATAGAATTTCCTGCAAAGGCTGATGGAAGCAGGGACATACAGAAGTTATCGGCAAATTTATAATTGTAAATACCAAGGCAACAGAGATTCTTAAATTTTGTATTCCTGTTGTAGAATCAAGATTTTGTTTTATTTTATAAAACAAAGAAGATTCAGGTTAATGGGGCTTGTTTGTTGTTTTTGTATCTTTGTAAAGAAATTTCACGAGCTTCTTCTTTGCGGTTAAATTGTTCGGAAAAAACTGTACCTGATTTAGGGAAATAGGATGGTCAAATATTTGAACTCCCTTCACAAAACGATTGAAAAAGCACAGTCTGGTCACTGGAGGGTCAGGATTGTGCAGTAGAATCTCTGGTTTTAGCACCTTTAATTTTGATTTCAAACATTTAAAACTTTTGTGAGGGATTAAGTACATGTATTTTTTAAAGGCCTTAAGGCAGCTACTTTATAAGGTTGAGCTACATGTATACTTCATGTACTTACAACCTCGGTACTCCATTAAACTATCAACATTTTTTTGCTAGCATTCTCCAACAAATTAGTGGGACTTAATTTTGTATAGAAAAGTAGTGAAGTCCTTCTCGGTTCAATATGGCTCATGAGGCCGGTGCCTTTCTCCAGTTTCCTTGGCATAAAATGGCTGATATTTGCATTTCCCCTGGACAGGATGCCAGTCCATAGCAGGTTACTCTGCTAGAACCCACCTGCTGGGACCCATTTATACTTGCGTCTTGAGAGAGGCAAGTCAGGGTAATGTGGCTTGCCCAAGGACACAACATGCAGTGGCTGGATTCACACCCCTGACCTCTCTGATCATGAGCCTCAAATCCTTGCCTCATTCCAGAGCTGGAAATGTTCACCAGCCCCTGCTGTCAGGGTGATGTGGCTTGCGGCTTGCCCAAGGACACAAAGTGCAGTGACTGGATAGAAACCCCGACTCCTCTGATCAAGAGCCTCAAATCCTTGCCTCTATCCAGGACTGGAAATATCCACCAGCCCTGCTGTCTGGAATTCTGAATGAAATTTGCCCTGTATTCCATCTACAGGGCGAGTCAAAGAAAAGCGAAGCCCAAATGTCGGGACTATTGTATTAGTGAAGTTTTGCATATAGCACTTTCAAAATCTAAGATATGAAGGCCCAATTCATGAGCTTTCTTTTTTAGAATCATTCTAATCACTCATGTACATGTACTTTTCAAGTTGCTGAATTTTAAACACAACCACCGTTTTAAAGTTCTGTCCACGGATCCAAAAAGGTGTGTTTTCTTTCAGCAAAACGAAAACAATTCACACACATCCCTATGTGAATTGTTGTTTTTTCCTGAAAGAACACTCACCTTTTTCTGATCCTTGGACAGCACTTTAAAACAGTGGTTGTGTTTAAAATTCAGTAACTTAAAAATTACATGAGTCATTTGAATGATTCTTGTACTAAAAGAAAGCTTATGAATTGGTCTTTCGTATCCTAGATTGTGAAAGTGCTACATGCAGAACTTCACTAAAACAATAGTCCCAACATTTGGGTTTTACTTTTTTTAATCACCCTGTACAAAAATCACCCGTCTTACCTTGAGGGTGATCAAGATATCCAGAGGAAAGTTGTCCTGGTCATCCAGGCTGCTCTGGTAGAGCAGCTGAGTCTGATCATAGGTGTCTTCGGTTCGACTCCCGCTGAGGTACGCAATGAGGTAAAGGGTCTGCCAACCGTTGGCCTTGTATCCTGGCAGACATGAAGTGAGAGAGTCTTTAAACCAATCAGTGCCAAGGTACAGTTCTGTAGTTCTCAAAACTTGATGTATAAATACTTCTTGTGTTTGATACTTGATGAGTAGTTTTCGGTAGAGATTGCATTACAAATATTACCTTTTTCTAAATGTTCAGTAGTATGGATGTAAAACAATTTCTAAACCAAATTATCCATTACAAATTTTAAGTAAACCTAACCGATTTTCTTCACTGTTTTCTTTTTGCAATTATACCGCCTCCATTTGTTAACTTTTTTCGACAACAGTAACACTTACCTCTTTCCCCAATAGAATTCTCTGTTAAGAGGAATATTGTGGACTCGGAAAGAAAAACTATTCGGAAGGGTAATCAAGTAATCACAATAGAGTTATCAAGAAATCACAAATCAATGACCAGTGAAGCACGGGTCACAATGCTCCACAAGTGACAACCTACTCAAATCAAGGATCCCTGCTCAAATCAACTGTGACAAAGTCATTCCCTTTCATTGTTCATCCCCTGTTATTTTTTTTAACTGACTTTCGATTTGGTTTGTGGTTTACTTGTGATTGACTTGCTTTCAACTCTTCAGGATTGCTACTTTAATGTTATCTTTCTCTCCTGAAGACGATCGGAGCATACTCATGGGAACGTCGAGTTTCACACCCAAACGGTTCTTTCCAGAACCACACTTCTTCTCAGAAGAGATTATTCCACATGGTGTTACCACAAACCTCATTGGTATACTTTCTCAATTCTCATGCTAGTTCAAACCTGATTGTTCTGGAGCCTGCTCAGCGTCAGGACTGACGATGTCGTACGTGACCATTCCTCCTCGCAGCGTCCTGCTCAGGGTCAGGGCTTGGATGGAGTCCACGACCAGACCGGTGCCGGTCAGGTCAACCTTCCAGCTGATGGATGCGTCGCGATGACCGTCTGCCCTGGTCAAGTAGGCCTGGAATCAAATGGAAAAAAAACAGGCAGATTTAAGGAATGGACTAGACAGCGAAATGGGAAGCGAGGTGATTTGTCCTCGCCTTCCACCGGTGTGACCCGGGTTCGATTCCCTTCAAGGCTTCTGGTCAACATGAGGTTTGTATTGTCAGTCCCTACCTGTTCCATGAGTTTTCAAGGGAATGTCATCCATCTGGAGTTTTCTTCCCCCTTAAAACTGAACATTTCTTCATTTCATCATGGAGGAAATTCCTTCTTATTCCTCCAAAATTTCATCATGTTCTCTCTCCAAATTACTTCAGGTTTTCCAACTGCAGTACCTTTGCACTTTTGAAAAATCTCTGGTTTCAGTACCAGTAATTTTAAGTAGGTTTACAATACACACGATCCTTGTACATTGTATTTGTGACAGACAGTTGGGTTGTTTATAGTCAAGTCCTTTTTCGACATTATGAGATTGAAAATGTTGAGTTTATCAGAATCTAACGTTAGTCACAAGACACTTATCATGAAAAAAAGCTATCGGTGAGAATATCCATGATTTTAGGCTGTATGTTGTGCAATGGATGTCGTCACTAAATTCAGGTAAAATACGTGTACACACTAGTGTAGGCCTATACGAAGATAAATCTTCCCAGTAGCTCCTTGAATGCGCGCATTTGGTCATTATCACAACAAGGGACAGAAAATTGCTATAATGAAAACAAAAATGCAATTTGGAGGTCTGACAAGGGAAAGTCCTGCTGGAACAGAAGCCATTTACTCTCCAGATGTACATGTAATTGTCTTGCCAGAAGGCAAACTCCCTCCTAGTTGGGTGCTTTGGAGGATGCAAAATATGATCAGCAAAATTTGAAGGATGTATGTTATATATCAGCAGCAGCAGATAGCTGATCTGTTGTGTAATATCCGCAAAAGAAGTGTACGTACAATCATGTGTAGTACACTTTTCGTATGGCAACTAAACTAAAGTATCTTGAAGGGTTGGTATGTATATAGCAAGTCCTCGTTTACTGCATGTAGTTTTAATGACTATCTGACAATGACGATATAGTTTAACAATATCGTATTAAAACCATTGTTCCTTGCTTAAAGGGAATGCACACTGTAGATAATAAAAACATGGAAACGGGTAAAAGTTTAAAAAAGATGAAAGGTGAATTTTTACAAGGCTCGTTTCTATGTGTAACATTCTAAAGGATGTCATGCAGAACAGTTTTCAAAATTTTCAAAGTACGTTTATTAACAACATTTTTGTTCGTGCAAACTAATGCAAAACAAAAACCATGGCCGATCATTCAAATGCGCGTTTGAATATGGAATGATACAGGCATATCTCCACTAATGGGGATCAATGTTATATCTGGAAACACAATACATTGGCAATTCCACGGTTACTCACGTTACAAAAATGTAACGAGAGTAACCGACTTTGTGCGTCTTGTTTATCATACATAACACATTTTTCTGGATGTCATCTTTGGTGCTTAGGTAGGTCTAGGTCTACTCTATCTACCATGGGGATAACAGTTATTAAACCTTTTCAGTAAGGTAATTACAGCCCATCAAGGAAACTCAAAAGTACATCAAAAATGTAACGTGAGTAACCGTGGAATTGCCCATTGGCATTAATTAGCAATTATCGTTGTGGTCGCCAGCAATGTTGCTTGGATATCATGGATCATAATAAAGCTCCGTGCTTGGATACCGGTACATCACGTTATCATTCAATAGATAATTAATTCAGACGAAAACGAGACTGCATTGTAATTATTCAAATAATGGCGGTGGGGAAAAGTACATTATGTATGGATTTTGCCAGAAAAAAAAGAAAAACAATGGCTCGCCAAGGGGGGCCCGGCCCCACCAGCCCCCCCCCCCCCCCTCCCCTTGGCGACGGGCCCGCATGCATAACTGTGACCAGTTCTGAATGGGGTCTACCCGATGCCTTTCCCGAAATCCTTAGGGTTAGGGTTGGGGACCATAGGTACGGTATTCACCCGTTAACTTTTACGAGCGGAGCGGAACACAAAAACGTACCGGTATACCAACGCGACGCAGTGGCCGTGGTTCATTGCGCGCGCGCAGTGCTAGTTACTGACGTCATGATCATGGTCATCTTCACTGGCGTCATGACAATGTCAGGCGAGATCACGGCAATCAAATTACAGATGATGTAGTGCTTTTAGTGTCTCAACTTGACTGTGTGAAATTCTTTTTATAGCGTGGCTCTGAGAAAGAGCCTCATGTTACATGCAGCTATGAGTATATTTTTGAGTGCTTTTTAGCATCGAAGTGAAACACATTTGTTAACTCAAAAGGTGATGTTAATGTGCTACATAACATGTTCCCATAAAAATTATATTAAATTGTACAATATTTTTCCTAGATTAAATTATTCTCATAACTCTTTCAATATACATTAAATATATTATGAAATTTCAGGGTTTTTTTAAACAGGTTTATGATATGGAATGGACTGATTGATAACGGGCCGAAATTGAATAAATAGAAATATGGTAACATAACTTTTAACCTATCGGAATTATCTAACAAGGAGGTGAAACAAAAGAAGTAGACTCTTTTCAGAGTTTTTGTTTACCTATAAAGTGCACTACTTACCAGATCATGATCAACATGCCTCTCCACATTCACAGCCGCATAGATGCCGTTCTCCCAGCCATCAATAACGGCTTCATCGGAGCCCAGCCTGTAGTATGCGTCGTTGCACGTGTGGTAACGCAGATTGAACACTTTGCGCTCAATCTCGCACTCGGTCAACGTGAAGACGTGGCCTTGTGTCCGTACCTTATTTTCATGATATTGAGATAAGAGATTGTGAGGATCTTGAAAAGGACACAGTAAAAATGAAGGAAAAGAGAAAATATTCTCTAGTTTTTTTCCCATGTACAAATAAGTTTAAAGGTTTTTAATTTTTCTTTTCAGATATTGAATCCAACTTGAAACTGGTAAAAACAACCCTCATTTTTCGGATTGGATTGCAAAGTGCGTAGAGATGGGTCGATGGGGTTGAAATTTGGGGCTTCAAATAAAACCAAAAATTGGGAAATCGAGTCTCATTCTTCTATCTTGCTTGATGGACATAAAAAGATATTAATATCGGCTTGTGGTCCTATGTTTCAAACGAATAAGTTTGCTACAACGTATAAGCCTATAGAATCTTCTATCATCATTACAAAAGCAGAACTAGTTTTTTTTGTTAAAAGTTACTTAGCTCTTACTTGATGTACGCCTACAGAATAATTTTGCTACAACCTCTGCTATAGCAGAGGGCTGTGGACTACATTTGTATTTGAATCATACGATAAAGCCGTGGTTTTTGTTCAAAATTACTTCCTGTCTAGAACCGCTAACAAAAGATTTCATTTGAAAGGAAATATCTTCAGTCTCAAGACATTCGACATTATGATGTTCATGATAATCATTCATTGCACTTAAACAAATTACTCCGAGCTAGGTGTATTTACGTAAAAAATAATCCCTCAATACATATACAAAGCTCTTCAAGGTTCCGCGATTCTCATTAATATCAATATTATGACATCTGACATTTTACCGATCCTTTACGTTATTAATTTGGACATGCAGGATCTCTCGTCCTGACATGGCATTGCTATTCCAACATAATCTCATTTATAGCCTATTAAGTCGACTGTGCTATACCGGTATAGCGCTGCTCGGGACGGACGGTTATTTTAGCAATTCGCTGCTGCCGCTGTAATCGGTTTGGCGCGCTTTCTAATCCAATCAGAATTGAACAGCCGGCTTCCGTTGATCTTGAGATGTCATGTTTGATTGCCACGGTCATCAATGGTCAAAACGTTATAGGGAAAAGACATCCTTCATAGATCCAAAGGTAGCCTTTTAAAGATTTTTTTTTTTGGTTCTCAAATCTGGTGTAGTAAGAAAAACGTCAAGTGGACAAGACTGAACATACTTTTTGAGGTTTACCAAAAGAAAATGCATCCGTTTCTATAGCACATATTAAAGAAATTGACACCTTTTTTTTAATTTTGACAATAATTTCCAACAACAAAATTGTAAAGATTTAATTTCTTGGGAAAAAATGTTGCAACCTGACGCCACTTCAGCGGTTGTGTACAAAGTCTATGGAGAGTCAAGAACATTTTCGAAGTATTTCCTAACAAAACTGGAAATGTTTCTCAGTCCCAGATTCATGTCTTATCATCATTTTTGCAATGATTGACCTTCATTGAGATAACATATGAAGAAGAAAGTGGCGTCTGGTTGCAATATTTTTCCCATTTTTTTTTCAATATCACTAAAAGAAACGCCTTACCTCGTCCTCTCGCTTCAGGGACACCACCGAATCTGTCGAGAAATATTGAGGCAAAACTCATGTTTCTATAAATTGAACGATTGAATTATACACTGACGTATAAACGGGGAGGGGTAAGGGTTGGGCGCGCACGGGGGCATGTTGCTTCTCGCACCCCTCCAGATGTTTTTTGGTTACATTTTATTTAACCGCACCATTTCCGTGCTTCGTTCCCAAAAGTGGTCATTTTCGTACTTTGCAACGCCCTAAATCGCAATCACCACCCAAGTTTTTAAAAGTCTGCGATCGATGCTGTGTTTTCAAGTTGATGATCTAGATTTGTTTAAATGGTGTAGGTTTCGTTATCTTGACATAATTGATTTCTATTAATATTTTGAATGTTGTTTCTTCCATGGTGATTTTTCTGTAATGTGTGTTATTTTGTCCTGTCCTGGCTTTGTCTTGTCCTGGTCTTCAACGGTCTGATGTTTGTTTTTCGTTGTGTATTATATGCTTTGTGTACAAGCTCTGCAGTGTGCCTCTACAGGGTAAGTAAATAAAAAACGAAACCCAAATGTTGGGACCATTGTTTTAGAGAAGTTCTGCATGTGGCACTTTCAAAATCTAGGATATAAAAGCCCAATTCATAAGCTTTCTTTTAGTACAAGAATCATTCAAATCACTTATGTACTTTTCAAGTTATGGAATTTTAAACACAACCACCGTTTTAAGGTTCTGTCCACGGATCACAAAAAAGGTGTGCGTTCTTTCAGCAAAACGAAAACAATTCACACATATCCCTATGTGATTTGTTTTCGTTTTGCTGAAAGATCGCTGAACTTTTGTGATCCGTGGACGGAACCTTAAAATGGTGGTTGTGTTTAAAATTCCGTAACTTGAAAAGTACATGTATTGAGTGATTTGAATGATTCTTGTACTAAAAAAAGGGGCTTCTATTTCCTAGATTTTGAAAATGCTGCATGCAGAACTTCCCTAAAATAATGGTCCCAACATTTGAGTTTTTTGGGGTTTTTTTACTCGCCCTGTACAGGTTGAGTAAAAAAAAAAGGAAACTCAAAATGGCGCCCCCGCTATTAAGAAGTTCTGCATGTTGTATAGCGCTTTCCAGATCTAGGATATGAAAGCCCAATTAATAAGCTTTCTTTTAGTACAAGAATCAGTCAAATCACTCATGTACTTTTCCAGTTATGGAATTTTGAATACGAACACCGTTTTAAGATTTGTCCACGTGATATTATTTCAGTAAAAATGAAACCATTATCGTAGCACGAAAACGATATCAGAATCCCACTGTCTCCGGGTAGCGAAGTAGAAGGCAGGGCAAGACTATAACTTTTGACATTATAAATGATGTTGTTTTGGAAGCAGAAGGTTTTTAAATAAATGTTATGATCAGTGCCAATTCTAATGTCATATATGAGAGCGTTCAGATGTGTTTTATGATATGTGAGTTGTTTTTGCTGAAATATCACACCTTTATTGTGATCCGTGGACAAAACTATAAAACCGTTTGTGTTTAAAGCTACAGTCCATCATTTGTAATTTGTTCATTTTGTTCGTTTGAAGCAACAAAAGAGTTCAAAATCTAATGAAGGATACTGAGCAACTAACCTGATGAAGTTTCAGCTAAGCTTCAGCTGTACATTCCGAGAAAAACAGCATTCTAAGATCTTAATTTCAAATCAAAAGTTACTGAATCATGTTTTGAATTGTTTTGAATTGCAGCTATACGCGACGTCACGCACTGATCCGACGAATTATAACAACCGCGCGCGCGTGTGCGTCGTTCCAATACTTGTGCGCGCTGCGCTGAATAACAAAACGAACTACTAATTTAAATTTTCCTAAGGTGCTTCTTAAGAATCACCGTTGGAAATGCCTTCTTTCGTTGATTACTTCAAAATGACAGCTTCCCGGAAAGAAAAATTTCACAGGGAGTTTAGTTCCCCTTACTATCTTTCATCCAAGTTTGTTTTTCAACAATAATTACGACAGTTACTTTTTGGATGGCTGCAAATGATGGATGATAGCTTTAAAAGTTCATTACTGGAAAGGTACATGAGCGATATGAATTATTCTTCTACTAAAATAAAGCTTATGAATTGGCCTTTCACATCCTTTTTTGGGGGGTTTTAACTCGCCCTGTATTCCTCCCCGTCTTCTTTCTTTATATGATTTAGCTTGAGCAGTGTACCATGAGTTTCTTAGTTAATCTGGCCCTTGTTTTTCATGTATTCCGATTTTTGGTATAGTTAACTTTTTTCTACGTTGTATATTTTTTGTATTGAGGGTACATGTATTACGCCTTATGTTTACTTTGTGTCTTCATTGATTATACTTCGAAGTTTAAAGATACTGCAGTACATGCCATTGACAAACTTATACATTATAGGCTTATGGCTATAAATTAATCGCCTTATAGTTTCATTTCACTCCTTTTTACCCTTTTCTTATACATGTTTTATTTCTTGATTTCTCTCAAAGTACATGATTTTGTTTGTGGAATATGAATAAGTGTTGCAGTGATTGAATTGAATTGTACATACTTTTTATAAACTCATTTTTATTTTACAGATCTTGAATTTTTGATCTTCCACGAAGAACTGGGGAAAAATTAACATTCTAATAATCCACATTACGTCATTAATAACGATGATTTCAAAAAATAAAAATAATGACTGAACAATAATGTGAAAAACATATGTCGGCGACTCATGTCGTTAGATCAGATCACATTTTGTTTCGTCAGAGAAAAAGAACATTTTAACTAGAATAGGCCTACCTCTGGTCCATGTGAGTTTCATGGGATCGGCCTTCGACGGTAGGGTGTCCCTTTTCCTTCCTTTCATCGGGTTTGGTTTGGAACAGTCATAATCGGTCCTCGAAAACTGGATGGTGGATAGAATTTGAAGTCTTTTTTTACTCCAAAATGGTAGGCTTAACTACCTCACGGGAAGGTTTTAGGCTTGCATTTCCGGGACAGTGTGTACTGTACATGTTTTATAAGTTGGAGAAAATTGGCACGAGACGTAGTTTGTGAGTTGTACAATTAGCCCGATATAGCAGCGTATTTTCTAGGCACGGTTGAGTGCCCGTTGCAAACCGGATAATGGTACAATACGTATTATTGAGAGTGACGGGGTCATCACTATAGTATCTTTTGTAGTTTCCACTTTTGTCAAAATTAACGGCGGGAGCCGTTTCCTTGCCAACTAGAGTTTGTTAGGTGCCACCATTGACGCGGCCTTGAGCCAACTCGGGCCAAGGCCTCCTCGCCACCCCCACAAAGACTGTGTTATTGTTGTTTTAATCGGAGGAGTGAAGACACCATTTTGTTTTAAATTTTCAGGAATTACATTGAAATGTTGCGTTAACTTGCGTATTCTCCCTCGCAAGCCATCAGCTATAATGTGGAAATAGAGCACGATATACTTAACCCCTTCCCCTTCTTGAAAAAGAAATACTCGAGCCCTCTTCCCCCCCCCCCCAAAAAAAAATGGTTCTGGGTCCGTCCTTGTCTAGCCTTTCGCCAAGGCCATCGTGGCTTAGAGATGCGAAACTGCTAGCGACTGGAGTGAAGACTAATTCAGCTTCGCCACCCTCTACTTGTTATGTTTATTTGGTTCAAAGATTGTTGATCTAGCATGGATACCGGATGCCAGCTATTACCAAAAAATGCCTTGAAAATTTTCTAGAGAACTTTTCCACTTTTGGCTGGCCTACTAATATGATGAATCAGCCTAAATTGTTTTTAAAAAAAGGACACAAAGGAAAAGGTTTAAACACTTTAGAATTATAACGTTAATTTTCAACCCTTCCTAGGTGGATCACACTTCACAGCCAGTGGAATTTCAGAAAATATAAAAAAAAAACATGTACATGTATGTATTCCAGAAGCATGTCGATACTCCGAATTTCTCAGACGGGACATGAAAAGTTAGGCCAACCACAAATTAGGACGTTGTGATATTTAACCTAGTCCTAGCAAAAATGCCTGCTAATTATTGGCCTTATGGGGTTGCCTAACGCACGGTGTTTGGAGACTTGGAAAAGTTCAAGGAAATTACCAAAATTATCGGGATAGAAAATTAATGGAAAGAAAACATTTTGGCATTGACATCATTATTGCAAGCAAATTATTATTATTATTATTATTTTTTTTTTTTTGGGGGGGGGGTTCTAGTCTTATTCAACTCTCCCATCACGTTAGGCGATCCTTCGCCTAATTTAAGCCCAGTTTGTGGAAGTTTTTCGTTTTTGTTTGCAGGTCAGGGTGTGAAATCTCAGCTTTAAAGCTGATTTCAGCTTTTTTTGTTTTGGAATTCAGCTTTTTTCCCTCACTTGCTGTGTACAAAAGACAGTATAGGAGATTTCCAAAGTTCAGCTTTTTTACACCTTTTTCAGCTGTTTTCAGCTATTTTTATCAGTGGTCACTCACACCCCTGTGTTTGCTGAGCTAAATATCACAATGTTTACATGATTTTCCATAAGGTTTCAATACTAGGGTAGCTGTGCCAGTAAACAACTTGGTGAATTTGAAGCTCATCAATACTGAGGTTTGGCAAGACTACTTGATGATATGGAGACAAGGTAAATGCGCGCAATTGTTGGTGTACACGTGTACTACTAGCCAATTTGGATAGGGCCTATGTCCTCATAATATTGTTCAGTCACTTATGCTTAAGAAATGATATTTAAGTCAGGGTGTGTAAGCAGAATCACCAAAAGAAACTTTTCAAAAAAAAAAATTCAAGAATACTTGTCTACCCAAATAATATGGCATGTACTATGGGAATAAAATTGTTACACGGCAGGGATTAATAATAATATGCTTTAGGTATTCTTGGGTCAAAATCGAGGGTGGCATCCACCTAGCCCTACATTTTCTTCTCCATCCTTCTTTTGACTAATTGAGATCCGACATGGTCATGGTTGCCAGTAGGCCTATTTAATTCCAAAAAAATGCCGTCCAAAGTGTATGTATTCCACTTTGGCTGGTCCACATCACATACATCATGGAGGAATTTTTTACATGTAGGCCTATATATTGCTTATTGTAGGACCATGTTCCCTTGCTTAGTATTAAAAAAAAAAGCAACCCGCAAAATCCACTTTAATGGGGCCTAAGCCTAATTGAACTTTAATAAATAATTCACAGACATGCATCCCAATCTCTTTTTTGAATTGTTGGTGGCTCTGAAAAGAGCCGGTTGGTTTGATGGTTTTCTGTACACCGTCTATTTGGAGGTGGTGTACTTGGTGACGGCCTTGGTGCCTTCGCTGACGGCGTGCTTGGCCAGCTCACCGGGCAGGAGGAGACGGACAGCGGTCTGCACCTCACGGCTGGTGATGGTGGACTTCTTGTTGTAGTGGGCCAGGCGGGAAGCCTCGGCGGCAATACGCTCGAAGATGTCATTGACGAAGCTGTTCATGATGCTCATGGCCTTGCTTGAGATGCCAGTGTCGGGGTGCACCTGCTTCATCACCTTGTAGATGTAGATGCCATAGCTCTCCTTTCTCTTGCGCTTCCTCTTCTTGTTGGTGCTTGGGGCACCCTTGGCCTTACCGGCCTTCTTCTGTCCCTTTCCGCTTGGCTTGGGTGGCATGATTTTTCGATTTCAGCAAACTGCAAGAAATGGAATATGCCTGGGAATAAAATCCCGTTGATTTTATGCCATCAGATATGCAAATTTGGATCCGGTACAGCTCGAGCGTACCGCGCCTGAATTTCCCGCTAATGAATAGCACGTACCGATTGGCTACTTGTTGCACACGACACTAAATATTGTCCTTCCGCGGAATAATGCGGACGTTGAATGAACAAATAATTCCCGAAATGGGCGGTCGGAAGCGGGTGGAGTAATTTCATTGGTTTGTTTGCGATCCCTTCAAAGGGGTATAAAAAGCGAGACGCGATATTTTCCAAATTTTAGTTTCTTTGAAATTTCCCGAAGAAAATCTGAATCATCATGTCTGGACGTGGTAAGGGAGGAAAGGCACGCGCTAAGGCCAAGAGCCGATCTGCCAGGGCTGGTCTGCAGTTCCCCGTGGGCCGTGTTCACCGTTTCCTGCGCAAGGGCAACTATGCCGAGCGTGTTGGAGCCGGAGCCCCGGTCTACCTGGCCGCCGTCATGGAGTACTTGGCCGCCGAGATCCTCGAGTTGGCCGGCAACGCTGCCCGCGACAACAAGAAGACAAGAATCAACCCCCGTCACTTGCAGTTGGCCATCCGCAACGACGAAGAGTTGAACAAGCTCCTCAGCGGTGTTACCATCGCCCAGGGAGGTGTACTGCCCAACATTCAGGCCGTTCTTCTGCCCAAGAAGTCGGCCAAGGCTGCCAAATAAAGGGCTTGATCAAGCTACAACAAACCGGCTCTTTTCAGAGCCACCACAATATCAAAAAAGAGATTGGATCATTGTCTGTAAATCTGTCAAACCCGACTGATTCATTAAAATTAATAAACAAAAAGCAAAGGCATTGAAAACAACAGTTGAGTTACAATTATTCGATTTCATTATAATGATTAATTTCTGATTTTTATACACAATTATTGTAGGCCTATGTCGACCGAACGCAGAGCTGATGTGTCAGTCATGTCAGTGTGTGTGAGGACGGTTTTCTAATGCGAGGCAAAACGTCGCCGGGGCCGGCCGGGGCGGGGATGGGATGGGTGGCGCAAAAACTAACCTCAACGCCGCGGCGCTGTGGCTGTTTTGGGCCAACAAAAAGTACCGAATATCGTAGACATAATTTCAAATCAGTAACCAATCGGAGTCACTCAGTCTCAGTGCTGAACTAGCCATTATGATTATGTTATGGGAATGACATTTATACCACGACGAAATAGTAATTTTGGATTCTATTTCAGACCAGGCTCCGACACTTCCCTATTGATATTACAGGGTAGAAAAATGAACAGAGTACATGTATAACATTGGTTAAATTATAGAAAGTTTATTCCCCCCCACCAAAACCGTGCATTTCTTTTAACTAAAAGTACATTGTAAAACATTTGGACGTTGATTAATTTTGGACGTTGATATTTTGGACATTGATGAAACGGTGCGCTATCCGATCTCTTGTTGATGACATGCCACGATGTTTAGAATCGATATTCGTCCTAGCTGGCTCATTTCACGCTTGGCAAGATGGGCGCTTGGTCACCTGTTGTGCATTTCCCGATAATCGATAGTGCAGGACCGATACACATCAGACAATTTTGTTCTGTTTTATATACAGAGTCCAAGGTCCGAGGTCCAATACACACTATGAACGAGTATGGCACTGTAAAATGGGATTACATCTGTGACAAATGAAATGAAAAGGCCACACAAGATTCGGTTTATTGAAATTGGGCGTGGTTATTATGGTTATACTCAAAAATCCAATTTTGATCTCAGCTTGCTTTGCCGATTATGCGGGCACGTCTGAATCATACATTTTTTTTTTATAAAGGATGGAATATTGTGCATGTTTGTAATTATTATTCGGCAATTGGCCGGGATCGCCCACAATTTCGACTTATTACCAGTGGGGTGGGTCCCTTGGTATAGAAGACGTGGAAGAAATTTTAGTACAGTTTTAAACTGCACGCGTTCAGTTAAGGAGTGGTTTATGTTAACGAAATTATTTAGGATTGACGAAAAGAATGTAATATTAGAATTTTAAATTGAACATCCAAACTCCACAAATTCATAATAAATAACTTGGGTTAAAAAGTGTCCTATTTCTTGATTTGTCAGGTTTTTAGTTATACTTTTGTATTCGAAGTTATATCAATATTAAAATAATATTAGAAATGTATTAGCTTGCAAGTATACTGAGTGCAACAAAAAGTGACAAAAAATACATGAGCATGCACTGTCCTAAACATAAAACATGTAAACCGAATGCCTCGGCACTTCGATTTGCAATGAATAATTTTAATCCGTCAATATATTGACGGATTTAAAATTATGTGTTTTGGTGCTTAAAATGAAAATTCAAATTTAAGGACGAACCAAAGGTTCATAATGGGAAGAACAGCACACAGACACGTCTGAACACTGGGCCGTCTATTTTGTTTAATGTGATTAAAGACAACTACAAACACTGTTCATACAAATTCTGGTTATAGCAAACATAAAGCCTCGTTCCACCGCATACAAGATTGTGCTACATGACATGTATAACAAACATTTGCCTTATTATACATGTACATTCAGGTCCGGCTGAGTTTGTATTAACGAGAGTCGGCTAACTTAGTTCATTAAACATGTCTGTTTAACCGGACTTAAATAATTTATAAACTTGCCCAATGCAAATTCGTTCACACTGTTGCAAGTGTGTCAATCATGCGCCTATACTTGGCCGAATTGTTTGCTTGAGTGGTACTGCTGGCCATGACACGCAAACCACTCGGAAATTCATGGCAACTCGATCCACAGGCTGCAGCCGAACTTGCAGATTATATAGGCCTACCTGAAAGTGCAAAGCGCAACTGCATGCAGCGATATGTACGCTGTGAGGTATTATGTACACACAAGACAAAGCATGGTAGTTTGTACACTGAAAACCCTCTTCATCGCACAGACAGCACGTGTTCATGAATTTATTAATTTAAGTTTGAAAAAAAAATAAGCCATCAAAACGATGAAATATCTTTGGACAGGCTTTTAAAATGTCAGCACTATCAGAACGATCGTTGCAATATCACTGCGGGGATGGACAGAATTTCGCTCGGACAACATTCATGAAATGAACAACCACTTGTCTGTCTCTATTTTTTAATCTAATCAGCGATAGGAGCACATGCATGGTTGATAATTAAGTTAGTCGTGATTTCGATTCGTTTTTGTTCTTCGCCGTCGTCGGCCAAAGTACACAAACGACGGCATTGTATGCATTGTGAGATCGTCAGCAGTTGGCCTGTACTATGAAGTACATTGTTTAATGCTTCTTGTCTTGTCTCGTTATTTACAGAACGTCATGGAACATTCTTTACAGATGACGCTAGCCTTGAAATTGGTACAATAATGAGTTTTGTACGGTAATGACTATTAAAAAAATGACAAATTCTTGCATACTGGAATGATTAAAATGAACTTTCATAGGCCTGTAGCTTTATTTGTGTAAATATTGTGTTTGTAAGTATAAATGTTTGTTTTGTCTGTTTAATTCACACGTGCACTTTTCCTTGTAAATTTTAGTTCGCTTAACTTTATTTAATCATTTGTAATGTATGCAGGGCCCTAATGGAAACCAGTTTTAAACTGTTTGGGCATATACCATGAGTAAAGAAAATGTAGTAAATAAATAAAGAAAGAAATAACAGAAGTATTTACTTTAGTAGTGCTTGTTTAAATTGCATACACACAAATTATATAAGCATGAACAATTTCGGACTGTCCTCTGAATTTTAAGCAATTATGAATCTGAGAACTTCTGGAACAGCGCGTGATTGTATACAAACAAGCGGTACATGTCTATTTTTCAGACCCTGTCTTTATTTATTTTTATTTATGTATTTTGGCAAAAACAAACAAACATACAATGGTATAAAAAACGAACGTATTTCATGTAAATACAAAGCCAAGGATAACCCGAAAAGCTGTTTATAAGACGGCTTAATTCCATTGGGGTCCTTAAAAACACATACAAGTACAAGTACAAATAAAAAAGTTCCAAAAAGAAAATTCAAACAAAAATTGCACTGGATCTAGCAACAGAGAAATAATTTAAAGAAAAACTCACAGAAATCACACAAATCTCAGCTGCTTAAAAAACAAAATTAATACGAAGAGAGATGTTCTTTCACGGCCCTTTTAAAATGAGGAAGATTGTTGGAACATTTTATGCTGTTTGGAAGTAAATTCCATTGATGAATTCCGGTATAAAAAAATGAAGTGCACTCTTGCCCTTTAATTCTTGGAACAACAAAATTGGTGGAACTGCCCCTGGTAGAATAATTGTGCATATCTGAGACCTTCCTAAATTTATGACGGAGATAGTCTGGTGCCATTTCATGAAAATTTTTTAAAAACTTGATTCAGCTTGAGTTGTGTGACGCGGTCAGTAACGTTTATCATGCCCAGCTTGTTCAGTTCTGCTTGACCAATGTGTGATCTTGGAATCCATGTTTAAAATAAACCGGACTAATTTATTTTGGGTAGTTTGGAGCCTTTTCTTCAATTTTACCGACAACGCAGAGTACCAGGATGAACAACAATAGTCAAAATGACATTGTATTAGAGCAGAACAGAGTGTTTTTCGGGATCTCTCATTTCAAACAATTAGCATGTCTGTATAAAAATTGCAATCTAGCACCTGCTTTTTTGATTACAGAATTTGCAGTGTCCTCACCAGTTAGACTCTGATCGAGTTTTATGCCAAGAATTTAACTGAATCTGAAGGAGTAACAATCTTTCCATTACAGCACACTTCAAATTTGTCAACACTACTAAGTTTCTTTTTGGATCCGAAGAGGATAGACTCAGTTTTGACAAGATGCAAAGACAGTTTGTTATCGATTAGCCACTGCCTGCATGATTCCAGTTCCCTACTCAAACTGTCAGCTATTACTTCCGCGTCTTTACCAGAAATGAATAGGGCGCTGTCATCAGCATACAGCAGCAAATCAGATTGAACGCTCATTTTCATATCATTTACATAACATAGAAAGAGAAGTGGCCCTAATACACTGCCCTGTGGAACACCACATGTTATACCCATTGGTTGAGATTCAACCTGGTTGACACTGACAACTTGCTGTCTGTTAGAAAGATATGATTGAAACCAATGAATAGAATCCGAATGAATACCCATAGCTAGTAACTTTTTACATAAGATCACATGGTCTACAGTGTCAAAAGCCTTCTGTAAATCCAATAACACCATACCTGTATAATTACCTTTGGCCATCTGAGATCGAATGTGATCAGTTAGATGAATCAAGCAAGTGTCAGTTGAATAGGAACTTCTGAAAAGTTCTGAATCCAGATTGTAAGAGCAATTCCTCCATGACAGTTTTATTTTCGAAAAGAAAAGCTCACTGGCGAATTTATTTATTTCGTTAAGATGCGGCAGGAACAAGCGCTAGCGGATACCGTTTTGCGAAATGAATTCGAAAATCGTAAAGTACTCAATAGTCAGGTGGCTTAGACCGAATTTTTGACAAGATCGTGACCGACTGGTACGGTCCATCCAAAGCACCAAACTTGGCAGAGCGGCCCTAGAGAAGATATTTAGAAGGTTCTCATAATCACCCGGTCTCTGATATGCTTTAGAAAATGCTAAACAATTTAAGGATATGTAAGTAGAATCCCAAGATATACTTTAAAACAAAATATTTATACCCAAATATGGGAATAAATATATTACACGGCAGGTATTAAATATTATGCAAATTAGACACCCTTCCCAAAAGAATTTCAGGTGTCACCCCCTTCTAAATATCTTCTTTAGGGCTATCTGCCAAGTTTGGTGCTTTGGACCCGTCGGTCACGATTCCGACCACACTCCACCTGACTAATGTGCCAGTTTTCTCGTTCTCAGTATAATGTATAGTGAATAACTTTTGTAAAGTGCTATAATGAGAAAATCATTTTTCAGTGTGAAACTCGAAAATAGCTGGGACAGTACAACTTTAATTGAAGGCTTTTGTGACGTGTAGGGGGCGCGGGCGACACTTTACAGAAACGGCCAGCTGTGTCAACAGACTAAAACAGTGTTTTGAAATGTTCATTGAAACATGTTGACATAATAAAACGCTCACGCACATTGCGTCTGAGCTGCAAAATATCCGCACAACAGCCACGAGTCGGCGCCCACTACTTTCCCTCAAATTGTTAATTTAATTAAATTATAAGTTTCCATGTCCTGAAAGATGTGTGTCCCGTTCTCTTAAAAAAAAAGAGTTTAAATTTTGTAGGCCTAGGTGTTAATGGGGGAAAAATACTTTTGCTCTAATTTTGCGCGTCTGCAATCTTCTGAAAAAGGGCTTTCATTTCGCGTACAAAAAAGTGAACTTAAATAACAGACTAACCGTCGGTGTATTTTTTTGGTTCGATGTCTCATTTAAAGGTCAATCACTTTTATATTGCAAAAGGGAAAATAGCAATTGAAAAAAAAAATGGTTTTTTTCCGAAGTGAAACACGAGATTGTATGCATCTTTAAAATAAAGTGAGTCAGTGAAATAAAAGAAGAATTGTATTGACTTTTTTTGTCTTTCATTGTTTTGCAAATTTCCTGAGAAATATAGGCCCAATGAACCGTATAAACGAGAAGGATTTGGCCATTTTTTTTTGTATATTGATAAACTGACGTACCACGGTAATTTGATAAGCCTGTGATTTGCTGATGGGATGAATCAAAATGTTAATCCTTTCACTGAAGTTTTAATGACACACGCAGGAGGAGCAGCTTGTGGAAATTTGGAAAAATCATGAAAACCGATGTGTAATTTTTGCACGCAGCAATATTTTAAGTGCACTGGAGTGCATGCATCGCTTTCCAACCGTAATCGGTAGTCATGGTAACCATACCACATCGCGCGCTCCGAGGTAAAGTATTAAATACATGAACATTTTTTATTAAAGTCTCTATTTTGCTTCGTTGTATGTAGTGAATGCCTTTCTTCTGTCGTTATAGAATTTGCACACGTCATGCATGACCAGGGGTTTAATTCTCTCTTTCTTTTGAATGCCAATCAACAATGCACGCCTCTAGGTTTACAGTCTGTTAATAGATATCTGCAGCCCCATGCCTGCATGCAGCAAAGACATGAATAATTACGGTAACATTAATTTGTGCCGGTATGTAACTGACGTATTGACAGAACATATAACGATTTTATCCTGGTATGATGTTTGAATAAAACTAAAAATTAATAACAAATAAATACAACACAAAATAACTATGCATCGCAAAATCGGCAATCCAGTTTTGGGGGTTTTTTTTAAGGGAAAAGAGCATACAAGGTGCAAGCTTAGCCCTAAATTATTAGCCCATATTACGTTTATCCATTAAAACTGTCTTTTTAAATTTTGATGCACAAGTTGAAAAAACATGTGGAATCTAACAAGTCAATTTGATGTATATTAAGTTTTAGAATTACACAGCTTCATCAGTCACTGGAAAGCGTCACCATTACAACCGGTTCCAACACCCGACCCTATCGACCATAACAGCGTTCCCGCCCCAACCCCCATCGCTTCCATCCAAACAATTTATACGGACGAAAAAAAAATAAGGGCTAGGCCCCAATTTTTTTGTCTCGAAACAATTCTCATTTTTCCAGCCCTATCTGCACACGTAGCCTTATACTGAATTCAGTGTTCAATTTGACGGTGGAATTCGACCACTCTCCGACCACGAAAGTAATAATACATTCGAAATAAATAAATTTAACTGAAACAAAAGATGATTCATCTTACTTTGATCCTGTTTAAGTTGGCGTTTCTCCGTCATGAGTCGGCGCTCAGATCAGGCGGCATTCACAAACTCATCAAGGAAGAGGTACAGAAATGTACAATTTCGTGAAGTAAATTTTTCCAGCGCTCTGCAGTTACATTGGCAGGAGTGGTAGTATATGCGAGGTTCAGCGGAGTACAAGGTGCGTGTTTGCAACGATATGCACGCAATCTAGAGATACTAGCGGCTGGAGGAATTTGGTGCACGGTACATAATATGCAACCTGACACTGTATCGATTTCTCCCTGACCCAATCAACATAGGTACGCTCGTGTACTAATTGTGCTCTAATTAGCGTTTATTAAAGTACGTTGTGGCCACTTTGTTTGATTGCTGCGTGCATGCAAACCATGCATGCGTGCAACCTTGGTGTCGACGGTTAATTTTTGGATTCACAAAATTTATAGCTATCGCATATGCAAGTATGCACGTTTAATGATCTGTGAATGATTAATCCCGGGGTACACGATAAGAAGAGCAACAATGAAATGATATTAATTAAATTATTTTTTTTAAATTTTACGGACATCTTTTTAAAACATGGACAAATTTATTAGGGGCATTTTTGGGTGGTGTGAATTTTTTTTGGGGGGGGGGAAGGTGATGCGCAATAATTGTCACCAACATTCTTTTTCTTCCTATTCTGGTTTTTTTTTTTTTTTAGGATTTTCTCCTTTTTTGGGGGTGTATTTTTAATTTATTTATATTTTGTTAATTGTCCGTTGTATTTTGTTACATAGATTAGATTACACTAATGATTTTTCCCACCAAAAATATTTACAATGCCCCTATTTTTCATAGTCAACAGAGGGCGTGCTTCATCTTTTATGGTCCTTTTTTTTTATCCACGGAGAGCACTCAAAATCTTTGTGCGTACGACACCACCTGCGTGCATATCGCACGAAACCCATGAGAACGGAAAATTACTTTCCGCGGGTTGACGAGCGGCAAGAGTGTAGGTTGGGTTCAGAATTGCGATTTCTCGGGGGTAAAGGGTGGATGCTTTACGTCTTCCTAAGTTTTAGACATATCAAAACTGAAGTGCAAATAATATGCGACGGATCGGAAGGGCTCGTGGTTCAATTTCGCGTGATCATTCATTGTTTTCTTTCTCTTAATTTCTCTTGGTTTTTGGCTTCAGTGGTGAGGGGTGCTGAGTCTTAACTTTTTTGGCAACAGCTCCCCATTGGTTTTGTACACGTTTTCTAATCGAGGTCGTCCTCGATTTGACTCCTGTCCTCAGTTACTGCTTCACACCATTTACTCACACGTACCTCTGTCCGAGTACGTCGCGATCCGATATCGCTCAAGAGTGTCCCGCGATCGAGACCGTATCGAACTCGAACGTATGGTGCGCTGCGACTTTTATGCGTACGTATACCGACTGAATTCGCGCATGCGTTGTACCCGCGGTACCATCGACGGCCATCTTCGCTCCTGTTGTCTTTTTCTGGTGACTTTGTTCCAGATTTCAATGACCGACAATGACTACTGGTGCCAGTATGTTACTCAAAAAGCAGTTGAAAGGTAAAACCAATTTTCGGGTGATATTCTGACAAAATCTGACGCCCATAACTTGTTAGGTAATGGAATAAACAGGGCATTTTTGTTGGTTCCCGTCATTTTCCCGTGCTGTGCACAGTGTGCGGTTTTAATACAAAATAAATGCGTCATAGGTTTACGCACTTTTCATTTGCAGTATAACTCGCAATGTACTGTCTGTAGCCTATTATTACAAAACCAACCCAGCACTGTACTTCTTGCGTATGGGCCTCGTGCAGGAAGTGGCACTTTTGATTTTGAGAAATCAACTTACATGAGACCAAAGAAAAAGTCTCCGGTTTCTGGTATGGAGCTTGCCCAAAAAGTGGTGCGGCGACGCGGCTTTTTTTTTTTAACCTGATTTTTTTGCTTCAAGTGTCGTAAATGGTGCCCGACTAAACTTAGTGCAAATATATGGGAGTCCAGAGAGGCCACATAAAGCTTATTCTCGACCATAACCCATTCTAAAAACACGTTAAAATTGTGCAGCAGCAGGATTTCAGTCAACCAAGTGAGTTTGGCGGTTTTGAGACATCTTTCGTTGAAATTTTTTTTTTCATGTTGCCGACGCGCAAGGCTACGGCGACGCGCGCGCATACCAGAAACCGGAGACTTTTTTTGGGGGGCTTGACTTAAGTTTTTTCCAATAACACACTTTGAGGACTGAGCCTTACTTCTGAATCTGAGGTTTAATAATTGTAGGCCTAACTCGATTATTAATAATGCGCCTATCAATTGTTTAAAAAAAAGCTCACCTCCCCCCCCCCTCCCCGCAGCCCCACCCAAAACGTGGGGATTGTCACTTTTGAAGTGACAAAATCCCCACCCCTCGGGCAAAATTTAAATGACAATGTCCGACATACATACGTGGGGCACACTAATGATTGCCTTTCCATGTAGTACGCCAATGGTAACAATGTTTTTGAGTGACCAAAATCCCCACCCTTCCCCTGGGCTGGGGCATAAAAACATGACCAAACCCCAACATCGGACCTGGAACAGCGTGGGGGGGGGGGAAGACATTTGACAGGTGCATAAGACAAACGTGAACACGAAAGTGACAGACGAACTTGAAATTCAAAAGAAATTATTTATTCTATTTATTTCTTATTATTATTAACTGGGTTCATTCACTGGAACCCACTGGTCTCCCAAGGGGCGCTGGGCCCAGTAAAGAGAAGACAATGTGAAGAAATTTACAGTTTTAGTAGATTTGGGAGGAAAACTCCATCCAGAAGAACATTGCAAGGAAAACCCACAGAATCAAGTAGGGACTGAAAACCCAATCCACATATTGGCCCAGGCAGGAATCGAACCCGGGTCACAGCGGTGGAAGGCGAGGAAAGTACCACTACGCCAACCTGGCCATCATGTCCATGAATTTGTACAGAGGAATCAAAATGTCGTAAACAAATTCAGACATATTGAATAGGACCCCCCCCCAAAAAAAAAAAAACACCCCAGATACATGTTTATAAAAATGTGAATATGCTCAATAAGTGTTTTTTGTAACTGGGCCTAATTTAAAAAAAAAGAAGTGGCGAGTTGTTTGATTTATCTGTAACTTGCCATTGATTGCCAATTTTTCAGAGATGGAAAGCAAAGACGGGACTCAAGGCTTTTCAGCGGGACTCAGTGAAGATGATGACCTCTTCAAATGGGAGGTGATCATCTACGGTCCCCCAGACACCTACTTGTGAGTCACTGAACCATTGGATTAACCCTAACTGCCCTGAACCTTTCAAAATCCTCTTTGCCAAAGTGGAGGAATTTGGAGGATTGAGGTTACATGGCAAAAGTGCGTTGCTGATTTCGTAGGATGCACTTTGTCAAGACTTGTGTTTTCTTCTTGCTCAGCCATGCATAAAAATAGGCCTGGATTATGTTTGAAATCCTCCGTACTGCTCCAGGATGTCACTGGCCAAGCCTCAACATATTGACAGTCACTGCCGCAGGAATTTGCAGTATTCAGGCAGTGGTCAACCCTCCACGGACCATATTCAAGAAATAATGGAGGAATTTGCAGGATTGAGGCTTTATACTATTTTTCCATGAGGCCAATTGGAGGATTTTGCAGGTTTGAGGCTACATCCTAGCAAAAAGGCCTAGGGAGTTGGGGTTAAAAATCAAAAAGTACTATCCAGTCTGAACTTCAAAAGAGTCATAAAACCTTTGAATTATTGTTGTTGTTTTGTTTACAGTGAGGGTGGCTTCTTCAAGGCCGAGTTGCTTTTCCCTCAGAACTACCCTAACAGTCCTCCAAAGATGAGGTTTGTCTCAGAAATGTGGCATCCAAACAGTAAGTGAACTGTATCTCAAATACAAGCTTTGATATTTCGTCGATGACAGGAAATTATTTCTTTTTCATCCCTGTTTTGAGGATTTTGAAGCTATTCAGGATCATAACTGAAGAGGAAAACTGATTTTTTTTTTTTAAGTTTTAAATTTTTTTCCAGGTCATTTTTATGGGAAGGGGGGTAAATCTGTGTTGGAGGTCTCGAGGCCGGCCTCGAGGCCGATTTTCATGGCCTCGGCCTTGGCCTCGGAGGTGCAAGGCCTCGGCCTTGGCCTCGGAGCCTTCCGGCCTCGGCGAATCGGTCAAGGCCGGCTCGAGGCCACCCAATTTGATGTGTTTTCTAATCTAATTAATTTTCATTTTTTACCGTACCAAACCCTCGAGATTCTGCCGCAGTGGGTTCTGTGAAACGAACGCATATAGTTACAATGTACGCACGAATGAACTGGAAATGGTTGCATTGAACGTACTCACGTACGTAGCATCTTCGCCTAGCCTGCGCTTCAGCTTTCCACGTGCGTGCAAGCGTTATAACTGTTACCACGTGCCAGACTACATAAGTCTGGCACCAATCCCATTTGTGTACAATAACATGTGGTAGTAGACTAGTCTGGTTGCAGTGTTGTACAAAATTTTCTCGTTTCGCCTCTGTACCCCGACCTTTAAAAATGATTTGCGGCAAGGTGCGGCAAGCTTAATCATTTCGTTTTATAGGCCACTGTTTCAGTAAAAGTCTGAACTTTCTGGGTACGATCGAGTGAACTAGTCCGTACCATTTTTTTTCTCATAAAGATATGATAAAAACAATTGCGATTTATCAAGTAGATTTTATTTTTACACGATGATTTAAATGAAAGTTCCGGCTCACACGGTAATGTTTGGCGCAAATGGTTGATATGGAAAGCGCGATTTCAGAATTCGTTTTTCCATCCAATTGAATGCAAAGTTCTGAATGAATGTTTTAATAATAGGAGTCAGTATTCCTCGTGGTACCAGGATACTTTTTGTATTTTAAGAGCCATGTTGATACTTATTACATGTATAAGCACGGTTTGAAATTGACTAATATTGCGTGGTTACAGATATACGGCCAAAACCTCTGGACTCCCTACCTCTTGCCATGATCTTAAAATTCTTCGAAGCCATTGGATTCAAATCGGATGATCCGAGAATTCATGGTCATTTTGATGAACTGAGTGATATCATGCACGCATGTTCCGTGTTGCTTGGAGCGGGATTGGCCATTGCCAGACTTTGTCTGGTACCGCGGTATTAACAGTGATAATGCGTGGACACTTATCCCGTTGTGTGGAGCGGGATTGGACTATGCTTTGCCCGTGCGTAACGGCGGGCCGTCTGGCATTGTCTGGTCGCATCGCGGTGTTTGCTCGGCGCACGCCTGGACAGTGCGAAGGTCGGGGGGGGGGGGGTCGTAACTTTTTGGTTATGAGTGGTAAAAACCTGATTCAAAAATGAAGTTGTTGTTTATTTAATGGGGATTCCTATGATATTAAGCATTTTGATAGGTTTTGAAAATAAGATTTATAAAACATGCTAAAAGTAAATGAGGTAAATCTTACAGAATAGAAACTCAAAATTTGGCAATTTAAATTGTTGTATCTCCAAAGGGCAAACACCTATGAGCCTGATTCAAACGCCATTGATTTTGTTGTGTAATTTGCTTTCAGTGATACAAAACTTGAGATTTCTTTCTTTAAAAAATAAAATTCGCCGGACTCCCTACAAGAGGAAACCCATTGCAAGCTGTAAATTTGTAAGCCAGGCACTCCAAAACTCAGTGAATTCAACTAAAAAGATGTTAAAACTCCAACCTAATCTTAGCCTTGTTTTAGTGATTAATATTTTATTACGTGTTTTGATAGCTGGCCTCGGAGGTGTTGGCCTCGGCCTTGGCCTTGGCCTCGCGGTTGTGGCCTCGGCCTTGGCCTCGGAGGTTGTGGCCTCGGCCTTGGCCTCGGCCTCGGAGGTTGTGGCCTCGACTACAACACTGGTGTAAATGCACGTTTTTCCCAAAATTGGGCTGACCAGTTCACTTTGATGTGTTTTTTTCCAAAGATGGGTTCGTAATCAAATTTTTGTATACAAATAAATCGGTGGTAGTATCTCTTTAACCATAACTGAACTCAACCCATCAAAGTTCAACAGCAGGTTGTGTTTAACTCTTTTGGGATAGGTACAGTACCCCTAAACCGATGGTCTTTTACACTGGGGTTGGCATACCTCCAGAAACTAAGTCCAACAGTGTGTGTGTACAATTTCCCATGTGGGTGTTGGAATTTCCCAGAATGGGTATGGTTCCTAGTAAATTAGGCTGGGGAGTTAGGGTTAAAGTAATGTGTGCAAATTGTACGTGTGTTGGAATAGAATCACTGAAATATAAAATCAGTTTTTTACTTAATTCTAAGAAAAGTCATTTTTCACTATTAAAATTTTTAAGTCATTTTCTTAGAATTCTTATTGTTTATACAACTACAAAACACTCAAGCTAAGTGATGACATGTTAAGCGTGATGAACTTTTTTAATTACAATCTTTCGTTTGACAGTTGATAAGAATGGCGATGTGTGCATTTCGATCCTCCATGAGCCGGGGGATGACAAGTGGGGGTATGAGGAAGCCTCAGAGCGTTGGCGGCCTGTACACAGCATCGAATCCATCCTCATTAGCGTTATATCCATGCTGTCTAGCCCAAACGACGAATCTCCAGCAAATGTAGACGCAGGGGTAAGAGAATCACATGTGGGTTTTCTTTTCGATGGGAGGGGCTTGAGAGGCCACCGTGGGGGAGGATTTGAGAGCAGGGGCCATTATCAGGCATGCAACTTTTCCTCGGATCAGCTGATTTCCTCTTTTTTACTTCCCATGTGTGACATTGAAAATAGAAAAACACTGTACAAAGTCTTAGAAAGATTTGAATTTCCTCTTTTTTGTGACTTCCCAGTTGCATGCCTGCATTATGGATTCCATGCGCAAACAAGAGAGGGCGCTATTTTTTACCACTTTCGAGAGCACTGAGAATATGGACAAAGCCGCAGCATCTAAGCATGAGCGTCAGGTGTCACGTTACAGTTTAAAACATAAATAAACTTAATATCAATCAAACAAACAAATTCTATTGGCATAGAATATGAACCTTTTCTGTGCCTTAGAAACAAAAAACTAACAATAACACTTGCATTTACATGTGAAAACAAGATGCCAAAATGACCACCTAAAATCCATAATTTTAGCCCCAAAAATACGATTGACCATATTCCATCTCACAGGCACTCAAATGAAAAGTCTTCTTGTCCCCTTTTATTTGATACCACATTTGAGGTTGCGATACTTGTAGTTCTGAAGATGTCATAGATTTTCCACTTTTGATCAGCCGTGTTTTGAATTGCCCATAGGGTGTATTCTGTTACCTCCATTGGGCAAATTCTCTCCCTTGTGGCCCTCAATATCATAAAACAGCAGGTCAGGCTTAAAGGGAATGCACAACATTTGCTTTTGCTGCAATTTTCAGAAATAAATGGATTTGGAGGATTAGTATGTTATAGCAAATATTGTTAAACTGACTTGTTTCACGTTTTGGGCTTGTAGATGCTGGAAAAACCAAGAAAACCTATCATGTTCATGTAGTCTGGTTCCCTGACCCCACTTTTAAGATTAAATGGAGAAATGTAAAGACTTTGGGGAATTGTAAGGTCAAAGAATCACTCTAGCAGGCTTGTACCCCTTCACAGGTGTGTAATCAAATGCAAAGAAAGTGTGGAATAACAAAGTGAAAAGTTAGGAGCAGTTTTGGAAAAAAGCGATTTTTTTTTTCCAACGCTGGTCGGCCGAGCAGCGTTGGAAAAGTACAGTGTTTCTTGAAAATGTCAGCACACCAGGAGCCACAATTTTACAGGATGCTTTAGACTGTCATTCCCTAACAATCCAGTAAGGTATTTCGTGATTATTTGATCATTTCGTTTTTTGATGTTTGCAAATGTTGTATCTTCCCTTTAAGACCAACAAAAACCAGTTAAATCTTAAAAAAAACCTCATTTTCTCAAAACAATTTTATCAGAAGTAATGCATGTGTACTAGGGATGAATGTTCATCCTTTTTTCACTTTAGTAAGTTGCTCTTTTTTCCCCTTAACAGAAAGAGTGGAGGGACGACTACCAAGGTGCATTCAAACGCAATGTGCGCAGAACTGTCAAAAAGAGCCAAGAGTTATTATAGTGGGTGAGTAGCTCAGTTTTTAGGGTTTTTTAGGGTTTTTTAGGTTACGTTTTGAATTCCTTGATGTGATCCGTCGACAATGAAGTCCAATACATTTCTAAATTAACCCTAACCCTGCCAGGCGCAACACAGTGCATCGGGTGTAATAGTCTGTGGGACCTTGCTGCATTGCACTAGCAACACCAGTGCATAAACGGTCAATGTTGAGACAATAAAGAGTCGGTCCCCTTCAATAATGCCACAGTTGTATGGTGCTGCAGTTGGTGACCACAGAGGAATTTCAGCCTTGAGGTGTTTGACCTGATGGATCTCACTACACTGAGCTGGCTTGTCATTTTGAATTTTTTTTTGACAAGTATTGCATGTTGCTGTGTTTGGCAGGGTTTCTAGCCAAAATACCCAAGGGGATTAGGGATACTACAAAAGAATAGTTACATGCAAAGGACCTTTGGTGTTCCTATTTTAAGCAGTGTTCTCCGGGATTGGTTTTTGACAGACTGGCCATTTTGTTATCACGACTCTATTAGTTATCCCGTGAGCGCGAGTAGAACACGGAATAATGTAGTTCTACTCGCGCTCACGGGATAACTAATAGAGTCGTGATAACAAAATGGCCAGTCTGTCAAAAACCAATCCCGGAGAACACTGCTTAAAATAGGAACACCAAAGGTCCTTTGCATGTAACTATTCTTTTGTAGTATCCCTAATCCCCTTGGGTATTTTGGCTAGAAACCCTGCCAAACACAGCAACATGCAATACTTGTCAAAAAAAAATTCAAAATGACAAGCCAGCTCAGTGTAGTGAGATCCATCAGGTCAAACACCTCAAGGCTGAAATTCCTCTGTGGTCACCAACTGTGTCCGGCCAAGTGGTATATGTGGGACACAGACGCACTACATTTTCCGTGTTCCACGAGCGCGAGCGTGATAACGAATTTATCTTCAAGCAAACTTGACGCGCAGTAAAGTTGGACCATCGCTTTACACGAACCTTTCAGCAGTTTAGCGCATGCAGCTGGAATGTCGCTCGCATCTTGCAATAGCGCAGTACGCAGGGTGCGATATGGACCGTGCAATACAGCCTCATATCACACTGTTGTTGCCAAGGATCGACCAATCAGGATGGAGGATTCAAGTTTGCTTGAAGATAAATTTTGTTATCACTATCACATTTTGTTATATCTCGCAATCACGACTTTTTTACGCGATGCCGCTCTGCTAAATTTTCTCCAACCCAGTCGAATATAGCTATAACTTCTATGGACTTCTATGAATATTATTATTAATCCCTCTACAGATTTTGACTGACATTTTCCTTGGATCCTTGGATTTGAAGAACACATTTCTGAGGGCAGCCAAGTTGACTGGAAATGACTGTCGACATTGTGGAACTTTTTTTATATGCAATGTGAGCGACGGAACTATTAGGACTCGCAACCGATCTGTGATCAGGACGACATCTCTTACGACTCTGGAAAAGAGGCGACAGCGTTTTTTGGACTTGTATATAGAAACTGGCGATTGTTTAAGAATACTGACACACAATGTTTTGGAAAATCATGTCTGCGATAGAAGGTGTGAGGTAAGTGGGTGCGACCATTTTAGCTGTACACTCTTCCTGAAGGATTTGTCGACAACTGGGGGAACTGAGAATTCCACGGGACGTTTTTTGGACTGCAAGGAAGATTTTGACAACTCTCTTCAAGAGTCTTGAAACGGGGGTTTTGGGGGGTTGGGAGGGATTAAATACAAAAGGTGGGATGTCCCCATTTTTTTTAGTCCTAAAAGAATGTGTGTGGTTTTTTCTACTCGTATGTACTCGTATGTATATGAGAGGGTCGGCAAATATACATGTGGAAAAACTCGAGAAAAAAATTTTTTAAAAAAAGTATCCTCATTTTGACAATTTTTTCGGGAAGGAATGAGGAATCAAAAGATACAGAATGTGTACATAATCTTGAGTGGATGTGGCTGGATTGTGCCTTTTGGCAGCAGAATCTCAGGAATTTTAAAAAGCTGGGAGTAGAACTGAGTTTGTGTTCTGTGCTTGAACCCCGCAACAGATAGGGAGTCGGGATCTTCTTACGCTAAAACACACTTTTTTATCATTTTGGTCGGTTTAGCTGTATATTAACAGAGTTACATGTAACTTGTCTTTTTCGCTGTGTGCAACAAAAATTACCAATAATGTAAAACCAAAAATGAAGGCGATAGCATACATGTTAACTAATTGACAGTGAGGTTACAACTTGACCCAACTTCATGAACACAATGTGAACATGTGTGCCTTGGGAAATAAAGTACTCCGCGACTTACATGTATTGAACTGATTGCACTTGTAGTTTATGCTGGAACGAGTGAAACATGAGCGCACAGAAGATGCGGACACCGGCTCTATATGAGTCATCATCACCATCATCCTTGTGAAATCATTGCTTTGAAACTGGTGTTCAAAAGCATACTTTTGACCTCAAACTTGCAGATTGTAACGTTCAGTACTTTAGCTATGCTGTATGGAAATTGAGACCTAAAATTATTTAGAAACGAGGAAAAAGCACTGGAATTCTGAAAGCCAGACAACATCCTTATTTTCCTGGGTTTCAGGTAGAATGAGCTTCTGATGTTTATACACAGCTACACCGACACAATGATAAAAAAATGTGTGCATTATCGTCAGGAAATCCTTACTACATGCCAGGGCCCAGTGCCATGATTGCATACTGAAAAGTAAAGAAAATCCAAAGCTATGAGCATCTTGACTAAGATTTTAAGTGTGTTTACCTACTTCTTTGCCAATGCATATTCCTTCCAATGGTATGACCAAGCCCCACTGCCAATTTAGCAAATCTACATACAGTACACCTCCCCCCCCCCTCAATAAATTATCATTGTTATGCTGCGTGCCCAACTACATGCATGAAGACTTTGCCAAAAAATTGTTAATTATTTCTTGTACCTTGTTGGGCCTTTTCACAGTGTGCAAAGAAAGAACTGTTCCAATGTAAGTGTTTTAGAAAATTGTGATTATTGAGATCAAGGGCTAATAGCTTTTCTACAAAAAACTATTAAAAAATCAGGCTTTTAAGTATTCCTGTTTTTCCCTTTTTTTCCCCCTTGCTTTTTCCTTTTTTTTGTCCTACAACTTCGAAAAATGAAATCTCATTGAATATTTCTCATAATAGTGTTACACACTGTCATATTGAAATCACACTATGAACGGCTTAGGCGCAGGAGTACTGTAACTGTACTTCCAAGAGCTTTAGTTGAGGATGACCACAGGTGTTGGAGCACAAGTGTTGTGAGTACAGAACATGCCAAATGAGGCTTATGATGCTGTGGACATGGGTATCAACGAAAACTACTCCTGAAAGCCCGCAAAAGTCCTACTTTTATCCTGATTTTGTCCTCCAAAGTCCTACTTTATCCTGTTTTTTTTTTTTTGGCGGGGGTGATCTCGCTGTTCTACTTTTTCACCTGGGTCTGCTTGAAAGCCTGAAAAATTTAAAAATTAAAAAAATTAAAATATCAACAGAAAAAGTAGACTTTTTGTGAATCAGAAAAAGATAAATGATTTGCGTTTGAAAACGACAACTTGGGGCTTGGTAAATTGAGTGCTGAGGTAACGATACATGTAATAAGTCATTGGTATAAGGCAAAAATGGTACAAAACAATGTGTTACTGAACATGCTAAAAAGTCAAAAATGACAAAGGCATGGAAAAGATGCATTGTTTTTTCAGGCAACACAATGTCTTCATTTGACAGAAAGGTCGTTCTAAACAATTAGGGTCCGAAGGTTGAATTTTCCTGTCCTCGTTTAAACCTCGGTATTTTGTAATTTTCAAATATCATGAAGAATTACCTCAAACGATTAGTTTGCTAAATTCATAATCACTCTTGGAGGACGACTGCATTAAAACCCTGGAAGCAAACATACGTTCTGTGCACAGTTGTCCTTTAAGTGAAAATCAGTCAAGGGACTGTTTTTAATGGTTGAGTGCTCCCTGCCTATATAAAGCAGGATTGACTGGCTGTGGCTGTTTATGTAACTTGATACAGCTTTGCTTTGACTGTAGGTGCTTGATACGCCAGCCGTGCCTACCACTTGCCTGCTTTTGTCAGTTGACTGAATTTGACTAGTCACAGTGCTTGCTTGAAATGTGATATGACTGTTGGTGACTAGCCTGTGTAAAAGGCATGGCAGGGAAGAGGGTTGATTTTTTGTCTGTCTGTGACTGTCAAAATTAATTATGGAGTGCATCAAAATCATACAATCATGTCGGATGTAACAGGGACAGGAAAAAAAAAGTGGACCCCAAAGTTATAGAATGACCCGCAAGTGAACAGATACACATTGTGTGAAGAGACTTGCTCGATAAAAAGAAGAAGTATGGTTCTGAGTACAACCAGAGTACTTTAGGCCAAATAAACAAAACAACCAGAGTACTTTAGGCCAAATAAACAAAAAACATGTTTAACATCCCCGCCAGCTTCCTTTTTGGAGGCTGCCTCCTTTTTTTTGTGTCTTTCTTTTTTTTTGAAAAAAGAAAAGAAAAAAATGACATAATTTAAACAGTGACATCATTTTGGCCTCTTTGTCTGTTGCATCTAGCCCATATCAAGCTGGTATGTCATTCCCAGAGTCCAGGTGACGGCCATTTAAAAACAAAAGCTGGTGGCCATCTTAAAAAAAAAACCTGGCTGGTCGCTTTTGAAAAAAAGAAAGAAAAAGGGCCTCCTTTTTTTTCAAAAAGGCAGGACGCTGAACATTTTTTTTTATTTGGCTTTACTCCACTTAAACACACAAACGTGCTTCCGAGCTAAGTATTCCCACTGCATGTAACACACACAGACCCAGAGTTCCTTAAACTGTCAAATTAATTTCCGACCGGATGAATGTACAATTGTATGTGTAGAAAAACAGATTAGATAAATATTTATAGTGATTGAGGAGAAACTTGATCAAATCAATTCTCGTTTTGTGTTTAATTAACTTCATTTATTTTGATTCCTTGTTTTTGTCAAATTTGTTGTAATTTCAAAATCTTTTTTTTTGGGAGGGCATGGAGAATTGAGAAAACAGAGCTGCTTTCATGAGTGTTTGGTAAAAATTAGTACAGGTTTTTTTTGAAAAAGCAATACAATGTACATGTAGGACTCTTTTTAAAAAAGGCAGGGTTTTAAAAACCCAAAGAGATCAGGATTTAAGTAAAATTCTGATTAACAGGGAAAAAAAAATTTCCATCAACAAGAATATCTACATGTACGGAGTATAGTACATAGACTGCTAAAATGGTCGCCATAACTTGCCATTGTAAATTCTGTACTGTAAACCCTTTAATTATTAGATTTGGTAAGCTTAACCACTGCTAAACAGGTTTTCGGACCACTATGAAAAAAGTCGTGTTTACAAAGATTTCATAACTGTATGCCAATGAAAAGTTGGTTTTTTTTCCATTTCAAGGCCAATTATAATATTTGCAAGTAAAATGTAGCCGATGTCACCAAACTGTCAACATGAAGCCAACTTGGAGAATTTTTTTTTTAAATTGCGAGATTTTGTCATTTTTGAGAAAACAAAAATGTTTGACTTAAAAATTCATCCCCACAGCAGATTTCTGAGATGAAACTGACTTTTGTCCAGAGAAAAAAAATGTTCCTTTTCGAAATGAAAACTTGTTCTGAGAACTTGTTCTGTACACCGATGTACAATTAAACGTTCCAATGTACAGTTAAACGTTCTCCCATCTTGAATGCTAGATTGTATTCATTACTTGTTTCCGTCGGTTTGTTTTGCAAATGTTATAATTGGCCTTGAACGGGTTCTTTGCTCAATTTAGTTGGTGTTTAATTTTTGTGTGTGCATGGATGCTCTAAAAAATCTGTAGTCAAGTACATTTAAGGCAGGTTCATACTTCGCGCAAATGCAAACGGAAAGCAAATTTGACGTGAAACATTCGCTGAGAAATTCGCCACAGTTGAAATGTGTTCAACGTTTGCAAATTCGCAGCATGAAAAGTTGTCGTGACGTCACAAATTTGCATTCCCGTTCGCTTTCGCGGCGAGAGTGAACCGGCCTTTAGTCTGTTAACATGGGACAAGTGTACAAGCCTTCTGTACGAAGATATCAGGCAGTGTCCAAGTTAAGCATTGGTGCAGTCGTCGTATGTACGGCTTAAAGACACGTTGGCATGTTTGTGTCATTTGAAGAGGACGACATCAAGGATGGACATCAGACATTTCCTATCAGTGTTGCTGTCGAGTCCATCACAAGTTTCTGCAAGTCCTCACAAGTCCATCACAAGTCCTCCAGTCCTAATTCAACTCACAAGCTACTCAAATGAGCTTTGACAAAGGCATTCCTTTGTTATTCATCCACTGGAAAGGCCGGTTCATACTATGCACGAAAGTGAACGCAAATGGGAATTTGTGACGTCGGGGCATGTTTCCCAGCTGCAAATTCGCAAAAGTTGAACGCATTTTAACTGCGGCAAATTTCGCACGAAATGCTTCATGACGACAACTTCGCATTCGCATGAAGTATGAATGGGCAGTTAATTGTGACTGGACTAGTGACTTACTTGTGATTTACTTAAGTGATGAACTCGACTACAACACTGGTTCCTATAATATACCATATTTGTTGGAACAAAAATAGATGTGCTGCAAGGACACCCTTGGTTCAAAAAAAAAAGGAAGGTAACAAAAAAAGAGTTTGGCACCATTTACAACTCAAAAATTCATTTTTGTTGGAGCACTATTTGTGTCCACCTTAACCCTATGCTTGTGCATCTTTGCAAGTAACGGGAGTCCATTTGGGCCAATAAGTCATGGTTCGAAGAAAATTAATCTACGCACTTGTGGTGAGTAAAGTGATTTATTACAGAAGGCTAGGACACTGGAAACAAATTTGGACTTGGCCGTTAACCTCTTTTTAAAAAAAAAACCCGACCATCTCTTTGCAGTAGCACCATTATTGCAAGTTTGAATACTAACCGTTATTTTAAGAAAATGACTCCTACTTCCACACTATTGTTGAATACATAAACATTTTTTTTGTGCATTACAGTCGATATTAAATATACAAATTGTAAGTGGTTGAATTTTCAAGACAGTGTTTTGGTATATTTCTTCAGTGGTTTATGGATAATTTGATGCTTACATTGGCATTGTGTTTTCATTTTAGAGTACATACATGTGCATGGCAGATAGCCACTGTTATGATCCAAATACCCTGTTGGGCTCTTGAGCGTGTATGTGTAAAACTTTGCTGTACAAAAGTAATCTGTAGTCACCAAGTGTCAGAGCGTTGAGGGCCTTTGACAGTATCCAACTTTGTTTAGGAACCCTCGGGTCCTGTGCTCTACGAAGGTAAAATCCAACCCTGGTCGGGACCAGGGTTAAGAGGCCCTAACTGGGTAGAATGTCCAAAATCTACACCCGAGCCATGTACAATCCATTGTAGGTGTGAACGGTGTGACTTGCTGAACCTTGTTCGTTGGGTTCCACTCACGGTCTCAAGGTGGACCCCTGTTGATTTTAACACACGTAGGTGAGACTCTAGTGTAAAAAGACATTTTATTACAGAGTCTGAGGTGTTGATAATGCAGATCTATGCAGCATTCTCCTGTAATTTACTTACGTCGTTGAAATTGGTGCTACCTGCCCCTAAAGTTACGTTACCTGTATACGTAACTGGAAACGTCGTTGAAATACGACGGAATAAATACCTTTTGAACGGTGTCGACTTCACAAGGACCATTGGTTATGACATCAACACCATGATCTTGAATTTCAATCTCAGGAGTTGGTGTATTGCTGCTTGACCTTTCAACAGTTTCTACAGTTTCTAAGTTTCTCTTGTCACTGTTGACATGATGGGATTGGCATGTCGATTTTGAATTGAAAATTTTGAAAATGGATCTGAATTGTCTGTGATTTATAATGAGCATTTCTAATGATTCTCTTTGGCATCCTCATCCTTGGCTTTCCTCTGGGCCTCATCTTCCACCTCATCTCCCGGATGCACGCGACTGGAGTGTTTGCGTCCCAGAGAGAAGACGCTGCTGATCTTCTTCATGACAGCTGACATCCTGCTCCCCGACTTGCGGCTCGAACTGGACTTCGATTCCGAAACTGCAGGATGGGAGCTGACTGTTGGGATATCGGATGCACTTCCATGAGGAGTTGATGGATCAGACTTATTGCCATCGGCATGATACTGCATGGAGCCTCGATTGTTGGACATCTCATGACTTGCCTCGGGATCTGTATTGCTAGCATCTTTCGGCGATCGCAGAGCAGGTGTGTAGCTCGAGTCCATCGGATCCAAGACGGTGTTTGGAAGTGGCCCTGGGCACGGGCTGACTGAAGCAAAGTCACTGAACATGTCCGAGGATGCGCTCTCTGGAGTTTCCCCACAGCTGATCGGCAGCGTCATGGAACTGGAGAGTGATGCTGCAGATGTGTAGCTTTGAATATTCTCATTAAGGCAAGACACGTCTTGGCAATTATCATCAGGATGCATCACATCTGCTTGGATGTCTTGAGTGTCTGGTGGATTCTCACTCGGGCAAGTCTCATGTTCACCATTTCCACTGCGTTCTCGATTTCTCATTTGATGATTGTCTTCTGCGCAGTCTCCATTTTTAGATGTATCGATCTGACGTGTCTCGCTTAGGAAAGTGTCATCTGGATTAGGCTCGCATACTTGTTTTTCGTCTTCATTACCATCTTCTTGTCTCTCAGAACTTTCTCCTCCTGCCATTTCATTCACCTCTTGGACAGTATTGACTTCACAAGGCCCATTGATTATGACATCGACACCATGATCTTGAGTTTCAATCTCAGGAGTCGGCATATTGCTGCTTGGCCTGTCAACAGTTTCTGCGTTTCCTAAATTTCCAGTTTCCTCGGAACATTCTGCTGATGCCTGACCATTCACTACTTCGTTTATCACACCATGATCTCGCATTTCAATCTCAGGAGTTTGGGTATTGCTGCTTCGCTTGTCTACAGTTCCCACCGCTTCTCCAGGCCTTATTTCCGTGTGGCCTTCTGTTGGAGCCTTGTGTAAATCACGGTCGCTGGTGTTTTCCTCACAAAGACCAGGCTTCTCTTCGACACATCTTCCTCCCTCTTCACATCCATCAACCCTGGTTAAATCTGAACCTGTTTGGTCCAAGTCAGCATGAACCTCCGACCCAGTCTGTTGTGGTTGAATGCTTTCAACCACGACCCAACTGTCGTCACAGCTTCTGTCTAAAGTCAAATCATCACAGGATGTCTGTTCATCTCCATGCTTAGTCGTACTCTCAACTACTTGATTCAGTGATTCAGTACAAGGAGTCTGTTCTTCACCGGCATCTGATTTCCGTGGTTCAGTTTCAGCTTCAGGAAGTGTAGTGTCTCCTTGGACATCCACTTGTGTGGGTGGAGGTCTCATCTCTTCAGATGAATCCTTTATTACTGGCATCTTGTCTTCCTCCGTTGTCACAGGAACCTCAGAGGGTTGAATTTCATCTTGCTCATGGACAGTTGCTTCAGTTGTATGGCGAACCTGTCAGCCAACATGACACACATTTTAAAATCTTGTAACTTAGTCTTTAGTTTGACATTTGCAGAGGCATCTGCTCTAAGGTTAAATCAAACTTAAATCATCTGCACAGTTTCATTGTAGCATTCAATTTTTTTTTTTTAAATTTGAAAAATTTATAGCATTTCTGTTAAATGTTAAATGTGGTGCTATCAATCAATACCAAGCTTGTCTGTTAGTTTTGTGCTAGATATGTAGGTTTCTACCATAGAGCTATATTAAATTACAAACATGGATGCGCCCATCAGGCATTACTTTGTACATCGAGTTAGCGCTCTAGTAATTTAATATAGCTCTATGGTTTCTACTTGATTTGCAAGCATTTTCAGATTATACAGTATGCCTGTATTAATTTTGTTCGTACATGTGTCAAATGTTTGCCAGTCTGAAGAACTTTATGTCTGTCTGTCTATCAATTATGTATATCCCTGTATATTCATCTCACCTTATATGTCCGTCGTTTGGGAAGGTAGCACACCCCTGCAGTGTCGTCAGCAGTCACCAGTTCCTCCTCAGAATGGTGAGCAGTGACATCCTCCTGCTCTTCCTCCAAGATGTCGTAGTACTTTTCCATTTCATCTGAGGAGGAGTGCTTGGAGTGTTTAGAGTATCCTGAATGAGATAGCTCCCGGACCAGCGTGTCCTTAAGACATTTGGCAGATCCCTGGCAGTAGGTCATGTCCGGACGGAAGATGTTTCGGAAGGAGTTGCGACTTGCCGTAGAGTAAGATGACGGTACTTTGTGATGGCGATCAGGCTTCATGGAGATTGCCGAGAGATTGGCATCAATCAACTCCTCTCCGACATTGACGAGGTTGTCATGGTAGACTGGAACAATGTTGCTATAGTGATGATGGCTGCTCTCAGTTAGCGCATCCTCCTCAGGTTCAGGAGGATGAGCAGTATCTACTGGAATGTCTGTTGTGGAGACCTTGAGCTCCGGTTTAGTGTGACTGTGTGAAGCCATATCGTGTTTGAGTCTCCCAGAGCTGTCCATTTTGAGTGAGCCAGCTGATAACACCGCCGCAGTGACATTGATGGAGACTTTAGATGATGTTGTAGAGGTCGAGGAATGATGTTTCAGTGGCATCAGCGCGCCCTCGAAGATGATCCTGTGGTCATCTGTTTCCTTGACAACCTCTGTCAGTCCTGGAACAGCCTCCCCACTCAGACAGCCTTTCAGAGAGGTAACGCTCCCCTCATCGGCGATGATCTCATTTTCGACAACTCCTATGATCTCACCTTCCTCTTCATCGCTGTCGCTACTGCTGGAACTATCACATTCGCTTCCACTGTCTGAGAGAATTTCTCCATTTTCGTTGTCTTGTTGCTCGTCTTTAAGATGTTTCTCATCTTGAGGGGGATGTGTATGGTGTTCATGGTGATGACCATCATGATGGTGGTGATGATGATGGTGAATATCATGCTCCACCTCTTCAAGAATGTTCATGACGTTTGCAAGTAAAATGCTGTCACTTGCAAGCTCTGCGGTCTTCTCTTTCTCTTTACTGTCGCCTTGCATCTCACTTTGGCCCCTTGCTTCCTGGCTTACCTCCCACTGCCCATCTTCCGTCCTTCCCTCATGGCCTGTTGTGCAAGCAGTACTGAGCTGACATATGGAACGTTTCATTACACTGGCCACAACATCACTTGCTTGTCTGACAATCTGATTTTCCTCAACTTTTCCCTCCCCTACGTCTACCTGTTTTAGCTCATCTTCTATTGTTTCTGTTTCCTCGATTTTTGTAGTTGATTCTTTCTTTTGAGACACTTCTTGCTTTTCTATTTGGACCTGTTCCTCTTTTTCCTTTTCTTCATCTCTTGCAGCTCCATCCTGAATTTCTTCCCCTATTTCTGTCGTTTCTTTTGTGTGTGTATCTTTCTCTCTAACTTCCTGCTGTATCTCTAAATTATCCTTCTCATGTTCGTCTTCAATTGCAGGTTCTTCCACGCTCTCATCCTGCAGTCTTTCCCTTATTTCTATTTTCTGTTCTAGCTCTGGATCTTTCCTTTGTATTTCTTGTTTTTCACTGGATGTTTGCGTTGTCATACTTGTTTCTGTTGCCAGTATTTCTTTATCAGTATTCCCCTCTGTTTCCCTTTCTTCTTTCAGAATCTGCTCTTCTATCTCTTCGCTCATGACCTGATCTGCTTCCAACTTTTCCTCAGTTTTCATACCTATTCCATTATCTTTCCCAGACACTTTCTGCAATTCATCTTGTTCCTCCAATATTTCCTGGTCTTTCTTCTTTTCGACCCCAAGATTTTCTTCGAGTACCTCAAGCACCTCAATGTCATCCTCATCTCCCCTTGCTTTTTTCAACTTTTCCTCTCTTTCTTTCTTTGCAGGTTCTAATTTGTCTTCAGTTCCTTCTAGCACTTCTTCCGTGTCAACTTCCTGTTCTGTGCCTGGTTTTTCTTCCCTGGCTTCCTGTTTGATTGTTGATTTCTTGCTTTCCATTTCCTGTTTCTCAACATCCCCATCATCAATTTCCACCGTTGCCTCCATCTTTACTTCTGTCACTTTCTTACTTTCATCTTTGACCTTCGTTTCTCCTGCCTCTAAGGTCTCTTCCACTAAGTCCTCCTCTCTCCCAACTTCGTCTTTTGGGCTTTCTACTTTTTCCTCTTCGGAAAATGACGACAGGCTAACCTCCTGAAGACTCTCTACAGATTCACTCTTCCAGAAGTCTGACTCCTCTGATGAAGCATCCCCGGATTTTTCCAAGGACGACTCTTCCTCTGATGTTTCATCTTCTGAATCTTGTCCCTTCTTTTCGCCTACCTCTAGTTCCTTTCTATTGGCTGATACTTCATCTTCGGGTGACTTATCTCCTACAGTTGTGTCTGAGCTACTCCTTGATGTTGACTTCATGCTAGCTGAGGAAGAAGACGAGTACTCTTTGTCTTCTGATACGGCAGATGGTCCTGCTTCTGGCCCCTCCCTCATCTCATCTGCCAAGCCCATGCCACTGGAAATGGCAGGGATGCCCGGAGACACGGCGCCAGCTCCTTTGAGATTGCCATCCTCCTTGCCGCTGTCATCTGCCAGATAAACATCTCGCATCATGGACGTACCCCCTGGTTCCTCCTTGGACAGATGTTCAGGATTTGGTGATCTCCTGTAATCTAGTGAAGTGACAGACAGCACCTTGTCTGTAATGGTCAACTCCGGTTGTTCTTTCTTCAAAGGAGTGACAGTAGCGTCTTCACTCGAAGATGAAGACACATTAGGGGAAGAGAGCTTTTCTCTGTGCGACTGAAGACAAAGTAGTCAAATGGATAGAGATAGAGAGAGATGGATGTAAGACACAGAGAGCCCCCAACACGTTTGTCATTACACAGTGGGAAATCACTTGCTATTCAAATACTTTTTCTCTGTTCTTGACAGACCCACTGTGACTTTTCTCACATTTTCAATTTTGAACAATTGGCATCGTTGTTGTGACAACTCGTCTTCTCAGAGGACTTTGTTTCTTTTTCTTGGGACCTCAATTCATCCCTGTGCATCTTGAAATACGCATATTAAAAACAGTTGGTCCTCACCCTGGATGATAGATGTTTTGCTGTCCGCTCAATTGCAGCAGTGATGTCATCTGAACTATACATCTCATCCTCTCTGTGCAGATCCTGCTCAGCATCAACAAATTCATCGCCTTCTTTTGATACGATGAGATGTTTGAGGGCAGCTTTATCCATCAGGGGAAAAAACAGAACAGGAAGTTTAGTCAATGGCAGAATGAAAAGCACTGTTTCAATACACAAACAGCATGACATTGTAGTATAGGATGTATTCAAGTAACAGGAGTAACAACAAGACATGTCCCACAAATTCGGTTAATATTTTACAAGTTGCCATCAGAGGGGCTTTCCCCTTCCTAATTTCTCATTCTGTACAAATTACTGTCCTTTTTTTAAAGCAAATTTACAATTGGGTGACAAATGTCATAAAATCCCCCTATTTTGGCACAACAGATTAAAGTCAAACAAATTTTGTACCCACCCCATTGTCTTCTGTAGCGCTGGTGGTATTTTCGTCTTATCTTCCCTAGCCTCTTCTCAAGCCGCCTTGCAATTAGTGCTTCCCTCTGAGCCACAAGTTGTGCCCTTGCGTCGCGGATGCTTTCAAAAATGGCTGAGAGAGATACAAGAAGACAATGGGGCAGCATCAGGAATTTAGGGGGAAAAGTCCATGTATTTTCCATTTTTATGACACAGCTCTCAGTTTATACCTTCCTGCCTGTAAGCAAACAGTGTGCATTGATCCATGAGATCACAACTTTTTGGTCATGTGACCATGATAGCTTGGTCTGACCGTCGGAGACAAGGCCAAACAAAAAATCTGAGAGAAGACAATTAGCTCTTTTCACACTTCCGCCATTGGGCATGCACAGCCTCGATCTGGCAACTTTACACAATAATAAATATAGCCGGTTCAGTGATTCCCCGTGTCGGGGTTCAGATCACTGAACAGGTTATTTTTATTGTGTAAAGTTGCTAGATCGAGGCTGTGCATGCCCAATGGCGGAGCGTGAAAAGAGGGAATTTGTAATGGAGTAGTCTGCCCATAAAGTTCAAATAACCTTTTTGCCTTGCTTGGTGTGCCTCGACCATCTTTGACCTCATGACCTTGACCTTTGATGCCTTAGCCACTTCCTTCTCACGTTGGCTAGCCTCCAGCACCAGCCGCACTTCCCGATTGGCTTCTCTCCTGTCCCACTGCTCCTGCAGCTATAGCCACAAAGAGGGAATTGTCAAAGGCACTAGCCGATTTTCCCCCAGTGGTTTCGTGGGCATGAACAATATTATACAAAATAGGCCTAGTTCTTTTTCACTGACCAATAATATCAAACATCTGAGTGACACCTAAGCATGATCTTACCAGCTTGTCATTGCCAACAATCTAACTGCAAAGGCAGATACGTCTATTATAACCCATCATTATCGTGACCAGCTGACAGCAACAGCCACACTTTTAAACATCTCTTAAACTTTAATACGCATGACGACTGCAACTTTATAGACTGCCGATTGAATAAGACTATAACCAATCGACTGAGAAGCCTGCTGAATGACCTGGATAATATTGGTCTCTGAAAGGAGTGTTGTGCAGGGTTGTAGTCGAGGAAATTCTTTTTGATGGATCACAAGTACATCACAAAGCCAGTAACAAGTAAAACAAATACATCGACAACAGCCTCAGTGGGCTGGGTCTCGGCAAGGGTTGTTTTGCCTATGACTTCTGATATATTTAGTATAGATGACAGAGTAGAATGCCGAATTGCCCCAGTCTGAGCCTTACATTCAACTCTCGTTCAGCCATCTTGACCAGCTTCCTCCTCTCCAGCTCCTGTTCCCGCCTCATCTCCTCATCAAAACGCTTGCTGAGCAGCAGGGACTGCCTCTCGTAGGCCTACACGAAACCCCAAACAAGCATCTAAATGTCATGACATTATGGTTGGATATATTGATCCATTATTTATTTTTTTAAATTAAAGCAAACATATACAGAGACAACCATACAGAGAAATAACAAACTGCATACATTTTGAATAGTGCAGTTTTTTTTTTCTTCGATCACTGCACGCCAGAGTCATTAAGAGACGCCATAAACCCTGATATGTTTTCTGAACTGAATATTTAAATAATAGTTTTTCAATTTGTGTACACCCAACAATTATTCTCATTCTAGATATAGTTCTGGGCTTTTAACACTGCCTAAATAAAACTGTTACTCTCTCCCATCACAAGTCACCTTCATCTCTCTACTTCTCCTTGTCCTCTTGTGCGCGTGTTGCTTCTTTTCATGATGAGCCTGTGTCACGCTGCCTACAGGTTTCTTGGTCTTGGCAGTGCTGCCCTTCTTAGATGCTATCTTTGAGCCCCCTCCGGACTTTACCTGAACAGATGATCTGGAACATTTGGGGGGAAAACTCCACTTTACTTAGCTTCTTGTTCAACCATGGATGTTGCTGTTACATGTATTTTTGAGAACACTGTTTGCAAAATTCTTCAATTTGAATCCGAAAGGGCTGACAACTGAAACAACCTGTCTTAGGTTTTCCGTTTGCTTACTGTGAATATTCGTTTTCTTCCATCTTCAAAGGTGTGATCCCTATTCAGCAAACTGCTACACTGGGATTTGGTGCATTTAAGAGGAAAAAAAAACCATTAGGGATACTGTAAAATGTGAGGTTGTTTAGGCTAGAAAGTATGAAAAAAAATCCATGTGAACACACTGGGATCATACCTCGAGAGAGATTTGGTGGACGATCTTCTGTGGTGTTTGGATGAAGTTGCTCCAACATGCGGAGGTGCAGCACGTTTCTTATGTGTTGGTTTGTGATGATGGGTGTGCATAATACGGTCAAACTGTTTTTTAATCTGAAAGGGAGAAAAGTGCACAATTAGTATGAAGAATAAGCTTGAATCTCAATTTTATAAGAACAATTTCAAATTCTTTGAACCTTTTTAAGTAGCTCTCAGATATCATAATTTCATTTTTTTAAATGAGATACGAAAAATACAAGTGACTGGTGTGTTAATACAATATACCATGTGTTTTCTTTGTTGTGTCAGTTGTTCCAGCTGGACCTGCTTCACGTACTGATGGTATTCGTTAAACTCTTTCAAACCGCACTTCACCTTGACGGAGAAAGAAATAATAATATAACAGTTCAGAAAAAGACTATGTCTATGTTCTGAATTTTCTCACAACAGTGATTTTCATGGGGATTTATCCATTTTTAATCTCCAAAGACAAATACTGTACAGTATACTGATGATCAGTACTGATCAACCTTAGTTCATGGATGACAATTAGATGGTTACAGGGTGAGTTAAAAAACAAAAACCGAAACCCAAATGTCGGGACTATTGTTTTTGTGAAGTTCTGCACTTTCAAAATCTAGGATATGAAAGCTCAATTCATAAGCTTTCTTTTGGTACAAGAATCATTCAAATCACTCATGTACTTTTCAACTTACGAAATTTTAAACACAACCACCGTTTTAAAGTTCTGTCCATCCACAGATCACAAAAAAAGGTGTGCGTTCTTTCAGCAAAACGAAAACATTCACACACATCCCTATGTGATTTGTTTTCGTTTTGCTGAAAGAACTCTCACCTTTTTGTGATCCGTGGACAGAACTTTAACAAGGTGGTTGTGTTTAAAATTCCGTAACTTGAAAAGTACATATAAGTGATTTGAATGATTCTTGTACTAAAAGAAAGCTTATGAATTGAGCTTTTATATCCTAGATTTTGAAAGTACATGCAGAACTTCACTAAAACAATGGTCCCGACATTTGGGTTTCGTGTTTTGGTTTTTTTTTTTTTACACACCCTGTAGGGTGCTTTTAAGGTCGGAACGGGAGATTGGCAATTCCAGCTTTATGAAAGGAAATGTAATGTCTGTGACAGAGCCAATTAACTATGGTATCTAATTAATGATTCAGACTATAGATCCAAAACTCCTAGCCTGTAATCTCTTTGATCGTTACTAGATGATGGATGTATGAGATTTGAATAACGCATTATTATGTTTATTCACTGAGCTCTTAAAACCTCTGTCATGGACTGCTGGCACCAGATAGGAATTATGTGCTGACAGGAATTTGCAAAAGGTTAAAGAGGTGGTGGAGGGATGTATCGTGCATGAGCAGAATGTTTTTGGGGAAATGGATTGAAAATGGTGAAGTTCGAACTGACCAATCATCAGGTTTGTGGGTTTGAACTGTACTAGCCAATCATCAGTTTGATGAGGTAAGAACTAGCCAATTATCAGGTGAGGGAGGTTGAACTAGACAATACAATGGCTTGAGACAAGCAGACATTACCATGCCACAGGGAGTGAGGAAGCCGCTTCTCGTCAGATGGGAGTACATCCTGGGAGTGGTGTAGTAACCCTTGAGGTTGGGGTCATGGAGGCTGCTGTAGGTCATACTCAGACCCTGGGGGCTGGAGTCAAAATCGAAGCCCCTTGGGGTCGTGTGAAGCTGTAGAGTAATAAAAATGACAAATTTTGAAATTTTGAAAGGAACTTTTTAACACAAGATTGTTGAATGTGTCATGCGCATGACAATTATTCATCAACCATAAGAAATTACACCTATCTACGAAATTGACCGTGAAATTCTTGGAATTCGTGGAAATGAGACAACTTCAGACTGATGATTTTTTTCCCAAGAAAAACACGTCCTATGTAAGGCCCCTTTGTTTAGTTGTTACCTTTTGTCAAAAATAGGCCTAAGTCTATATAGGCCTGCTGCTTGTATAGGCTTAGTTGAATTCCAGACATTTTTACTTAATTGACAATCTCATTCCCTGCTTATAAGCTATAGCCAAAATTGATTTTGAGCGGGCCTTAAAGTTTAATGAGTCTTTCCAACCAAAATCCCCACGGATTACGCCACGTAATCTCTTCAACGCGTAGGCCTACATTTCGCCAACCAGAATTAGGTACAAAGCCTTTTGTTTAATCAAAACATTGAAATATGTTCCAGTATATTTGCTTACAATTTCGAGAATGTACACGCAACTCGGCTTGTTGTGATACACGCACTGCGCGCCAGAACATTGCATTTAGGTTTATGGTAGTCTGATGCAAGAATATTGTGTTGTCGTCGTTAGTGGGCCTAACGTTAGCTTTTGAAAGTTCTTCTGAGGACAAAATGAAGGAAGGAGAACGAATTTCTGCATTTATATTGTTAGCCTATACCTTCTCGCACAAGCCAGTGGTGTACAGCATGATCTTGCCGGCGGGTGCCGCCACCATTGGCACCTTGCTGTACAACGGCGTGTCCAGCATCCAAGCAGGCACGGGAGGTCTCTCCACTGGGGCCGATCGCTTCGTTTTAAGGTACCGATGAGCCCGGTGAGAGGACGGCCGCGGTGATTGGGGCGTTGACGTTGCGGCCGGGGATCGAACGACGCCGGCTGTCTGCGGTCTTTCGATCTTGGTCGTGGATTTATTCATCGTTGGAGAAGTTCAAAGATGGCTATTAAAGAAGATACACGCTCTAGGCCTATATCTTCATCGTGTTAGGTCTTCATCGGTAAGTGGCCTCATGGCATAATTCTTTCCTCCAATTAAATTTTCTGAAAGTTTCCTTGTGCCATCTCCTCATCAGCGATTACCTGACTATAGGCTTATGTCCAGAAATGTCCTACATTTCAGAAGCTTCAGATGTGATAAGAAAGCACTTCCCCAAATAGTTGCTTTGAGATGGTCGTACCAAAAGTTGAAAGGAAACTTTTTACTATTTTAGAACGAAAAAGTTGGGTTGCCGTTCTGCGTCCAGCGCTAGCGTGGCTTGGAATTTCTCGAGGCGCATGAGACAAATTGCTTTTTGTATTTCCCGCGCTAGGCACGTAGGAAGCACACGCGGTGCGTGGTGCGTATAGTAGTAGCGCAGACAGGGCTCTGGAGTGCTCTGAAACGTGCAAAACTAAATCAGGCCCACTTTACTCACAGTTTAGCCAGCAAATTTCTCCAAAAATTCCACTGGGGCAAAGAAAATGTCCTCAGTATTTCACCAACCAAGTTTGCAGACTCAATTCAATTTTTAAAGGAGACTTTTCTTCGATTCTTGCACATGAGAGGGAAGTCAAGTGATTCCAAAATGGGGCTAAAGACTAGACTGGTACATGTCAAACCATGGTCCAACTAGTTGGAAAGACTGATCTCTTCATTCAGTGTTAATAGTCTGGTGGCTTTACTATGGAGAAATGTGTAGTAAATTGAGACTAGTTCCCGCTTCATGCCACATGCTTCTTAAATTCTTTTGGCATGGTTGATTGATGCAGTACTGAAGCTGTGTTGGACTGGTTGTTTCAGGTGCCAGTCTATTTTCTTGTTTTGCATGTTTTCAATACCTTAAGTTTTGGGACTCTCATACACAGTATTGAGAGTCCCAAATTTTCGGACTAGTAGTAGCGCTGGCACGCCTACAGTTGCAGGCCGCGCCTGTAAGACCAAACTTGCCTACGCCGCCAAATCACTATTTGCATCATCCATAAAATTCTCTGTTATTGGAGCATTTTGCGGGCCATGAACTTGAGGGATTGTTTTAAAAAAAAAGTGGAAGCCGTAAAGAACTGTGAGCTTGTATTTCTGTGAAATTTGGATGAAATTGGTCCTTAAAATTGATCTACACTTATTTTGCAATGGAGTGTAGGCATCATTTTTTTTCAAAATGGCGATGGGCTCCAGAACCCCCACCTTTGGCAGCGACCAAACTTTTCTCAAAAAATATATGGCCATGTTTTCAAATGTGAGACCCCCTCTGCCCCCCCCCCCGGCACAGCTTCAGCCCCCCTCCGAATCCGCCCTTGATCAGTGCATCATTTTGGTTGTGCCGTCAGCAAAAAAGCTACATGGGAAGTCCACATGATTTCTTTATTTAAAACAGCGTCTTAATTACAAAACGCCTCAGGGGCGGGTCCAGTTTTCAGGAAACGGGGGGTTGATAGGGGTGGGGTCTGGGGTATGCCCCCCCCCCGACAAATTAGAAATATACGATGTTTTCTCCAACATTCTAAGGCAATTTGAGATTAAATTTAGGGACTTTGGAATTCAATTTATTATTGTTGGCCCCATTTTCCTAATACAACATTCGTCAGAAGTTGGACGCGGGGTTGGGGGGGGGGGGGCAGCCCTCAATTACCCCTTGATCTGCCACTGCGCCTTCCCCTCTGCCTCTGAGATAAGTGGATTATTATTTTTGAAACCCATTCAGTCACATATTTAACGTTTTAGAGGATGAAATTTCTTAAATTTTTAGGTCAAATTTTCATCGCAATTGATCGCCCTTGTTGACATAAGGGCCTTTTCTTTGTCTACCCTTGCCTCAACGAGAGAAATAAAACCCTCTGCGCTGGGTTTTATTATCAAACTGTAGTACATGTATTCTCAAATTCAGTAGGGCCTACAGCAAAAGCGTGGGGGGGGGTTTAAAATTCCCATTTTTACCCTTCACGTAGAACCACACCAACATAACTGCAGCAATAACCAGTTGATATTAATCGCTCTTTAAATTTATTTTCCATTGTTGCATTTGCACCTATGATTAAATATTTCAAAAATTACATTCCTATAAATAATTCAATGGAAATTTAAAACATTGACAATATTTCATACTATAAATTAAAAGTCTTGTAATTATGATAAATATGATATCTTGTCTAAAAATTTGATTTTCTACAGATAAACTAAAAATGATATACTTTCACTTAACAGAATTAAAGTAATTTTGAATAAATTTCCAGCTATTTCAAATAAAATATTTCTACTTAAAAATCAAGAGCATAAATATGTTGTATTCCTATGAAGGTATTATAAACCCAAAATGAAGACAACAAAAAAATCTAATAATAAAAAAGAATACTTATGATATCACTCATATTATTATAAGGTCAAAAAAAAAATATTCGGTCTCTGGTCAGACCAAAGTTCCGGAATTGACGCGGGGACGCGGCTTTTTTTTTTTCTTCAAGCTTGGATTGTACAGACAAGGTGGGGTACTATTTTGCTATTTGGTGTCCTCATGTACATTGGTGTCCTCCATAATTTTTCTTGGTGCTCTCGATCATTTGCCTTAGTGCAATTTCCCATTCCTTGGTGCTCTTTGGTAAAAAAAAATTGAGGAGGTGCGACAATAGAGGGCGCTGTTGGAGCTACCGCGGAACATTTTGGAAAAAAAAAATTGACGCGCATGATTAAAATCGACGCGCGCGCTGACCAGAGACCGACTTATTTTTTTTTGGCCTAGCTGTTAAAAACTGTTGGTTTGTTACGACCAAACAGACAAACGTTACAATACAGAGCATATATTATAAAAACGACAGGGAATGCAATGCAATGAAAGTACAAATAATTTCCCTGAAAGTTTGAATGAAGTTAAGGCACTTCAACATACCTCAAATGATATTAAAGCAAATATTCTAAGCGTTCAACAATCCGAACAAATAAGTGACAAAAAATCTTGACCAAAGATCATTCAAAACATACTGCATCAGTCAAATATGAAATGGTTTTGGTATATATAACACACTGGGTAAAGTACCAAGAGTAAAGAAACATTTATACACAGCACCATTCATGAACTCCTAGTAATTTAAACATTTGAAAGTAATTCACTACACAACCAAAATATAATCTAAATCTCCTTCGCAACACAGCATTTATCCTATTGCACTCTTGAATAAATATAAACGTATATTCTAATATTAAACATGCTCCTCTGAGCTGCACACTCTAAAAAAAAGTCTAAATTTCAACAACTGTGTTCTTAATTTGACAACCTTAAATAGCACTGTTTTTCAAACATGAGAGAGTTTGTCTTAAGCTTTAAATCTTTGTGCCTACTATAGCAGCCCACTGCAGGCAACTGTTAAATAAACTCTTCGACTTTGCACAGCCTTATTACTATCAGTTTGAAATGGCACCCCTTAGAGCTTATATACAGGGTTTGTCCAAACAAAAATGGGTGAGGATGTTTAAAGGTAGTTTTGGAACACTGGCATTTACCCGGATATGTATGCACCGATTTAACGAGAAAATCCTTTCTCAAAGTGAAGATAGGACTGGTACCAAATACCCTGTGAAATTAGTCTGCCTGAAATGGTATCATTAAGAAGAAAATATTAAATAAGGGTGGTTTTAATTAGGAAAATGTGCCCGTGGTTACAGTTTTTAATGTGCGTTAGCAACGGAATCCAGTTACATTTTCTCTGTTTTCTCAAAATGTACAGTATCAACTGAGCTGAAACTTCAACAAGTTAATTGTTCTGGACCCTTCTTAAGTTTTTGAGCAAGTTTGTTGCTATAAACGAAAACACTGCACAAACAGCAAATGATCCTATTTGCCTTTAAGTTCAGAACTTGAAAACTGTCAGTATTTGTCGTATTTGTCTGAAAAAGTTCTCAGAGATTAGAAAACTAAGTGCATTCATTGTCTGATCTATGGGCAATCTTTACATTGTCAAGATTTTCAATGAACCAGAAATGTACGAAAACACTTTTGTTCCTGACAAAATGTCTGACATTTGAATAATGGCGCTCCTTGTTCACTTCCAGACATTCTGACCGGAACAAAAGCGTTTCAGGTTCCTGGTGATTTTTGTCTCCAAAGTGTTCTGTAAATTTCTGCTACCGTTTTCTATAGCTTTAATCAAAATAGTTTTACAGAACATAAACAATAGATGGGTACATGAAACAATCAAATTGCATACACACGTTCATATATTAAACCAACATCAATTTCAGCCTTGATAACTTTTAAAAAAAAACTTCTTTTTTTCACACAATTCACACCAAAAAAAAATCACTCTTAAAAATTTCATCACAAGCAATCCCGTTACACTTCTTCTACAAACACTTTTTACAGGTAGCGTGACATTTGCATATATTTACAAACAGATCCATTCAATATTATTTCCAAATTTTTATTTTAAAACAAGCTTCTTTTTTATCTTTCTGACCGACTTGTTCAGACCTGCACAATGTTAGACCTCTTTTAAGCTGCCGTTTTGTATGGTTGCCTCTCCTTTTTTGCTTAACTTTTTCTCAATTATGCAGAGCAGGTAAAAATGTTTAAAATCCAAACAACTTCTGAAGCTTCTCATAAAAATATTCATTTAAATTTAGATCATTAAAAACAAATTATATAAAGCATAAACATTTCTTTAGCTATTTGTATCAATCTACTCATAAAATATGGCAAGTTATTGCAAATACAAAACTTGATATTTGCCTGCATAAATGACATATGCAAATTTGGTTTTAATTTAAGTACACATGTTGAGAATGATGCAAGAAATCTCTGAAATGTGACAATGCAAGATTATAGGAGATATTCTCAGCACATAGCACTGAGCTAAATGTGGCCTCCCCTTTTGTGCAAAAGTTCTCTGAATTTCAAAGTCATGATCAAGTAGGCACTAATAAAAACACGGTCGATTGACTGATCAGTCCCGAAAAGACACCTGTTTTAATCATATACTTTTTGGTCCCCTTATTTAACCGTGTTTCAATCGTGCGCCGGCACGGTTAAAATGTGTGGTTTCCTGATTTAACCGTCAAACGGCATTTTTAACCTTGAACATTTTCATAGTGTGAGCCGCACCGTACCTAAATCTAGCAAATACTGAAAAACAAGTTGATTGTGCTGCTGCAAATTTCCAAAAGAATAAAAAGGGAAGATCCAAATCATCTGGGAAATTTAAAGCTGATATTTATGAGGGTTTGAGCACTTGCTAATGTGCTGTGCATCTATGCTAACAAGTGCCTTCCCTAGCTTGTGTGTTATTGTTCAACAAGCAAACTTCTTAAATTCTATTTCTAAAATATGCTGACGTACTGTGGGAGAATAAACCGAACAAAGTATGGAATAAGTGCAATACAACACAACACATTCAGAACTAGCTCTGGTCTACACCACGTGATTTGATCCCCGTTGTGCAGTACTGTAGTGGAGTCTATCACAAGTACATTAGAAGTCTGTTCAAGTCGATCTGATGATCTCAAGTTATCCAGCCCCAAGTCAAGTCAAGCCCCAAGTGATGATGATGAACAGACATTCCTTTGATATTATTCATCTTATTTGTGACCAGACCTGTGATGGACTTGTGATGAACTAAACTACATACATATGTAACTGCTGCTGTGTGGTTTTCATATGCCTGCCATGTCACGGAGGACTGTTGCTGTGCCTTGCAGATCGTAGCCAACAAATTGAATGTTGTCCTCCTCAGAGGGAAGGATCTATAGTGCATGCAAAAACACCCAGGGCAATAGGGACGCCAGAGGGGACAACAGTGGGCATTAGGGGGCAACAGGGGGCAATAGTGGGACAAGAGGGCAATAATGGGCATCAAAGGGCAATAGTGGGACAAGAGGGCAATGTTTGGCATCAAGGGGCAATAGTGGGACAAGAGGGCAATAGTTGGCATCAAGGGGAAATAGTGGGTAATTGGTGGAATAGGCAACATCGGGGTCAATACCAGGCAGTAGTGAGCCGGGGGGGGGGGGGGGGGAGGAGCAGGACCAGTTGTGAATGGTGCAGGGGAGCGTTAAATAGGGGAGGGGCAACAATTGGGAATGGCCAAAAATGTATTGGGGTATAGGTTGTGATGAAAATATCATGCATGATTGATGAGAATAGTATGTAATATGGTCGGACAAAGGAGAGAGAACAGATAATGTCCAGGGAAGGGAAAATAGGAGGCGAAATGGGGCAATATTTGGCAACAGGGGTAATAGGGAGTGAAAAGTGAAATAACAGGTACATGTTATGGGGAAATAGGTGTGGTAAAAATGAAAACAGAGAGAGAACATCATCACAGAAAAGTAAGTAGATTCAAGAAGGGACAGAAGACGTGCACAAGCAACGTTTGGATTTAGAGGCATATTAAAGGTACACGTATGAGTGGATGATAGAAAGTGATTAAGGTTAGGAAATGGAAGGTACGATGGCAATGGTAACACAAGTAACATGGTCAGGGAGAAAGGGGTAGATTGGGAACATTTGAGCAGGGGAAAAGAGGACGGGATAGTGAGGGTTCAGTGGGCAAGGTGATGAAAATGACAGGGCACAGGACGGGCATAAAGAGAAAAGAGAAAGAACAGAAACATCAAAAGCAAACAAAACAAAGCAGATACATTTTAGCAAGGCCCTTACAACAGAAAATTTTGGAAAATTTTACATTTTTATCCTGTGTTATTTTTTTTTTCATGAACTAGGACCCAACATGTGTTGATGAGTATTAATACTGATACTTTAGAATTCAATGCACTTTCTTCTGGTCTTTTGTTTCATGCTTTTACTTGTGTTACCCATACTGCAACAGTAATAAGTTCTGCTTGATAAGTCATGAACAACATTTAAAGAGAATGTACAACATTTGCTTTTGCTGCAATTTTCAGAAATAAATGGATTTGGAGGATAAGTATGTTATAGCAAATATTGTTAAACTGACTTGTTTCACGTTTTGGGCTTGTTTATGCTGGAAAAACCAAGAAAACCAATCATTTTCTTGTAGTCTGGTTCCCCGACCCCACTTAAGATGAAACGGAGAAACGTAAAGACTTTGGGGAATTGTAAGGTCAAAGAATCACTCTAGCAGGTTTGTACCCCTTCATAGGTTCTGTAATCTATTGCAAACAAAATGCGGAATACCTAAATATGAAAAAATTGGAGCAGTTTTTGAAACAAGCCTGTTTTTTTCCAACACTGGTCAGCCGACCAGCGTTGGAAAAATACAGTTTTTCTTGAAAATGTCAGCACACCAGGAGCCACGATTTTACAGGATGCTTTAGACTGTCAATCCCTAACATTTCAGTAAGGTATTTCGTGATAATTTGATCGTTTCGTTTTTTTGATGTTTGCAAATGTTGTATCTTCCCTTTAAATGATGTTATTTAAGCACATAGAGTAGTGAAGTCTGATGTCAGCTTTCTTTATCTGGTTCAAGCCCCGATGTCTTCACGAACTTAAGCTATGCGGGTGTGCTGCGTGAACCAGCATACGTGGCACACTCTGGTACTCTATTGCGATTGGAAATGCAATATTGGCCACCAATGCAGGATGCATATTGTTCAACAAAAATCAATATCAAGAATACTGGTGCGGACATTAAGTACCACAAATTCCACATGTTCAAATAAATAAACATGTAAGTTGTAAGTTCTATATACACCTCCTAAATTTCAACTTTGATTTGATCCACTACTTGTCCTCCAAACACACTACCACCATTTTTTCCCCCGTTTTCAGAATTATATATAAAAATTAGAAAATATGCTTTGCTTTATCATCTTAACAAAAGTAACCCAAATATAGTCTGTCATCCTCAATAAATACTTGTTGAAAATAAGAACCAAACAGACTAACCCAAATAAACAACACAACCGAAGAAAAACAATACTTTGTTCGAAAAGTCTTCTTTCTAGAAATTTACTTTACTTTTGCCGCATCCCCAAAATTTGGCGCACTTACCCTGAAGACGTTACTGACTCCCAACACGCAGTTCATGACCTTACTAAAGTAACACAACACGTATTTGGAGAAAATGTCTTGGGGGAGGTAGCTGGCCTTGAAGGTAACCTGGCACCCAGACGCTGGTCTCGTTTCCCCGTTGGGCACGGCCCATACGTAAGTGACATAGCTGCGACTTGGGGTCTGGAATCCAACCTATGGTGTATTAATCAACACACAGACAATGACAGGATGATTGCTTCTTATAAATAAGTCCAGCGGCCGATTTCATAAAACTTTACGCAACGGCATAAGTCCACTTGCGGCACAATTTACTGCGCGAATTGCACAACATTTCACACTGCGCAACATTTTAGTTATGATACTTTCACAAAAGACTTATAGTGCATAAGTCCGCGTCTTGCACAACAACTTATAGCATAATTTGCGCAATTATTTTAGATGGCCTAACTTGTGGTGTAGAAACTGAAAATGAACTACTTTACCAGCAAATCGTGATCGTCATGGAGCCTGTTATTGCACAACTTTGTGTTTGAAGTAAAAGAATGGCTATTTTACTCGTGACAGTGTATTTAGAGTTGCTACGCGATTCAAAATGACAGGCGGAGGTGATTCAACGACTGTTTCATGACCAAACAAAATCATACACAAACAGCCGTCGTAAATGCTGTTATTAACCTTGTCCAAGATGTTTATTAGACAATTCAAAATGTTGCACCTAATTTCATGAAATCAATCGTAAGATTATTGCGCAGCTGCGCAAAAAATTTGTTGCGTAAGTACTACGTACAGTGTTTGTTATGCACTGTTTCACGAAATCAGCTGCAGGCCTGTACGCAAAACCAACAAAAACAAATTGCAGTGATGTTTCCTGATGGATGCCTTTCCAAGTCTACTACTCAGATTCATATGAAGGATAATTGTGTGTTGATATAAGGCTGCCGACACAAGCATGGGCGTCAATTGGTGGGGGATGGGGGGACAAGTCCCTCCCCCCCCCTCCCACTTTTTAAAGTGGGGGGATATCATATCATTTGTCCCCCCCCACACTTTTTTCGTCCCCCTCCAAAAAAATGTAGCCTACATATGATTCTATAGCACAGAATAGCTGATTCATTTACTCCAAACTTAAAAATGATGTTTAAATTACAATCTTTTGCCAAAAAAATTTGTTAAAGTGGCCAGAAATTGCCTCAGATCGCAACACAGGGCGTCTAGAATCCAAAAATTTTCAGAGCTTTGAAGCGGGCCCTGAACCACACGCCGTAAGGGCTTCGCGCTCGCATTAGTTCTGATCAACGAATGTCCCCCCCCCCCCCCCACTTTTGAAAAGTGATTGACGCCCTTGCACACAAGCATAAATTTAACTGAGCTTCTGCATTCAAATTTTAACAAAGCAATGCTCCTGTATGCAATTGTTTTCAAAATGAAAGTCATTAAACTAAACCCTCTCACATTCTTCAAAAGCAAGGGTTGGTAAGATTTTGTAGGACTGAGGAAGGTAGACCCAGCAATTACTGCTGTACATGCGGCTGGATAACCCTTCAATTTTTTTCGGTACAAAAATTTTCTTGACTGTTTTTAATCCAAAGTTAATGTAAAATGAGCATGTAGTTTCAGCGGTATATTTGTGAAGGTGGAAGGAGGGCACACTTCATTTCTCAGCTTGGTATTAAAAATGTCAGAGAGGGGGCGGGGGGGGGGGGGGGGGAATTCATGATTCTTCTCCCCAGCCTACCTTATACAATCCCACCCAGTCCCAGTTGCTAGTTCTTGTGCCTGGGACCACCGTGTAGGTACACTGTGCATCCTCTCCTCTCCTCCAGGACTCGATAGGGTCAAAGGTTACCAATGCCTGCGCTGATTCCATGGAGACCTTGAAGATACAATTCAGTTGTCATGTTAACTGTCGTAGGAAATTGGTGATTTACAAGATGGAATCTTTAACTTTTTAAGGAGCTTTAGCTTTTTTCTCTGCCTTGTATTTTGATATCTTGAAAGCTGTTATTTTGTGTGAAAATGAATTTAACCTTTAAAATTTTTAATTGTGATGAAATAAAATATTGACTGATTGATTGGTTTAAATGCCCCCTGCTGACAAAAATCTTTCCACTAAAAACTAATTCGAAAACAAAGGAAGGGGTTATCATACTTGCTCTGAATAATCACAACGCACACACACGTCTACATGTGTATAATTATTAAACAGTTTAGATTCCCAAAGATCAGAACCACCAACATTGAATGAAAAAGCCACATGACAATAATTTGTGCCTTAGCAATTTCTACATAATTTTTTTATCTTATAGTTTCCAAATAAAAACTCGCTCTGACATACATGTATAAACAAAAAATGCAGATATTGTGTGGACACCCCCCTGCCAAACAAAGCGAACACAACAAAAAACATCGGTGTATACCAATTCTCTATACTGTCCACACAAGTTACATCGAAATTTACATTGGACTATCAAAAGTAGCCAAACATTTCAACAGCCACATACTTACCCCTAATCTGAACTCAGCGCTGACTGGTTTATGGTCGCTCCACTTGACGTTTCCATGGGAACGGTAAGCCATTTGCGTCACGCAGAAGTCCGTCTCCTCCCCGGCATGCTTAGGGTGGACCTTCCACAGGACACGGTCTGTCCAGGCTGGCGGCCGCTGCTTGGCACTGAAACAAAATAAATTTCTTGGTGTGAGAGTCCAAGCACGCACATGAACAGAGTCAACCTATTTAAAGGTAGAGTATATCATTTGCAGCTATCCAAAAATTAACTGACGAAATTTTTGTTGAAAAGCTTACTTGGTTTAAAGATAGTAACGACACTAAACTCTCTGTGAAATTATTCTTTCTGGCATGCTGTCATTTTGAAGAAAACAATGATAGAAGGCCATTTCCACTTGACGCATCGTTGGAAATTTCCGTTAGTGGTTGGTGTTGTAATTCGGCGCATCTGTGAATGGATGCGGACAAGTGTTGACACGACACACCCGTGTGCGCGGTTGCTATAATGCGTCAATTCAGCACGCGCGCAGCTGCAATTGGCTGAATGAGAACATGCCCCGGACGCTGATTTTGGGAGCAATTCAAAACATGACTCGGCAAATTTTGAATTAAAAATGGGAGCCACAACGCGGTGGAAACGACATTTTCAACAGCGGGAAAGAAAAAGGTAATGTACCCCATGGGGAACATCACTCATCTACCAAGCGCGCGCGGCATACATCGCTGTACATGCGTGTTTGTGGCATGACACGTGATCGACAATGGACCAATAGATATTAACAATCTATTACTGTGGTATAACAAAGCTCAGTGTATCACACGTCCATTACAAGTACATCACAGGTCATCCAGTCTCAAGTCAACTCACAAGCTACTCAAAAGATCCTTAACAAAGGCAGTCCTTTGTTACTGTTCATCCTCTGTTAGTTGTAACTAGGGCCCGATTTCACAAAACGCTAGGACGCGTCGCAACCCGAGTTACGACGTGTAACACGTAGCAACTCGCGACGCATTGTACGATCCATTTCACCAAACTTGCGATGTGTTGAATGCATCTTAAATTCCTTGACAACGGCTTAAAACACATCGCAAGTTACGGCATGACTGATGGTCATCGCAAAATAAGAAGCATCCTTTTCTTAGCCAGTTTTATGCCATAAAAATTACATAAACAAGACTATAATACCGAGACAATGTGTGTAAAGTTGCAAAAGGAAAATGCATTGAATAATTATGAACTAGCATGGAATATTGCAGTTTAAATTCCAAAGGAGCTATCAGTCCACCATGAGCTTGTTTTCGTTAAAACTGCAACACACGTTCACCATTTTGTTTTTCGTTTTAAAAACTTTTGGAGCGGAGATCCGAGGACTGTTTGTTGACTGTCAGACGGCTATTTACTGTATACTGAATAAATACACGCAACAGTCACCATATTGTGCTATAAATACACATACGACGCGTCGCACTTACGACGTGTTTTGTGAAATGGATTGAAGGACGCGTCGCATCGTAGGGATACGACACGTCGCAGCACTGCGATGCATCGTAAGTTAGAATGAGTTTCGTGAAATCGGGTGCTGACTTGTGATGGACTTGAATACAACACATACAAAGACAGAGATAATCAGATAATCAGATTATCACAAATGCTGATGCCAACTTACCTGGTATCGAAGTCGTCCGTTTGAAAATCAAATTTGTAGGTTGGGATGAACGCTACAGGGCCTTCGCGGAACCCCTCGAAGGACTGCCCCCTCCTCATGGACAGCTTCAGCTGGTCCTTCTCAAGGAGAACGTGGAGTTTCTTGGGTGTACTGAGAAACTTGACGACATCAACCGAGAGATCCTCGATGCGGTAGTTGAGGTCGCCAAACCAGATGATATAGCTGGGGGTCAAACAGAGTTACCGGTCAATAGTAAGTATAAATAATAACAATAATAATGCCTATTTTGCACATATCCACCTACATTGGTACTCAAAGGGGCTACATCACTATTACCCAATTCGGCAACAGAATCCAGTTACGAGACTTGAACAAATGTGCGAATGTTTTCCTCCGTTTTCTCAAAATGAACTGCAGGGCCCAATTTCACGGCGCTGCTAAGCACAAAAAATTTGCTTAGCACAAAAGAAGTCTGGCTTATAAAAGCAAATTATCAGCCAAAACTCCATGCGATTTTCATGCTAAGCAAACAACAGCTGAATACTAATCACGAGCAATATACATCATGTGGAGTTTTGGCTGGCAACCTGCTTTTATAAGCCAGACTTTTGGTGCAAAGCAATTGGCCCCAGTTGCCACTGTACTGAGCTCAAACTACTGCAGGTTAGTTGTTATGCACCCTACTTTAGATTTTGAACAATTTTGTTGCTCAAATGAAAAAGAAAACTGCACAAAAAGCAAATGATCCTATGTATCTCTAAATAAGTTTTGTAAGAAAATATAGCTACAAAGAGGCACTTTTGCTCTGTTATTATTATTATTATTTTCACAATCCCGTCAGGCAACATCAGAAGTTCTTTTGATGAGCCAGGCTTACGGTGTTGTATTTGAGTCCATCTCAAGTCCACACGAGTCCATTACATGTCATCCAGTCAAGACACAAGCTATTCAATTGTCTTGGAGAAAGACGTTGTTGTTACTTGATAACTTGCTGCTGCGATAATAACTGATAACCCGTCACAGCGATAACCGGCCACCGCGATAACTGGCCACCGCAAGAGAGCATTATCACGACGAACCGCCATCACCCATGAACCGCCAGTTACACTGTCTTGGGAATCTTGTAAAATGTCCCCCCTGAAAAACTGGGGAAACTAGCGCGTATGCGCTACTTCTGCAGGCAACTACAGTCCATTTTCAGTCCCACGCATACTACACACCACAAAAGAGCTGACCAGTGAAGTTGCACAACAGTCTTACTCGAAACTCATATGAAATGTTTTGAATGCGCGCTGCATATATTAGGCAAAACAGGTGCACGCGCATTGTACATCTGCTAAAGGATTCCGAAGACGTTGTTTCTGGTGGTTCGTGGCTCATAGCAGTTTGTCGTGATAGCACCCTCTTGCGATGGTGGGTTATCATGTATCTTCAACAAGATTTTAATGCGCACTGTATATATAAGGCAAACCAGGTGCACGCGCATTGTACATCTGCTAAACTATTCTGAAGACGTTGTTTCTGGCGGTTAGTGGCTCATAGCAGTTCGTCTTGATAATGCCCTCTCGATCTCGCGACGTTGGGTTATCATGTATCTCCAACAACGTATTGCCCCAAGACTCACTATTCAAATAAACAAAGGCTTTCCACTGTTATTTCTATCCCCAGGTGATCAGGTGACCAGACTTATGACTGGACTTGTGATTGACTTGTGACCGGACTGGTGATGGACTTGTGATGGACTCAACTTCAACACTGTAGGCTTGCCAAACAAAAACCGAAAGAAAACCTTGCTTCTGTTTTTGGGTGTCACTTACTCGTGATCTAGAACTGTTGGAGTCTTTGGATGTGAGAAGGTTTGACTAGTGACAATGGTGTGATATTCTTTGTCTCTGTCGGCCCAGTTCTCCATGTGAGCGGCTAGGTGTGTGTTGATGAGGCACAGCGAGCGTTCGTAGCAGTCCAGTCGAATAGTCACAGCACCTTTGTTTCCCTGTAAAAACATTACCAGCACTACAATTAAAATATTAGTCACTAATAGGTCAAATGAGCAGGCTATCTAGACCATGGAGTAAATTAAGGGATTACAATGTATACCAGAGTTCTCTTAAGCCTGTGTAAAAAAAAAGAAAATGGAAGGCTTAATTTTTTTTTAAGGGCTGGTTTCAAATCTCCAGTTTCGAAAACCAAAGCCGAATTCGAAGTGGAATTCAAATCACATTTAAATCCGGATTTAAATCCCACCACTACTTTTTGATTTGCACAGTAAATAAATGACATTACGATCATTCAGGGTTCTAGCCAGGATGAAATTAAAGGATAGGGGCATGCGAAGAATGGATCTTGCGAGCACGAAGCGCGAAGCCCTTACGGCGGTGGGGTCCGGGGCGCGCTCAAGGGCCCCGATAAATTTTGACATTGTAGATGCTCTGTGGTGCAATCTAAGGCCATTTGGAAGCATAATTCATGATTGGAAAAAGAGCAAAAAACCCTAACAGTATGCTGCAGAAAGTGGGCCTGTTGGATTTTTTATTTAAAAAAAAATAAATATTATTTCCATTTACAAGTAAAACAAATGCAACACAAGTAGTCAGCATTAGATGTCTTTCAAAAAGTATTCATTACGCCAAGTTTACCTTTTCATGAAATCTTTGCCATTATAGTCAAACCCTGATAATAGTGATTAAAGGGAATATACATCATTTGCTTTTGCTGTAATTTTCAGAAATGGATGGAATTGGGGGGTTGGAAATATAAAGCAAATATAGTTACACTGACTTTTTGGAGGTTTTGGGTTCGAAAATGCTATAAAAACCAAGAAAAACGATCATTTTCCTGTAGTCTGGTTCCCTGACTCCATATAAGAAGAAACAGAGCAGTTTACATACATTGGGGAATTGTAAGGTCAGGGAACCAGTCTAGCTGGCTCGTACCCGTTCATAGGTTTGTAATCGATTGCAAACAAGTGCAATGGTCAATTGGGGCCAGTATTTGAAAAAATGCCAGTTGTTTCCAACGCTGATCGGCCGATCAGCGTTGGAAATTGATACAAAAATACCACTTTTCTTGAAAATGACAGTATACCAGGTGCCATAATTTTACAGGATGCTTTAGACTGTCATTTACCAACATCCTATTAAGGTATTTCGCAAAAACTTGGTAGTTTTATTTTTCGATGTTTGCAAATGTTGTATATTCCCTTTAATAAGAGAACTGTTTATATACAACGTCCTTTTCCATAAGGAAAAATGTAGGTCTCAAGTTTTCATTGTTTTTCATTACTGATAATGATATCAGGTACCACAGGAAAATTGCAAAAAGTGGTGGAAACATGAAGAAACACAATTTAAAGCGCGACTAAGATGATTATGATTGGCGAGAAATATGAACATTGATGATGAGAAATAAACACCGGGAATTGCTGCCGGCAAGTTAGCGCATGGCCCGGCAGCCTGTGCCGGCGAATGACAATATTTTCCCGCAGCACTTGAGAGAGTATGCAACCTACCCATGTGGAGTCTGTCTGGAGCGCTACAAATCCTGCTTTGTGGCAACAGATGCTGATTTGTTTTGTCCTAAGAATAAATAAGTCCTTTTTTTACAACAAAACTTATCAAATTGTTGTGATAACTAACGAGTAGTAACGTCAAAAAATCAAGTGTACGATCGTACTTTCTTCAAAAACAGCACGATGCACGGACGAATCCATTCATTTCGTAAGGGGTGATTTAGCACCAGTTTTGCGTTTTACGTCGTTTCTTGAATACATTTCCAGAAAAAATATATATTGTGACGTTGAACAACTGACTGTCGTATAAAGAAATGTTTCGGACTCCATAAAAAGTATTAGTTGGTCTTTTCTTCTGCGAAAATATTGATAATGATTGTTTCCAAGACAATACACCCCTTTATTACCAAAAAAATGGTTTGGTCTGATCATACAGCGTGCGTGTTGCATGCATGACCGGGGCACGCATGCAATCACATCGGATTCCAACGAAAGAGTTTGCCCACGCACGGCTGGCCGGCCAGCCAGCGCTCGGTAGCGAACCTCGGTATCTGTTCGTCGGATGTGCTTCCACTGTTCGTTGAAAAAAATGATTTGCCTCAGGTAACAATTGATAATTCGTTTCAGCAACAGATCTTATTTTATACCAGTACATTTAATACACATTTGATCTCATTTTTATTCTTTAAGGCTCGGCGTATAAGCCTCCACATCCCTGCACAATTCTTTTGTTTGGTAAAGCTCAGGGCAAGTTTAGTCTAGGGGCTAGACGTTGTATGGTTTGATACGTGATAACCCGCTGCCGTGAGAGGGCGCTATCACGACCAACCAACATCGCCCACGCACTTGTCAGTAGCAACGTCTAGGACATCTCCTATTGGTTGTGTAATGCGCGCGCACCTGTTTGGCCTAATATATGCAGCGCGCAATTCTAAAAATTCATGGTAGCTCCAAAGCAAACTCTCAAATTTCTTAAAGTACAATAAAAGATGCAGCAAACCTTTGTGCAACTTCACTGGTCAGCTCTTTTGTTGTGAGTAGTATGTGTGGGACTGAAAATGGACCGTAATTGCCTGGGAGGAGATTTCAGGAGATACCCTAGATGTTGCTACTGACAAGTCCGCGGGCGATATTGGTTGGTCATGATAGCGCCCTCTTGAGGTGGGTTATCGCAGCGGCGGGTTGTCGCGTATCAAACCATGCAACGTCTAGCCCCTAGACTACGCAAGTTGGCAGATTTGGTCAAGCTTCACTGCTGCCCACAGTACTGTTTTTGTGCAGTGACTATGTGTGCTAAATACCTACTTCTTATCCCTTCACCTGAAACTGACCTGCAGGATTTGAAAGGGTTTTACATACATGTATTGCTCTAAAATGCGGACTTCCCACTAGGAGGGTTAATGTCTCAAATGAGAAACACTGAGCCCTCAAGAGGTGCCATGCCATGCCAGGCCATTTCTTACCCAAGTGCCTCCCAGGCCCGTCCGTGTGAAGTCTGTCTGTATGTCTCGCAGGAACGGCAAGTGAACCATGCGAGCGAACAAGAGCTGGACGATACCTTGAAGTCGGATGGAACTCACCTAGAAAAAAACCCCCAGATAATTAATAAATTATTACTCTCTGCACAGAAAAGAGTGCCCTGGCCTCACGGTCTGGCGATTTGAACTCATGATCCTGTGGGTAATTCCACAGGTTGTGGGTTCGAGTCCAGTCTGGGGGTATGGTGCGTGTGTCCTTGGGCAAGGCACTTTGTCACTCATTACTTCTCTCTACCCAGGAGTACATGAGTACCCAAGAGGGCAAAGATGTGTTTGAATTACCAAGTTGTGCTAATAGGGCAGCATCCAGCTGTATACTCCCCAGGGAGTTTACTGTAGATGGTCTTTGGAATGTTATTGGCCCAATGACCGGACTTGTGGTGGACTCAACAAAAAAAGTGCCAATGGAATTGTACCCACCATAACGTATCCCTTCTCACACACGCATGTCGAGATGGCCTCGGTCCAGGGATCATCGCTGAGGGTGCTCTGGATGACCTCGTGAGGTTTGGAGCTGACCTCTTGAAGGCCCACGGCATAGAGGTCCGGAGCCTCGCTAGTGTGCAGCCAGATGAGGTCATTCAAGAGTTCCTTAGGTGGATCCAATGTGGCTACGTTATAGGTGCACACCACAATACTGCGAGGTTGCCAAGGATGAAAACAAGGCTTGTTTTATAAATTATTGTCGTGCCCATCTACAACGTCTTATAAAAACCTGGACCTAACAAAAGCCTGAATTTGTTTTAAAATTTGAATGCAGTTCATGGGTGCATCAAATACAGAAGGCCAGGATTGCGTGATGTACATTAGTTACGATCAAGGTGAGCACTTGTGTAATATGGCAGTTATACTAGGTTACTTCTGTTGGCCGCGCCCACTTCAGAATCTAAGCTCGCATGCCACATTTGACCACTGTACCGAGATAGTCCAACAGGGCGTTGTGTACAGTATATGAGCAGAAGCAGAAGCAGAAGATGCAGCGTTTTGTGGTCAGAAAAACACATAAAACGTAAAAGCATCTGGGCTCACCAGAACTAGGATTTTTTTTAAAGATCTCTCTAGTTGTGCCCACAAATAGTTAATAGGAGGACACAACTTGCGCGTCACTTCCGGCTAGTGAGGTGGAAATGCTCTGAGGTGAACGCATTATCGTCGTGCAAAGCTGTACGTTCAAGCGTTTGTATTCACCTCGCATTGACCAGAGGTCATGCAAAGTTGTGTCGATCCGCCTATACTATAGCCTATAGGCCCTAGGCTAGCACCCCACTTGTTAAGGATTATGAAAATGCATGTAGGGCTAGGCTACATGTACATGTATGTGACAAATTGTGATAAATAAGGCAAGGTGATCCAGGTCAGAGACAGAACTAGACCTTAAGAGCACACATTATACTTTTTTTTCTGGTTTCTTTACACTTAACAAAAAGTATCATCATGTTACCCCCACTGGAACTGGAAGTGCCATTTTTATAGAAATTACAACACTTTAAAGGGAATGTACAACATTTGCTTTTGCTGCAATTTTCAGAAATAAATGGATTAGGAGGATATTAGTACCGGTATGTTATAGCAAATATTGTTAAACTGACTTGTTTCACGTTTTGGGCTTGTAGATGCTGGAAAAACCAAGAAAACCAATCATGTTCTTGTACTAGTCTAGTTCCCTGACCCCACTTAAGATGAAACGGAGCAATTTGTAGACTTTGGGGAATTGTAACTTGTAAAAGTTGTAAGGTCAGAGAATCAGTCTGGCAGGCTTGTGCCTCTTCGCAGGTGTGTGTAATCAATTGCAAAGAAAATGCAGAATAACTAAATATGAAATTAGGAGCAGTTTTTGTAAATAAGCCAGTTTTCTCCAACGCTGGTCGGCTGACCAGCGTTGGAAAAATACCATTTTTCTTGAAAATATCAGCACACCAGCAAGTGACCAGGAGCCACAATTTTACAGGATGCTTTAGACTGTCACTCCCTAACAATCCAGCAAGGTATTTCATGATAATTTGATCATTTCGTTTTATAGCAGAAAGTGTCATCATGTTACCCCCACTGGAACTGGAAGTGCATTTTTATTTTATTTTATAGAAATTAGGCCTAGGCTATGGCCTAACTTATTGTGACCAGGGGGGTGACACAGTATTGAGAGTCCCAAATTTTCGGACTAGTGACGCAACATGACCCCAAAGCAGGTTAGCTTTTCTGTGTTATTTAATAGGCTACTCACCTTAATTCCGCCATAGTTATACCAAGTCTCTGTCGTATATGTCTACTCTGCCAACATCACAGATCCAGAAACGACAAGGGCTGCCAGAATTAAGCCAAAGCAATAGCCTTGAGATTTTTTTTCAGAATTTTCTGATCACCGATAATATTGAATAGCGCCCTCAATAGCTCAATATATGTAATTATTCAATGACGTAATAAGGCCGGCCGCGGCGATGGTGTGTAGGCGCGTGAGCGAGCCGCCTCATGAATTTTTATCTCGCACGTACACACGACGTCCGGCTAGCTACACACGTACACTGCATCAGTCACGCCGACCAGAAATTGAAAATGGTAAACAAAATGTTACATTTTTCAACTTCACTTGATTTTTAAATATACTTGAAATATTCACACTAATCTGAAGATATGTTTTGTCTCTTTTATTTCAGACTACATACACGGACAAGGGCCAAAAGGTTTGTAAAAAAAATTGTGAAATTTTCCTTCCTCCATGCGCAGACCATTAAAATCATGTCAACAATATTCAGACATTGGCACGATTGTAAAGGGAAGGTCTATGATTTCTTAACTTCGTCATTTTTTTTCAGCCCGAGAAAGGACGTTTCATCGCGTTTGATCATCTGACATTCTGGGTCGGAAATGCCAAGCAGGTATGTCATAAAATATCGGGGATTTGCGGGGTTTCTGTCGGTGAAAAATGCTATCATCAGCGCCGCGTGATGTGTCCGTGCAGCCATGATGGCTGGACCGGCATACTGCGCTGTGATTGGTCAATTTTGGAGGTGTGTTTGTAGGCTTGCTGCAGTCTCATTGAACCGTTGAATGATAGGTTTTTTTTAGTTAAGTAGACCCTAGTTCTTGTTAGTAAGGAGTAAAAAAACCCCTTATTTTTACAGAAAGTGATTTTTGCTTAAATTTCATTGGGGAAAAATGAAAAGTATTTTATTTGTAATATTCTGAAGCAGACTGGGACCTTGAGTGCAGAAAAACATATGCACAACAAAATCAGGCCAACCTAGGGCAAGTTCGCGCAAGGACTATAGTTAACCATTGGTTGACTAACGCTTGCCCGAACTCTGTCTAGTCGACGATGGTTCACTACGCTAGTCGACTATTTGGAACCAACCTACTGGGGTTGGTTGCTTCGCTGGTAACCATAGCCACGAGCATTCATAACGTACAGCAGGGAGCCAGGATCCAGACGTTTTGCAATGACATTTTGACCAGCGTTCGACTAGAGACGTTCGCACTTTGCTATTAGTGCGCAGGCGTAAGGTACGTCACAAATCAACCACTAGTCGACTAATGGTCCTTGCCCGAACTTGGCCTTAGTTGTACTTGCTCTTTTAGTCAGCAGACAAGATTCTCCAACATTTTCATGAGGCAAAGACAAGGTCATCAGTATCCCACCAGCCAAGTTTGAGGTCTCAATCCAATTTTTAAAGGCGAACTTTTCTTCAACATTTTGCACCTTTATGACTAATGTGTATGTAGCTGAGAGTGAAGTGATTTCAATTCAAAGCCTAAGACTAGACTGGTACATGTCCAAGTTTTTGAAATGATTGACCATTCAGTAGTCTGGTGGCATGACTTCTCCATGACACAACGCCCTGTATGACTATTGGGACTAGGTAGAATACAAACAGGTTACCAGATGTTTCTTTTGACACAGTTGATTGATGCAGTAGGGCCTACTACTCTCATACACTAGTCCGAAACTTTGGGACTCTCAATACTGTTTATGATCAGAGTCCCAAAACTTAAGGTATTGAAAACATGCAATACAAGAAAATAGACTGGCACCTGAAACAACCAGTCCACCAACCATGCAGTACTTCATCAATCAACTGTGCCAAAAAGAAACAACTGGCATGTCTGGTACTAGTCTCTATTTCTACACATTTCTCCATAGTCAGACACCAGACTGATGACAACGAATTAAGAGGTCAGTCTTTTCAAATAGTTGACCATGGTTGGACATGCACCAGTCTAGTCTTTAGCCCCATTTTGAAATCACTTGACTTCCATCTCATGTGCAAAATATGGAAGAAATGTCTCCTTTACAAATTGAATTGAGTCTTCAACTTTTTGGTGAAATACGGAAGACCCTTTCTTTGCCCAGTGAACATTTTGGAGAATTTTGCTGGCTAAATGATGAGTAAAGTTGGCCTGATTTCGTTTTGCATGATTTTCAGCACTCAATCCCAGTGAGTCCCAAATTTTCAAACTAATTCTGAAGCTACTTTAGTGGTTTTTGGAAAATTTGGTCAGTGGGGAAGTTCTGGTAATTAATGATCAAATTCGGAATTTAAGACCTTTCTCAGTCTAAAATTATTTTGAAACTCATATTGATAAATAAAATGATTGCCCATCACTGAGGTTACAAATAAAAAGTATCAATACTAAACAAACACTGAACATTATCTAGGAATTAGGGGTCAAATATTTGACTTTCTTCACTGTGGATTTCTTCTTATTTTCTAATGGGAAATAAACTCAACTTTGCTGGGTTTATTTTTTGGGGGGGGGGTGCATTTATTTTAAAATCTTGTAAGCAGCCTTTAGATTTAACCATTGTTATAATTTTGCAGGCAGCCTCGTACTATTGCGCTCGTATGGGATTTGAACCCTATGCCTACAAAGGCTTGGAAACGGGGAGTAGAGAGGTGGTATCACATGCAGTCAAGCAGGACAAGGTAGGTGCAGGAATGTTCAGACTTGAACGTAGGCTAACCGTCTACCTATCCTAACCAAAAAAACGCAAAGCTTTTGTCTTGTACATTTTAAGCGATTAACTATACCTACATAGAAGTGTTTTAGTTTTAGAGAGTGCATGAGCTAATTACTTAAGTCACTGAATAAGACTTGAGTTAACTATCAATTTCGTCTGAACTCCCTACTGGCTTTTACTAAGTACTGGGTGGCATGGGTGGCTTGTGCGTAAAGCGCTTGCCTCTCACCAAGGTGACCACGGTTCGAATCCTGGCTGCGGATCACATGTGAGTAGAGTTGTGCGTTAGTTCTCTCCTGTGCCACGAGGGTTTTTCTCCGGGCCCTCCGGTTTTCCTCCCTCCAGAAAAATCAAACACTTTCGATCTCAGGCTGTGCTCCGTGGTCATATATGGGTCGATGTGGCCGGCAGCCATAGGCGCCTTTACGTGCCAGCGGCCCGACCACATTGTAGCCGCGTCCTTCGCAATTCAGCATACCAGCTGCGAGTAAGGATAATTAGCCTCCCAAATTATAATTATTATTATTACTGGACCAAGTCCCCCCAAATCCATCAATCACACTGCTTCCAATGCATGCTTTGCTTTAGGCCTCCAGGCCCAAGTCCATCATACTCCATCAATATTTGGTCACACCAGGCCTGCAGGACCAAGTTCCCCCAAATCCATCAATCCCACTGCTTCCAATGCATGCTTTGCTTTGGGCCTCCAGGCCCATGTCCATCATACTCCATCAATATTTGGTCACACCAGGCCTGTTGGACCAAGTCCCCCAAAATCCACCAAAATGAGGGGATGGATTTTGATGGAGTTAGGGAGGTTAGGGTAAATCGATGAGTACTATACATGCAAGTCTGAAGTAAAAACACTACCAGGCGAATCCCAATTTACCTGATAATATAATTCACTTTATTTAATAAATAAATATATTTTTGTTGAGCCAAGAAAAAAATGTGCTAGCAAGCTTGTGATACAGGCTGTAAATTGAATGTCCATTTTCGTGTACCATCTTTTTGTTCAATTGATTTTTTAATTATTTGCTAAATTTGAATTAACTTTTGCTTTGTTTTGTTTTAGTTTGCGTAGTTATACATGTGTGTGCTCGCTTGCCACATTCTCTGGCTTAGTTGAAAGATAACCTCCACTGTTATTTACTGTTTCCAAATTCCATTTATTGATAATTATGGGAAAATAGATACGATAAGGCCTAACTAAATTGAAGTGAGAAGCAAACAAACAGTAACAAAACTCACAGCTTCATTGGCCTGATAACGAAAACAAAAATAATTTACTATGACAAAACCACCGTGCTTGTCAAAAAAAGGTAATGAAACCAACTCAGTAAAACAAGGGGGATTAAAATTACAGAAACTATGAATTTACTTGTAACTCAACACTTCTCCTGTCTGTCCCTTCTTATCTGCTTTTGACTTTTACAATTTTGCCAAAATCTTTCAACGCGGTAAATTGGTCTCATTGGAGTTTTTTTTACTTTTTGACTCTCTCACACAACATGATTACCGTCATACCATTTTTTTTATCAGTAGTGAACTTTGTAATTGATAAAAAGATATTGCCTGTAAATTTCAATTTTGGGAATTAATGATTAATCGTTAACTTCCGTTATTCAGCACTTACATGTAGATTAATGGCATGCTTTGGAATCACAAACAAAAAACATGACGAATCAGCAACAGCTGTGTGCATTAAAGTGTACACTACTTGTTACGGACAAATACACAGAATACATTTTGAACCCTTAGGCAAAAAAAAATATAGTTCTGCTTCCGATTAGTTGGCATTTAAAAATAGGGTATGTAGGTAGAGAATTTTTAAAAAAATTGGGAAATTTTTTGTTGTGCACGATCATATGGAGGTGTCTGTGTGTAGTCAAGGGTAAAAGGTAGAAATTGATGGTTTTCGGGGGTTTTTCCCCTCATTTTTGCCAAAACGAAATTAAGGTAGGGGCTGTCAAAATAGGGTAGACCTGCAGGGTAACTGGAAGCAGAACTAGGGGTTTTTTTGGCCTGAAGTATAACCAGTACCAGTAAATAATTTACTGTATAGCAATTGATCCCAAATGGTGGTACATCGTTGCAAGATATATGTAAAGCTGAAAGGGTATGTCATAGGGGGAGGGGCTTGTAATGCAAATTTTTTAAGGATGACCTACAACGGCAGATGTGATCTTTAGACGAATTAAGTATAAAATTCAACACATTTTTAAAAGTCAAGCACAGTAACAAAATGTCATGCAATTAATAAAAAGATTAAATGTCTGACGAGCCAGACAGAACTTTGGACCACAAAATCCACATATGTATGAATGAACTGAAAATGGTACTTTAGGGCCCAATTGCCTAGTACAATGGCTGACAGATATCTGCCATGGTTGAGGTTGCCTACATTTGTCTACACCATAACATACGTGTAAGGCTTATAATTGTTTTCCTTCTATGAAGATTTTTTTTCTTCTATAATGTAGTTGCATCATGGCTACCTTGTCCCTTCATGTGAGCGTGCTCATTTTAGGGCTATGCTGATTTTCAATGCCTGTAAAAATCCAAAATTTAACATTTTCAGACATGGATTTATTCACGGAAAATACTAATGTCTTAGAGTGCTGATCTCTTTTGTCTTTAAAAAACCCTTAACATTTGTAGTTTATTCATGCTGTGTATTACGTTCGTGTCATGTTTGTTAGTAGTGGCGCTGGTACCTGCATCTTCCGACATACACCACTAAAGAAACTCAAGTAAAACCTCTTTTTAGATGTTAAAGGTAGAGTAGATCATTTGCAGCTATCCAAAAAGTAACTGACCAAATTGCTGAAAAGCTAACTTGGTTTAAAGACAGTGATGGCAATAAACTCCCTGTGAATTTATTTTTTCTGGCATGCTGTCATATTTAAGAAAGCAATAACAGGCCATTTCCAAAGATGCGTCAAGTGACACATTTTTGGAAATTTTCTGTTTGTAGTTGGTTTGTAATTCGGCAAATACGGTGAATTGGTGCACGCGCTCGGCAACTTTTGAATTGAAGCCAAGATCCTAGAATAAAAGTTAATCAGGTGAGTTAGTACCTGTCTTTAGATTTTGAGCATTTTTGTTGCTTCAAACGATAAAAATGCACAAATGACAAATGATCTACCCTACCTTTAAACACAATTTCTCCAACTTTTGGTCCTCTCAAAAGCTTCCATTCTTTCACTGCCCAAGTGCCGAAAAAAATTGTCCCAGTGCTATCTATCAAACCTTCAAGCTGAAATGGTCTGATACCTTCAGATATTACCCAGGCATAAGCTATTGGAAATACTTGAAGAAACCAGAAGAAAGTTGATGTCAAAATAATGCAATAGAAGTTTTCATTGTATGTCTGATGTGACTTCATTAAATCTCTTTAAAAACATTTCTGTTAATCTCAACAGATTATTTTTGTCTTCCAATCTCCGTTGAACCCGACTGGCAAAATAACAGAAGGTGAGATACAGCTGTATACATATTCTGCCCTAAGCTATAACACCCAGGTGAACCCCTCAGTATACATTACTGTTAACCCATTTAAGTGTGGGCTCTGTGACTCAAATTTTTGAGTTTTGTACAATTCAGCCTATTGAAATTGTCCATAAGATGGAAGTTTGCATCGGGGTGATGTAAATCAAATTAGGTTTTGTCCTTCACCGACGTATAAACACTGTATACTCAGGGCAAAACCTAATTTGATTTACATCACCCCGATGCAAAATTCCATCTTTTGAATAGTTAAATGCGGTACCCGCTGCAATGTACATCAGATTCGAACCAGCCAACCGATCCCGTAAGCTCGGTGGTCGAGTGGTAAGACATCTGCACTAGAAAGCACGAGGCTGTGGGTTCGAGTCCCACCTGAGTGATTTTTCCAACTTTCACTCGGGAGGTAACACACTGAGCATACATTGTTTATATGTCGGTGAAGGGCAAAACCTAATTTGATCTATTGAAATTGGTTTGAATACATTTAACTCATAAAAATCTTTGCATGCATTTTTTTAACCTAGTTTGGCCCATTATGAAGTTGTTTGCCAATAAAAAATGTTTTCCCCTTGAAATCTGTTTGTTCCTATCAATGTGAAATAAACAATTTTAAAATGCCTGTTTAATCTTGTTTAGGAGGAAAGTTCTAAACAAGATTTATTTAAAGAGCCCATGCAATGTAATTTTGTTTAATGCAATCTTTGAAAATGCACCTTTGTGTCCCATTAAACCTTATTTCCAATTTTCGTTTTGTCATTTCAAAGGTATTTGTGCCTTTTTGGTTTTCATGTTAATGCAAATTTCTAAGCTATTTCAGCACCAGAAGTTGCCGGAATTTTGGATATTTTGCTGTCGTAAATTTTCTTTTCTTTTGCGATTCGTTGTTTTGTCAGTACATGGCAGTAACCAAATGAGTGAACTATTCTCATAAATGTTTTCAATGAGCACGTTTTGGGGTTCAAAATTTGAACAGAAAATCCCTATTTAACTGAACAGTGTCTTCCTGAAATGACATCACAGCAACAGCGCCCTCAGTTGTCCAGAAAAGCATGGAAAACTTTCAAATGTTTAGAGAAGTGCACTTTTCAATAAAATTAACACCCACAAAATATCAAATAGTATTCCGTACATTTAAGAGGAGTAGAAAGTTGCACACTTTAATGCACAAAATTTGCTGTTAAGAGAGAATTTGACAGTGTACAAATTGTGCTTTGGCCGGTGTGGGCAAGTTTAGTCTGCAAAACTTCAGTTCTCTTTTCCTGAAATTGTGCCTGGTTGCCAACCTCATGTAATGCAATAACACCCTTAATCTATTGACAGAGATGGGAAGGCACCAGACTTTCCACGGCGATGGTGTTAAAGACATTGCATTCGCAGTGGAAGACATCATGTCCATTTTTAAGGTAAATTTAAATTTATTTTAATACAGTTTGTGAAGACTGAAATGACTCGTGACTGTTTAAATATGCCACTCAAAACGCTCTTAAAGGGAATGTACAACATTTGCTTTTGCTGCAATTTTCAGAAATAAATGGATTTGGAGGATTAGTATGTTATAGCAAATATTGTTAAAATGACTTGTTTGACGTTTTGGGCTCGTAGATGCTGGGAAAACCAAGAAAACCATTCATGTTCTTGTAGTCTGGTTCCCTGACCCCACTTCAGATATAACAAAGCAATTTATAGACTTTGGGAAATGTTAAGGTCAGAAAATCAGTCTAGCAGGCTTGTACTGCTTCACAGGTGCGTAATCAATTGCAAGTAAATGCAGAATAACTAAATATGACAAATTAAGACAGTTTTTGAAAAAAGCCAGTTTTCTCTAACGCTGGTCGGCCATCCACCGTTGGAAAAGTACAATTTTTCTTGAAAATGTCAGCACACCAGGAGCCATGAATGTACAGGATGCTTTAGACTGTCATTCCCTAACAATCCAGTAAGGTAATACGTGATAAATTTCGTTTTTGATGTTTGCAAATGTTGTATCTTCCCTTTAAATCAGCTAATTACTGGCTAGTCAAGCCTACTAAGTCTGGTCTCAGAGCGCACACACAATTCTATTCAATTGATTCAGCATGGCTATTCACTGGAAGTCTTGTCATGCATCTGGTCTGCACAATGGGCCAGATTTAGCCCATTCATTGGCATTGTGGGATAATCCTATGCAATGGGCTCCGTGCGCCAACAAAAGAGGGCGCTTTTTTACCTCTTTTTAGAGCCCGTGGACAGGACACACCGCATACCCGTACTGGACTGTACTGGTTCACGTGTGAAGTACGCACCACTTCCTGCATGTGCCAAAGCTATTATAGCCGAGTCAAGCCGCAATCTATTCAAATGAAATATAGCAAAGGCATACCTTTAATACTATTCATGCCCTCATTGTAACCTGAACTGTGATTTGACTTGCGAGTGACTCAATACCACCTCTGATACATGAACACACCATGTAAATGTTGACATTTCACATTTCATAAAATTTTACATGTGGATTGTTGCCATATTTATTGCAAGGGTAAGTAACAATGAAATTGTATCTTTATCCCCCAACTACAACAGAAAGCTCGCGAGCGAGGCGCAACCGTTGTCAAGGAACCTTGGGAGGAGGTTGATGACGAAGGTGGCTCCGTCACGTTTGCTCAGATCCAAACGGTAGGTTCAAAAAATTGTTCACCGCATCCGAATGTCTTGGCTAGGGCTAGAAATCGACCGATTTATTAACACTCCTCATAGGAAGTCAGTATTCAGAGCAATATGTAAAAAAACCTTTAAAACCCTGCAGGTCAGTTTAAGGTGAAAGGATATGAAGTAAGTATTAACTGTGTCACACAGAGAGTCACTGCACACAAAAACGGCACTGTGGAGAGCAGTGAAGCGTGACTGAATCTGCCTGCTTGCCCTGAGCTTATGGTTGTAGACCAGTAAATAAGTTTCCATAGATCCCAATGATAAATGCCCCCACTTCAGAAATTCAGGAAAAATACTCACAACTCTCTGAGGTGTTCAAGACGTACATCAAATTAAAGCTTATTTCATCATCTTTCATTTTCTGTTCAATTTTCTGGAGAGGGGGGGGGTTAACCAATGACTTTTGGGAGAAAATTCCATCCAAAGAGGATCACCCCTAAAAGCAGTCCTGAAGCCCATCGCCATTTTTAAAAAGGACGCCTACTCTCCAGTGCAAAATACAGCCATTTTAGGGCCTAATCATCGTCCACATTTCACACTAATACGAGCTCGCAGTTCTCTGCACGGCTTCCACCCATATTTTGTACAAACCCCCAAGTTCATGGCCCACAATATGCTAAAATACCGAAGAATTTGAGGGCATGCAAATCTTGATTTAGCCAGCGAAGGCAATTTCGGACTGATTTACTGGTCTGCACCCTTAACCACACAAAAGAATTGTGCAGGGATTTGAAGTGTTATCCACACTCCACAGAAGATTACCTCAAAGGAATTTGAAGTGTGGGCGCTAACCTCAATGGGTAAAAGTGATTTTGCAAAACTTCAAGATTAGGAGTAAAATTGTTGTTTTATTTGATGGCATGGAAAAACAATAAAGTTCATTGACAGCTTCTTCTCTCTTTGTAGTATGGGGACACTACTCACACATTTGTGGAGAGGCGCGATTTCAAGGGTCTATTCCTGCCGGGATACAAAGCACCAATGTTTCAGGATCCACTGACAAAAATCCTGTAAGTATGGCTGTGTCCAAATTACTTGGCTACGACTGGAAGTTGCACACGTGCCTATGGAAGCCGCTGCAGCCTCTTCCCATAGACCCGCGTGTTATATGCTGTAGCAAAGTAAATTAGGGCTGTCTCTTTCCGAATAAATTAGAATTTGATTATTTGAAACTGCATTTGACTGAATATTTGTATATTTGAAACCGCTGATCAAGTTTGACATTTGCCAGCTGCAGCAGAGTGCTGTGCTGGTCAAACTTGTAAGCAAAACGCGCCAGTTAAAATTTGTGTTCTGTGTCGATATTATGGGCTGCTGGATGGGAACAATGAACTGTCATTGACTGAAAACTTACCGTCGACAAAAAAGTGGCATCTGACAAAGCACTGCAACTTCACGATTAAAAAAACATCACAGCCATGTGTGTACGCGCGTGGTTTTTATTTTGTTTTGAATATTCAAACCGGCAAAAAAGCTATTTGAATATTCGGTTGATGATCGAATATTTGAATGTTCGATATATTCTTGCATCTAAATACATTGTCATATTTGTTCTGAGTCCTCAAGTAAGTGATACATAGGAAAGCTTGCTACAGTTCAACCCGTTCACACTTGTATTGCATTGCACTACACTGGATTTTCTCCTCTAAATCCATAAAACCATACAATATTGACAGGCCTCCTGGGAGACTGAACTTCGTGGACCACGTTGTTGGGAACCAACCTGACGAAGAAATGGAGACAATTGCTGAATGGTAAGTCATTCCAAACCATTGGTTCACGATTATTACGTGCCTCTGACTCGATCACGTTGTAGCTACGTCCTTTGCAATTCAGCATCTGCTGCAAGTAAGGACGATTAGCACCCCCCCCCCCCCAAAAAAAATAATAATAACAATAATAATAGTAATAACCTGTGGCAATTTGTTAATTCGTGGCATATTCACGTTTACTTTGATCAACGTTACTCACCAAACAATGTCATCATTGTTTCTCTGCAGGTACGAAAAAAACCTTATGTTCCATCGCTTCTGGTCGGTGGACGATAAACAGGTGAGGTTCAAGTTTATTAATATCTTCTGTTATGAATAGTTTGGTTGCAGTACCCGCTGCTATATCAGATTCCAACAAGCCAGCTGACCCCAGTAAGCTCGCTGGTCGAGTGGTAAGACGTCTGCAGTAGTAAGCAGGAGGTCGTGGGTTCGAGTCCCACCCATATAGTTTGTGAATTTTTCTCACAATCTCTCTGGACAAAACTGAGTATACAGTTTTTATAAAATAAGTCAGTGAAGGGCAAAACCCAATATTGAATAATAGTTTTTATACAACACCTGAATAATTCCCCGTCATCTGATTGGTTGATCGCTGATCACATGTCATTGAATTATTCGTCCCAACAATGGAAGTTCTGTTGCATGATGTATAGAACTTTGGCTGCATCCGAATCAGTTGTCTAGAGCTAGGTCTAGGTCAACAGAAGATGAAATATCAAAACTTGTAGGTGATGCTGATGCTGCTAACACAAAGAAGCAAATAAAATTATGCTGCCAAACGATTAGACAAATCTGCAAAACATACAGGAACATCTGTTGAAGCATTATACTGATTCACAACTGAACAAGTTCTTGTCGAGATCTTACTCAGGACTGAGAAGAGAAAACGCGGCAAACTATATCAGATGACGAGGATTTATTCAGGTGTTGTATAAAACAAATAATGAGTGTTCCACATTCGTGCAATGGTAAGAATATTTTCATTCGGTGACAGATGAAATGTGTCACCTCATGAAATTATTCTTACCATTGTACTCATAAACATTCATTTTTTGTATTCTAAACTGGTCCTTTCAAGACAGTCACAAATTTACCTTAAAAAAGAGAGTTTCTTTTCTGGATTAGTTTGAGCAGTGTTCTGTTGGTTTCATTACAGATTCACACGGAGTACAGCGCACTGCGTTCCATTGTCGTCACCAATTATGAGGAGACAATCAAGATGCCCATCAACGAACCGGCAAACGGCAAACGGAAGAGCCAGATCCAGGTAGTTTGAGGGGTTCAAGACAGTGTTATATTCCAGGGTTTGAAAATAACGGTACCTTGCTAGCCAAATGCTAGTCAAAACAGCCGCGGGCCAGTCAAACTATTCCTTAAGTAGCCCGGCTGGCGAGTCAAAAAATATTGGGATACGGCAAAGATGAAAGGACAGGAAGAAATATATCATTAAATTCAGAAAGCAAACCTGCATCAATTTGTGTCTAATTTTATCAACTGTTTTAAAGGGTTAAATTATTAAATCTGTTTATTAAAAACACTGACAAAATTGTAACAGAATTGAACCTGAAAGTACGCCATTTTGTATTTGAGCTAAAAAAATAGCCAACAACAACATGTGGACTAGTGAAAATGCTCGCGGGCTAGTTAAGAGTCTGTTTCAGTAGCCCGGTTGGCTAGTGAAAAAAAAGTTAAGGTTGAACCCTGTAGTCTAGACACTTGTGAAGGATCAGAAGCACATCGCAAGTATGATCACGAGTAAATCACAAGTCCATTCACGTGTCCAGGCGTAAGTAACACGGGATTAACAGTAAAGCTTAGTTTCCATATCGACGTTAATGCAGACTGCGCAGACAGTGTGCGGAACTGTCGGCACGGGTTCAACCTTGCCGGTCGTCTGCGAGATAGTTTGCCTCTGTCTGGGTTGCCCGCTAGCCGATTGGTCAGAATCTTGGGGTCAAGACGCTAATTGCATATAACGCCGAATCTGCTCACATATCATAGACCTTTGCTGTGCAAGGGGACATTCCATAGACTATGTAATGAACTGCTCAAATATGGAAATCCAGAGAAGATCATCATGATTTTTGGTTTTTTTAATATGAGGAGTGGGACCTGGTAGTAAGGTGTTGGTGTTGTAAAAATATGAATAGGTCTCGTTCAAATGACGTCATTTCCTACGGACCATCCACGTGCATCGGCATTTTGAGCGTCAACTTGCATAACGCGCATCGGCTGGGTCGTATTTCCAACACATTTCGAGCAACAAGCGCGCGTGTTTTGAACATTTACAACACTGCGCCATGCGTGCTTGATTGCGATAAATACGCAGTTGCAGATGGCCGTCATTGAGCGAGCCCTATATAACAAATTTCTCTTGCAGGAGTACGTCGATTACTATGGCACCGCAGGGGTCCAGCACATTGCGATGAACACGGACAACATCATCGAGGCGGTGGGCAACCTCAAGGCCAGGGGCCAGAACTTCTTGACCATCCCCTCCACGTATTACAAGAATCTACGGGAGAGGCTCAAGACTGCCAAGATCAGCATTACCGAGAACCTCGATATGGTAATGTCACACCCGCTAATGTCATAATGTATTATTGACTGGCAATAAGGTCACTAGTGCACGCCTATGCACCCTCAGGAACTGACCACCCGTAATGTCACACCCGCTGATGTCATAATGTACACATATTGACTGGCAATGGGGTCACCAGTGCATGCCTATGCACCCTCAGGGACTGATCACCCATAATGTCACACCCGCTGATGTCATAATGTACACATATTGACTGGCAATGGGGTCACTAGTGCATGCCTATGCACCCTCAGGGACTGACCACCCGTAATGTCACACCCGCTGATGTCATAATGTACACATATTGACTGGCAATGGGGTCACTAGTGCATGCCTATGCACCCTCAGGGACTGATCACCCATAATGTCACACCCGCTGATGTCATAATGTACACATATTGACTGGCAATGGGGTCACTAGTGCATGCCTATGCACCCTCAGGAACTGACCACCCATAATGTCACACCCGCTAATGTCATAATGTACACATATTGACTGGCAATGGGGTCACTACTGCATGCCTATGCACCCTCAGGGACTGACCACTTGCAGGAGGGTCCTATGGCCAGAGGTTATGTGTCAAGGAAAGTAGGACCCTTCTATGGTCACTCAAAGGCACGAAAGGGGATAGATGTGCACTACTGACTGAATAAAGCCTGTCAGTATGTGTTTATTAAAACGGCGATTGCGTAATGATGAGACTTGGTAAACTCCATTAGGTGCTGTTATAGTCAAAAAATAAGTGTAGTGCCTCACTTGGCACTCTACCCCTTACCATTTTAATCGGAAAACCGACTTTTTGACTTTTCCAATGAACTTTCTGATTTTTGTGTAATTTATCCCACAAAATTTGAGTTTTTAGCGATTTTTCCATAATATGTGATTTTATTTAAACCATAATTTTGAAGAAATATCGTGGACATGATTGAATGGTGTCATCAATGGTGCCCTTGTCTTTCAAACTTTTTTCTCAACTTTTTCAAGTAAGAAGTGCACTACTTTGTAGATCACTTCATTGCTCTGACAGTAATTTAAGCTTGTTAATTTTATGAAAACCCTGAAGATTTTTCTCATTGTCAAAGTTACATGAGGCGGTGTCCGGAAATTGGGTATGAAGTGTATTGTACATACATGTGTGTACATGTACATGTGTAACTGCAGAGCGGCCCAGGTTTCAGACACATATTTTTGTTCGGCCTATTTTCTGATTTTTTTTCCCATATGCAGTTTCATCTCTGCCCTTACATTTGGTTGAGTGTAAACATCTGCAGTAGTAAGCAGGTCGGGGTTCAAGTCCTCCCCTAGTGCATTTTCTTTCCATAAATTGCAAAGCACTAGTTCCCTTTGATGATTGAATTCTCCTGTTGGTTTTATGGGTTTTTTTCAGATTGAGAAGTTGAACATCCTGATTGATTTTGATGAGAACGGTTACCTGCTGCAGATATTCACCAAGCCCATCCAGGATCGCCCCACTGTCTTCCTGGAGGTTATCCAACGCCACAACCACGAAGTAAGAACATTGGCATAGGGTGGGGAAGGCACAGCCCCCCCCCCCCCCTCACATACACACACATGCACTTTCCCATCTGGTGGATCGGGGGGGGGGGGGGGGTTGAGAATCATGGACTCCTTTCCAACATGTAAAACAGGCATGTAACTTTTCCTTGGATCAAATGATTTCCTCTTTTTTCACTTCCAATGTGTGCCATTGAAAATAGAAAAAAACTGTACAAAGTCTTGGAAAGATTTGAATTTCCTCTTTTTTTGTGACTTCCCAGTTGCATGCCTAGTAAAAGATGCCTTTTATTGTTTTGGTTTGGTGTTTTTTTATGAAATGTTGATAGAAGAAATGAAAAGAGAGGGGTTAAAATAGGGCCTCGATCAAGTGTTGAAATACAGAAACAAAATTTAAGTCTCGATCTTCCACCAGGCTTGAGATTTTGGTCTGAAATCAGACTTTTTTAGTCGGAAAGAAATGCAACTCTCAGATCTTTCATCCAATTTTCAGTTTTTCTTTAAAATTGACAATATCACCCCTGTCTACGTGTGTACACTCACCCATAACCCTGCCAAACTTATAACCTGTTTCTGGTAATCAACGTCTCCTGTGCTTAGAAAATGTCTTGACATTAGCTTCCTGACGTGTACTTCTGCCATGATACTAAAATCAGCTTGGTTTGGATTTTGCAGGGTTTTGGCGCAGGGAATTTCAAGTCCTTGTTTGAGGCCATTGAGCAGGACCAGGCCGAGAGAGGGAATCTTCACTAGCGTGTCAAGTCCTCCACAGACAGCAAAGAAGGGAGAAAAAGACAGAGTTGTAATCAAGTCATCACAAGCCATCACAAGTCATCACAAGTTGTCACAAGTCATCACAAGTCATCGCAAGCCATCACAAGTCATCGCAAGCCATGACAAGTCATCACAAGTCATCACAAGTAAGTATAAGTCATCACAAGTCGTCACAAGTCCTCACAAGTCGTCACAAGTCATCATTAGTCATCATAAGTCGTCACAAGTAAGCTTAAGTCATCACAAGTCATCACAACTTCACAAGTCATCCATAGAGTCATGCAGCCTCAAATCAAGTCAGAGGCTATTCAAATGAGCAGTGACTAAGTCATTCGTTTCTTATTGTTTATCCTTTGTTACTTGTGACCTTGCTTGCAAATTGACTTGTGATTGACTTGTGATCGACTTGTGATTGACTAGTGATTTGACTTGTGATTTGACTTGTGATTGACTTTGATTGACTTGTGATTGACTTGTGATTGGACTTGTGATTTGACTTAAGATTGACTTGTGATTGACTGGTGATGAGCTTGTGATGGACTTGTGATTGGCTCATTACAAGTCTGGCCGAAAAAAAGATCAATGCTATAAAACCTGGCTGCTGTCTTCATGATTGTATACACGTGTGAAGGTGACATTTCTTAGGTAATTCCTTTCCATCCCCTTGTCCACCCATCGACCTCAACTTCTGCATCGTCGCCTTTTCAAGTAGTATTGTTTTAAAGATATTGGAAAATAATTAAAAAGCTTCAAACATTTTCCCCACAGAAAATAATCTTAATCACGAGTGCATTGTACACTTTCAGATAAGTCTGCTTGGCTTGGAGTGTTGAGTTTCTGTGTCTGCATTATTAAAAGAAAATCGAATCTCTTGAAAGAGACAAGAAACCCACAAAATGTGAAACTGCCCAAAGTTTTAATGTTCATGATAACATCAAGGTGTCCTGTTTCCCATTTCCAAACGTTCTTATGTGGTATACATCGGAGAAATTACTTTTTCATCTTTTCAGTCGCAGTTGTCTTCATATTTTCTTTAATAGCTCTTGGTTTTTTTCTAATAATATAACTCTTTGTTTTCACATAGTTTCATTTCTCTGCTGCTGTGTTTCATTTTAAAATAATAATAAAGGAGCTGAAACTATTCATAGGATGGGATTTGTATCAGGTTGATGTAAATTCAATATTGGGTTTTTGTCTTCACAGGCTTCTTAGTTTTTACAAACGCTGTATACTTAGTGTTGTTCTCGAGTTCTAGTAAGAAAACAATTTACAAACAACTTAATTGGGACTCGAACCCATAACCTCCTGCTTACTAGTGCAGATGTCTTACCACTCGTCACTCGACCAACGAGGGTGGGGGTTCGAATCTAATATAGCAGCAGGTACTGCAACCAAACTAGTATGTGATTTTTTTTTCTTCTCACTAGCACACGAACAGCATTAAGTATAAAGTGTTTGTAAAAATTTTGTTGGTGAAGAGCAAAACCCATTAAATATTGAAGCTGAAACTGTTTACTGATGTATTGCCACGAATGCCCATCTTAAACACTATTTTTTAAAATTTACAATAAGAACATCCCGTCAAAGACAGTATCTGAGAGAAAAAACGCTGATAAGCTTAACCAAAGTCATTTAATTGTATAGCAATATCTGATAAAACTATGTACGGAACAGGGTGAGGGCTATCTGTAAAATCTAGTGCAATCTAAGTTGGTTCAACAGGCATGTACACGTAACATGCGTCATGATCAAGGGCGGATCCGGGGGGGGGGGGGGCCAAAGGGGGCCATGGCCCCCCCCCCCCCCCCAAAAAAAACGAAACCATTTTTTTTTTTTTTTATGTGACATTGCAATAAAGGCAGGCAATGAGTACACCACCATCTTTTCCTCAAAAAAACATTGGTTAAAGTGGTCAGAAATTGCCTCAGATCGCACCACAGAGCATCTAGAATCCAAAAAAATTTCGGGGCCCTTAAGCGGGCCCCGAACCCCACGCCGTAATTTTTTTGACCCACTTTTTGGGGGGACCAAAAAATTTTTTTGGGCCCCCCCCCCCAAATTGTGTTCTGGATCCGCCCCTGGTCATGATGTGTGTATCATACAAAGATGTATGTTTCAAATTATGAGAAGAGAACAAGTGTTTGGACACAAGCATGTGCTCAGTAATACAGTGATTGTGGAGTAGCTTCTGTTCTAGTTACATGTAGGTGCAGTTGATTCCAAATGAGACGTTGTGCTTTGTCAGGAGCAGGTGCCGTCCCATTTCATGGCAAAAAGGCAATAAAAATAGAAAGAATTTTAATGTGAATTGAAAGTAAACTTAGAAACTGCTGAAGGGATCTAAAAAACGTGTCAACAAATGTATAGATACAAATGTGCTTGCCAATCCTCCACTCCCCCCTCCCCCATTTTATTTGATAACAAAGAAAAGCACGAAGTAGAGCTGCAAATAATATTTCACAATTATGTAGATTGATTTAAGTTATAGTTGCTTAGGTTACTCTACAGGGCAAGTCAGAAAAAAACGAAACCCAAATGTTGCGATCATTGTTTGAGTGAAGTTCTGCATGTAGCACTTGCAAAATCTAGGATATGAAAGCCCAATTCATAAGCTTTCTTTCAGTACAAGACTCATTCAAATCACTCAGGTACTTTTCAAGTTACAGAATTTTAAACACAACCACCGTTTTTTAACAGGGGTGTGAGTGGAGCTCTAAAAAAATAGCTGAAAATAGCTGAACCTACGAGCACAAGGCCCATGCGGCGTGGGGTCCGGGAAAATTACAAAAACAATTCACACACATCCCTATGTGAAATGTTTTCGTTTTGCTCCAAGAACGCTTACCTTTTTTTTGTGATCTGTGGACAGAACTAAATGGTGGTTGTGTTTACAATTCCGTAACTTGAAAGTACATGAGTGATTTGAATGATTCTTGTACTGAAAGAAAGCTTATTAATTGGGCTTTCATATCCTAGATTTTGATAGTGCTACATGCAGAACTTCATAAAAAAAATTGGTCCTGCCATTTGGGTTTCCTCTTTTTTGACTCGCCTGTATACAAAAGGAAATGTTTTTCTTCTGGTAATGGTTGATATAGAAATATTTTTTTTAAATCAGGAAAAATAATATTTACATTATCAAAACTATTCTATCTAAAAACAACTATTCTATATAAAATATATCTTCTGCACAATCAAGGAATTTCTAGACTATACAGCATCAACAAAAATTGAAAAGTTCATGAAACTATCTTTACAGTTTTGCCATTTTATTTGCCAGATTTTCCATCTTTTATTAAGCCTGCTGTGCATTTTGCTGTGTTTATGTCCTGAAATAATGGAAATGTATCGTTTATCTACATTTACTTAGAATCATATCAACTGTAATAATAGAAGTCATCCTTCTTGATGATTTAAGGGGTTTTCCTTTTTTTTTTAAATTTATTTATTTGTGTGTTTTACTTGAGTATGAACAGATGTCATAACAATCATGTTTAAAGGGAATATACATCATTGGCTTTTGCTGTAATTTTTAGAAATGAACTATTTGGTGGGGTTGGTATAATAGATCAAACATTGTTACACTGACATGTTTGAAGTTTTGTGTTCGAAAATGCTGGAAAAACCATGAAAAACAAAAATGTTCAAGTAGTCTGGCTCCCTGACTCCACTAAATATAAAATGGATCAATTTACAGATGCCGGAAACTTGTAAGGTAAGGGTACCAGCCTAGCTGGCCTACACCCGTTCATGAACATGTAACCAATAGAACACAAAATTTGGACTGAATAAATGGTAAATTTGAAACAGTAGTAAAAAAATAGTTAGGTTTTTCCAACGGGGGTCGGCCGACCACCGCTGGAAATTTTTACAAAAATACCCTTTTCTTGAAAATGACTTCACACCTGGTGCCATAATTTTACAGGATGCTTTAGACTGTCATTTACCAACATCCTATTAAGGTATTTCGTAAAAACTTGGTAGTTTTATTTTTCGATGTTTGCAAATGTTGTATATTCCCTTTAACTTGGGCTTATTTCATTGATGGAGATCTATCTGCTATATATGAATGGAACTGGATTAACAATTTAATAGACGGTATTCACGAGGCAGCCATTTTTTATCATGTTCCCTGAATCTATTTAACAGATTGTATACTGTTCAATGGAATAGTGCCAGACTATTTTATGATCGGAGGGCGTGCCAAGCCTCACTTTCAGTTTTTTCTTTAAATGTGGCTTAAAACATTAGGGTATGTTTAATCACAAATTTTAAATTATTCATCCGAGCAGACTGGTATTAAATTGAAATGAAATTGTATTCGTTGCTTTCATTTGAAATGTACTCGCAAGTTCAAAAAATGAGGAATTTACCTTGCTTTCAATTTAAAATGGCAAACTCGTGAAAAAAGTTTATAATGCAGTTCCATGCAAACTGTCTCCCATATACATGTGGTATTTGGTTGAGTTATAAAACAGGGTCCTTGAAAAGGAAATACAGCAATATCCCTACACTTTTTAAGGGCAAAATTAATTGAAAACAAGGGATATACATGTAGGTTAACTTTTTTGGTTTTTGTTTGGTTAACATGTGCACTTACTCATAGGAGCCAGGTGGGTATAAGGGCAAATAATTATTATGCCATTGGAAAGCACACATGTAAACATAGAATGTCTGAACTCTGAATATTAATTTTTTTTCGCTCTGTAGGCCTTAATGTTCAAGGTGTTGTGACTACCAGTTACATTTAGATAGGTTTTTTCACACATAAAGGTGCTGGTACCCCCTTCCGTATTCATCATTAGCATGTGTACTATAATGGTTGAGATGCTGGTATGTTTTTTTCCCCCTCCAGACTTCCATGTAGTTATCATACGAGAGAGGAACAAGAAATAATGTTATTCTAGATGCAAGCCAGTTTGAAAAGAGACAATAAAAATCTTACATGTAATTATTCATCCAAAAAGCGGAGTGGATTTAATATCAGTTATATTAAATGTGTAGTCCAGTTCATGAACCTATTCATAAGGAAGGTTTTTTTAAATTTCATTTTAGTTGATAAAATTAGCCTGTATATTGTATTTTGCAAGCAGTGTATTTAACAGCACGTAATGCAATTTTTGAAGAGTTTTAGCAAGCAGTGAATTTTACGAGAAATGCATTTCAGCGAACAAATTAAATACATGTAACACGAGTGAAAATTCAACCAATGAAGATGCAGCTGCGGCATTTATTAGTCACCGTCAGTCGCTAGAGGTCGCTCTTCGCTCTTCATAATGTAACCTTTGCGCAGTGTCTCGAGCTTTTTCCCGCGCTTTTGTCACGGATACCAGAGACGAACGTGGTTAGAAGAATTTTCATAATGCCACACACGTCACCCGACTGTTTGTTGACCGACGGTCAAGTTTGCAGACTTATTTGTGGTAAACGGGTTACATCGACAATGGATTGGATGAGTAATCGTTCCAGACAATGGCAACTACGCAAGCATGCAGATCCACAACTACGGTAGGTATTTGATAGGGAAAATCGGGTCGTGTCCCGACACATTTTGTGAAGGCCCTGTGTAGGTTGTGTCTTTTTTCATTGACTACCGGAATCGCTTGAATTCTGCTTGTCCAAATGCGTCCGACAGTGGATTTTAAAACTCGTTGGGTGTCGGTATTCTTTACCGCACATCTTGCATTTCAGGGGCTTTCTGTCGGAATGAACGAGTGAGTGTGTCTTGAGGTAGCTGCTGTAGGCAAACCTCGCCCCGCACTGCGGGCATTGGTACGGCCGCTCCCCCGTGTGCACTCGCAGGTGACTGCGGAGATTCTGCGCGCACGTGAACGTCTTCTTGCAGTGGCGGCATTTGTAGGGCGCCTCGCCCGTGTGTATGCGCCTGTGGCTGGTCAGGTTGGAGCTCTGAGAGAACGCCGCGTCGCACTCGCTGCATTTGAAGGGTTTCTCCCCAGTGTGGATGCGCATGTGCTGCTTGAGCGAGTAATTGAACCTGAACCCCTTCCCGCATTCTTGACATTGGTGACGGTGGCCATCTTTGACACCCTCGCTCTGCTGTATACCGCCTCTCACTTTCCCGCGCTTTTTACTCGGTGTCGAGGACGGGTGCATTTTATCCACGTGCATTTGCAGCCCGCCCTCTCTTTTGAATTTCATCTTGCAGACCTTGCACTTGAACGGCCTGTCGCGCTGGTGGCTTTTCTCGTGCGTTTTGCAAGGCCCCTTCTGGTTGAACTCGCGGTCGCAGAAGTTGCACTTGTACGTAACGGGCACCCTTGCGTGGTGGCTCATGTGAAGTTTAAACCCCTTCAAGTACTTGAACTGCTTGTTGCAGGGCTCGCATTTGTAGGGGTTGTGGCCCGTGTGAACGCGGAGATGTGTTTTGAGATTACTTGCTTCCGCGAAGCGTTTGTCGCAGTGACTACAAGCGTAGGGCTTTTCTCCCGTGTGAACGCGCACGTGTTTCTCCAGATTAGCGCTACTAGTGAAAGTCTTCTCGCACCTTTCGCACGTAAATCTGTCAGACTTTCTGCTGCCGTTTACCATCGCTAAACGATCGCTAGTTTTGGACGCCCTCTTCTGTTTTGTCCCTTTAGCTTCCTGTGAGCGCAATTTCCATTGTCGATGTGACATCATTTGAAATTTAGCCACCGGTTTTCTCTGACGTTGCCGGCGGGGCCGACCGCGGCCGCGGGTCTTCTCGGGCAGCTTTTTGAACTTTCCACTCGCTCTCTTTTCGGCGTCCTTTTCGCTGATGTGATTATTGGTAAAGACTGTCACTTGCTCTCCTTCAGATAGTGTCGAAAACTCTGCATCTTTATGTCCATTGACTATTTCTTCACAAGGATTCTTTGTGGAAACCTCCTCTGTTTCCTCTTTCTCCATCTTAGGTGCAAATTCTTTCTTGATATGCCCATTGCGTGAAGGAAAGTCCTCTCCACGGTGCTTAACCAGCGACTTTGTGCCTGTCTCATCACGGGGCGGAAGTCTGAACTTGAGATACCGCAACTGGTGGCTGAGTTTGTGTGATGCGTAGCGCCTGAACGTCCTGAACCTCCAACCACACAGGCGGCAGAAGAAAACCCGACGGTGGAATCCTCTACGGCTGTTTGCGGCAGGATCTTCCTTGCGATTGACACACTTCAATTGCCACTTGAGCACTTCAGAAGACGAGAGTTTCAGGATAGGCAAACGGTCGTCGAATTGAACATCTGGGTTTTCTGCTTGGCTCCGCCAATCACTGCGCCGGGCTACCAAAGGTGTTTCCACGTGCTGGCGTTTGCATACGATGCATGTTTTGCTGATATTAAGATCTGAAAAGCAAGAACAAACACAACACTCTACACAAGTTTGTCGGGGACAAATAATCGGAAGAAATCCGCATGTTTCTCCGTGCACGTGATGGTGTTCAACTAGTTTGAAAGCCAAAAAAAAAAGGACGAGCATGGAAACTCTGTATAAATTATACGATACTGTCTTATAAATATAAATATGCTGCATAAAGCATAACGTCCAAAGGTTTCAAAGGGCAAACCAATATTATGTCAGTCTAGTGTGAAAATCAAAACCTTTCTTATCTGTTTTTATTTACATCGTAATGTAAAAAAAAAAATGTATACCGTTTAATTTCTCTTTCTCTATCCATGATGGTTCAAACTCTGTACGATTCAACCCCAGAACCAACTCCTCGTCTTGACCTATGACCTTGGTGGTGACGTAAAAGATATTCCCCCTGCATTGGTAGGCTGCCATGTTGACTTCTGACCACGACGCATAGGTAGAGGTCACGTGACGTAGCCAGTCGGTCCTGGAGCCGTCGCAAAAGCTGTGCAGATGGCAACACTTGCCGCCGCAATATATCTGTGTTATTGGGGGAAAGGTCATTAATAACTCGAGCAGCCTTAAGAACATTAATAATGGCGAATTGATGACGGGAACCAGTCTACCCGACGGGAACCAGTCTGTACCCTGCGAGAACTGAATTTTTTTCGGGTTGCAGATAATTCGAATTTGTAAAATAAATAAACTCATTCAATAAATAAGTCTCATTCAAAGTGACTAGCATTTTTATTGCTAGAAAAATGACTGGAAATGAAACACGGAAATAGCACGGATTATCACTGAAGTTAACAAATTTGACTGAGATCTTACGTGTGGAAATTATAATGGTTCTAAATACACAAGCTCTTAAAGGCATACAGGATCATTTGGTGTTCACTAGCGGCATTTTGTTCGTTTCCAATAATAACACCAATCAAAATCAAAAGTTAAAAACCTAACCTGTTGAACTTTCAGCTCAGTGCATTACACTTTTTGAGGAAACCTCGAAAAGACATCTTCATTTTTCTCGACGCAATGCAAAGGTTTTCTGTTGACAGCACAACCGTCGCGAGGAAATGATGATAATTACATCTCTTTTTTTGAAAATGACAGTAAACCAAACTTAAGCACAACGATTTCACAGAATGCTTGATTCTATTGTTTACTATAACAATCAAGTAGGGTATTTCATAATTTGGTAGTTTGATCCTATATATGCCTTGACTAGCACAATACTGTAACCCAATACCGGGAAAGGAATGAAGAACAACTAATAAGTCATGCAAAATAATGTTTACCTCCCAAGTATTTGTAAACGGCCATGGATTGGTCTTCTCGGTGCACCTGTCGAGAGGGATGATCTTCCCTTCAAGAGGTCCGAATCGCACCCCTGATTCGATGGGATGCACGGCCCACACTCCCCGGGCCTTGCTTCTGCCTCCACGGCACACGTACAAGCAGTGCGGTCCCATGACCGTGTCCTCTTCCCGAATGTTCTTATTTGGGGCAAATTGCTAATATCATCTTTGCCAGTTTCCCGACGTACTTCTAAAAGACTTGTTAATTCTTGAGTAGAGTTCCCCGCGTCCAGGGCCTGTGTCGTTTCAGATCTGTTTTTGTTTTCCTCGTAGATGGATTATGTTGCAGTTTTGTCGACACTGATCTGGTCTAATTGCACAAAAGGTAATTGCCGGTTGTATGATTGGATGAGACAATCTTGCCGAAAGTTTTGTTCTGAAAAAAAAAGAAATTAGATAGATAGAAACTACAGGTTGCACTTGCAAGAACCTAACGAGAAAAAACTGTCCGATGGCATCAGTTAACATATCGCAGAATAGAGTGACCGTTATGAATATTAGCTTTTACAAATTATTTTTTAAGAATTGATTCCGTTTTTGAAAGAAAATAATATTACCACATATTCTGATCGCGGCTGTAATTTTTTTCCAAGCTTGAAAACGAAATGAGTTTGATACAAGAATCTGAAAATCGTGAATGAAATATTGCACTAATAATAATGCCACGAAAACTAGACCAACTCGATTCCAATATCAATACGATGGATCATAATTATTCATGTCACCGCCCGGCCAATTAGGATGTCACACGTGGCTGACTGCGGCATGCGTCGTGTTTGTGGTGTACACACATTCTTCGGTTGACCTTTTGTTTTAAACATGGCACCCGGCGGCCGCGATAGCGCCATTTCCTCTGCATGTGTATTTCCTCCTATTGGTGTCTGGGTTTTGTTCCCGGCAAGTTTGCACTCACTTTCGGGCCAACCTCGAAAAGTTTCAGCCCGGCAAGTTTGTCCCTCGGCATTCAAAATACCAAAACCCAAGAAGCACAGTGAAATTCCGAACATCTAATGTCAGTTCCCGCCTAAAACTGTCCCATGAAGGGGTCCCAGACGAAGATTTGTCACCCATGACTGTCTCAACCAACATGCAGGCGTGCAGACGAAGAGTTTATAAACAATAATCACTGGAGCTTGATTTTATGAGGACAAAACTTTCACTCACCGTGTTTTTGTAGACGCCGCTCCTCAATCAGACTTGAATGTGCGGGCAACCTCAGCTAGCAGGAGATCCCTTGACCGACTTTTAACACCAAACTAACTTGAAAATCACGGCCTAACGTGGAACATTAACATCAGTGATGATACATCGCAAGGATCGCGCCATGCACAGCGCATACAGCATGGATAGAGGTCATGGCCTGCTGAGTGAAAACGCGGATGTGCGTCGTTACTTTCTTTCCCCCGCGGACAGTTGGGACGGTCGCGATTATCTTAAAGGGCTCTGCATTCTTGTTGTAAACATATTATAATATAATGGCATAATAAAAGTTGTTTTCACACATGCCACTTTTAATTTGTTTCTATATGACGGTGAGAGTTATCTCAAAATGTTTCATGTTTTACATTGTGGTCCAAACGTCATTGCATTTTTTTTCTTCTGAGCGACCGTCCATGTGGTCTACCGGCCCTTTAAGAAATAATCAGTCAGTGATCGTGCCCCTTTAAGAGGTAACCATGCCAATGATCACGGCATATAGGTCAGAAATGTCATCTAGACAGGAGAAGGGGGACATCCATGGGGGGGCCAACGGGGGCCATGCCCCCCCCCCCCAAAAAAAAATTACAAGAAAAAAAACAATTTAAAGTGACGTCGCAATAAAGGCAGGCACTGCGTACAACACCATCTTTTCCTCAAAAAAATGTTTAACGTGGTTAGAAATTGCCTCAGATCGCACCACAGAGCATCTAGATTCCAAAAAGTTTACCCCTCGCCGTAATTTTTTGGACCCACTTTTTGGGGGACCAATGTTTTTCGCCCCCGCCCCAAAGAAATTGTGTTCTGGATCCGCCCTTGGTGCAGGGAAGGAGAGGGAGGAGCATGGGGGGGGGGAGGGTGAGGGACACCGGCCTGTTTCCTTATTGCCCCCCCCCCCCCTCCCCATTTAACTGAAACAACAATGCGTCAAAACAACACTGTGTCTTGACCTACAGCTTTTGACGGGTGCGCCTTCTATCGGGTCTTCGGTAACCTGTTTATTGTTGTATTACAAACACGGTGGCAGCAAATTGACCAATCAACAGCTCAGGCCGAATTTCTGCTCGAAATGACGTAATAATTCTTCAAAGTCGACTTGGTTGGCTGACGCCCAGGGTCGCATAAAATTTGCATGCACACATAAATCACTATCAGACCATGGTCAGATTTTGTTGCGGAGCGTGCGGGCTTCGTTGACCAACGGATGATACGGACTAATTGCCCCCCCCCCCCAGCCCCAGCCCCCCCCCCCCCCCGCCAACAAATTGGAACCCAAGTTATTCCATGCGGCTTGATTGACACACACGCAAAGATGATCTTCCCTTTCCCGATGCACGGGTGTGCCAATCGAACAAATTTAATCTAGATATAACAAACCCTTGTATAGCATGGAAGTTCATCTAAGATGGCACTTGCATTTCGAATTAACTTTGGATCTCAATTACGTGCAACAAAATTGGGGGGGGGGGAGTGGTGTTGAGATCAAGGCTAAAACACGATTCGAAACCATCATAGTATATACAGTCATACCCTTTCAAAACATCACCAACTCCCCATCACCTGTTTGTTCAGAGAGCAACATACAGAGAGCCACACCCTAATTTGGCCCCACCCAAATATAACTTTCGTTTCGCCAGAGCGGCTGCATCCAACCCAGCGACTCGCGGCAGATCTAGCTCATACTCCGCTAAACTAATCCTCCAACTTCGGGCCACCAAGGGCGGATCCAGAACACAATTTTTTGGGGGGCCAAAAAAAATTTTGGTCCCCCCAAAAAGTGGGTCTAAAAAATTACGGCGTGGGGTTCGGGGCCCGCTAGGGCCCCGAAAATTTTTTGGATTCTAGATGCTCTGTGGTGCGATCTGAGGCAATTTCTGACCACTTTAACCAATTTTTTTGGAGGAAAAGATGGTGGTGAACTCATTGCCTGCCTTTATTGCGATGTCACATTAAAAAAAAAAAATTGGTTTCGTTTTGGGGGGGGGGGGCCATGGCCCCCTTTGGCCCCCCCCCCCCCCCCCTGGATCCGCCCTTGCGGGCCACTGGGTGCGGATAAGACTAATCTCTTTCAAAACACATTGTCAAGGAACATAATTAGTGTGGAACCGGTGCCATCCTTCTCCTGACGGTGGCCGTGACTATGAGAAAACCAACTTCGGAAGTTCGTCCCCAGGGCTTACTTTATAGTACATTTGTAATTGTATTGAGAGCCTGCTCCGTCGACACCAGGAGAACGCTCAGCTTGTGAGAAAACAGCTTCAAAACAAAAATCATTGGACACAATTAGAAAAGATATTACGGGCGCTTAAAACCATGCGGTTACTCCATTTCAGGAGAAAAAAAGGTTACAGCACGGAAAAAGTGAAGCACATTATTTTGCCCTGCAAGATCTGGAAGTAAAAAGCATGCAAAGCAACCTTTGACCGTCATCCCGAAGCGCCCTCAATCCGCACGTAACGTATTCTGCATGCAGGCCAGGCGCTTTGCCTGTCGAAAAAAATATGTCCATTATTTTGTACACGCTCGCCATATTGCGAGAGAGTTCAGGCTTTCACATGACTTCCACACACCACCCTCATTCGCTACGGACACTATCACCCAAAAATACCAGCGGCACGCCCATCACCCGTTATTCCCTGATATTCACATCAAAATAACGTTTTCTTATAGCAGGTGAGTGTTCCTTTGTGATATTGTGGTTTAATTTAGGTTTGGGTCAAGTTTAAGGGTAGAAATCAATTTATTTTGGTGGTAGTTCGTGTTGTTTTTTTCACTGCGGGCTGTGCAGAACCTGTGCCGCATATTCATTCAATGCACTCGGGAACCTCTTTCGATATTGGTCTGAGCATGCGCAGTCGGCCATAACAACACATCGCAATGTTTCACCTAAAATGGCAGCGAGTAGGCTTGAACGAGACGGCGATGGGCTGAAATTGGATCCAAATTTTGAGCTTTTGGCGATACTTTTGGCCCTTGCTTTACAAGAAGAAGACGCAGAAAGGTTTCTAGAAGTATATGATCACATTGTTCCGAAATCACTCTCGGGTTTTGAGGTGAGAAAATGGGAGTTTTGGAGAGAGGTTTTTGGCTGTCCAAAAGGGCAGCAGTCGAACGGCAGCAGCAGTATCAATTATCGTGGGCTTTAGTTTTGCGTCCATTTTAATACCAATCAATAGATGGTGTATCCGCCTCAAATATACATTTTCTATGTTCAAAATTAGTTAAATAAACAGTTGAATTGCCAATGCAAATTTAGCGCATTTTAATTTGGTAACTTCCTTGCAAACAGTGGACATATGCATCACTGTGCATGGATGGTCATGATGGCAATCATCATTGGATGGTGGGGGTTGAAAATTCGGAGATCGTGCAGGCCTAAGCTAAGGCCCCTATTTTGTTTCGATCAAATTTGAATCAAGAATTTTTTACAACTAAAAAATGACATTGTCAACCTAAAGCAGAATTCGCGCAATGTAATGACACCTTTTTTGTAATTTTTGAACAGTTTCTTGGGGTAGAAATTATGATTTTCCTACACGGTGTACGGGCCGGTTTAATTGCCGTGTAGCGCGACTTGCATGCCCATGTCACATCGCACAGCGATCGCCATCTTTATTTTTGTGTTGCTTTTTGTCATTGACATTGTCTTTTTACCCCCAAATTTCCCTCAAAATTCAAAACCCTGCCCTTTAAGCCCTACCTGCATGTTTTTAATGTTGCCAACTAGCATGACTAGTCATGCTAGTTTGGTTGGTCAAATAATTTATAAGTGGATTTTGTTCCCTACTACTATTACTAGAACCGGGCCTGTAGATACACGATCGCCGAAATGTCCTGCTTACTCTAGGCTCATGACAAACACATGCAACATGGGGAGATTCTCTGGCAAATCTCCCCATGTCAAGAGCCTAGTGGAAATTTAAAGCTAATGGTGGACACATGGACGTCGCGAGGGGGGGAAGAGGGGGTGCTTGACCCCCCCCCCCCCCCCCCTGGAAAAGCAAAAAAAAAAAGAAGAAGAAAAAAAAGAGAAAAAAAGAAAAGAAAGAGAGGCGCGAAGTCATAGTGGTGTAAATTTAATGGGGGGGAGGGGGGAACAAATGTCCCTGCCCCCCCTCTAAAACTGAGAAATCGAGAATATGTTGAGAAATACAGGAATTTTTTTGGAAAAATATGTTTTGTCCCCCTCTAGAAAAAATCCTGGCGACGCCCATGGGTGGACATGTTTGAAACTTGAAAAGACAACATGTTGGAATTACATACAATGCATTCACAGGGCCTCGTCATCTATACCACAAAATAACTAGCACGTGACGTAGGCCTACATGTACACAGTACAAATTGAGTAGCATTGAGCATGGTGAGCTGGCATGAATAAGATGGTTGAACAGGATGAGTATGAAATGAAAGTGTATTTTATTTGCAACATGTAGCCTTCGATTTAGGCCTACAGCTTTAAAAATCTGATTTTTTAGTATTAAACATTCTGTCCCAACTTGTCCTTCACCAGTTTCAGTCAAAATCAATCAAGGGACTGTTTTCAACAGTGGCCCTCTTGGGCTAACTGTAGACCAGCAAGTTCTGGCATATGATAAATGCATCATGCATGTATGGAATATAATATGCTTGCTCAATGTACATTATACTTGTTAATTTGCATGGCATTTACCATATATATGCAAACATATGTTTAGGCCTATGCATTGCATATGTACGTAATATCCATTAATTGTTATATTTCACCTATAAATAGTGTTATAAATGCACAGAAAACACATGTACATGCACATTAATTAATCTTTGCACAAAAATTATAATCCATGTTTAATGCCTGGGTAAAAAAAACTAAATAAACACAATTTTAGGCCAGGTAAAAATTGTCTCGTCCCCGCCTGGCCTGTTTTCCTCCATGTTGTAACAGACGAGGTAATTCATTCATATTCATTCGTTACATTTGTTTTGCTAGGAACCTGAATTCTCAAAATCCCAATGTTGTACAGAGTCCCAAAGTCACTTTCTGTGTTCTTGTTCAAAATGTGGTTGTGGATCCAGTGTGAGTTAAAGGGAAAATACAACATTTGCAAACATTAAAAAGTATAACTACCAAGTTATTTTGAAATACCTTGCTGGACTGTTATTAAATGACAGTCTAAAGCATCCTGTAAAATCCATCACCTGGTAGGTTGTCATTTTCAAGAAAAGTGGTTATTTTGTATCAATTTTCAACGCTAGTCACAAATACTGGCCCCAGTTGACCCTCATTTGCTTGCAATCGATTACACACATCTATGAATTGGTACAAGCAAGCTAGACTGGTTCCCTGACCTTACAATTCCCCAATGTCTGTAAATTGCTCCGTTTTATCTTAAAATGGAGTCAGGGAACCAGACTACAGAAAAATGATTGTTTTCCTTAGTTTTATACAGTAGCATCTACGAAAAACGTCAAAAAAGTCAGTGTAACAAGATTTCCGATATACATGTATTACCAACCCCCAAAATCCATCCATTTCTGAAAATTACAGTAAGATCAAATGATGCATATTCCCTTTGATCAGCATAAATTCCAAACTCAATGAATCCAAGCAAAAAAACAAGTTCTTCAGCATACTTTTTGAAAGGTTTTATTTGCTTAATCATATGAGGTCTCAATCAAGTAATAAACCAGATCAGCTGTTATTGAAAAAGCCTTAAAATGTCTCCCTTCTAGATTTTCAAATTTTGATATAGCTGTGTAAGTTTGTATTGAAAAAAAAGATGCATGTAATCTGCAACCAACTTCATTGGTGGATGGTTGCCCTTTGCATGCTTTGTTCGAAAGCATACTAGAGCCACCAACATTAACATGTAGATAACAGGAACCAAATACAGACTGACATACATGTACATGTACAACATGCACATGTACATGTACTAATACAGTGTTGTACAATGTACATGTACATGTACACATACGTGGCGTGTGCAGTCATTGTGTACTGTGTGTACACGATGAATGAACACACCTATTGTAAGCAGTGGTCCACTGAAATCGAAAGTGGCTCTGATAAATAACTTGCTTACTGTTGACAAATGCAGTTTCATTTTAGGGACAATTTCAGAGTGAAATGTGTCTACAGAGTAGATATATCTTGGTATGGTGTCACTCGGTATCATTACAAATACATGTAGCACCTTATTTTGTTCGCCATTCTTCAAAAAGGATTGAGCAATGGTTCAATAAGTGTGGAAAGCATTATTTGACGTTGCACTTTTGCTCCCCAATCTAAATTAGAACTTATGTATATAAATATGACACTGAGACTTTAATGTCCATGTATGACGAACATGTACATTTTAATTTTGGTGCACAAAGTTATTATACATGTACATGTAATACATTGATGTTAATGTGTAGTTTCATGTGTAAATTTGTTTGACACATTAAATTCACATGTACATGCACAGGTAGTATGTCGCTTGTCTACACAGCAAACTTGTGAATGGCATGTGGCTTTGTGATTTACATAAATTAATAATTATAGTTGTGGACAGGGACTTTGGGGAAAGCATTAGCCAAAAGTGCAAGCTTTCGTTGTTGATAAGGGCACCAGCAATACATGCAACTTTGAAAACTAGTGAGAGTACTCTTCACTGGGGGGGGGGGGGGGGGGGGGGGAAGGGGGGGATGCTTGAGTAGCACACTGTGATAGCTTATTAAGTGCCAGAGACAGAGTTTTAAACCTGATGGCATCACCAACACTCATTACCAGGTGCAAGTACGTGTACACTGTATGTGATGTAATATATGCATGTATGCTATGCAGGGGTACGTTGTGGAGTGTGCAACCTTGTTTTCCTGAAACATTTCATTGTTATGATGCATTGCAAAGGATGCTTGGAAATTGCTCTGCACTTTTGTTTTCAGTTGGTGTCATTGTTTTTTGGATGTTTTCATAAATTCGGTCAAAGTATCTGTCCAAAACTTACTTTCTAGTTCATATCTGTACTGGTAAATGGAGCACCTATTTTGTTACAGGATTATATTTGAGGGATACACCGACTTTTCTTTAAGTATGATCTTGATTAGATACAAATTCTATTTTTATTTCAGGTGGAAGGTATCAAAGACAGAGCTCGGGAATTGTCCGACCTACCTAGAGAAACTCTCCTGGAACTGAAAGCTGCACAGGAGGAGAGTGAAGCTGCCCTTTCTTCATCTCCAGGTGTTGGATCTCTGGGCCGTTTTGCCAGTAGGCGCATCACTGACGGTCTCCACCTGAGGACATCAGAGACTGAACAACCCGACCATCTGCCTCACGGGAAATTTCAGTCCAAGTCAGGAGCTTTGCTGAATCAGCGTCTGAATGCCCATGCACAGACAAGTCGGACTAGTCTTGATGACCAAGACAGTGTCTCACAGAGGCAGGACCCAGTAAGTCACCAGGAGGAAGCCAGAGTTTATTCAAGAGTGGATGCTGAAAGCCAAACCGGTGCTTCTTACGTTAGGCAACACCGGCTTCCTCCAGCCTCTGAACAATCACTGGACCAGAAAGCAATCCCTGGAGCTGACTGCACCTCTGACCACTCGCCGGCAGCCAGGGACAAGAATTCAAACCTAGACCCAAATCAATGGAGCACCATGGCGTCTGCCACTGCACATAACAAAGTGCAGAAGGCACGGACTACTAGTGTCAAACAGCACAAAAAGCTGTCTCTGCCGAAGAACCCCGCAACCAATGCCCAAGACCAACAGCAGGTCCTTATGAATGGAGCCGCTGAAAGTGTGAAGAGCAGAACTCCTCAATTTACTGATAAGGATAAACACTGTATAAAATCCAAACCACCTCAAACAGTTTCCGATATTGAATTGTGTAAGGCTGAACAAATTGCTAAAATTCCCAATTCAGTGTTCCAATGTGGAAACTCTTTTTGTGATAGCCACTGTGAATTGGGAGACTACACAGAGGAGGAGAGGGCTGCCCTGATACCAAAGTCGCCGCCAGTTCCTGACTCGCCACCGTTTAAGTCCCTGGAGGACATCGGCCATTCAGTTGGAGAACTCCTCACAAACAGTGAACAGCCAAAGAACACTACTTGTCCACCGCCACGGTTTTTGTCCACCACAACAGCAAGACTCGCATATCCCAATTCATCCGATGGTAGCATGGCTGCAAAATATGGCACAGTCCCGGTCTTAGATACCTGTGCGAATAGTGTGGTCAGTGACGATGATACTCACCGAGAGGAAAAGACAACTCGACCCAAATTAGATGCACTCGCCAATCACCAGTTGCCTGATTACACACCGGAGGACTTGACTCGTGTTAATACTAATTCTTTCAGTACTCCAGAAGTGCCTTCTCCTGTAAATACATTAGCCACACATGTCAGTCCTTTGAAAGAGGAGCCTTGTGCTCCACTGGACAAGGATGAATTTGACAGTAACTTGGAGGAGCAGCCAAAAAGCATTGAGAGCCAGTGGAATGCCGCCAAGAAGAAGAAAAAGAAAAACAAGAAAAAGAAAGGAGCAGGTCAGTTGTCATTTGCGCTTTAAGAACTCACAATTCATGACATGGTGATATAGCAGGATCCTAATTTGCAATGCAAGGTTCTTAATGAATGAGCTTTATCTTGAGAAAAGTGTGGTTACTAAAAGGTGAACCGGAACTAACCCCAAAGTGTCTCTGATAAATGCTTGTTGTAACCCGCCGTTCTTTGTACATGTACACATACTAGGTCAATAATGTCGTGGTGATATCAAACCTGATTTCTATAGGTCTCTCTCAAATGACCTCACTGTCTACAGATTGGCACGTGCATCAGTATTTTCGTGACGCGCATCGGCTGTGCCTGGCTGTATTTTGAAGAAATTTTTAGCAACATGCGCGCGTTTAGAACATTTTGCACACGCAGTATGTAATTTTCAGTTGAATACGTAGTAGTAATATGCGTCGTATGAGAGGGGTCTATTGATGAAGGCTGGGCTGTACAGTTCTGTATTCTGCGAAATCGAGTGAAATGCTGGTTGAATTTTGGCAGGATTAAGAGGGTGAACACATGGTGAACAGTCTGCTTTATAACGTCATTATATAACCTGAATGTTCATATAACCATAAGACCATTTACTTGCAATCATTTCTTGAATATGACAGTTATCAGTGCTGGTATTTGTGTGTTTCAGCAAACATGGCAGAGTTTGAGAAAGGTACTTAGATGTAATTTTCTCATTGAAAACTTGTCTGGTTACCCCCACAGGATCTGGTTTTGAAACCACAAACATTAACAGTGTGAAGTTACCCGTCGGCGCCCCTCCCTTACCGCAGTCGCCCCCAGAGCTACGCAACAAACTCCAGCCAAAAGACTGGCATACCACCTCAAAACTAACCACCACGTCTGCCAGTGAAAACTCTAGACACCCACCGATGGTGTCGTCAGACAGTGTGACTTCTAGTGGGGAGTCGTCTACGGATGGAGGCACATGCATGAACGATGTCAACAGCCAACAACATGCAGCCTCAGCAAGAAAAGATGCTGTTGACTCCGCCGACAATACCAGTCAAACTCCACAAAGCAACAACAATGCCGTAGGGGACAGGGGCGCAGGTAAAACTGACTTAAATAGCACAAAGGATGTTGATATCCAGGAAAGTCTGTCGACAGAGCTTGAACCTGCCAACACTACCCCAGAGGCTGATGTACATATTAAAGCTGATATTCAGCCTTGCAATCAGTTTCTTTCAGAAGGTCAAGCTGTGCAACCTAGTCCAGGTCTTACTGTCAAAAGCGATCCAAGCGATTCTGACAGTGACAAGAACGATACCAAGGTACACGTGGAACTGAAAGCGACATATGAACGACCAGTTACTGCTGGCAAACCACACAGTTTGAGCGAGCCAACAGCTAGCGCAGACGCCTCTGCTGACAATGACGACAACCGCGATTTCATCAAAGTGGAGTCCAAGCGTTCCCTGCGCACCGCCAAGAAGCGTACTGTCGGCGCAATGGATGATCACAGGTTTGTTCACCCATCAGCGAGGTACATGGACAGGGAGAGAGATTATTTCCGAAACAGGAACATGCCTTCCGCTGGCTTGCGAAAATCGAGTAGCGAGCCCACCGGAATGTCCGAACTAGGTGACAAGGATGGTGAAGACATAGAAAACAAAACCAAGCCAAAATATCTTTCAGACAATCCTACCAAGACGGACGTGAATCTAACATCCTCTGTGCCAACGGAAACCACCACAGTACCACGATCTGAATTTTCATATGCAAGCAAAGTGAAGTCCAATATGAAAACCTCTTCACTTCCACCAAAGCTCAATCCACAGGTGCTTTTGGACTACGGAGATGATGAGCATTCAGAAAACCCAGCCAGCAGCGAAAACTCGTCTGATTCTGTGACTGGAAATAAACCAGCGGCCATGGAGTCCAAGGCCGTGCCTTCAGGAACATCAGTACTAGATAAGAACGATGCGAGTGGATCAGATAAAAGTGAATTGATCACTGCACACTCTGCAAAAGAACAGTTTATGAAAAACAATATTAGACCTGAGAACCATTACAGTGTCTCTCGGGCAGTGAAGCAACCAGACGATAGCAGTAAGGTAGGACAAGCCAGGAGCTTCCAGAGAAGTAGTTCAGTAGACAACAGTGGAGCGACAAAGAAAGTGTCATTTGATGATAACTCTATTAGACGTACAACAACCCCACAAGGCCCCGAGGCCAGTGTGCAATATTTAGACTTGACATACGCAGGTCGTTTGAAAGGCCAACGCCCTGCTATCTCCAAAGCTGCTGTAACTAACCCGCAGCCGCCGACCTCTGATGCACAGAAGGTACACGTTGCAGGCCTCAAAGATCTGAAATCGCAACCACAGAGACTCAAACCAAATGACAAGGAAGTGCTTATTACCAGCAAAGCTAGTATTGTACTCAGCACGAAAACACCAACCCAAAATGACCTCAGTAGAGGAATCGCTCATGTCGCCAAACCAGCCAGTAGCCATTTCGACTCTTCCGCAGACTTTAAGCCTGTTGATCAGCCCACCAATTTACAACCAAGAGCAGCTCAAGTTGCCCTTCCATCCACTCTCGAGAGAAACGTCACCTCCTCTCCTACCCCTTCCGTTGGCTCTTCCACCTCCAAACCTCATCCCGTCTTCGACTTGGAACCACAGGACAACTTTGACATCACCTTTGGTTCGGTGATTGTTCGCAAGGTTGGTTATGAGATCTTGCGTGAGGAGAGCTCAGCTGCCAAACGGGGAAGTCCTGTGAAAGAGCTCCTGTCTAAAATCCCAGCATCGGGGCAGCTTCCAACGCCACCAGGTCTGAGCTGTGCTGAACTAGAGAGATCCTTCATGAGTCAAGACTCCAGTCAGTCCACCGCTGTCAAAATGGATGATGCAGCAGGAGGTGATTCCGCAACGACCTTGGGCGTTAGCTTCGGCAAGTTTGACGGTGCCTGGGGTATCAAAGCAGCCTTGGAGGGGAAGGATGACAACATGGGAGATTTCAACCACTTAGAGGTGGCAGGAATGCTACTTGCAGGTAATTTGCGGTTTGCATATTAACACTTAAGACATATTAAGACTCAGCAAAAACAGCAGAGTCTTACAGAAGTGTTATTTTGCAGACACACTTTAGGAAAAATAAAAACTAGGACCAGTACCCGTAATTGGAATCCTAAAGCTACAACTGTAATCTTCAAACGTTAAATTTATTCCGTGATCGTGCTGATCCTTCAAAATCCACCAGCGGGCTTTGGAGGGTTTTGGAGGATCTAGGAAAGTAGAGCCCAGCTGTTATGTAAATTTGAACAGAGTTAACCTATCAGGGTAGAATCGCGTCAACGCAGCTTGTGAAATATTGTCCAGTTACATGTACAAATGGACGCAAACAAAATATAATGTACAAAATTCCATAGGGTTGTGTAAGGGACGTGGCTAACTCACAAACGACGATAGGTCAATTTGATGTAGGGTTTCCAAACAACGGTGGATTTGGTGGATTCAGGAAGGTTCTTTACAAAATTGCCCAGTGGTACCGGTTAATGATGGAAAAGTAATACCCTATTTCTGCTGGTATCATGGGGCCGGCTTAGTATCCTCTTTGCACGTATCTCACTGACTGATTCACTGACTGACTGACTCACTCGCTCATTCATTTTCACTTGTGAGCTTGGTAGTGCTATCTTATAGGATTAGCCCGTAACACCATGGAATGGGCTAAATCCAGCCCAGATGGGTGCAGACCAGTAAAATCGACTCCCATAGACGTCAGTGATCATAACGCGTAATTCCAAAAATTATTAAAACATACTCACAACTCTCCAAGGTGTTTGAGGCATCCATCAAATTAAAGCTTATTTCATCATCTTTCATTTTTTGTTCAATTTTTGGGTGGTAATCCGAAAAGTCTTGGGAGAAAAAAATCTCCAAAGATAATCACCACTAAAAGCAGTCCTGTCGCCCATCGCCATTTTGTAATATGCAAAATAGAGCAATTTTAGGGCAAAATTTCATCCAAATTTCCACAGAAATACGAGCTCACAGTCCTGTGCACGGCTTCCACCCATTTTTTTTACGAACCATCAAGTTCATGGCCCACAAAATATTCCAATAGCAAAAAAATGTGGGTATACAAATGTGATTTGGCCCGTGAAGGAAACTTTGGGCCTATTTACTGATTCGCACCCAGATACATGAAAAGACTTCCAGCCATTCTGAATCAATTTGATCAGAATCTATATGCGCTGGTACAAGCTTTATTTGGCTTGCTTTGTCGTGTTTCCTTTCAGTGAGACTTCTATAGTTACAAGAGTAGTTCGTTGTTATTTTTCCTTTAATTGACAACATTTAATCCACAGAATGGCGCAAGACCCAGACGGAGATCAGGCAGAATAAAGTTCTTGTCATAGAGTAGGATACCTCGACCCCAGTCAGCGGCTGTTTCGTGCGCCACCATCCGTAGATCGGTCTGCACAACAGACTGTGATGACAGCATTGTCTACCAGCTCATTTCTGACTACCCTCGGCCACACAAAACAGCAGCTCACAGACTGTTGAGGAATTAGGTGGAAGGTGAGGATCTTTCTCTCTCGAGTATCTTCATAAAATTAAAACTAACAGGAAGAGCAGCAATTGCTCATTTAAACCAGTCTGTTGAAGAACTCCCCCAAATTTGTTTTAAAAAAACCCCACTAAATATGACAGAAAAAAAAAAGATTTTATAAAAATATGTACTCGGCATACACAACAATATAATACAAAAAAAAAATTAAAATAAAACCAATTCTTTTGTATAATACATTACAAATTTCTTTGTGTTGTGGCACTTCAAATTTGGTGCTTGCTTTGAATACAGTGTTTTTTAAAGTTGAAAGCAGTTACAATATTATGCTTGTGTGAAATGGTGAAATATTCACAGCCAAAATGACAAATTCCCAAGGCCAGTGTTCTACTTGTCTGTCACTGGATGTGCCTTTGTCAAACTTTTGCCGTTGCCAACACACACCCTCTTTACTCAAGCAGTGCTGTGTTTGACAGAATAGCTGGTAAATACTGGCAGTCTGCCTATTCGGTAGATCTGACATTGGGAAGAGTTTGAAAAATGGATTCCAAGCACAAGTGCGTGCGCCCTCTCTTGGTTAGAAAGAGAGAGTTGGGCAGGACTCTTAAATGCATTTATTTGCTCAGTACGGTTGGCGCTAACACAGAGACGCTGAAGCTTGTGGACATTTGGATGTGAGATTTGAGGGCATTAAGGGGGAGATTAGTCAGGATTTTCCTGATTTCAGGATTTCATTGTCAGGATTTTTCGGATTTTCAGGATTTTTTTAAAGGAATCCGTTATTGAAATCTGGAATCCTGAGGTTTTACCATCAAGGTGTTTTTACATAAAAGTTTATATAAAACAAAAGAAATGGGTGTGTTTAGGGGTTTAGGCGAATACAAACTCAACCATGGACGTTGCTCTGGAGCCCCCTGGCGATCCTCAAACCCTCTGCTGATTATTTTGTGGATTTTCAGTTTTCCCATCAATCTCACCTCTGTAATCGTGTGTACTTGGTGATATGAGCTCACAAACCAGTATACACACACAATGTGTCCCGTATGTGGAGCTCCCAGGAGTGTCTAACAAGCGCCACCTACTGGTCATGCACTGAGATACATGTAGCCCTTCGCTCGTACCCCCCATCCTGCAAACAGGACGTTGGGAACGGCTGATCTCTTCTAGCTCTCATTGGATAGATTTTGCGTGAGCTGTGATGTACATGCAGCACTGTCGCTGTTTAACATACAAAGCGCGCGCTAGCTGCATGCGAAGGTCAAGATAAATTACCAATAATGCAATTTGTACTTCCTTCACAAGATTCTGTGAAGCTCATCAGCCCCTCCTAGCACCCTGTTTTTAGGGCGGGGGGTACGAGCAAATGTAGCCCTTAAAACGTACCTAAGCAGTGTCTAGCGCTGATCAAATCAGCTCAAAGCGCCTCTATTGTCCACAAGGAAAAATGATTATTCAACCTCGACTGGACACGTGTATGCTACTCAATCAGAACCTAACAAAATTTAGTCGATCGTGACTTATTCCTTAAAGTTTGACGTTGCCTTTCCTCAAGTGCAGAGGAAAGTATAACTGACAAAAGTGACGTAACAAATTTATTCACCAAAGGCATTAATGGTTGCTTTTGCATGCTTACGTTCATCATACAGGGCACTGCTAGGGTTAAAAACCACGCCTCTTTTTGAGTATATTGTCAGAACTGTTTTAAAGTTTTGAAAGAACACCATACACTGGTTGAACAACATCCATATGTAAATAAGTGATTGCTTGCAAATATTTTCTTTCAGTAAGGTTCATTTTAGCTTTTAAAGATAAATATCAAAATGTGTGAAAACAATCGGAAACATATTAATGACCCACATATAAACGTGTTTTCTTTCCTTTTTTTGGTTTTGTTTAATGTGCAGCTGTCAAAATATATAAATTGTAAATGATAGCAGGAAAAAAAAAGCTTTAACTACGTGGAATTGTAATTAGCAATTAAATATTGACTGTTGAAAATTTAAAACACAACCCTCCTATTGTTTAACCAGTCACAGACAGTCAAAAATTACTTCAACTTCCTCTGCCATGCATTTAAAAAAAACCAGTCAGATCACATTCGTGTTAACACTTTGACTAGTCAAATTCCATCAACAGACAAACAAGGTAACTGGTAGGTACAGTTGGCATATCATCACCTCCAGTCAAAGCATGGCTATTTGAAATTTAGAAGGGAATTTTTAACTGTTAAAAACAGTCACTTGCGTGATTTTGACTGCTGTGATTGTGTACCTGATTTTGCCAGTGAAGGGATAAATATATAAATTAAATTATAAAGCTTACTTTTAACACTATCTTTCTTTAAGTATTATCTAGTGCGCAACCTGACAAATTCTTAAGTTTGCTTTTTGTTTAACCTTTGTTTAATACTCCGAGATATGGTTTCTTTTTCGCTAAATTACCAAAACACGGATCACGCATTCACTTCACACTTAATCGACTCCAGTTTTAATGTAGGTTTCACATTTGAAGTTAGATTTGTCTCCATTGCCACATTTTACATAATTGTTTTGTGTACGTATTCTACCAATGTGAGTTTTTAAAAAAATACTTCATTTAACAAACGATAGAACATATCAATCATACTTTGAGCAGAAAACTTCTAAAAAAAACAACTGGAATTTGCTTTTGAAGTGAATCACAAACAATACATTATTTACACACACTGTACACAGCATCTACAGCACAACTAACAATATGTAAAGCCTTTCTCATCAGCGTATGAGTTAATTCTTCCTTTTGAAATCCCTTATGGGGAATAATTTTATCAAACTGAGACATTTCATTGCTCTACTAACTACAGATCACCATTCTTTGGCAGCATTGCTAGTACATGTACAGTATTTTCGCTGTAAGCGCTAGGCTGGTAAGCACAGAATCTTAAGTTACCTGATATAGGCATGCACACAAGCCGAAATTCCTTGCTAACCCTGGAAACATGCTCACCCTTAGTGCCAGATTTTTGCTCTTTGTAAAAGGGGCTTCTGTGCTTTGTGTGATAATAGTAAGCAGAGTTCATGAAACATGCATGACCAAGGTACAAAAAGAACCGCATCTGTCTGCTGAACCTGATGTACGGGGTGAGTCAAAATGATCTGGACCCAAGAATATATAAAAATATGTAGCAATTATCAAAACTAAGTTCAAATGAGATACATTATTAGGCTGGTATTTTGGACATATTTGGTGAAAGTTTCATGTACATCCATTGCACCATTTTGAAGAAAAGCGCTAGCAAAGAACACACGCTAAAAACACTCTGACCACGGTTCCATGGTTCAACAAATTTATTGAAATCGTGTACTGATGTGAAGCAGTGTAATAACAAATAGAAAGCTAGTCATGGTGACTGACTCACTTGAAGTTATTGACACATTTAAAAAAGGCAAAACCAATTCCGTTTGTAGACTGGAAAATGAGCCACTTCAATGAAAATGGCATAACTCCTCACCACAGCCACTAATTTGAAAATATTCAAAATTCCTGTGGAAGCCAAGGTGATAACCATTCATATGAAACACTCAGTTTTGCCACACAAAAAAATGGTGAACTTGGGTCCAGATCATTCTGACTCACCCTGTAATGCATTTTCTCTCCAACCATTTCCCACTGTGAAGTTTTTACACAGAAATGTTTTTTTCTTCCCCATTTTGAATTATTAGCTCTAAGTGTGATTTAAGTGTATACAAATGAAAATACAAGCATAACAGGCCTCCTGTGTGTTGTCTAGGGCTGTGCAAATGATTTAGTATTATTTGATTATTCTAAGTTGGACTTCATGAAATATTTGAATATATTCAATTTCAAAATGCGCTCATCAATCAAATTTATCACTGCTTGGGATTTGTGTGCACCTATGACAAACGACAAACAGTAAAAAGCATGCTGCTTAACAGATAACATTATGGACATATTTCATCACCTCCTTGAGATTGCTCACATTTTACGAATGTTTGAATTGATAAAATGCTATTCAGAGTTTCGGTGGATGATCAAATATCCAAATATTTGGTGCATTCAGCACACCCCTATCATAATACTGAACTATGCTCGGCGAGTGATGAAACCTGCCTAACAGTGTGAAAATTACAAGCAAAAAAAAAAAGGTTTATAGTACCCTGGTTCTTGATCAATTTTCAGTCGTTGTTAGCATTAAAAATGATTTCTATTACAACTTCTCGACTTAATCTGTTCTGGCAGATTGAACAAATACTTCTTCTTGAATGGGTTTGCAGTTGAAGTTAATAAAAAATAAATTATTTATGTGTGTTTTTCAATATAAGGTTTTCTCTGCAACAATAAAGTGTTCGGTGTATGTCTCGTGAAAATAACTTTTTCATGCAGATTGCACTTCCTTTTTCATTGGTTTAAAATTATTTTTAATTGTGGGTCTAAAAAAAATAGCAAATAAACTTGAACATTATATTAATTAAGTTTAATATTTTCATAAAATATATAAATGGTTTATCTTAAAAGTTAGTACTGTACTATATATCACCACATTTCAATCCTGTTGGAAGTTGCCGCAACAATATACATTGTCTAATAATACATGCTTAACCAAACAGCGGTGCTTATTATTTTCTTTATTGAAAATGCGTATTTTGGTTAGTAGTAGTTTTTGGTTTACATTTTGCAATCAGCTTAACTGCACAAGCACAGTAGATTACATTAAAAGCTTTTAAGATTTTTCTTCGTTAGACAGTTTTGTGATAAATATTCTAAGTTCTGCATCAGCCCTATTGCCTGTTTACACGATTTGATTTCACGATAACTTAAGTTTGCGCAAGGGTTGTTGTTCACCAGCAAGCATAAATGTCATGATACAAGCTTCTTCAGACTTACACTTCCTCCTTGACACTGAATCAGTTCAATCTTTCTTTTATACCGACTGCACTTTATCCCAATATCCTGGCTTATAGCCAGCTACAGATCAGGGGTGTGCATTTACGGGCAGTACAGGAATCGGGTACGGATTGAAAGAATACCCGGTTACCCGTTAAAGAAACTCAACCCCAAAATTCAATCCTCAGAATTTGCTGTTCAGATTGTTTGTAAAGGTCCGCACGATATTCACTACCACATGTAGGTGTTTCAATACAGAAAGATACAAGTGTGTAGAGTGAGCTTTGTAGCTTTACGGTGTTACTGCAACTTATGCGAGAGTCATGAACATGAATTATGTTTTGTTTTCCCATATAGCATGGTTTTCATTTTGAACATTTCCCACAAATAACATTCAAAACCTTGCTTTTTCATTGTCCGAGAAGTTACTAAGTAAGTTGTGAAGTTGGTTACAGGTACCGGATCTGTACCCGATTCCATAATCTGGAACCGGTTTCGGACATCAACGGTTGGGTACTCGGGTACCCGGTTCCGATGCACAGCCCTACTACACATTGTGTTTTTTTATTGAGAAATTCTACCACACTGCAGTACTCCCACTACTTATTAAACAAATTGGTAATCCGCGTAACTTCTTGACTGCAGTAAATAATAACTATGTTATAAAAGAAAAACAGGCATCCATTCATGCATTGATGTGTTTGATGCAAACAACTAAAATCACTTCTTGAGCGTCCCTGAATCATTTCGATTTCACTTCCTGCTAGTGTTAAGTTAAGTAGTTAAGCATTTTAAGTTTTCAAAAGGGGACAAAGGCCTGCACGTGCATTTAATTTCTTGAATTTTTTGTGTAGTTAATACATTTCATATGTATTTGTATCTGACTTTAGTTTAAAAATATTGGTTCTCTTAAAAATCGCTTTTCTTGTGTCATTTCAGCAGTTTTATAATATCAGTGTTCAGTTTTGTTTTCAGGTCGTGTAATATTTCCTTTCAACACTTTGGTTGTGATTGCTTTGCAATTCTTGCGAAAATCATTTATTTTCTTTCAAAGTAAATGTCAAATTTTGATTATTGTCCTGAGCTTTCTTTTTGATGGTGCGATTATTGAAGTGAAATGATATATGATAACCAAAACAGACATCAATACTCATCTTTTATTATTTTCAAGTAGTTGTTATCAGGAAAATTGTAAACTACCACATACCAGGTTGTGATCATATAGCGTTTTTAGCCGAAGCGAATGAAATGTCCAGAGAAAGGTATCACAATGCAGGTTCTAGAGCCAATTATTTGAACAGAAATTTAGATGTTTGTGGAATTGTATCAAGCAAGCAATACGTGATTTCCTTGAAAAATATCCAGTAAAATTTATTCACAGAGAACCCATAAGGGACTCAATTTCATCGAGCTGTGCTGCAACTATCATTTATAATCTTGCTAAGCTGAAACGACTAGTAACTTGACACAAGCAACATACATCACAGAATACTTTTTAAAGCAATTTTAGTGCTTACTGCTTGCATAGCAGCTTAATACTCCCTTTTAAGAGAGTATAAAGAAATTTAAATTGGGGGGCACTTTCATCTGATGAGCCCCCCCCCCTCCAAAAAAAAATAATTAAGTTGAAAATGTGTGTCATCAGATCAAGATTGGCTTTTTTCTTAACTGATTGTGAAATGCTGTTTTAACATAATTTTTGTTAACGGGCCAATTCCCAAAGCAACCATTTTATTCATGGTATTTGTTATCTGATGGTCATAAGCTCTCTTTGTTTCCATCCACTTGGGTTTGGGTTTTAACTTTGTTAATCAGCAAATAACAAAAGTCAACCATAGGCCCATAACAGACCTTTATGCAGAATCAGAGAGCAAATTTGCATAGATTTGAATAGGCATGAGAAAAACCTGTTGCATTCATCGTTACTAAATTGAAATAACAAGGGACACCCTCGTACAATGTAGATACCTGCAATGTAAAAGGTGTATTTCTCACTAAGATCACAATTCATCATGTATACTGGTTCATCAGTGATGCAATATCGATCAAAAACTCCAAACTGAACTGTACATGTAAATCAGTTTAACAAGTGCATGGGTTCATGTGCGAGTTTGGCGAAATCGTCTTTTGTCATATCATTAGTTCTTTCGACAACAAACGAGTGCAGTTTATACATTCTTTGGTTATATTTTTAAAAAAAATCTGATTGTAGGATTCTAAATAAAAAAAATGGTTGCTTAAATAAAAATTAACGTTTGGATCCCTTGCGTCTATGTGATCTAGTTCTGCTTATTAACATACTTTAGCTGTACTTTCGAGTGTTGGTGATACCATTTTGTGGAAATACCCAATTGTAATTCCAAAATAAAGTATGTGAGTGATAAACAATTAAGTTGTTTAACAATGGTTTTATCGTCATAAGCATTTAGTAAGAAATGAGTTTTAATTTTTATTATTAAGAGGTTATGTTTCAAGTTGTGGGACTATGCCAGCTGTAAGCTTAAACAATGGAGTATATGTAGCTCATTAAGTAATCGTAAACGCCCCAACGATGTATTTTATGTATTTTACAAATGGTAATTTTTCTGTCTTTGTCCCCTTATATTGGGTGTTGGTGTTTTCGTAAATCGGATAGGTTGTGTCCAGTTGAAAAAAAATATAGGAATATGTGTTATTAATTATCAAATTTTAGTTAAATGTTATGTCAAAAGATGCGAAATAATTGCAATTTTACTATTACAACAGGTTTATTTGTATGCACTTTCGGCAATTTGATTTCCCCCATCCTTTTTGTGCTGTTGCTCGTTGCAGAAATATCGCTAACAAAATAAGCATACTTATGAATTTCTGTTAATTTATTTGGGAATATAATAATGTTAATTTGCTAGTTTATTGAATTATTCTATTAAAGACAGTTCTGTTATCATGCCTGAATGCACCCAAACGCTTGTACAAGCAAATTTCAATGAAATAAATAATTATGAGCTAAAAAAAAAAACCAGGAGAAATGTCGAAGTGTCCTTTAATAAAAAGGTGTGTTTTTGTACCGTGGTCATTTACGTGTAACTATCTCGATACATTTATAACGCTCACTTGCCTCATCGATTGGCGTGTGGAAAGTCCTGTGGTAGTGTGGTCAATGTCACAAACCTGAGAAACAGACGAACAGATATTAATTTTTAGCAAATGAGTAATTGACGTACGTCCTTGCCGCTGGAAAGGTTATCCACGTGTGGGTTTCAAATGCCAATTTTAATAAAATTTAAAGGACAAACCGGCCTGGCTATTAAATTAGCTTCGCTTTAGAGTTCTTTATTATTTATAAAGCAAAAGTAGTATTTTTTTTTTAACATAAGATATCTACTATAAAAACACAAGTTGAGTGCATTGTTGGTTTATTTGATTGTATTATAGGTAACGATTTTACGTCTTGTTTTTGATATATTCCAGTTTGTCCCTGTTTCATTCTAGAGCTGTATATTCGTTTTGCTCTCAAAGATTGTATGTCTTGCAGTCACGTGACTGTCGTCACGTGACTGCCGTCCTAAATGTTGTTTTCAGTACCTCAACTGTACGACCTCTATAATATATAATTGCTAAATTCTCTTAACAAAAACCCTTCAAACAAACGATGCCTTCAGAATGAAGGAGAAAGCATCTAAAATTAGGGTTTTTTTTTATTCCGGGCAGCATGCACTGGCCACGTGACCCATCCCACAAACCTGCATTGATCTGCCCCACCATATTCGCCCCCTGCCTCACTCAGATTTGGATCATTTGCATAAATGCCAACAGTAACATTCCGAATTATTACTAAAAAGCTTACTTGGATTATAGATCGTATTAAAACACCTCACCCACAGATTCTGTGTCTTGATTGGCCGAGAGCGAGTCACATGTTACTTTCTAATTTTGCTATCTTTCTGTGCACGGCCAAAAGTACTATGCGCATAGTAACCAAAGTACTATACCATTAGCAACCAAAGTACTATAGACCGCTTGCAGACGCGTTCGATAATTGACGCGCTAAGGTAAGCGACGCCATGGGCGTTTTCGAATCCTTGTTCTTGACAACGCGCGTGTAGCACGAGAACGTGTTCTCGAGCTGGTTGTTACGAACGCGCGGGTGCGTGTCGCATCGATATAAAGCAATGCAAAATGGCCGACAATCGTCTGAATTTGTACTTGGGCCTATTCCAAATGAACGAGGACGAATCTGAAGATGAATGTGAAACAGACCAAAATTGCAGACCTGCACTATAATGGTATTCTTATTCCAATCATTAGGGTATTAGCACACACAAAAAACCACAAAACAACTTTCGAATCTGCACAGTCCGCCATTTTGTTCAAGCTGCACCTCGCCGAACCCTCCATCAACCGGGGAGTGAAAAAATCGATCCGCGAACGCCCTCTCGGGTCTGTTCGTCACGTTCAAGACCGCTGTTCTCGTGTCGGGTTAACCCGAGTGTTGTCAAGAACAGGGATTCGAAAACGCTCCATGTTATGGGACAAAGTGTGCGTGGATAGATATACGCCTGTCCCACAACATGGCGTCGCGCGCCTTCGCGCGTTGCTTATCGAACGCGTCTGCAAGCGGTCTATTTCCACGGCGCGGTATTTGTGTGCAAATGCATGCTGGTGTGCGCGTTGCGCGTTGTGCGTAGCGCGTATTATTCCAAAGAGAGCGCGCCGCAGACTTGGGTTCAAACATTTCGTGAAGGGTTAGTTTTTAAGAGAGAAATACATTTTCCACCAATTTTGTATTGAAATTGAAGTTTATTTCAACTGTGTTCAGATTTAAATAATGTAAAATATTAAAATCAAGCAGAATCTGTGGGTGAAGTGTTATAAAACAAATATTGAATGCTTTATCTCGTGATGAAGATAAAGTAGCCTCCCTCGGTGATCCATGGAGCATTCTATTTTCCCTCGGCTTCGCCTCGGGAAAATAGAATATCCATGGATCACCTCGGGAGGATAGTTTTACTACACCACTCGAAGCATTCAATATTTGTATACTGGTACTAAACACCCCGTTAAATTATTCCATCTGGCTTGCTGTCATTTAGAAAAAAATCAAGATAATTAAAGGTAGAGTCCATCATTTGCAGCCATCCGAAAAGTAACTGGCGTAATTATTGATGAAAAACTAACTTGGTTGAAAGATAGTAAGGGGACTAAACTCCCTGTGAAATTATTCTTTCTGGGAAGCTGTCATTTTGAAGTAATCAACGAAAGAAGGCATTTCCAACGGTGATTCTTAAGAAGCACCGTAGGAAAATTTAAATTAGTAGTTCGTTTTGTTATTCAGCGAAGCGCGCACAAGTATTCGAACGACGCACACGCGCGCGCGGTTGTTATAATTCGTCGGATCAGCGCGCGACGTTGCGTATAGTTGCAATTCAAAACAATTCAAAACATGATTCAGCAACTTTTGATTTGAAATTGAGATCTTAGAATGCTGTTTTTCTCGGAATGTACAGCTGAAGCTTAGCTGAAACTTCATCAGGTTAGTTGCTCAGTATCCTTCATTAGATTTTGAACTCTTTTGTTGCTTCAAACGAACAAAATGCACAAATTACAAATGATGGACTGTAGCTTTAAGGGGACTTTCACCATGGAGCTCACCGATTAGTCAATTTACTGATTTTTTAAAACATAGAGTGCTAATATGTGCATAGACGAAATCTTTTTTCGAGATCAAAAGGCTGCGCATGTTTTGCCTTGTTTTTCAAGTACTATTTTCTCGAAAAGTGTTATATCCACTGAGCTAAAAGTTCAACAGATTAGGTTATATGAACATTCTTCTTTGGATTTTGAGTGGTGTTATTGTTGGAAACTAACAAAATGGATAAAAAAGCAAATGATCCTGTAATTGTACGGCAGATAGGTGATAGAATTGTGCCTTTGATGATACAAGTATGGAATGTGGCACACGGTCAGAGTATGTCATGAGAAAGATATTTGGCTACAGGACCATCGCAGATTGGTCCTTTGAAAAAAATAAAGGTAGAATAACAAGCAATGGCAGCCATTTTGGAAATGTCGAAAATTGCTTGCTACTCCAACTATAATTTTTGCAGAGGACAAATCTGCGATGGCCATAGTCAAAGATCTTTCTTAAGACATACCCTGACTGTGTGCCAACTGCCAAGCTTTGCCAATGCACTATTCCCCCAAATATTTCCCCTATAAGGCCAAAAAAAAATATTCGGTCTCTGGTCAGACCAAAGTTCCGGAAATGACGCGGCGACGAGGCTTTTTTTTTTTTTTTTTTGCTTTTTTTTTTCTTCAAGCTTTGATTGTACAGACAAGATGGGGTACTATTTTGCTTTTTTGGTGTCCTCATGTACATTGGTGTCCTCCATAATTTGCCTTGGTGCTTTCGATCATTTGCCTTGGTGCAATTTCCCATTCCTTGGTGCTCTTTGCTAAAAAAAAAATGAGGTGGTGCGGAAATAGAGGGCGCTGTTGGAGCTACCACGGAACATTTTGGGGGAAAAAAAAAGATCGACGCGCATGATTAAAATCGACGCGCGCGCTGACCAGAGACCGACTTATTTTTTTTTTTGGCCTAATATCTGCCCCAATATGCCTTTCATTCACAAAAGTCCAGAAAGAACCAGTGACCGCTTGCGTCTTGCCACGTGGACACGCCCACGTAAACCGTACTTGGACGCTGCCCACCGTACCAATTCTTACTCATCATCGGGGAGGGAGAATTTCCTCCCGTCCCAACCTGCACATTCCCATCATTGTACTCGATCCAGAAAAGACGATCCTCCGCATCTGAAAGGATTCCGTTGGTAGTAATCTGTAGCTGACCAGCATCACACGCCTTGCACGTACGGATGGCGCTCTTCGTGTTCGTGTAACCACCGATAACTGTTTCATGAATGAGACAAAGATTGAAACTATGGTTCGCCGTTTTAATATACATGTAGTTTTATCGAATCTTATTATAGGTTTTCCTGGACAATTTTGGAAAATGTGTACATGAATTTGTAAAAGAAGCAATCGTTTTCGTGTGAAATAGAATGAACGTTCCAAATCCCTGGTTCTATATTAACAAATGATAATTCTATTTCCATTCAGTCGTTAAAAAAAAACAGAGTACGATTTTTAAAGGGCCACACCCCCTCCGTTTGCCACGCCCCTGGCTGCTTTGAGCATCCAATCCTCGCCCCGAAATTCACAACATTTCAAGATATCCCATGAAACAATAACTCAAACTTATCAGCTTGTAAAAGGTACACCGTTCATAAACGGATTGCTTCGATTGTTGTACTAACCCTTTCAAGGTCTGGGTCTCTAAGAAGTTCACACAATGTGTTGGGAAAACCCTGCAGCTATTTAATATATATGCCTCGCCCCAGCAGCGAATTAAACCATCGCTGTAATAGAAAAGTTAAAGATGAAGAGTCACACTTACTTATTTCGTAGAATACTCCTGAGTCGTTTGGCAGTGATGACAGCGCGATGTTACCATTCCGAGGGGCACGCAATGAGAAATTCACACGGAAATTCGTTCCCAAATTCACGTGCGGCAGCACGTACGTGTACTCGTAAGGTGTCATTGGTGTGGTCACATAAGAACACGACACTGAAATCAGAGAAAGAATTATTAGATTTTCCAAGTAAGGATTGAGGTACTAAAAGTTAAGACCCACAATCACGTCCCCTCATGCTTCTATTCAATGTGCATCACTACCGGTATAATCAGAAATCTTTTAATTTACCTGGCGTTGTTACGACATGTGGCATGACTGTCGGCCCAGGGCCAGGGATGTATGAATAAAATGCTGTTGTCTGTCGAGAGAATTAGAAGAAAATGAATTTGAAATAGTGATTTTAATAATACTACTTTCGACAAATTCAAAGTGCAGTTATTATATTAGCTTGCTAGGGCCCAGATAACAAGAGACAAACGTCACCTTTCGCTCACAAGTTTTCGGGATGGGAGCGTCTCCAGGAATTTATAGGAGAGGTGGCGGGCAACATAATATTATTGGCCACAGTATAGCACCCACATTGGCACTGACGGCCACAATGGAAACTTGGCGCGCATGGTCATAGATGCCATGATGGATCCATTATGCACTATCGTCAAAAACTTGGACCCGGAACCCTTCAACAGTATGGTGCTCGGGTGGTATAGGCCTACGGGCCTTAGCCCTTTCCCCAGTATCTGTTCAGAAATTGCAGCCCATAAAAGCGATTCTGCCCAACGCACTTTGCAAGGGGTGTAGAGTTAGAAAACTGTTGAAACAGAGTACCTCAGCAAGACATCAATGGCATCATATCACCGTTAGCCTTTTAGTTAGATAATAAAGCGGCCACGATGGGAGAATGCTATTTGATTTTAGTAAAATGGAATGTATAGAATTAGTATTCCAAAACTAATATTTCTCCTTCCAATTGTGCTCAAGACCATTATTTCAAAAAGGCTAATAAATATTTGTTCTTACACGAACAGAAGGCATATGGTTGTTGTTCAGGGTACCTTATTAGCATCGTAGTAGATACAAAATTCATCTTGAATCAACTCCCGTGAAGCTCTCGTGCTGTTGTTGAGATCGCATCTTCGGCTCCGCGGACAGTAGTTGAAGGACGCGCACTCCGGAGAAAAGTGACATCTCTGCCCGCAAGTGGCCGAGCTGACGGGCCGAAACCTCCGGTATACGCTGCCGGAAAGAGTGCGACCTTCGACTGGAAAATACTCGAAAGTACCACGGATCCCATCGCACTTCTCTCCGACAACAGCTGCCCCCATGCAGGGGCAGACAAGTATGAGAGTTATCAGCAACATAATTCCCGGTACTTCACTGAGGAGAGATGTGAGAGTGTTCAAATTCAAAAATGCGATCTGCAGATGAAGAAAAAATTAAAGGCACGGAACAGTGGTTCATCAGCATTGTAACTAGGAGAAGAATATCAATGCGCCAATTGGCGCCTGGCTGCATCTCCGAAGAGAGCGTGCCAGACAATGAGACGGCCCTACATTGGTATCACCATGGTATCACGACAATACGTTTCGCCTCTCGCTTCCGTAGGCCCATTGTGAAAGAGGCCTACGTTTTTACCTATTTTTGCCTGATTAAAGGTAGACATTCAACCGGAGATGTATAGTTCAGAATGAATTTCTCTTTATGATTATACCATATTTCGAGAATATTTAAGCTATATACGAAAATATTGAAATTGTTAAAATAATATCATCGAATTATGAGCCAAAGCCTGAAAATCAGGCTAACGTCATCAAGGGCGGATCCAGAACACAATTTTTTGGGGGGCCAAAAAAAAATTTGGTCCCCCCAAAAAGTGGGTCAAAAAATTACGGCGTGGGGTTCGGGGCCCGCTTAAGGGCCCCGAAAATTGTTTGGATTCTAGATGCTCTGTGGTGCGATCTGAGGCAATTTCTGAGCACTTTAACCAATGTTTTTTTGAGGAAAAGATGGTGGTGTACTCATTGGCATTGCCTGCCTTTATTGCGATGTCACATAAAAACAAAAACAAATTGGTTTCGTTTTTTTTTTTGGGGGGGGGGGGCATGGCCCCCTTTGCCCCCCCCCCCTGGATCCGCCCTTGAACGTCATTTTATAATATGCGAAGAAGTGACAACTTGCTGTTGGAACACACCGTATTAATACCACAATAATGGCAACACAAAATGAAGCAACATTATGTGTTTGAAGAAACCGTGCGTTCCAGCTGTTATCATTTCGTGAGAAACGCAGTGTATAGCCCAAACGTTTGCACTCTGCTCGAAGGTGTCCGTTTAAGACACAGTCCGTTTGAAACACGTTCACATATGCGTATAATAATTGTGTCTCACAGAGCAATTAATTAAAAACAAGAAATTCAATATCTAGGTAGCCCTTCGTGTTGTATGCACAGCGCGCACACGTGTTTGCGAGTTAGCCACGCCCTTTAGCCAACCATTATGGAATTTTGTACGTTTTGTTTGTTTCAGATTTTGCTCGTCCCGGCCCTCGTCCATGCCATTGGTATGGAATTGGCATTTTTTTCACAAACTGCGTTGACGCCATAGGTCCGACCTGGACATTTCTGCCTCAATGATTTTGTCGATTCTCTTCCAGAGAATCAATTCATTAACCTTGACCCACGCCAGGGGCGTAAATACTGGGGGGGGGGGGGGTGAATATCCCCCCACACTTTTGACCGGGGGGGGGGCCTATCAAATCATCCCCCCCCCCCCCCCCAACGTTTTCGTTTTTAGAAAAAAATGCAGATTTCGAGGTATTTTTAGAATAACAAAAATGTATTTAATAGCACTGAAAAGTGGAGAAACAAAGTACAAAGCCTTTTTGATGTGATCGAGAGTATACGTCTATATTGATATACATCTATATCCTGAAGAGTGCAACCTAGTGTAATGTGCCCCCCCCCCCCTCCCCCGCTTTTCAAATGTCCACGGCCGGGCAATGTTTAGATTGTGGTCATCCCCATCCCGGCCCCCACTCGCCGGCACAGATTTACGCCACTGACACATACACAATGAAGGGAAGTGAGATGACCACCCTATTTTGGTATATACTATCAATGATGACGTAAATTGAGGGGGGTACGAGTCACCCACTCGACTCGTGGCGTTCATTGTGCCCCGCTCTTCATTAAGAACTTTTTGAAACTGTGAACTACCCCGCAGAGTGCCCGTATCCTGAGAATGAAGATTATTGTGAACACAGACTTTAACCAAACAAATGAATACATGAAATAGTCGTCGAATCCCCATTTTCCGCGATTTTTTTTAGATTCTATTGCGCATGCGCAATTACGTTCTTGTTGAACGATAGCGCGCCATTGCTAATTTTTATACCGTGGTAATGGCGGGAGATTGCGTTGAGCAATAGGAGTCAATACGAACTCATTCGTGTTCGTACTTGCCCGGTATTTGTTACCATCTTTTCGTCATTATTCGTTCAAACTTCTCCTTGGCAAAATGAGCACACAGCTATCGTCTGGAGCCTTAGAGGTAGGAAAACTTTTTCTTCTGAAGATTGAATGTCATGGTTGTGAGTGTGTGTGTGACATGCAAAAAATGATGCATGCTGTGAGTTAGCTCTACTGAGTGGAGCGTTGAATTACGGGTACCCCTCCATACAAACGCTCCACCGATTTGCCATACTTTGGTAGCACCATACACGGTCGTCATGACGGTATGCATTTTGTGCATGCCCTCGCGAGGACAAGGCCCCAAAAAACCGATAAAGAAAATACAAATGAGGAAGACAGTAACCCTGGATAGATCCACACATTCATGACATTCCATAAGACCCCTCAAATTGTTTCAAACAACCGGTAATTTTGAAAAAAGAACACAAAAGTCTGAACTTACCGCTCACAATTAAATGTGTCTGCCGAGTTGCACAGTCTATTTCACTGACATGACTGATGCATAATTCATTGCGCGCGTGTGTGACGTCACTATTGAAGAAAAACAAGTCGCGCTTAATCAATGACTGTTTCATGTACTGATATGTGCCCCGCACCAAAAACCCACAGTCAGACGGCGCGGGGCACATATGACTACATGAAACAGCTATTGATTAAGCGCGACTTGTTTTTCTTCAATAGTGACGTCACACACGCGCGCAATGAATTATGCATCAGTCATGTCAGTGAAATAGACTGTGCAACTCGGCAGACACATTTAATTGTGAGCGGTAAGTTCAGACTATTGTGTTCTTTTTTCAAAATTACCGGTTGTTTGAAACAATTTGAGGGGTCTTATGGAATGTCATGAATGTGTGGATCTATCCAGGGTTACTGTCTTCCTCATTTGTATTTTCTTTATCGTTTTTTTTGGGCCTTGTCCTCGCGAGCGCATGCACAAAATGCATACCGTCATGACGACCGTGTATGGTGCTACCAAAGTATGGCAAATCGGTGGAGCGTTTGTATGGAGGGGTACCCGTAATTCAACGCTCCACTCAGTAGAGCTAGCTGTGAGTGTGAGTGTCAAGTTTGGGAAAACAAATCATATTTTTTTCCTGTCGGGCGTCGACTTGGTCGATGACTGTCTCTTCTCTAGCTAGCTCTGTGCAAACTCAAGTAACCTAACGGGGAAAGACTGAATGTTGCAACCTGATGCCACTTCAGCGGTTGTGTACAACTAGTAATAGTATGGAGAGTCAAGAAAATATTCCTAACACTAAAGTAACAGTAACAAGAGTCAAGAAAGTATTTCCTAACAAAATTGGAAATGTGGAAAGATTCCCATCAATGGCATCTTGCCCATTATTAATCTGACCATCACTATTTTTTCCTTGATCACTCAGTATATCAGAAAGTGATAATGTCCTAAAAAAGTCAAATTTAACAGGGAAAATAAAAATGAAGTAGGCCCTAGGGTTTACTGAGAAAACTATTATCAGACCAGACTCAAGGGTTTGTGCACTAGGCGGTGACAGGGTGACAAGTGATGTCCAGATATGGGAATCTTTCAGGAAATGTTTCTCAGCCCCATATATATTCACGTCTTATCATTTTTGCAATGACTGACCTTCGTTGAGATGATATTGTCCGTGTACCGGTTTTCGAGGCTTGATTTTGTTGAAGTTGTCATGGTTGTGTAGCGAAGCACATGCGCAGATTTGAACACGCATTGAACTACGGTACCCTCCGTACTAACGCTCCACGGTGACCGATTTGGCATACTTTTGTGACAGGTACACGGTATGCATTTTGTGCATGCCCTCGCGAGGACAAAAGGCCCTCGCGAGGATATGCACAAAATGCATACCGTGTACATGTCACCAAAGTCATGAAAGTATGCCAAATCGGTGGAGCGTTAGTTCGGAGGGTACCGTAGTCTTCAACGCTCCACTCAGTAGAGCTACACACAACCAGTTGATTTGTTGTGTGTCATGTGCAGTACGTGTTCTACCACCAGCCCCAAAAATTTGGAAACAGAAGGCTATGTCGGTGTTTTTCTCTTGCTTGAAATAAATCCTTACACCCTCGAAAACCGGAAATCGAGGATATATGAAGAAGAAAAGTGGCGTATGGTTGCAACATTCTAGAATAATGCCTTTTCCCCAAACTTAGGTCATGGAGCTTGAGTTGACGTTTTGATGCTTTGTACGCAAACAAGTGGGGAAGTTGTGATTAACCCAAGATAATCTGTGACTGTCATGATTGTTATTTGTTAAGTGTTACCAGTTTATATATCGTTGATGTTATTCCTTTCTCCATGATTATGTCACTCATTTTTGGTATCTTGCGTCAGCTCTTTTATTGTGTCTTCTCAATGTTTAGAATGGAGGCCTCGCATCCAGACACCACTTCTTTGGTTGTGTACAAAGTCTGGAAAGATTTCCATGCCTGGACATACTTGACACCCTGTGCACAAACTATGAGACTGGTCTGAAATATTCTTAGTAAATACTTCAATATATTCCCTGCTAAATTTGACTTTTAGGACATGTTCTCGCTTTCTGATGGATGATAGGTCACTGCATGGAAAAATGAGTGATGCCCATGCATGGAATTTTTTCCCAATGTCTGTGGAGAATTGAGTGCATTTTCAAAGTATTTTCTAATCTAACAAAATTGGAAATGTTTCCCAGTCCCAGATTCATGTCTTTTCAACACTTTTGCAATGACTGACCTTCATTGATAGGGCCTATGTGATTAAAAAAGTGGCGTCGGGATGCAACATTCACTCCCAGTTTAGGTTTCTAAAGCTACATTATTTCTCCAATCTGGGATTGATTGTGATTCTAGTGATTGATCAATTTATAGAAGATGATCTCAGCTTGAACATTGATTGGTAGGGCCTACCTGAAATTCTATGCTTTATTGTTGTTGTTTTTTTACACGCAGGCAATAAATGACGGACAGCAGATTGACAAGCCAGTGTTTCAGCTTTTGGTAGGTGGTAACGATGAACACTGCGAACTTATTTTGGCCAGGTTTATAGAAAAACAGCATTATAGAAAGAACCTTTAGGGCAGTCTCCATGACAGAAGACTAAAACATGTCAACCTTGACACTTTACATAACAGCTATAAAGCCTTTTCATACACTTCATGGCTTTGATTTTTGAACAAGAAATAGCATTTTGCCTTTCCCAAATTCTAAGAAAGGGGGGAGGGCATCAAGCAGAAAACAGCTCGCCACCCTGCACCGCATTAGTGTTCTGCATCGGGTTGGGTTGACCATGACAAACTGACCCGAAACATTATAGAGTTAAAACGAATCCGAACCGAAACCGATCTGAATTCCTCAAACCGACCTGACCGGCCAAAACTTCAAGGAAACCGACCCGAAACCGAACCGCCCGGAAACTCCCCCCCCCCCCCCCCGAATTTCTGGCTTGGGAAACTGTGTGCACTTTTTGTGCCTGAACTTACCCTCATCCCATGAAAACTGTCGTCTCTCAGTAACTGAATCATACCGTACAGCACTCACAACGTGACCTACTGGTGGGCCTATATGTTATAGACCATGCGTGGCAGACCACAAACCATTTTCAGTCCTTCTGATTTGAGGCGTGCACACCCCCACACCATCGCACACCTAAAAGCTTAATGAGAAGTGTGAATACATGTAATTGCACACCTGAATTTCCCTGGACCACAGATCACACACCTAGAAAATCACACACCTAGAAAAAACACACGCCTAGAAAAATCCAGGTGTGCCTTTTTCCACACGCCTGTGATTTTCAAATCAGGAGGACTGATTTTGGTCGTACCGAGCACAGTGAATCTTCAATAAACTTACACCATGTGAATTTCTCAACTGTTTCACTTTTTTCCCGGTTTATTTCGGTTTATGTGGGGTTTTTCCAAAATGGCTTAACGGACCCAACCCGAAATTCGCAAACGCAAAACCGGAACTGACCTGACCTGACTGAAATGATGGACAAACCAACCGACCCAAAGGCGGTTTCGGGTCGGGTCAGTTTCAGGTCGGGATTGCACAACACTACACCGCATGCTCCCACAATTTTGCAGATTGGTAACATTTGCATGTTTAACACATAGCACCTACTTTAGCATTCATAACGTATTGTCTTCATTTCTTAGGCGCTGAAGAAGCTGAACCCTGCTGCTTCCACCAACACTACTGTTGACCGCTACAGAATAATGCTGTCAGACGGCGTCCATAACAACACAGGTACGTATTGTGACTGCTCTTCCCACAGTAACCCGAGTGAAAATGCTGTGAACATTCCATTTATATTTCGCTGCCTTGACTGTTGCTGAACACGGATGACATGTGGCAGTTGGTCTCCCACAACATTCCGATAATGTGGTCAGTAATTTTCTTAATTACAGAAAGCTGCACACTAGAGGCAAAGTTATTGATTGCTTCTGACAGTTCCGGCAATTCCCTGGTTCTATCCAGTCCTAATATGAGTCTGAGAACCGGAACCGCGAGTCCAATCTTCTCAGGAACCGGGTACCCGCTATGCTCAGTTCCAGCGCCAAAAGAATCAGTTCCTGAGTAAATTACCCATTCTCTGTGCACAAAGCCAAGAGCCATGATTGGCTCCATAACAAGGTATTCAATCGCATGAAGGCCAGGGACATTCATTCCGGCTAGTCAAAACAATGGCGGAGCGTCTGAGACAAACCGCTTGGCTGAGTCGTTTGCGGCCACGAGGCATAAAGCATTGAACCCAATGCTGGCCCTGTACCATGGATAATAAACGTATTGAATGACACACAAAAATATTACTCCAGGGCGTGGCTAGACAGATCTGGGCTAGTCTTTGATGATCTTCACGATATGCACCAGAACAAACCGAACTGAAGTGCCTAGGATTTGTTCATGTTCATGTATCTTAAGCGGAGCTTGTTCGGAACTAGGTATTTTGGGCGAGCCGCAACCACGTTATGAGGAAGTTTTTAATCGTTTTCTGTCTTGTCTCTGCCTGCAGCCATGTTGGCCGTACAGCTGAATCAGATGGTGGCCGACGGTCAGCTAGAGCCAAACACGGTGATCTGTCTGGACCGTTATGTCTGCAACAAGCTAGCCGGAAACAGGTGAGAAACATCATTGCATTTTTCTCTTTCTTTCAAAAATTCTTTTTTTGGATCTCTTCAGAGTGAAAGAAAGCCAGGTACCCGTTAAAGAAACCCAACCCCAAAATGTTAATCGCAGACGTTGCTGTGTACAGATTGTTAATAAAGGTCCGCACGATAATACTACCACATCGGTGCGTCAATACAGCAATATAAGTGTGTACAGAGAGCTCAATACAATTTATGAAGCTTAATCTGGAACTGGTTCCCGACATCAGCAGTCGGGTACTCGGGTACCCGGCTCCGATGTACATCCCCAGATGTACTTGTGATCCAACACATGCACATTGACTACATCACTGTTAAAGCCGTGTCTGAATTACCTGGCTATGGCTGCAGATTACACACGCCCTATGGAAGCTGGTGCAGCCACTTCCCATAGATCTATGGAAGCTGGTGCAGCCACTTCCCATAGATCTATGGAAGCTGGTGCAGCCACTTCCCATAGACCTATGGAAGCTGGTGCAGCCACTTCCCATAGACCTATGGAAGCTGGTGCAGCCACTTCCCATAGACCCGTATGCTATTTCCAGCCGAAGCCAAGTAATTCGGACGTGGCCTTACACAAGCTGATTTTTCCATTCAGACGTGTGGTGATCATCCTGGAGCTGACTGTCGTAGCACCGGGAAGCCAGGTTGGTGGGAAGATCGGCAATCCCATCGCCCTCCCCCTGGGGGGTGGGGGCGGCAGCAACGGGCAGCAAGCACCGGCGCTGCAGCACACACCACAGCAACCAATGAGAGCTGGAGGTAGGGGCTGCGGGGTGTAACAAAATAAAGCTTATTTGCTAACGGTGGTTTAATTGCCCACTCACTAAAGTAAAACAAAAACTCGAGCTTCAAAATCAATTGTGCAGTAGTCTGAGTTTTTCATCGACCAGTGTTGTACCCTTACCTTCAAGGCACATGGGATCATTTGCATTTATCCCAAAGTAACATGGCAACTTATTATCAATAGGCTTGCTCGGATTAAAGATCGCACTTGTACTAAACACCCCGTGAAATTTTTCCGTCCGGCTTGCTGTTGTTTAGTTAGTTGACTGATTGTTAGAAATAAAGAGTTCTGTTGACAAAATCGTATTTCGTGATCATAGATTGTGGATGAATTTTCACTGTTTTCTCAAAGTGTGATATCCAGTGCCACTGAGCTGAAATTTCAGAACTCTTTTAATTTGAGGTATGTTACTATTGGAAACGAAACAAAAATGCATGAAAGCAAATGATCCAAAATGCCTCTAAACTCGAGTTCTGTTTCTGTTCTGATGCTCGGACTCATACACATCAAATTTTACTAGACTAAAATCTATAAAGGCTTCAATACTTGTGATGAAACTTTATTTCCAAACTTCCAATTTTTCTGACGATCTTTTCCTTGCAAAGTCTGATTTTTAAAATTGAATTCCAAAGAATTTGATGAAAACGGCGCCGCAACATTTGTATTGCGAGTGCAATTATAATCTGTTCTACCAGTCGTCAGTGCACAGATTGTAATGGTAGATGCACATAAGTAAGCTCGGATTGAAGTAATTTACGGCTGGAAATGAGTTTAAGCATTAACACATTACATGACTAGCTATGTACAGAGCCTCATTGCTGTTGCACATGGAGTTCGACTGCAATAAAATCTACATGTTGCGCGATTTTCGGAGGTTTCAGATTTATTTGAACAAAACGCAATGCTAAATCACGATGATGAAGTTGAGGATGGCAAAGAGAACGTAAGTGATACATTTCACTGGCAGTTGTGGGAAAGAACGTAAGCGCGCATGTGCATAGACCAACGCTCATAGACCTGGCGTTCCTGGGGGAACAACACATGTTCCCAATTGGAACAGGCAATGTTCCCCGTTGAAACAATCCAAACGTTCCGACTTTGGAGATGTTCACTAAGCAGGGTTTAAATCCCAAATGCCATAGAAGATTAGAGTTAACTGAATTTTATTTGTCATCTGTGTTTGATGTTTACAGCATCACCAATGGGGGTTGCCAAGGCCAACAGTTTCCCCGGCGCCGGTGGTAGCTTCAACAAGCAGGGTAACTATGGAGGCGCGGGGCCTTCCACTGGCATGATGAGCCCGCCCAAACAAGCCCAGCCAATCAGCAGCCTGACGCCATATCAGAACAGGTGGGTGTGGGGTGGGGGATGGGTGTGTTTGCCCCCAAAATATTTATGACTAGGGGTACTGAGGGGTAAAAAAAGAAGAAGTAAAGTCTGTCACAAGCCAATGTGGCCCATCAGGCCAGCGTTTAACTCTGGTATCAGTATAGTAGCATGAAACGACTGAGAATATTTCTACTCACCCTGGATGGGATGCTAGTCCATCGCAAGTTTCTCCCCAGCTAATGCCGGTACCCATTTGTACTCCTGGGTGGGGAGAGGCAAGTGGGGATGAAGTGGCTTGCCCAAGGACACAACGCATGGCCAGCAGCTGGAATCGAACCCGTGACACTCTTATCAGGAGTCACGAACCCTAACCACTAGGCCACACACTCCCCCTGAGGGGTACTAACCACGAATGTCCCAAAAAGCATACCAAATTTCATAACAGTCGGTCATTGCAGGGAGAGGTTTGCAAAATCATTAAATTCACTTAGATGTAGTTTGAAATCACGGCCTGGCTTGATCACTAATGGGAATTTTTAAAAAATTTAAAGAGCTTAATCTTTCGATTGTCAAATTCTTTCAAGGAAAGAAGGGAAGAATCATTCCCATGTTTGAGTTGTCGAAAACCATGAATATTGCAAGCTCAATCAAATATTTGACGATTTTAAAACTGAATTGCATTGTTTTGGTAGATGGACCATCAAGGCTCGCGTTTCCAACAAATCCTCCGTCCGCACCTGGAGCAACTCCCGCGGCGAGGGCAAGCTGTTCTCCATGGACCTGTGCGATCAGTCCGGCGAGATCCGAGCCACGGCCTTCAAGGAACAGTGCGACAAGTTCTACGACTTGATTGAAGTCGGAAAGGTGTGGTGTTAGCTTTCTAGATTTGCACCGGACGTAATTCCAAAGTTTAGAACTAAGTTTGTCGTTCGTAACATAGTTGTGATTGCACATAAAAAATGACTGTTGCATTGATGCAAAATTACTCCAGGGTTAAGTCAATGGAAATTTAGTAAATAAAACCATATTCAATCGGGTTGAATTGAATCACTCTCAATATATTTGGTTTGGCATTTCTTTGGAACACTAGTCTCAAACGGGTGTTACTCATTTTAAAGGTAGAGTAGATCATTTGCAGCTATCCAAAAAGTAACTGATGAAATTATTGTTGAAAAGCATACTTGGTTTAAAGATACAAATGGCCCTAAACTCCCTTTGAAATGATTTTTTCTGGCATGCTGTCATTTTATAGAAAACAAAAGAAGGTCATTTCCAAAGATGCATTTAAAGACAAATTTTTTGGGAATTTTTGTTAGTAGTTCGTTTTTAATTTGGCAAAGCCGTGAATGGATGTGCGCAAGCCTTGACACGACGCGTGCGTGGTTTTAATTTGTTGGTTTAATGCGTGACATCGTGTAGCTGACATTGGCTGAATGAGAACGCGTCTTGGACGTTGATTTCGGGGGCAACTTTTGAATTGAACTAGAGATCCTAGAATATTGTTTTGTCAGAATAAGGCCCCCAAAAAAGTCTCCGGTTTCTGGTATGGAGCTTGCCCAAAAAGTGGTGCGGCGACGCGGCTTTTTTTTTTTTTTACCTGTTTTTTTTGCTTCAAATGTCGGCTGATGACTGCAAATGGTGCCCGACTAAACCTTTAGTAAATAAAACCATATTCAATCGGGTTGAATTGAATCACTCTCAATATATTTGGTTTGGCATTTCTTTGGAACACTAGTCTCAAACGGGTGTTACTCATTTTAAAGGTAGAGTAGATCATTTGCAGCTATCCAAAAAGTAACTGATGAAATTATTGTTGAAAAGCATACTTGGTTTAAAGATACAAATGGCCCTAAACTCCCTTTGAAATGATTTTTTCTGGCATGCTGTCATTTTATAGAAAACAAAAGAAGGTCATTTCCAAAGATGCATTTAAAGACAAATTTTTTGGGAATTTTTGTTAGTAGTTCGTTTTTAATTTGGCAAAGCCGTGAATGGATGTGCGCAAGCCTTGACACGACGCGTGCGTGGTTTTAATTTGTTGGTTTAATGCGTGACATCGTGTAGCTGACATTGGCTGAATGAGAACGCGTCTTGGACGTTGATTTCGGGGGCAACTTTTGAATTGAACTAGAGATCCTAGAATATTGTTTTGTCAGAATAAGGCCCCCCAAAAAAGTCTCCGGTTTCTGGTATGGAGCTTGCCCAAAAAGTGGTGCGGCGACGCGGCTTTTTTTTTTTTTTACCTGTTTTTTTTGCTTCAAATGTCGGCTGATGACTGCAAATGGTGCCCGACTAAACCTAGTGCAAATATATGGGAGTCCGGAGAGGCCACATAAAGCTTATTCTCGATCATAACCCCATCTAAAAACACGTTAAAATTGTGCAGCAGCAGTATTCCAGTCAAACCAGTGAGTTGGGCGGTTTTGAGACATCATCTTTTATTGAAAAAAATAACTTTTTCATTTTGCCGACGCGCATGGCTACGGCGACGCGCGCGCATACCAGAAACCGGAGACTTTTATTTTTTGGCCTAAGCAGCATTCATTGAGCTTAAACGTCATCAGGTTAGTTGTTAAGCATCCTTTAGATTTTGAGCACTTTTGTTGCTTCAACCGAAAAAAATGCACAAATGATAAATGACATATTCTACCTTTCAATAACCAATCCATCCCATTGTATATCATCAGGTTTACTTCATTTCCCGCGGCACCCTGAAGACAGCCAACCGCCAGTACACGTCCATCACCAACGACTACGAGATGACCTTCAACAACGACACAACGATGGTTCCTTGCGAGGAGGAAGACGACTCCATTCCCACAATGCAGTTTGACTTCCGGACCATCGGCCAGCTGGAAGACATGAACAAAGACGCCATTTTGGGTGAGTTGAAATGTGTCAGCACACAAAAACCAATATGGGGATGAAATGCTGGTGTTTTAAGTGTAACAAAATACAGACTTTGTAAACACGCAGTGGTTAGAATTGAAGTCTATTTATTCATTCTTTAATACTTTGCTTCTATTTACCCTGAAACGTGCCCATAACTGTTGTATATAATTTGCCAAATGCATAAAGGGATGTATATTGTGTACTCAGTGGTGTTCTGACAGCATTATTGAGTATAAGTTTTGAGAATGGATTAAAAGTGTCCTTGTAGCAGGAAGTTCCACAATATTTAAAAACTTAGATAAAACAAAGCCACAAAATTGCAACAATAGACCCTTTAAAGGGAAGATACAACATTTGCAAACATCAAAAAACGAAATGATCAAATTATCACGAAATACCTTACAGAATTGTTAGGGATTGACAGTCTAAAGCATCCTGTAAAATCGTGGCTCCTGGTGTGTTGACATTTTCAAGAAAAACAGTATTTTTCCAACGCTAGTCGGCCGACCAGCGTTGGAAAAAACTGGCTTTTTTTCAAAAATTGTTCCTATTTTTTCATATTTAGTTATTCTGCATTTTATTTGCAATAGATTACACACCTGTGAAGGGGTACAAACCTGCTAGAGTGATTCTTTGAGCTGACAAGAAAATGATTGGTTTTCTTGGTTTTTCCAGCATAAACAAGCCCAAAACGTGAAACAAGTCAGTTTAACAGTATTTACTACAACATACTAATCCTCTAAATCCATTTATTTCTGAAAATTGCAGCAAAAGCACATTCCCTTTAAATACTAAGAAACATATGTCACATACTCGTTTGACCAATACATATAGCATACTCAATGTCGAGGAGGGCTGTGCATCGGAACCGGGTTCCCAAGTACCCGACTGCTGATGTCTGGAACCGGTTCCAGATTATGGAATCAAGTACCTATAAGTAACTGTACAAATTACTCAGTAGCTTATCAGACAATGAAAGAAAAAGGTTTTGAATGTCATTTGTGGGGAATTTTCAAAATGAAAAACCAGGCTACATAGAAAAACAAAGCAGGTTTCATGTTCATGACGCTTGCGGTAGTTGCAGTTTTCACCAGAAAGCTACACACTTATATCTTTGCTGCACTGATGCACCAATGTGGTAGTATTGTCATGCGGACCTTTATGGACAATCTGTACAGCAACTTGCAAGATTTGAATTTTGGGGTTGGGTTTCTTTAATGGGTACCCCTGTTTTTTTTCCCAATCTGGTACCCGGTTCCCGTACTACCCGCAAATGCACACCCCTAATGTCGAGTTAAACTTTCCAGGTCTTGCATTGCGCTTCTACGTACACATATTGCTGTTGAGCCTATATAACATGTCCAAAGTACATGCCACGTGTGAACATCCTGTCACACAACAAAATGCTTGGAATTTGCAGTACATCTTACAAAATGTACACTCAACTTCAGATATCTTGTACATCATAAAATAGAACAAAGGGTTAACTTCGGCAGAAATCTAATGAGAATTCAATGACGAGAATGCGTGCATGATGCTTTACGTCAGACGGCTTACAAGCTTTCTTGTGTACTTTTCATACCACTGTCCTACGTTATGTATAAGAAAAATGCAAACGTGATATTACATTACACAACAAATTGATAAGGAAACGCGATTTAGGCGCGAAGTTTCAAAACCTGCCGAAACTCTTAAATCCTGCTTGGTTTGCACACCCTTTGCACTGTGTGGATCAAGTCTGTAACAGATGCCACAACTTCTTAATTAAGAAGCTGATGAATTGTTTCTCACGATGCAATATTCTCCAGGACAAGGTATGAACCATATTATTTTTTTTACCCTCTTGATTTTTGAAAAAAAAGTGTCAGAATTCACCCAAAGTTTTCACAATTTCTCTGAGCTCACCAAATTTGCTGTAGGAGAAGATGAACTGTCACAGGACTTGATGTTGTCGAATGTTCAAAAAAATGTCCATTTGGATCTTTAGATCTGTTGGTGATAAGGAACCCAACTTGAATATCAAACATTTTCTTTCAAACTATACGACGAGGAGTATTAACCCCCTATTCAGACCAAAATAAGAAGTAGTTTTTTGTAGAAATTTTGGAAACGTTGGGGTAATATTGTTTTTATGTGGCGGGATGCATGGTAGTTAATTGCTTGAAATTCTAGCATTCCATCCCCCATATTGGAATTTTCTTGAGATGGTTTTAATTTTGATAATTTTTTCATGAGTATTAAGAAAAAATTTTTTTACATTCATAAATTAAACGTTTGTATTTTGTTTATATATTATTTTAATAATTATTATTCACGATAATATACTTTAATGCAATAAAAATGCCTGCATTAAGAAATGGATGGCAAAACTTGATGAGTAACAAGGCTTTTCACATTTTCTTGCAGATTCAACAGACCAAGACACAGTTGCTAATCCCTCAACTACTACTGCTAAGCCAACTGCAACGGTAACCCCTGTCGCTGTTCTAGCACCAGCAACCTCAAACCCAGCTACCCCCGTTGCTGTCTTAACACCAACAACCTCAAGCCGGACACCAGGTCCTCAGATGCAACCACAAGTCCAAGCCCACCAGGTGGCTTTCATCAGACCCATGTCTGAGGGGGTCGGCCCAAATCAGCAAATGCTCCCTGGGTATCCTGTTTTCACCTCACAACGGGCCCCTGGACCGGGTGTGTTCCAACAGACGTTTGCATTCCGTGGATCTGCCCCCCCGGTGATACGTTTTGTCCACCATCACCCCGGCATGCCGGGCCCGAGGGGTCCACCACCACCTCCAGGTACACCCACGACACCATCGTCCGTGACTGGCACTGCATCGGAAACAACCACCACATCCACTGTAGCTGGCCCGGGTCAGGCATTTCATATCCATTTCCATCATCGTCCTGGATACCCCCCACAACCTGTGATTCGTTTAGTTCAGGATGGGCCCCCTCCCCCACCAGGGGTCCACAGATGCTCCCATGCCCACGATGGACAGCCAGTGTTTAGAACCCCAACACCAGCCACTACAGCACAATCCACGCCAGCTCCACCCACCAGAACTCGCATCTCAACACAGTCCCCAAATCCACCTGTAGTACCAGCTCCAGTTGCAGCAGCAGTGGCATCTGCGGCATCGGCTGCAGCAGCAGCAACACCATCTCCTCAAGGAGCCCAGCAAACAACATCAGGTCAGAGTCAAGTCCTCCCCCAAAGGACGTCAGGACCACAAGATGACAAGCCAGATGACAAGCCAGAACTGGCTGAGTTGGCACAACGTATCCGAAACATCTCAGCTGACGTTAAGACCATCAAACCAGGCAGTAGGGGAGTACCCCTGGATCCCAGAGAGAGGCAGCGGAGAGAGGCTGCCGAGGCCAGCAGTGCCAGAAGGAAGGAAATTAAGGCCAAGAGCAAGACCCATCAAGCAGATGACGCTGCAACAGACTCTCAAAGTGCCAAGGAACCTGAATCCACTGACTTACCTGCACCTGATGCTGAAGCTTCAGAGATTAGCAGCAGCAGCAACGATTCTAATCGACGACGTAAACGGCGCAAGCGAGGCAAGCAACAATTGCAAATCCCTGATGAATCCCAGCAGAACAGTATTTCGGAATCTTCTGTCAAAGATGCCAAGACCAACTCTGATCCAGAAAAGGAAGAGTCCATACTGGGAGACAAGACTCAGCCAGAAGTTGATACCAAGTTGGTACCCAGCTCCAAACCTGTTGATGAAGAAAATCCTGCATGTGCTTCAGATGATGGTACCAGCTCAGAATCTGATAGTGAAGAGGTAAAAACTCTTGATGAAAACTCAAGGGCTAGCCCTGAACCAGCCTGTCCCATTGTTGATAGGTCCATCTCACCCTCCTTTGCTGAAAACACAGTCTGTACCCAGCTCAGCTCTCAACCTAGCAATGCACTCAAAGACAGTGCCGCTGCTTCAAACACTGAACAAATGACAGATTCAAATGTTAGACAACAGTCATCACCTGAAGCTAGTGGGGACCATGTATCAATTGAGCACTCAACTAAACAGCTCACAACTAGCATTACTAAAAAACAGGAAGCCTTGGCCCCTGGCTCTAATCATGCTCCTGATGCCCAAGTAGATCCACCGGCCAGTTCTGAGGAACCTTCTGGAAGCAGGTCTCAATCTGATCCAATTGCTCATCCTTCAAAGGAAAACGACCTGGAAGAAACAGCTGCCATTGTGCCAATTCAGGAAACCATTCAAGATGGAAACACCAGTGTTGAAATCAAACCTGAGCTGGGCATAAATCACAGCTCAGATAATGAAAAACGACAGGCCTCTGAATGTGGTCCTGGATCAGATACAGCTGTCTTGGCTCCCAATGTGACATCATCCATAGATACACAGTCTGAAGCAACTGTTGAAATCTTAGAAATAACTAAGAGTTTAGAGTCTGGTGATGTTTCACAGAAAAGCATAAAACCTAAAGCAAAATCAAACAAAAAGACAAGTGCTGTGTCTAAAAATGTATCCACTAAGGACACTGATGGAGTCCCTAGCTCTCAACTAGACCCAGTAGGTGCGACTTTGACTCAAAGACCATCACAAGGCCCACAAGTTGAGCCATTATTGACTCCATCTTCAGAACAGCACAGTCAACAGGATAATAATGCTGAACTGCAAAGAGATCATCTCAAATTGGAGCGCAAGCAGCTTGCTCTTGACCGCCACCGTCTAGACTGCGAACGGCAGAATCTCCTGCTCAAAGAAGAGAGACTGCAGATCGAGCAAGATCGTTTTCAGACTGAGCGGGAAAGACTGGAGGCCCTGCAGGAACAGGTGAGGCTACAGCGAGACCAACTTGAACTGGATAGAAACCGTCTTGATCTGGAGCGGGACCATCTCGAGGTCAATCGAGAACGTCTCCAAGTCGAACGCCACCGCCTCCAAGGAGAGGAGCAGCGCGGTGAGGACTCCAAGATGGTTCTTCAGAGCTTGCAGGAGATCAGTCAGACTCTCCAGATGTCCGTCAATCTCTCTCTCCAGGGGTATGGCTTCCCAATGTCCTACGAGACAGCTGAAGGAAGTGCTAATGAGTACATGCAGCAGCAGAGCTTTTTGGAAGTCGAACCACAAGGGGCATGGCCTGTTGAAGACACAAACATCCCTGGAGAAGGTGCTGTAGGTGGAGGTACATTCAACTCGGATGAAGAAATTCCCGAAGACTCGGGAGATGAGTGGACAGTTGTGGGTAGGACGCGAACATCATCACATCAGCATGATAGTTTGCATTCAGGCGTCCAGGATTGGTCCACACCAGAAGGTTCTATAGCGTCTCAAGGAACCGCTGATACCTTGGCACAAGGTGGTTGGCCCCCCGAGCCGGCCGCACCAAGTCCAGAAATGCCTCCTGATGCTTCAACACATCAAGTGCAACACTTAGTAAAAACTGAATGCTCCAAAGAACCTAGTGGGGACTTCAAGGGTAAAAAGCCTGGCATGGCGCAGAAGTCAGGTGAAGGTCGGAGTTTGTCACCTGTACATGGACTGAGCAGCATACAAGGGAGACAGGGAACTAGGCAAAATCCAAATCGGAGAGAGTACAGACAAGGACGGCCGGATAGTCGAAGGGGGCGCGATAGAAAGCATTGGAAGCAGCATGAGCCAAAAACGGATCCTAAAAAGTGAAAGAATCCTCATAAGATCAAAGTCAGCAGTGAAGTTTAGGCCCCCCAAAAAAGTCTCCGGTTCCTGGTATGGAGCTTGCCCAAAAAGTGGTGCGCGACACGGTTTTTTTTGTTTTTTTACCTGTTTTTTTTTGCTTCAAATGTCGGCTGATGACCGCAAATGGTGCCCGACTAAACTTAGTGCAAATATATGGGAGTGCAGAGAGGCCACATAAAGCTTATTCTCGATCATAACCCCATCTAAAAACACGTTAAAACTGTGCAGCAGAAGGATTCCAGTCAAACCAGTGCGTTTGGCGGTTTTGAGACATCATCTTTTATTGAAAAAAAACCTTTTTCATTTTGCCGACGCGCATGGCTACGGCGACGCGCGCGCATACCAGAAACCGGAGACTTTTATTTTTTGGCCTTAATGCTGGAATTTTTTTTTTTTTCATTTTTTTCACTTGGTTGTCGAAGCAATGTATGCTTGTAAGTATGTATGCTTTTTATCCATATGCAAAATTCTGTGAATGAATTAATATTGTAGAGCTGCAGTTCATTAACCACAGACTCAAACTTACACCCTTGAAGGAAAGACGCCATTGCGCGACCTTACTTTATGGAAGTAAAGGCCGCGCCGTGCCGACCACTTGCCCGCCCGTCTGTTAAAAGTTGTAATAGCGGCCATGTTGAAAGGTTTGTTTGTACATGCATAGTGCCGAAGCTGGAATAAATTTGTTCATTTATTAAAGACACTGCCGCAAAAATGGGACAATAATTCGCTGAGTATAATATCTTTTACCCTACATGTTATTATGGTATTTGTTAATTTTGAGTAAAATAAACTTTGACCAAATTTTTTTTATTGAAATAAAATACGGTACAATGCTTTAATTTGTTAGAATATAAATATCAGTCTATAATATGACTAATGTCAGGCTTTTGTGATAGACAGATTTAAAACATACATATCAAAGAAAAAAATGGTCGGTAAGTAAAGTCAAGTTTCAAGTGATTGTGGCATCAGTCGTTGAGGGTAACCATTACTGCAACTATTGTACCTCAGCATGCATCAGTCATAGAAAATAAAATTGCGTGAGAAGTATTACTTTTAAAATGTTCAGTTGTTGAGTTTATAGTATGAATAATAAAAACAAAATCTGTTCATTTTTATGTAAAGGATGTGATGTTTAAGTTTGCTGTTCATTTACAACAAATAATCTTGAAATGAAATCAGTGAGACTTTTTCTGTCAGGAGTCTTTATTGTAACTATTGGAAGCGTTAAATCTGCATTATCGAAAGTATGTTCAAAAACTGCTGTTCACATGTGCCTATGGCAGCAGTTTGTGGCCGTTGTAAACATTCTGTTTGAATATTTTAAATTGTCCATTAAATTCTCATGTTCCTTTAAGTGTAAAAGGGACACTGCGTCCTGGAACAGCCAAATTGGGCTACGAAACGCGATTTTGAACAAAATGATGTTACTGGAAAAGAACATTTAAAAGAAGAATATAACGATCCACACAACTATCCTTTAAAAACTGGGCGTTTTTGTGTTATTCCTGCATGATGTATGTGAGAACGACTTTCGGCGTCCACTTTTGTGACCCCAAAAAGTCGAGCTGTTTGGGTGCTAGTTTGTGATTTCATCCATAAAGTGTTCACTGTTTGCGGACGTGTAAGAAACCATATTTTGTGCACATGGTGATTGGTCACCGCTGTTCGCGAGCACGGTGCTGTATAGACACACACAACGTGTATCGTACATTGACTGATATCGACAGGAAAAAATGCAATCGTACTCCGATACTCCGATATAAACAACCAGGTTTTTTGTCTTTTCTCGGGAATGGTAAGACATTAGGTTGGTTTCCTTTCAACCAGATGTTTGAAAGATGATAAATAAACAATCCAAAACATGAAATTTTCGGGGATTCCAGGACCTAGTGCCCCTTTTACTCTGATCTGCTTCGCTGGTTTCTAACACTGGACAAGAAAAGTACATGTAGATATTAGGCTTGAACTACATTGTATATTTCAATAATACTGTATTTTACCAATATGTTTATTGATACCATACAGTACCAAATGATGTCAAAATACCGAACAATGTCAAAATACCGAAACACCAACAATCTCGGAGAGTAATTTCATTACTTCCATTTTCCCTCTTAAATTTGACCTGATGTGGGTATAAGCCCTTTGAAAGAAAAAGAAATGAGCGACAGAGACAACTGGACCAAATCTGCACTTCCTTGTAATTTGTATAGGCCATTATTGTTTAAATTCCTTGTGATCGCGGTGTCTAGATAGGATGAAAATTGTGCTTACAAGTCATCCAGTTGTCCTTTGAAGTTTTGCCCATGCTGCCTGTTGGCAGTTTACCTATCATCATGTTGTCTTATTGTATTTCAATGACATAATAGTCTACCCAGAAAAGTACCCGGTAATACCGAATATCAGTATTTTTGTGACGGTATACCGTGGAATCTCAAATTTGATATACCGCCCAAGCCTATTAGGTATGTAGTTTATTGCCTGAAGTCATTAAGGGGTGCTGCCACCCTAGCTTCTAACTTTTGCTGCAACTGCTGTAAACAAAATAATAATTTGCTTCTTGCTTAGACTTAAAAATAATGGAGGGAGCCAATGAATTAAGGGGAACATTTCATATGCGTACTGTGCAGCCCCAAAAGTGATCTTGTCTTGTGTGATCCCTGCTACAGATATTGAAACTCATACAATCATTGGAATTCATATTACCTATGAACACATAGATTAGTTCTTGACAAGTAACAAACGTATCCAGAAATTATTATTACATTATTGAGAGAAAAAAAAGGAGGAATTTGATTTTTACTGGACTGTATGCATGCATTAAAGTGCATAGTGGATTTGATTGTACAATTAAAATGTCATGAGTATATCACAAGAAAATACCTCAACTGCTTTCTTTTTGTTCTAAGTCTGATTGACCACTTTTTTAAAGGTAGCGTCCATCATTTGTAATTTGTGCATTATGTTCATTTGAAGCAACAAAAGTGCTCAAAATCTAAAGAAGGTTGCTGAACAACTAACCTGATGAAGTTTCAGCTCAGCTTTAGCTGTATATTTCGAGAAAAACAACATTCTAGGATCTTGATTCAAATCAAAAGTTGCCGAGTCATTTTTTGAATTGGGCCTGAATTCAGCGTCCAAGACACGTTCTCACTGAATCGATTGCAGCTGCGCGATGTCGCGCACTGAACTTACGAATTATAGCAATCGAGTGCGCAAGTGTGACTGTCAACGCTTGCGCATGCATGCTTTGCCAAATAGAATAAAAAAATGAACTACTAAGGGAACTTTCAAAGACCTTCTTGCATTGAATTCTTCAAAGTGACAGCTTGCAAGAAAGAATCATTTCACGGGGCATTTAGTCCCATTACTATCTATAAACCAAGTAAACTTTTCAACAATAATTACGTCCGTTACCTTTTGGATAGCTGCAAAACCAAAACAATGACTTTGTCATTGTGCATTTAATAGCTTGTGACTTGATAGGGCTGTCCTGAATTGTGGATCATCAACCAAATATTCCAGTAGCTTTTTGCTGGTTCAAATATTCGAAAGATAAAAAAACTACGCATGCACACATACGACTGATGTTAATTTAATCGTAAACTTGCTGCACTTTATTGTCAGATGCCACTTTATGTTGACAGTAACTTTTTTTGTCGACGGCGGTTCATGGTTCTATCCGTTTAGCAGCTTAAAACCCTTGACAGTTATATAATACTTACTGCAAAGCACTCATATGGCCCATCACATTGATCACCAGCGTGCGTTGCGTGCAACTTTTGACGTGTGCGGCATGCAGTTGCAGCTGGCATGTGTAAACTTTATGACCGCCGATTTTCCAATGTTTGAATATTCGGTCAAACGCTGTTTCGAATAATGGAATACCAAATTATTCAAAAATGGACAGCCCTATAGGTCTCTCTCAAATCGTCATTTCCTACAGACCATCCACGTGTATCGGCATTTTGAGCATCAACTTGCATAATGCGCATCGGCTGCGTTGTATTTCGAACACATTTCGAGCAACAAGCGCGCGTGTTTGGAACATTTTCAACACTGCCAATGCAGGCTTGATTGCGTAAAATACGCAGTTGCAGTTGTTCTACAGAGATGGTCGTCTTTGAGAGAGCCCTATTGTGACTTGACAAGGGACTGGATGATTTTTTAAGACTTTTGTCAAGGAATTGTGGTGGAATCGACCGCAACACAGTCAGAAGCAGGGCACTGAAATGTTGTTCCCGTTTGCCTCAGATAAAGAAGTTGTTGCCATTCATCACGTTGACTTTGGATTGATATTTCAGACGTCATTGGTGTTGTCAAGAGTGCTAGCGACGTGACGACGATCACCACAAAGACGACAAACCGGGAACTGACAAAGAGAGAACTGCACATCATTGATGACAGCAGTAAGGTGGTCACGCTCACACTCTGGGGGAATGAGGTAAAACAAAAGTTTTATCTTGGACTTCTTGTTCATTTGAAAGACCTTTTATTTTTAAATTTGAGTTGGTCATCCCGTGCTCTGCAACAAATTTGATAATTTTTTTTCTGCTGCTAACTTTTGTTCACTCTGTGGTTTATTTTAACCCCCCCCCCCCCCAAAAAAATCCTTTTGTTTTTTGCTAATTTGGGCATGTGAATCTATTTCGGGTTACTTTTGTGCCCCGAAACAGATCCTTTAAATTATTGTTGTTATTGAAGCAAGCATTCTAGAATAGGGCTGTGCATCGGAACCGGGTACCTGAGTACCCGACCGCTGATGTCGGGAACCGGTTCCAGATTATGGAATCGAGTACCCGTAAACAACTTTACATACTACTTTAATAGAAACTTCTCAGACGGTGAAAACGAAAGGTTGTGAATAAAATTTGTGGGGAATTTTCAAAATGAAAACCAGGCTACGTGAAAAAACAATGTTGCAATTTACACCTAAAAGCTACATGTTGGCCTATTGAGCTCACTGTACACACTTGTATCTTGCTGTATCGACGCACTGATGCG